GCCCAAACATGACATTATTGTCGGGAAGCAGCCGAAAAGTTCTGGCAACTTCGCGGTTCGGGTAATAGAGGAGCCTCTTGAACCCCGATGCTGTTTCCAGTAATTCTGCAGCAAGATTCCTCGCGAATCTGTACATGGTATCCTATCCGCTCTGTGACCTGACTACTTTAGTAAGCACGGATGTCGTGCCGAGAGTTGTCCACACCAAGGACGCTTTACAGCCCACAAGGTCATCGCTAGTCTCACCTGATGTCACGATAGTCTTCCTGCCAACTCAGCAGGCCTCTGATGGATTCACGTCGTTATATTCGCGTCGTTCTTGCTAGACGTGGCTTATCAAAAGCCGAGACCTAGAAGAATACTTTCTCTGACACGTTACCATAAGTTAATCTCGTTCTCTGTCGTTATCCAATCCTATCGGTTGTGCGCATGACAAACCAAAAGCTGGTCAAATTGCCGTGAACAGATCCCGACGCAACCCTGTCTGACCAGTCGCCGTCAAGGGGGGTTGGGAGCGTGGGATGTCTTGACATATCTTATATTGATAATCATTACATAGGTACTCTACTTGCTTGACGGATACCATTACACGTCTAATACGCTTGCTTTCAGCCGGTATTACCCGCCAGAGCTTTCTTGTCGAAGTGTGCAAACACGACAACTCCTGTACATTTGCATGGTATCGTCTCTCAAGTAGTTGACACCGCAGAAGATTTCTCCCAAAAGAAAAGTGGAGGCCATGCGGTCGACGAATTATCATGCAATTCCTTCACCAGAATGAGGCGCAAGCTTACAAGTATTGGTGGGTATCTGTACCCAAAAAGTAGACAGGCTTTTGATACATAGTATGTAAATCATCATTGTCTACCACTTGTGAAACGCATGCCCTTTCCTATTTTACGTCTAGCGTGTTGCGTAATCTAAGCGACATCGCCAGCCACTAGCCGTGTTGTTGTTGTTGTCTGTCGTGTATGGACACTGCGGTTCGTGATATTGCTAATATTATTTATTCTGCTCCTCTCGTTCTTTTCTCTGAGGTTGACTAGGTTCAGGGGGAATGTTGACTAGGGGCTCTTCTGGGGGCCAAGTCCGGCGCATTTTCGCAATTTCTGAAATGGTTTGAACTAAACTAACTCATATTGGCTCACCGCCGGAAGAGTCTACTGCGTACCCCTTCCAACCATGGAAGCGATACTAGAGCTGTTGCGAGGACCCTGACTCCTGCCAGTACGGCACGATGGCGGTTCGAGTCAGGTGGGTCAGAATGGAGATAGACGCGCCTATCCGCACTGTTCTTCCAAACGAGCGATTTGATCCCATCCAAGGAAAACCTGACCTTCAAGCAAGGACAGTTCGTCATGCATGCCTGGATGTCAGTCAACCCGTAAAACGTCGATATCGGATGCAAAGCTACATAGGCGCGGATCCTCTAGCACCGAAACGACAGCAAGATCAGGCATTGTCCGGATTCCGCAAGGCGGGAGATGGGCATGCGTTTGACTATGCACGCTTGCAATCATATGTTTCGTCTCTCTTGCTCAACTAATAATAGGCTGCCAAGTCAAGCAAGAATTGAGCTGGCGCAGTCATGTCGAGTCGAAATAAGGCGAGCGAATGAAGCAGGTTGTAGTGAAATTTCCCACAATCGAACCATAGTTGCAATTTCGGATGCCTCTCCTTCGTAGTGATCTAAACATGGGCTTCAGAAACTGTACGAAGTTTTGGCAGCTCTAGGGCCCTTCTCTTTTGTTCTTAGGTTGTCTGTAGATTTCGTACTGCTGCAGAGCTTATGGAGAGTTATTTAGGCGTTTCTGATGAAGCCCACTTGGAACGTTGTCCCAGCTGTTTAAACTTTGATCGAAGAGCGGGAAGGACTCCACAGACCAAAACCACCTCAGATCTTCTTCTTGTCTGGTGTGGTATGCTTGTCTCCATTGCGGGAAGCTGGGTCCATACATCCATCTTGATGGCTGAAGCTTCGCCTTGTGTGTCTGGGTACGAAGGAACGGTCAGATTCTCCCGCTGGATCAAGGTACGGCGGGAGTTTCGACTCCATTCTCTGACTCCATTTCAAAGAGTGTGGGCACTGGTTTCACTCCCCAGCTTCCCCAGAACGTAAAATGGAGTTTTGGGTATGTTTATAGAATATCACCTAGTCCCGGCAATCTCAATATCCACTTGGACAAATGCGTACGAAAACAAACGTTGCAAGGTCCTCAACAGTGCTCAAATTTACAACCTCTCTTGGTTCGTGATGAAATCTGTTGTACTATCCCCTAGCCATCGAGATATAATGCCGCCGGCATGCCTCGAGTTCCCGAGGCTAGAACCCATCCAACTTCCCACCGATGACGACGCAGACGGACCATGACCGCACGACGACGATCGAGTCGCACCTATGAGATGATGATGACTGCCATTGTCTCTCAACACGGGAAGAAAGATTACAGGGAGAGAAATCTCGTAATCCAGCATGGCCGCCGTTCTGCCAGCAGAAGTTAGCATTTGTTAATAGGTCAGCTCAGATTCCGATCACGCGACAAGACGATCCCGATGTGCACAACGAACGAAAATTAGCAGCCGCTCGCATGTTATTGAAATAGATGAACGAAGCGAAGAAGCAAATATGCCAAAGGGAAAGGGGTTAAGACAATAGTTGAGAACATCGGGCACAATATCCCTCGTTGTTATTGTCAACGACGTCCGAAGAGACTGGACTCGAAGATTCCATGCGGCGACTATCCTCGGCCAAAGATTCCACGTACGGTTGGAGTGTTAAACTCGAAAACATCTCACGGGGCGTCAACTGATGGCAGTGGTATCGATGAAGTGTGTTCTACTCGAATTGACTGTCTGAACACTTGTAGAGTCTACTGGTGCACATCTTCAATTTCTAGAGTACTACAGAACGACACTAGGAAGAACGAGCTTGCAACCTATTGCGTGTCCCACAAGCCGGCGGTAACATATCTCTATGCATGATAGACTGGCCCGACCATGCCATAGGAAAAGACTTGCTACGAGATGAACATAATAAGCTTGGCGTGGTAGGATCGTAGCTTGAAGCCGTTGTATGCGCCGCGCCGTTCTCTCAGTCCGTAGAGTGATTGCATATCATTCAATGCAGTGTTCAGCTCTGTATCAACTAGCGTTTGCACTCCTTTCTTACTTGGTCCATATATTCATACGAATTGGTTCAGCTTCAGCAGTGGCAGTATCAAATTGTTTGCTACCAGGCTGAGTGGTGAGAAAAACACGTTATTTCTTCCCGGGTTTCTTGCCACAGCTTCCTGCGTTATACATCTCTGGAATGTGAAGGGGCCAGTTCATGCAATGTCGATCATTGAGATTGTTGAATCTTCCATGGACTTGTGAAGAAACAAAGTCTAAGGAGTGGCGGTAATGACAATTTGTAAACTGTCTAGCATTTGCCACGTAAAACTGAAACATGAGGGGTTTCGAACAAAAGCTATGAAATACCTCTAGAATCTCAAAAATTGTATAGAGTTTGGACACACCGGCAAAAATATTGGTGGATGTGGCCTCTAAATGGCCCTACCAACTTAACTATATCGGGCGGGGAGTTCAAGACTACGGTAATATCGACGCCCATTGTTCAGGTCAGCATCGAGGAAAAAAAAATATTCCTCTGGTTGATGTTTGGAGCAAGCGTGTCGTCAGGCTCACTGAAGTCTAGTATGCAGGGGGGTGGCATACTTTGTTCCTCAGTTACGGCATTCCAATGAAACGTGTAAGAAGTCACGTAATTAATTGACAGACGTTGTTCTAGAAAATTGGTCACGTCAACAAGAACTTGTTGACCATCACTTACATGCTTTATATCGATACTGCACTTCACGAAACGATCTCGTCGCAGCCATGGGTGAGTCAGTCTACGCTTGTAGGTTCATTACTTGGTCAAGCGCCCGGCGTGGTGGTCACCATTTATTTGTTTGGTTCAGCAACGCCTCTTCTGGTTATGATGTACCTGTACAAGCTGGGGGTTTTCTACAACTGATCGGGGAAGACGGCAAAACCATGCTCATCACCTTGCTGCTACCCGAGGGGATGAAAAAGCAATGCCAGATACAGTGGTGGGGAAAGCACTCGCTATTGGAGTTGAGGTTGCGTTTATATATCCCTTCGGATGTACTAGTATTGCGACACGGATCTACAGAGATAGGGCTACCTGAGTCTGACTTATCGTGTACTGAGCTCTAGTTGCAGTTATGGTCATAAGTGCAGCGGAATTTCGTCCAACAGTCCTAGCAGTTTTGCACGTGTGAGCTCATTGGCGAGGTAATTGTGCATGATGATGTCTTCTTTGCTTTTGATTGTTTAGAGGAGCAGAGTAAACCTTTGTTATGCATACACATTCCTTGAAATTACGCTTCCTTGGTACCCCAGCGTTTCGCAAAAAGAAACCTGCTTGGAGTTGTCATTCTGAGCTTCTATCCACTTAGTCTCCGTGTGAAAAGCGTTTCTGAAGATTTGTTTTCGTACCCAGTAGCCTATGAGGAACCTCGAAGAACCAAATGAATGCCTCAAACCTGAACTTGGCGCTTCGGATTCTCAGCCGCGTGACCGCGAAACTAAAAGACCGTCAGGCGTTGCCATCTATCCCATATCCGGGGGGGGAGTGATTCACGAGAGGCGGACGGAACGACCGTGATGCTGCATACACCTGGGGACTGTGCAATATCCCGCGCTCTATCCAAACCTGCTTTCGGTGACGAATCAAGTTATCACCAAATAGCAACAACGTTACTCAGCTCATGTGACTTATTGCTGAGAGACCGGGAACCAAAGCGACTTTCGGACCGTGCAATCCATTGTTGCAACCTGCTCCTAAGCAGCATCAATTCCGCGTCTAGGCAGCAGATGTAACTTGCATGACTGCCAGTTGAATTCCACCATTTCCTCGCACTGCCAAGCTGAATAAGCAGGAGCGACAGATTTATATGGATTGCTTTTGCGATCTGATATTCGTTGAAGCGAACCACTGGGATGCCGGGGATACTCAACGGACTATAAAATTGTGGCACTCGATTGTGGCCAGTGGGGACACGCGCCACACCTCGAAAAATTCCAGCTTGAGCTCCTTGTCAACGCGAGCGGCAAGGCTTCAGCCCGATCTTCTTGGTAATACGACGACAACACTACGCCCTGTCGTAAGAACATCAATTGAGATGGCCACTTCAATCACCCTACGGCCGGTCGTTGGTCGGATTATCCAGCGAACGTCACAGCGCAGTCCTTCGGCATGCCTGGCCTTGGCCACGGGGTCCTCGCCTAGCTCGGCGAGCGCCCCTTTCTCGACCACCGCCTACCTCGAGATGCGCAAACCGAGGCGTGACAACAACCGTCTGCGAGGCCTCTCGGCGATCAAACGCTCTGGCACCAAGGCGCGCATGACAGTTGATGGTATCGAGCTGCCCGAGCCTGCCAAGTACAATCCTGTGGACGACTTCAAGACGGATCCCGAGCATGGACTTTACGATTTCTTCTACGACAAGGAGAAGGCGTTGTTAACACCCGAGGACGAGGCGCAACATGGTCGGTCGTGGAACGTTGAGGAGCTACGGCACAAGAGCTGGGACGACCTGCATACGCTGTGGTGGGCATGTACCAAGGAGAGGAACAGAATTGCAACGGCAAGCAGAGAGAGGACGAGGCTCAAGCTGAAGACTGGTGGAGATGAGAGCCAAGCTAGGATGCAGACCGTAAGTTGTCCATGGCGAGTCACGGAAACAGACCTGGGTGGTCTGTCTATATTTCCATGTCGGTTGCTAACATCGTACTTCGGCCAGGTGTCCAGAACGATGAAGTCCATCAAGCAAGCGCTCACAGAAAGATTCTACGCATGGGAAGACGCAAGACAGCTTGCGGAAGAGGACCCTGAGGTTGACCTTGCTAACGCAGCCAACCCGTACACGCCACGCAACTACTTCGAGGAGGAAGTGACAGGTTCTGAAGCTCTCGGGGCTGTGCAAGAGACAGCCGACCTGTCTGCATTACCAAAGGCACCGGAAGGCGAACCTGTGGCTAGAACATGATAGCAATGCGGTGGGCGCAACATTGAGATGTATTATACAAGGCACTATGATGTATAGAGACCGACAACTGGGAGTGCTGTACTGTACTCGTATCGAGAAGCAAGAGACCTATGAGAACGGAGACCTGCAGCGTGCTGCATGTAAATTTGTGTACAATATATTATATGCTGGGGCGGGACCTGGTTGAATCCTTGGGAAGAACGAAAGCACATGAGCCAGACCAAACATAGGTCTCGTCGTGTGTTTGGCCTGACCTGGTCTAGATTTATTGTGTATGTACTCAGCTACCTGGAGCACATGATGTACACGGATGGACTTCCTAGTGTCTGAGGACTTGTTGCATAATGTGATGATGGCCCAAACGCAAGCAAGACGCGAGAAAATGCAGCGGGACCCCGCCAATTGGTTGACTCAAAACGGGGTTCTGAGTTGCAGCTCCAAGCTCCAGCTTTAAACGGGGTCCAGTCCAGAGGGTGAGAGGGTCGCAGAGGGTCTGGGTCTATCAACAACACCAAAGACATCAATTCCTCTCACCGATACTTTTCCTCTCCACCCCCGAGAAGAAGGGCATCACTTGATCTTTTGCTTCCTTCTTCATACTTTGCCTGAACATACCTCAATACCCCTCCGAGCAGTCGACAACATGGATGAGATTGCCCCCGAATACGATGTCATTGTGCTGGGCACTGGTGAGTTGCTGCCCCGCATTGCACCTCTGAGTGCTCCCCCGTCTGCCGCTTCATGTGCGTGTGCTCGTGCTTGTGCTTGTGCTCGCTTCCCGTAGTGGGGTTGCGAGGCATGCGAATATCACCCAACAAGCTGAGCGACGACACCACCCAAATAGAAACCAAAGGGGCTGACGACCAAGTTCTATAGGCCTGACCGAATGTGTTCTCTCTGGGTATGCGACCAGCCCATATCACAAGACCCGCCCCCCTCCCCTCAACGCACATTTCTCCAGACGAGGTTGGTGAAGCTAACAAGCGTGACCCCCTGAAAGTGTTCTCAGTGTCAAGGGCAAGAAGGTCCTGCACGTTGATCGCAACGACCACTATGGCGGGTAAGTAGTACATCTTGAGCGTACTTGCATTTCAACCCAAGCTGATCTGTTTCTACTTTGCAGAGAGTCGGCTTCAGTCAACATCGAAACGGTATGATATTCGAACTCCTCCCTCGCTCCCCAGATGCCTCAATCCTCCCCCTCCCCCATCGACATTGACGCCCTTTTATATGTTGCTTTCATGTGTGGCACACACCCTCCCATACTAATACGACATGAAAACAGCTTTTCAAGAAGTATGGCAACTACCAAGAAGGCACCGAGCCCTGGAAGGCATACGGCCGTCCCGCAGACTGGAATATTGACTTGGTGCCCAAGCTGCTGATGTCATCTGGAGAGCTGACCAACATTCTGGTCTCTACCGACGTCACGCGTTATCTTGAGTTCAAGCAGGTTGCTGGCAGCTATGTCCAGCAGGGCCAGGGTTCCAAGGCTACCATTGCCAAGGTCCCCTCAGACGCTGGCGAGGCTCTGCGGTCACCACTGATGGGTATCTTCGAGAAGCGCCGCATGAAGAGCTTCATCGAATGGGTGGGCACATACGACGCTCAGGATGCTGGCACACACAAGGGTAAGCATGACATACAGACCGGACTCTGCTCTGCTCTACACTACTCTACTCTACTCTGACATGGACTAACATGCGTTTCTCGCGCGGTTATAGGTCTCAACCTCTCCAGCTGCACAATGAAGGAGGTTTATGACAAGTTTGGCCTCGAGACTGGCACCCGTGACTTTATCGGACATGCCATGGCTCTATACCTCGACGACGACTACCTTACCACCCCCGGCAAGGCCCCCGAGGCCATCGAGCGCATCCGCCTCTATGGCAACTCCGTTGCTCGTTACGGAAAGTCCCCCTACATCTACCCTCTCTACGGCCTCGGCGAGCTGCCCCAAGGTTTTGCCCGTCTGTCAGCTATCTACGGAGGTACATACATGCTGAACACCGCCGTTGATGAGGTCCTCTACGAGGGTGGCAAGGCCATCGGTATCAAGGCTACAATGGGTGGCGTTGAGCCTGAAATGAAGTTCGAGACCAAGGCCAAGTTCATTCTTGGTGACCCCAGTTACTTCCCCGACAAGGTCAAGGTTGTCGGCCATGTCCTGAAGGCTATCTGCATCTTGAAGCATCCCTTGGCCGGTACTGGTGACGCCGACTCCGCTCAGCTTATTATTCCCCAGTCCCAGGTTGGCCGCAAGAACGACATCTACGTTGCTTGTATTTCTTCGGCACACAATGTCTGCCCCAAGGGCTACTACATCGCAATTGTCTCGACCATTGCCGAGACCTCAGCCAACCACCACCTCGAACTTCAGCCTGGGTTGGATCGCCTCGGCAAGATTGAGGAGCAATTCTTGGTAAGTATCTCCTACTGCACCCATGGTTGCACATTGCTGACTAATATCACACAGGGCCCCCCCATTCCGTTGTACGAACCTCTCGAGGACGGATCCAAGGACAACGTCTTCATTTCCAAAAGCTACGATGCCACCTCCCATTTCGAGACCACCACAGATGATGTGCAGCACATCTACAAGCGTGCCACTGGTGAGGAGCTCAAGGTTGAGGGCTTGCGAGACCTCCAAGTCGCTGAGGAATAGAAGTTCTTTCAACGAGTCTACCCATGAGACATGCAATCGTGTCATTGCCGGCCACGGATGGTCCAGCTAGCTGGCGTGGCTCAGGAGAGCAAATCTTCCGGGCCATTTCTTTCTAGGGAACACAGATTACCATAACAACTTGGTCTTGAGGCCTATCGAACATCGTGGACGTGCAAAACCAGTAGTCATAGCAGGGTTAAATATTGACAAAGCGGCTAATCTTTATTACCACATTCTATATAAAACGTATTCGAAGGGACTGTGCTTTGTTAATATGTAATTTGGAGTAACGGGTAGTACTATGGTACTAACATCAGAATGCTGTACTATTGACAATACCTTATGCGGGATCACACGTTTATATTACCTCATCGTAGTCGATACTAAGTTAAAAGCATTAATTACTCAATGACCAAGCCATGAAGAGGGAAGATGGAGCCTGTTTGTTATAGCCACGCTATAGTTTTCCGTTGATTTCATACCGGCCGAACCAATCAATTGTTCAATATGCTAAGGGCATTTGACTGTACTGGAAGGAGTGAGCGACCCGCACAATATCTTACGTACTGAGTACTACTATTATTGTTACATACACTTCAGAATACCTGAAAAACAAATCGGCACCCAAAAAGAGACAATATGGAGGAGCCCAGGTTCGAACTGGGGACCCTCTGCTTGCGAAGCAGATGTCGTAACCACTAGACCACACCCCCTTTGTTGGATATTGTTGTCCCTAGTCAGCTTGAATTTCATTCCCATCAAACCCAAGAGACAGCAAGGCGTCAGTCGGTTATGTTGAGCAGACCAGCAGTGTTCATTCGGGCCAAAAAAAAAAAAAAAGACCCTTCTCCCACCCCTCTTCACCAGTGAGGACAAACGATCTAGGCCGTTTCCATTGTCGTGGCCCTAGGACTTGCAATGGACAAGCATGGAACAATTACCAGGTGATTAACTTTTCCATAGCGACTGGCAATAGCAATAACCACAAATGAAGACGAAGGCTCGGATATTACTGTTCTTATGCTTGGTGATTATACACATTTTTGGTATTTGTTACTTTACGGTGCCATTTTAGATACAGACTGACATTAGATTGCACATGCCCTTGACATAAATCAATTTTCCTTTCTCTTTCAAGTAGGTTGTCCCTCCGGATCCTCTTCATCACTATGTTTCGGAGTTTTAACTGCGTATGGTGTGCTTTGAATAGTGATGATATCATGCTCTGAATCCAATGTCTATTCAATGCCGAGACCTTGGAGGTCTGACCCATTGAGAGGATGCTTCCGTTCGATGCGGTGCACGCCCGATACACCGGATCTTTCTCAATAAGTATAGAGAAGAGGGTAAAGCTTCGTACTGATCAGATTAAAATTCTGGACTCTGCGAAATGTGTTACAAAATGAATAATCAATTTTACTACTGTAAGATTAAGACGAGAAGATCGTCGGTGAATAGGTAGGTCCTTTCAGGGACGGACAGTGTATGTGTAGCTTCTTATTAGCCTTGTCTTTTTTTCTCGTAAATTATTGGTGTTTTTATATGCTGTCGATGTCTATGTCTTGGCCGTTCATACACGCTGGTAAAGTGTCACAATACGCCCCGGTAAGTGGTAAGTGCAAAAGTTGAGGGAGGCTAGAACTAATTCCTAATGAGCTTCCACGGATACAATGTGGAATACTTCATTTTGAACATTGGTGGACTGCCGCAGTTGTTTCTGGTGGGAAGCGAGTAATTATGGTTTCATATGGTTTGGAATGGCGTTTATACCCATGCAGATAGATGTCCTGGTCACACGTTCACGTGAAGTCTGTCCATACGAGATGCCAAGAGTATTTGCATGGATTTATGGTATCCAATTTCTTTTTTATAAATAAATAAATATTTCTTGAGAAATAAAAATAAACACACAATTGGCTCGTCAAGTGAAATATCAACTTCGCAAGGAATGTTGTGTACTGCCTGGCAAAGAAGCCTACCGAGTATGAGTACTGGTGTGTATCAAATAAAGTAGTAGTAGGTATATACATTGTGTGATGCAAATGATCTGCCTTGTGGTGTGGTGCCTATCTGATGTGGATTTCTCAAACCACTCCTATGAAACCTACGTTGCTCTATTGTCATCACAAGTGACCATTCCCGCCCATAAATTACCGATTCCTTGATAAATGTTGGCTCTAATATGACAGCAAAGCCACGATGGCTCATATGAAATTAATGCATATTGTTCTTTATAATGGTCATACTCTATGCAAGTGAAATTGGTGAAGCCACCCCACCCGCTCGAGCCCTCGTTGTTGGCGACAATTTCTCCCATCATATAGGAGGATGTGGATAGAACCATCATATGTGCAAAGGTCGTAGGAGAGACCTAATGTGAGACCGATGCGATTCCTTATATCATAAGAGTCGAAGATAGTCGGTTGCCACTTTCGATTTGAGAACCAATGCCGGTGGCTCCGGTAGGTTTTTGTCCTTCTGGTCAATTCCAAAGTTTGCGCCAGCCTCGTAGCTGAAAGACGATTTCACATCTTGAAGTAATTTGCATACGTCTCTAGCATCGGCAATTGGCTCAGCGAGTTTCAAGAAGCTATGCTTTGTCCTTCGCTCATCGGAATCATGGCCAGTATTTGTCTCAAGGACAAGATAAACCTCCATCACTTTCGGAAAGCTTTGCATCAAGGCATACTTATTGTAAGTTTCCCAAGGGCGCCTGATAGAAGGATTGACATGATCGAGTGCCAGGTTTTTAATATCAGAGGCACCAGTAACCAATTGCGCGAAATCCCTTGCGTTGTCGTCGTATCCCATATGTGTCGGTCGCGGCAGATAAAGAGTATCTTGCTCAGGGTGGAAGTAAATTCTTGCGTCGGCCGAGATCGTACCAAACAAGGGTTTGTATAGTCGCAGAGCCTCGCGTCTAGACTCAGCGCACGTGTACAGAACTGCCGGCTGTGTCGTCTTGGTTATACATTCGTCTACCACGGCATCGTAGTATACCTCAACCACCCGCGGATGACAACAAGTGTGCTGCCAAATGTCCAGCCTGATTTCGGAAGGTAGCAGGGAGAACAGGTGGAAGCATTCCAGGGTAGCCATATCCACCAACTATTAGCGATTACAAGCAGCGAATAAGAGTCAAGATATGTATTGTATAGAGGGTCAATGGTTTGATCAAAAAGCTTGGTTGTGAGGTATGTCGTACGGTCAAGCCTCCAAGAGCCGACGCTACTGAGCGGCATGCAAGTATATAAACGACCTTTGACCCTGTTGATTTTGGTAATGACTTGCGAACTCCAGTAGATTGGGTTGCCCTATTAGACGACGACAGATCAGACCATCTTGGCCGAAGTCCAGAAGGGGAATCCCTGCATAGCCAAGCATTTGATAGCCACCTCGGCCTTTGGGAACAGACATAACCGTGACAGTTATTCTAAGCCGTTTATGACGGGGTCCAGGTCTGGGTGCAGAATTGCCTATGGGCAGGTTTCTCATTTCTGGACACTCAGATGACGCCGGCCCAGCACTTAGGTTGAACTTTGTTTGCGAATTAGCAAACTCTCTTCTCACTCGAGGGCGAATACCGCCGTCGTCATCTGGCAGCGTCCACCGCGTCGCTCGATCTGAAGACATTTCGCCGCAATTGTAGTCTGGACGTTTAGATGCTTTGACCGTATCGTACTTTGCCCACAATAATACCCGCCAGACACGTCCTCAGCTACTGCTAAATTAGGTTAGTCGCAAAGCTTCCCAGATTTGCGATCCGATTGCCGACACCAGGAGGCACCCTGAGATGCTGCGTTCTGCGGCAGGGCTTCCCATTCGAAGAAGAGCAGTCATGGGAGTGAGAAAATCCACAGGCGAAGTCTGAATCGTATGATCTTGGAAAATGCGCAGCAAAACCTTGCGAGTTGGGTATGCCTTGTCTCCCAAAAGGGTGTGTTCAGAAAACGTGCGCCTGGATCCCTGTCATGCCAGCATGTAGACTTCTACCATACTCAGCAAGTATGGTTTACCATGTACCAAGACCCCTGAGGAAAACAAAAATGAAGAGGACCAAAAAGATAAATAATAACAAAAACCATAAAATAAAAAAACACCCCAAAGTCATCCAACGGCACTTGCTGCACACTGCTGCACTGCGCTGCGGGGTTTGCGCTTTACGCTGAGCGGGAGCTATTCCCCTTGAGGCAGCGTTCCTGGACCAGCCAACTTAACCTGGATTTGAGTAAGAGCTCACACGAGCACAAGCGGACAGCCTCAGATTTCATCCGAGATTTTGATGTAAATTGTCAGCCAAGCAGCCAAGCAAACGGGGATCCGGGTTTTCATGCTGTCAGATCGTGATCCAACACCGATGCTTGACCTTTGGCAGCATTTCCCTTGACGCTATTTTGGGAGAAAACAACACAGCCCGGAAATAACCCGGCAAGCCCACTTTCCACTTTCAGATCTTGTGGCATCGCATCGTGCAACAACAAAACGGTCATTAGCTGCAGCAGACTGGCAGACGGGCAGGCTGGCAGCTCAACCCCTACGGATCCCTACTCCGTATCTGCAACCTTCTCCTTCCAGTGTCCAGGGTATTATTGACCCACCCACCTACGCACGGTTCTTCATGTGAAGGGAATTGAGCTACGGTACTGGCAACAATAGAAAGGACTTGCCGAGAAGTGATGTTGCAAAAGATGGCCAGCGTCATAGCCTCACAGTCGTCTGCTGCCCTCACGTTTGACTTGATAGCCCGTTGCTCTGTAAGCTTACCTCTTTATTTTTGCCACAAAAAGTATCGCTGGCCGATCCTAACCCTCACGCAGACAACACGAGCCCGGGCTTCGGTCCTCACCCTGCCCCACGGCCAGGTGCAGCTGCCGATATTCATGCCCGTTGCAACACAAGCCTCACTAAAGGGCTTGACACCGGAGCAACTAGAGGAGACAGGATGTCGGCTTTGCCTGAACAATACCTACCACCTCGGTCTCAAACCAGGACAGGAAGCCCTTGAAGCCATCGGAGGAGCACACAAGCTGCAGGGATGGAACCACAACATCCTCACGGATAGTGGTGGATTTCAGATGGTCAGCCTGTTGGCTCTAGCAACAGTCACGGAAGAAGGCGTGCGGTTTCTCAGCCCGCACGATCGGACACCCATGCTTCTGACTCCGGAACACTCCATCTCGCTTCAGAATACCATTGGCAGCGATATTATGATGCAACTCGATGATGTACTGGTCACCACATCTCCTGACAAGGCTCGTATGCGTGAGGCCATGGAGCGGAGCGTCCGCTGGCTCGATCGCTGTATCAACGCCCACAAGAACCCAGAACGCCAGAACCTCTTCTGCATTATTCAGGGTGGACTTGATCTCGAGATGCGCCGCGAGTGCTGCAAGGAAATGGTCGCTAGGGATACACCGGGTATAGCTATTGGAGGCCTGAGTGGTGGTGAGGCAAAGGATGATTTCTGTCGTGTAGTAGTAACGTGCACAGAGCTCCTGCCAGAGTTGAAGCCGAGATACGTGATGGGTATTGGATACCCTGAAGATCTTGTGGTGAGTGTTGCTCTCGGCGCCGATATGTTTGACTGTGTATGGCCAACAAGGACGGCTCGGTTCGGAAACGCCATCACAAAGCATGGCGTTCTGAATATCAAGAACTCCAAGTACGCCGTAGATTTCGGGCCCATCGAAGAAGGTTGTGGCTGTATCTGCTGTAGAAAGGGAACAGGAGGAATCAATATCACGAGAGCTTTCGCTCACCACAACGCGGCGAAGGAGACTGTCGCGGCACATTTACTCAGCATACACAATGTATGGTATCAGCTGCACCTGATGAGTGATGTTCGGACAGCTATCATCGAGGATAGGTATCCGGCATTTTTGAAGCAATTCTTCGCGGATCTCTATCCAAGTAAGGCACAATATCCTGAATGGGCAGTAAATGCTCTAAAAGGAGTTGGAGTTGATCTACTCATGGATTAGATACAGATATGCTAATACCAAACCGTTCCATAACATTTCACTACAATTGACATGCCCATGAATTTTCCCTACAAAATATCACAGAGTAGGAGACCAGATTTACAACCTTAAGTGGCACAAGTGGCAGTGGTGGTGGCGGTGGCAACACCGAGACTTGTGAGCATGTCAATAGGAATGTCGACATTAGTAGGCCATGGGAATATCTTATATGCTACCAATGCGCTTCATACGCTACAAGAAGTAAGAGAAGAGAGCAATGGCCACGCTTGTCAACCCGACGACTGCCGATCCTTGGCCATGGGAAACAGCTGCGGCATTGGCGCTCGCGCTAGTCGACGCCGGATTCACCGTCACAGTGACAGCAGTCGGGCTTGATGTAATCTGCTCCGAGTGCTGTCCCGTCCCGGCAGTGGTAGAGGTGGTGCTGCTGCTGCTGCTGCTGCGACCGCGGGTCGTCGTGATACTACTACTACTACCGTCTTCGGTCGTAGTCGCAAAATTACCCACTGAGTGGCAGAACGTTGCCAATTCCAACAAGCTTGGGTACAGAGACTTATCGGCGGTCGAGGCCCAATCCGCGCACTCGCTCGCGTACCCGTCAAAGGTCTGAGGCACCCAGGTCGTTGACACGTTTTGGCTATCGGTCATGTAGCAATAGCATAGTGCCCGTGTCTCGACAGGTTCAGTCAGAATGCCACTGTCGAGCGAAGCACACTCCGATACTATCTCAAGTAGAGATGAGCAGCCGGCCGCCTGGGTTGTGATAATGCTGTCACTTGCTGATTGTGTCCGAGTCGCGGCGGCTGTCCCAGTACATATATTCCCAGCGCGATGGCAATAGTTTCCAAGAGCAGAGTAGGCTATATGCTTTGTCAGTTTGCTGCATCGCCAAGAAGCAGATACGCAGTGAAATACCTGAGTACTCGCTCGTGTGGCCGGGGAGATCGGTTTTGATATAGTCCGCACAGCTCTCTACACTGTCATCGAACATATTTGGTGACCATGTTGTGCCGGAGCAGCATAGACATTTGTGCCATTGCGAGCCCGTTGCCTCGTGTGCACCTGCACTTTCAAGTACGCTCGAGCATGATACAACAACATTGCTCGCGGTTGCGCAGGCAGAGAAGCCCGGGTCTGTTGCGGCAGCATTAAGCACGCCGCCCAGCACAGGCGCAGGGGTGATGGTAGGGAGATCTCCAAGCGCGGCGACTTGGCTACCGGCGAGCCATGCACCCAATAGCAGTATCGAGCGACCCATGGGCAAGTGTGCGTAAACGTCCGGATTTTCTTGAGGCGAGCGGCGCAAGTGCTTTGCAGCCAACTGATCACTATGCTAAGCGGCTATGTAATGGGGGAAACAGAGGTCGCGCGCTGGGCTGACGATGTGGGAGCAGCCGCATCTTTTAATTGACCATACTGAATTTTTTTTCTTTTTTCTTCGTGATCTGAGGATCTGCCTGACCTGCAGGCTGGCCACCCCTACTTGAGTCGTGATAGGTTGGAACAAGGGGGCCAACATGTTATCGAGGCTCAGCCGCATCCTCACTGGTTTGCTAAACGCCCAAATCACCCGGACCAACCTTCGACTGTCAACATAACCACAACGCATACGATACTAGGGTTAGACGCACGGGAGGTTTATCGGCGCTGTATATAATCAGAAGAGATCTACCCTATGATGGTCTTCTGCTGTATAGATAAGCTGGATTGCGGTGTTCTTGCACTTGTACCCGAGCTTGTCTCACTTGTCATACCATGGTGCTTGGCTATAAACAAACCAGGGGAGGAAGTATCATGGGGGAGCGGGGGGCAGGGAGGGGAAATTTATAACATGCCAAAGAATAGTAGTTTGCTCGTTCGTTCCCTACAGACATGCAGTCTGTTTACAGTATGGAATAAGGTTGTTCGTAGACAGCAACCTCCAGTCAAATGCCACTCTGGCCGCTGGGAATTGGTGCCTGGCTTGCCTGGTAATCGGTGGACACAAGAGTTCATGCAGCATCCGGAAGGGATAAGCTACGCGGACGAAAGACTCGAACCGAGTTTCTAAACTCGCAACAAGTAATTGATACTAGACTAGCTTCAAACCGACTTGTTTCCTGGCGAAGATTTCAGGTACTTTTTGGTAGATGAGTCGAAGTTCGACCGTGGAAATGCGGCATGGCGAGTCAGTCAATGAATGGCCTAGCATCGCGGCTGAATTGGACATGGCCGATAGGGTCAGAATGCTACTGCGATCGCCCAACGTACGGATCCGTATTGTAACGCATGATGATAACTGCGGGGGAAACAGCAAGGAACCCGTGATCCTTGCCTACTGTACCCCACATTGAGTATTCGTCACCTCACGCATGTTTGGGGATAGATCTTAACCCATATGAGAGCAAGCTTGCACGTCAGCTTCTTTCTTTTCATCTAAATGAGTTCTTCCCGTAAACGATTACTGGATGCCACAAGGTAGTAGTCTCTTCTGAAGATCATCTACTTATGTGAAGCGACAGTAGCTCTACCTGCGCCCGTGCTTCTTCTTCTTCTTCTTCATCGTCATCATCAATCTGCTGGATCGAAGACACAATATAAGAGCCTCCCGTGCAGCTCAACTCCTTCATATAGAAGCGCGATACCTCCAGACCCATCACTAGGTCCCAGATGCAGATTTAACCTAGTTCAAAAGACGCACAACTGAAGCATATTATTCTTGCAACATGACCAGCAAATCAAGCCACGCAGCTACTGCCACGAGCGCCATGTCTAACCTCTCCATCGACTCCTCGAGACCGAAAGCTGAATCTTCCAAAGCAAAGAAGGTCGTAGTCGCCGATTCTTGGGAAGACGAGTCATCCTCAGAAGAAGACGATGACGAGGGCACATCCACGCCGACAAATAAAACCACCACCTCCTCCTCGGCGTCCGGCTTCACAGCACCTCCTCCCACACCCGCTTCACCAACCTATAGTTCGGGTGCACCGTGGCAGTCCATGACAGCGCCGGACTCGCCCGAGGCGACGGAGAAGAAGAGACCCGAGAAAACGGATGCGGTCGCCCGGCGGATGATTGCCAGTGCGCTGGGCGTGAAGGCCCCGAAGCTTACGGAAGAGCAGAGGGCATATGATCGAGCGCTAAGAGAAAAGGAGCGCAAGAAGCGGGAAGAGGAGAAGGACCAGGAGAGGAAGAGGAAAGAGGAGGCCGAGAGAGCCAAGGTCGCCATATGGGAAGACTGAGCGACTCGGGTCAAGCCTTGCTACGATGAGAAAAAAAAACACCCAAAAAAACACCCAAAAAAAAAACCAGCCGACAATGCTACCATGAAAGGCAACGGGAACACGCTTTGACACAATAAAACATGTTTGTTCGGCATCGAGTCTTGCGCAATAATGCATGTTAGATGATGATACATCGACGCTCATCGTCTCGGGATGGGCGATGAGCCACGAGCATAGACGACATGGCTCCAATCCGTTTTATAGGTAGATCATCTACGAACAGGGGGCCGGGGGCATGGTTGCAATTTGGGGTTTCTAGAAAAAATGAGTCAGGGCCAAAGGTGCCACGATCATTGTTAACGTCCCAGCACACAACAACCAATTCACTGATGACTAGCAGGAACACCTCAAGCTGTTTGTGCGGCAACCGCACAGTCCCAAATTATTGACTGTGTTACCAAATAGGCGGTAACGATTTAAGCATTTTCAAAGCACATGTTTTGGTTGGTCACAAATCTTTGGGCAGTAGATTTATGAAGCAATATATTGTTATACGCTTATGTCCTCGATTCTCATGTTCATGTCCGACACTTCATCCTCTTAAAACAATGAGCTATACATACCCTCATGTTGAAAAAGCGATCAGTGTGCCTCTTGAGCCATGGCTTCCTCCTTCAACTTGATGGTCTTTTGGATAGCTGGTCGAGCGGTGATCCTCTCGAACCACGCCCAGTAGTTTTTGAAACCTTTGTAGCGGTCCAACTGGTCCGGGAGGACAAAGTGCATGACCTGCTCCCAAGCGATAAAGACAATATCGGCGTACGAAGCCTTATTACCAACCAGATATTCTTTTCCTTCAAGGATGTTATCCAGCACGCTGACCACGCGGAATGTCTCTTCTTGGTAGCGCTGAATTGCGCTTTCGACCTTCTCAGGGTGGAACATCTTGAACCAGGCGTATTGGCCGTAGTAGGGGCCCTGGCCGGATATCTGGAATGCCAGGTACTGCTTCTCGTGGTACTTTTCGGGGAAAGAGGCTGAGCTGATCTTGTGGTCCTTGTCGTAAGTATCCACTAGATATTCAACGATGGCACCGCTCTCCCAGAGCGTAATCCCCGTGTTTGGGTCCTCGATGGCAGGTACTCGGCCGTTGGGATTAATCTTGGTAAAAGGCTCTTGCTTGATAACGGCCAGGTCGACGAAAACCTAAGAAGTATGTTAGAGACGGAAATATGCAAGGAGAAATTACTTGGTTGACTCACCTGATTGTAAGGAAGCCCGAGTTCTTCAAGGATCATCACGACCTTCCAGGGGTTGGCGGTCCTGACTAAAACATAATTAGTAAGTGTTCAGAAGGGGGAGGGGACTTCATAAACGTGCAGTGCCCGTGGAGGGTAATTGGCTTTAAATCGGACATCGTATGTATGAGGTGGTGTGAGTGTGTGCTTGAATGACTGTACTGCGCTCCAGTTTCAATTATCGAGTCTTAAGCTGGTTCAGATTGTTGGGTGTGGAATTGATAGATGAGAGATTGACTGAGATCTGACCCCTCATATATAGTTGTAGATTAACACCAGCATTCGATTCCTTCCCTTTACAAATGCTTCTTTAGAATTCGTCCGAACGATGACTTTACTTAGTAATCAAAAAAGCATATTCTGTACAACGCGAGACGTCCGGTGGAAGCAATGTCTAGATCGAGCTAATGTTGTATTGTATTTCACGATACCCCTGGAGGCAAGCCAAGGGGGCTACGAGAACACCCAAGACAACTATTTTGCAGTTCGTCGTGGCCAATCACAAGCATTACCGCCGAGACCCACATCAGTTATAGTGATTTCCCGCGCGGCCACTTCGGACAGCTCAAGTCCTCGAGTCGATTGTGGCCCACCAGCTGGAAGCAACTTGTTGTTTGTACGATGTAACGCTCACTAGTGTTCCGTAGTTGGACATAGTAGTTGTGGCCATGTCGAATCGCATCATCTTCACATGTGACCATGGCATGAGAATGACGCAGGCTGTTTTGTTCATGTTATGATTGAGTCTTGATATCTGCAGTTGAACTATCGAACGAGGTAGGCTGCCCTTTCCAAGTAAGGACCAACTCTTGATGTTGACCAGTTTCAGAAAGACGGACGCCCACACCAAGACCTGTAAGCCCATGCATTTCTGCTGTCGCGTTCCAAATCATTTGTTGAACTTGTCCTTCGGATGAACAAGAGATGAAGCCCATAGGCCAGCGACTGCGGCCAAGCGACTCACGCACGCCTTTGGTTGCGGTTTTCTGGGTGACCAGAAGCCCGACCACATTGCCGCCACGCCACCCAGGAGGGGCACCAACGAATGCTCCTTCAAGTTCACGAATGGTTGCGGGACCAATCCTAGCTGTTGAGGCGACAGACGAGGCTTTACATTGTAACAAGACGCGCAGAGGCGTGGGTGTTGAGGGAACAGACCATGTCCCTAGCAAATCGATGCCATGGTCGCCAGAGCCGCCGACGCGTCGCAACTCAAAACCGAATCTCTCAAGCGTATGGGCTACAGTATATTCATAATGAGTGCCCACGTAGGTAGTGGTAGTGGTGTCCAAGCCTGTACGCTCGACATATGACAAGTAGCTCGGGATATCAGAATGCTCCCTCGAGGGAGGGTTGGGGTACCTCAAAGACGAGGTTTCTCCTGAGCTTTGGGATTCTGCGGCAGTGGTTGCAGTGCGAATTTGCCGATGATGGAGGAGCTGTGACGTTGTTCTATGTAATCTGCATGACCCTGCTATATATTTTGGCAGCTGAGTCCATTGTCGTGATGTAGGGCAAAGGCTCATGATTGCCTATATTTAAGCCCAAAATTTTTTTTTTCTTGAACAGAAAATCCCGCGTCGTTTGATATGTGCAATTACACCTGCACATGTGAGCGATAAGTGTTTGAGTAAGTCAATCTGGACCCTGAACTTGACGACACTACCTACATACAGTACCCTACTTGATCCCACGGACGCGCAGGACGTGTCAACTTAAGCAGAAGCTATGGCCACTGACTGCCGCTAATAGCAGGGGCCGCAAAGGCCCCAGGTCCCAGGCCCCCTGCAACATCACCAGCCCCACATCGCAAGCAAGTCGATCAACAACGGATTCCAGTCAAGTCATACTCAGCTCAACCTCACCCCCTTGCGCAACGGTCTCTCACGGCAGGTCGCAAAGATGGGCGACCGGCTCACCCAATTGCAAGACGCGGTGGACCAGGTATAGTCTATTATTCAGGTTGTGGCGCCGGCGTAAAAGCTAATGATCATCAGCTTGCGCAACAGTTCGTTGCTAGCATCCACTACGTCAATCGACACCACAACCTCGAAACGCTGGGCCCATTAGATCAAGTCCGCGAAGTGAACAAGGAGCCGCATGAGATGGAGGGTGTGTCTCGACAATATACCCGTGCTTGTGCTGTCACTCGATCCTGACCTGTCCACAGTCGATCCACATCCAGCCGAAGTCTTCAAAGCATCCCAGGTCGAGCTGGCCCAGGATCTTATCACGAAGGAGCAACAAATCGAATACCTCATATCGATCCTGCCCGGGCTCGACAACAGCGAACAGGACCAAGAGCGAAATATCAAGGAGCTCGAGGAGGAGCTCAAGACCGCCGAGGCTCAACGGCTGGAGGCCATCGGGGAACGGAAGCAAATTATGAGCAAGCTAGACGAGGTGATCAGGAGTATACGACGACCTTGAGCACGAAACGACATGGTTGGAAAAGACATGATACCCGGAGGCAGGCGCATTGGAAGGTATGGCTGATTTTCTCGAGAATTTTACTTTGTTTGGGTAGTCGCAGCTCCGCCGTCCCATGACCCATCTACTCGTACGTCTGTATGGGAAGCCAGTGTTTGATACTTTGCGACATGTCGCCATACGCCTTGAACCCCCTTCCCCCCTTTCTGACCATGCCTAGGCGGTGACTGTTTTGCTGTATTCTCGGACAGCTAATTCAGCTCGTGGGTTTAAAGAACTGCGGGAAGACGTTGCGTAGTTCCTCCAAGTGCCGGACTTGATATTGTGAAGCAGGTGTTCGTGGAACCTTCAGCCCTTCCTCCACTAGGTGTGCGGCTGTCCAGCCGATTTCCTTGGCACCTATGCAGTTACCGTAATTATCATCTGGTCCTGTTAGTAAAATATCAAAGGGCAGACTGAGAAACAGATCACACACCGACAAAGTAGCAGTCCTCGGACCGGCCCACTCCTGCTTCTCTCATCGCCTTGGCGAACATATCTTTGTGTGGCTTGCATATGATCGGAATGGACGAGTAATCGCAGTATGTCAAACCCTCGAAAAGATCTTCAATCTCTAGGAGTTTCACCACCCGCTTGGCATGGTTGACGTAGGCATTTGTCAACAGCCAAAGTCTAACCTTGCTCGTGTCGATATCCTCCAGCATTTTCCGCAATTGGGGGTTAGGCTTGATGATACCCTCCAATGGCAGGGCATCGTCAACCTTGGCATTGTATTCTAGCGGGTCGATCTGGTGATGCCGTACTAAACCCTCGATTGCCAGGCCATAACTTTGATAGTATTCCTTGTGCAGGCGGATTGCTTCCTCCTCTGTCACGCCCAGATGCTTTGCGAAATACTGGTCTATCAGATCCGCCATGAGATCATGGACTTTTGCACCTGATTCAAAAGTCAGACGCTTGCAATTTATACCGGAGAAATAGAAAAGGGGGGGGGGGGGGGGGGGGGGGACAAAATGTGACAACTAACTCTTTGGGTAAAGACAATTGTCTATATCGCTGTACCAGTCCCATAAGTTACGGTTGTTTGTTCTTGGAATTGATAAATACCCACAAGAATAGTACCGGCAGATTCTGGCGAGCGCCGTCGGACTCTACTGTTTGAGACCCCATCTCTGCGATTAATGGCTACAGCAAAAATGTTGCACGATTGTGCTTGAGCGCGGGCGTTTGGGAAGGATAGTTCCTTTATGTAGGAGACTTGGTTGTGGTAACGAGGAGTCCGTTCAGAAAACTTGCGGGAGCAGAATACATGTGCGTGGGGTATCGGCCTGTCTATGACTCTTGTCCAAGTAATTCATCCTTGCATGCACATGTTTCTTCACGCAACTCAATGACGATAGATATACTTGTAGTCTTTATAGATCATGTATAGTATTCATCGACATAGCCTGACTAAAGATCTGAGGTTGTATTTGTCAATACTTGCATGGAAACCTGGGGGTGTTTGAGTCACCCGGAGTGAAAGTCCTGAACTTGTAGCGTTAATTTGTTAATTTCATGGCCGAACACGCAACAGCAGCTCCAGCCGCTGCAGCCAAGGGTCCCTACGAGGTGCAGTATGGCCTGGACTAGCACCTGATCCGATGGTTTTTTATTAGGCGCCTTGCATCAAGGTTGTGCTACTTTTTGAGTAACCTTGGTCTACTTTAACCTTAAGGCGCCTGAGGTGATGTCGGCGCTGAAGAATGAATTGATTGAGAACTGGAAGGCAAAGTTACTATGGGGCCTGTTATGGGTCCCGTCAGTGCACCCCTTGCCTTAAAAATGTTGGCCGGCGATGCGACACGTCTGCTCCCTCCCTTTCTACCAACACCAAATTTTGTGGGAAACACGAGAGTTTCTACCAACTGCGGGTGACACTGCACTGCATCGCAGCCTTGAAATCCACTGCCGACTCCCTTGTAATCATATAGATTGTCGCTTAATCATTCTATAGGCATTGTGTTCTCTGTATGGTTCTTTGCTAATATCTGCTACTATGGCTCAAGCTCGCACGGCGACCATGTCGATACCTTCTGCGACACTGTCCCTCAACGCCGCGGTCACTGCGGACGATGTTCTTGAGATGCAAGAATACGATAGGATAGTGCGGTTTCGCGATTCTATCCTTTCTGGTAATCACCCTAGTATCAAAATCCCAGTGCCGGCTGGAGGGAAAGGCGCAAGTAATCAACAGGCCAAAGTGCAAAGTTCTGCCAGTACAACTGCAACCTCACAGAAAAGCCAGGGTGGATTTGCATCAAGCAATCTGCACTCATTCAAGGCAAACGCTCAACAGCCGGCTGTTGAAGTCTCTAATCCCACTTCTTCGAATGTTGGGTCTTCAAAATCGTTGGCTTCCATCGCAACACATTTCGATCCGCTGCTTCTAACCAAGTCAGAAGAGCTCATCAAGGCTGAGCTACATTTGCGACGCCAGAGGCTCGAAAGAGCGCTGAGGGAAGAGATCGACACGCAACGCGCTGCCAATAAAAACCTCGAGCAGGCCTCGGATTTTGATCTGTCTGATATTCTCGCCAAGGCACTCACGCTTGTGCAGGCAACTGCTCCTCCACTAATGTACGACATGGGTGCTAACGCTTCTGTATCAAGTGACTCGTTTGACGACAACACTTTTTACTCTAGTCAGCATGATACTCCCGAGCCGTCACCAGAGCCCCAAGCTCACAACGCTGCAGACGACGTCCCCATGCCAGATGTCGCGACTGTACAGTCTCGAGCGAGCCGTCCAGACCCTACAGCTCGCCCAGCGCCCGATCAGACCTTAGTCCCCTCACCGTTTTTATCTAGAGCTCAAGATCCTCAAGCACTATCAGCTTCTCGAAAGACAGGTAACGCTACTTCTGCTTCTACAGCCAGTGGCGCAGCTCTAGAGGCGGCCCTTGCTCATGATTTGAGATATTCTCCAAGTTACGATGTCGACACTCCAACTCAGCTGCTGCAGTCTGGCGCAGATGAAAGTCACGCGCAGGTCATTAGTTCTAATGGAAGCGGCACGACGAGCAGATCAGGAGATCCGGGTAATGCGGTCCTTGAGCGCCGTGCCGATTACAACGATCTTCAAGCTGGTCGCCCACGTTTGCCGATCCACCAATTTGGTCATGTCGAGCCTCTCGTTCGAGCTCATGACCTCTCTCCTTATGCGCCGCAGCCATCACACGTATCACAGCTCGTCATCGCCCGCCAACAACCCGTCCCCGAACCTGAGATTAGCATTTTGCAAGGCCCGCCCGCCCAGGTCGCAGCTTTGAGGCAAGAACAAGGAAACGGAACCAGCCCGGAAAGCTCCCCGCAAGGCGGCAAGGGTATTAAGAAGAACAACAAGAAGAGAAAGACCGCCAAGAGAAAGACGGTCGGAGCAAGAGCTGCAGAACGTCCGGGGTCGCCATACATCAAGCCTGAACCTAGATCTCCATCCCCACTTACTTCACCTCAATTCGTACGACCCCAAAAGCGCCAGCGACCTTTGAACCGGTCCCAGCATGAGTTGAATTATGACGACTCGCGTAGTGCTCAACCTGTGCAGGTAATTCATGATGACCCGCTGCCCATATCTCAGAGGGATCGAGTACCATTTGATCCATACCCTCGCGATGTGCGTTATTCGGTTGCTCCTAGTGGTCAGAGGATAGAACGTCCACTCTATGAGGAACGAAGAGTTGAGGAACCCATTCAGTATGTCCGTCGCGCACAGTCTCCGGTCTATGCTCCCCAGTATGCCGCCAGTGAGGCCCGGCAAATGCGTTCAGCTACATATTCCATTGCAGAACCTATTTATCGTGAGGCTCCTACCTATCCACGCGAAGGACGCATGAGTGTGCGACCCATCGCTGACCGCGCCCGGTCACGTTCACCTGTCATGGTTGACAACCGTCCAGCCGTCATGGCACCCCCCCGACCTCCTACTCGTATCTTTCGGGATGAGTTTGGACGTGAGTATATGGAACCTCTACCACTCCCACCTCCCGTGCCTCGCTATTCCGTCGCGCCTCCTGCAAGACCTGCCGAGCCAGAGGTCATATACGAGCAAGCACCAGTTCGTGCCGCAACACGAATGCCGGGCCCCGACACCTTTGAACGCGACGGAGTGCTTTACAGACGTGCCTCTCCTGTGGTAGCGCCTCGACGGGTCATTACTCAACCAGAATACGGTGCTGCCGAATATCGCGATTATAGACAGCGAGACTACTCTCTACGACCCGGCGCGACACCAACCACGCAAGAATTCGCCCAATACCGACCAGAGAGTCGACCTCCTCAGCCAGAAGTCCTACCAGGATACGGTATGCGCGCTTCCACAGTTCGTCCTGCTGAACAGCTACGCTATGAGTACCCTGCACGAGTAGCAAGCGTGCGCCCCGATGTTGCCATTCGAGATTATGCCGCTGGCATCCATCCCGAGCCGAGACGTGAGGCCGCCATTCCTGTCTACCGCGAGTATAGTGTTAGACCAGCAGCGGAGCCAGAGCTTCCTCGCCGTGAGTACAGTGTTCGGCCTGCGGAGCGGTACTACGACAACCGCCCAATCATCCGAGAGGATGAAGTTCAATTCATCGATCAACCTCGTACTGTTCAAAGAGAGGTTATATATGAGGATGGCCGCAGAGAGGTTTACCGATAAAGGAGGTGAAGATAGAGCGATACGTGGTTCATGCAGACGTGTGTTACGCTGCGTGTATGACTGGGCACTGGAAGGATGGGCATTAAAAGGAATGGGACTGTGAGAAAAAGAAGACCAGCGATAAACGCTATTGTTTGATGTACGGAAAACGGCAATGTATGGCTGTGTAGGTCAAAATGGTTACTCAAAGAGTCGAGTCACCGCATCCAAGACCTTAGTATAAAGCAACAACAGAGTACACTCTTATTTATTTCTTGTGTTATGGTTGGGATGTGAGTGACTATTCATGTACACAAAGGTGAGCAAGCAAAAGTGACTAGCCCGACACTTGTTGTTGTTGCTCCTGTGTCCAATGTTGAGACGGCTCAGGTAGCGTAACGTGCGGTTGGTAAGTACACAAACTTGGAATACGACTTGTCCTGAAATCGCGATCCAGCTGAGAAGAATAATGACAGTGTATCACAACATGATAGAAGACATTTCAATTGCATCATGAAATGCGAAGATCACCTCGATCTCACCAATCTCATCAACGTGTAATAACGGATGTCACAAATGTGCCATAGATGCGGACTGGAGCGAGGCTTGTAACTTTGTACGGAGCCGAGCTCGGTTGAAGGTTGAAAGATGTACCAAAGCCACAGGTCTTGTCTCGTTGCTCAGTATACGTAACGTATTTCACACGATAGAGGCAAATCAGCTGTTGCTAGTCACCTCGGAGTTATTTTACTACTAATTCACCAGCTTTAATACGCCGCGTCACCTTGTTTATGATGTGATCGAAAAGACAGACGGCTATAATGTGAGCAGCGCAGTGCCGTTCGCTTGCCTGTAACTTAATTGTAACAAGACTGATCGGCAGTGGCTGGGGGGTCATTGCCAAGCTTTCGATCGGCGCCTCGCGTTCCTTCGGCGTTCGGGGGGTTCGCCAGCCCTATGGCAGCTTGCTTGCACGCGAAATGTCGTAACAATGCGAGAGCTGGCAGCTATGAACAGGCCAGCAATTCACAAGCCTAGGGTGTAAAACCCGGCGACCCGTTTAGACTGTCCAGAACAAGACTACTAATTCAGTTGGAGAGGGGTAGCAAGATTGGCAGACTTTTTTGCTTGCCTTGTCTGTCAATATCCATCTCAGGATGTCTATTTAGTCTGAGGTATTGCTCAAAGGAGTGCTGACTTGCATATGACCTAACTAGAGCAAACATACGTAGCCGTACGGTGATCATTCTAGAAATCACGTTTGGCTGATGGCTGTTAAATAACTGTCGTAGCATTGATATTCGATTGTGGGTTGTATGATGTAGCCACCACCTCGGCCTACAATATAACCCCAAAGTGGTCGAGAAGATCAGGAGTGGGTAAGAACGATTGGCAAGGCCGGATCTCGAGAGTGTTGGGGCGCAGCACTTTTTGTATTTGATAAGATTTGCGGAGTGCTCGGGCACTAGTTCTCTAGCGAAGAAACATCCAGGTTGCGTCTGAACTTTTTGAGACTTGATACGTGTCGCTGATTGCCAAAAGCTTCAGCCTAGATGAGCGTGTTTGTTACGGCAAGAAACTTTGTCGCTTAGACCTCGGGGCCAGTTGTGTAAGGTTGAAACCGTCATACTCGGTAAAGATCTCGTCTGCACGTCGTCGTAAATCATGCCATTGGAGTCTCTCCTATACCCGATAGAGTCAAGGTTAAAAGCTCCATAGCAGAAACCTTGTAGGAGACATGAAGATATGTAAGCACGGAAACAGGAACTTGTTGCTGTAATTGGCCATGGTCCAATGCATCTCACGACAAGCCGTGGCTATGCCGGAGCTTGTAAATTGGATGCCAGTTCTCAAAACCAACTGATAACAGCAAGACGAATGATGCTGCATCCCTGTACCCAGGTAGATATACGGGTGCTTCACTGGAGACTCGCGTGACAGTAAATGTTTTTTTTCCAATTTTCCCCCCCCAAAAATTCATAGTAGGTTTTTTTTTTTTCTATTTTTTTTTTTTTTTTTTTTTTTAACTTTGGGTTCATGTTGCATATTTGAACTCCAGGCGGAAGAAGGAGGAGAAGAAGAAGAAGCTCAGGGTTCGAAATGTTGATCTAGACTATTGGACGCTGGGACACAGAATCACTTGAATACTAGGGTAAACTGAATAGATAAGCTTGCGGTCCGGGTCGAGAAAGCAAGACGCTCAGCCGGGGAATTGACGGGTATTCTTCTTTCTTTCTTTCGGGTTCAATGTTTTGTTTTTGTGTTTGGCAAACAGTTTGCGGTTGTTCTTCTCATGGATGAGGTCAGCGGGAGAGCTTTGCATTTTAGTGTGGCTGACAATTGTCGGCCAGCGAACGGGGCTTGAGCCGTGACGCGGTTGGGAACTTGTTATCCCCCGGAGTGGTCAACGGGTGCGACTTGGGGTCGCAGGTCAGCATGTGCCGGCGCCCGAGCCCGAGCCCGAGCATGTCAAGATTTTGAGAGGAACAATAAGGCATCAGACCATTTCTCTCACCAAGTGAGAAGGTGGCATGGATGAGTAGGCAATCAATCAATAAGGTGTAAATAAAGCCATTTGGGCTGAACACTTTTTGCAGGATGCTGCCGCCTCTACTGACCAAGATGAAGGAGGGTGACCGTCTTGGTTGGGCTTAGTTGCATGTAGGGGCCGCCGAAAGTGGAGTCCTCGAGAACCAGCAACAAGCAGCAAGCTTGATTTTAGTTTTAGTGCTACTTAGCGTATTGGAAAGGTCTCACTGCGTACTCCTCTTACATACAGGCCAGAAGGCGTGAAGGCGTGAAGGCGTAGAGGCGTAGAGGCGTAATAAAGGCGTACTCGGCTCACTGAGTGCAACATTAAACTTGGCTGAACCGCTCCGCTAAAACAGTGGGTTGGTAGTGGGCAGTGATCAGGGTGGGCCGCGACTGGCATCAGTGTCCTCCAGGGCTGCGCTGTCATTGGCAATCCTTCAAGGTGCTGCTGAGTGGGAACCTGCAGTGGGAGCACCATGGAGCACCTACCAAGAGCAGGAGCAAGCAAGAGCAGGAGCAGGAAGACCAAGACCAAGACCCAAGACCAAAGCAAAAGACCCTACGGGTCGGTTACCCACTCAGTGACCACTGACCAGTCTGGAGCCGGAGTTTTGAGTCTGAGTCTGGACGTCCCACGTACCAGACCACCTGCAGCTGGGGACCGGCACTCGACAACGTCCACTCACTCGTCAGATCTCATTCATTCCTGTCCTCGTCCAACTCATCCAACCCTCTCACCTCCTCACCACATCTCAACACCTCATCTCCCCCTCCCTCCTCCATCCCATTTTAGAGGTGGTTCATCTGCAGAAGCGAAGAGAACTTCGAGATACCTTCGTTTTCTCGTTCCCTTCATTTCTTTTTCCCTTTTTTACACCCTTCTCTTTCGCTTTCTTTCTCCCCTCTCCCCCACACCACGCCATCTGGAACCCTACGTGATTGATTGATTGATTGATTGATTGATTGATTGATTGATACCCACCGACCAACCCCCCCCCCCCCCGGAAGTCATTGGTAACAGTAGCACTCGACACCATGCAAAAACTTGCCAACATGCGTCACTGGCCTGAGAGGATGAGTCCCAACTTTGGCATGTCACCAAGACAGAATATGGGCGCCGCAGCTCTAAATCCCCACCAGAAGGCGGCAGCTTCGGGCGCTTCACCGTTGAGTCCCTCGCCTGCCGCGGATACCACGATACACTACTCCTTCAACGTACCTTTTGCATCCGATCTGGCTGGCCCGAATACGGAAGAGATCCTGCATGCCACCGGCGACTCGGTCATGCGATGGACGCATCCAGGAGACGCCCCGGACGACGTGCCCGTTTACGACCTGCCCGTCCACGCCCAGAACGTCGCCAACCTGCGGAATATGTGTGCAGATCTGACAAAGGGCCCCTTGCCGATCGAGGCTTATGTCGTGTCAACAACCCCGAGTCGTGCCAAAGCACGGCAGATCACAACTGTCTGCCTGACTGGTCCTCCGGAGCTCGTACACAAAAGTCGAGAGACTATTTTGAATGATACCCCATTAGCTCTGGTATGCATGCTCAGATCCTTATGACACTGCGTCAAAGTCGAGGGATTGAATTGAAGCTAAACTGCTTTTTTAGCGTTGTACCACCGTTGACGTCGAATACGGTCTTGTCGTTGATGCCAAAGCTGGCGTTCTCACCAAGAGAGTCACCGATGCTCTTGACGCCTTTGCTAATTATTGCGGAGTTGATATATTCATACTTGGGCCCAAGCTCACGCCCATGGTCGATGGCTTGAATGGCGACGTTGAAGTCATTCGGGACCAGCGATGGCGCGTAGCTGTCTATGGCGACATTGAGTCTTCGGAGCACGCTAAGACTCAGGTCTTGATCTTCATCGACAAGTTGGTACGTTTCTCAGCAAGCCGTGAGCGCAGGAGAGGGGAATTAACTCGGACCTACAGCTTGGACGAACCGTTGACGTCATGCGTATCGAGAGCAGCTTGCATCCAATCATCTGCGGGCGATCAAGGAAGAACATCAAGCTCATCGAATCGGCCACCAACACCGCTATTTATTTCCCGCCGTTTGCCCAGCCCTACCGTTATTGCCCGCCTAACGCGCAACGACGGAACCCCGAGGAGATATACATCACTGGCGAGAACCCCCAAGGTATTGAATTGGCGAAGCGAAAGATTCATGACCTCGTTACTCGGACAAACTTGTTCATGAAGGATTCCATCGCTCCTCCTTCCAAGATTGACATGGTTCTCCTTGGACGCATGGAGAAGGTGCGCAAGATTATGGAAAACAATGGCACTTACGTTATGTTCCCTCCTTTGGCATCTCAGCGCAACACGATTCGGGTTCAAGGCGTTGAAGGTCTGCAGATCGAGCGGACCATGAAGGAAATCATGCATCTGGTCAGTTCTCCCTCCCAAAACCAAAGAAGGGAAAGGCTCGACTAACAAGCGTATTAGGCCGGCCAATACTACTTCGCTACTTGGTGGATTCAGCAGCCTAGTGCCTCGCAGCTACCCAGCCCGCATGATATCCGCACTATGCTGGGTGATATCTGTGCCAATTCAGATGCTGACATTTCTTTCGACAAGGCGACTTTCACCGTCACAGGCTCCGACGATGCCGTCAAGGATGCTTTGCGAGTGTTAGCACAAATCAAGTTTGTGACCCAGACGCAGCATCAAATTAGGGTCAAGATTGAGCTAGCCAATGAACACAAGGAGTTTGTGTCTGGAAAGAAGAACGGCAAAATCAACAAGATCATGACTCAGAGCAATGTTCAAATCATCTTTGACAGCTTCAGGGAATATAATTTTGACATTGATGTCATTGCCCCCAGCTACGAGGCAATGAAGCAGGGTTTGGGCCTTGTTGAACAAGAGATGCCTGCCTCGATTTCTTTCCACGTTCCCGACCAGTACCATAAGCGCATTATCGGCATTGGCGGTCAGCACATCCAGCGCATCATGAAGAAGCATTCCGTCTTCGTCAAATTTTCCAACGCCATGGATCGTGGTGGTATGGGCCGCGAGGACGATGATGTCAAAGTCGACAACGTGATCTGCCGTACTCCTGCGCGCAACGCCCAGAATTTAGAACTAGTCAAGTCTGAGATTCTGGACATGGTTGACCGCGCTGTAAGTCATGAGTCAAAAACTCATAATAGAATCCTGTACTAACTCTTCGTTCTAGCATTCCGAGTTCACTTCTCAGGTCGTCAATGTGGACCGCCTGTACCACCGCCAGTTAATCGGTCGCCTTCCGGAGATCGAGGAGCTTGAAAAGAAGTGGAACTGCAAGATTGTCTTCCCAAGCACCGAGCAGGCGAGTGACGAGGTTACTGTCACCGGTCCAGAGTGGCAGGTTCCTCTTTGCGCCGATGAATTCTTGGGTATGGTGCCTGAGACACACGAACTTGTCCTCGCGCGAACTCCTGCCCTAGTCAAGTTCCTCGAATCTCCAGAATTCGTCAACGAGCTTGTCACCAGATTGAAAACTCAACACGAGGTCACAGTGGAAGTCCACGAGAATCCGGAGGAAAAGACGGAGGATGGCGGTCGTACAGTAACTCTTTTGTGGAAACTGACCCGCAACAACACTGGTGGTCTTCGCGACGCCATCGACTTTTTGCAAGCTCAATTTGCTGCAGCTAGCATCGAGCCTGCTGTTGTCAAGGGCGCCATTCCCCGGCCCAAGTCGGACTCTTTTGAAGACTCTCTTCAATATTTCGATTCCAAGCTGCTTCAGCATGCCCCTGCTTCTGTTGGTACCGATTCACCAACAAAGCCGGGCTTCGGCGAGGAAGTACAATCCCGCAGCAGTACCTTGCTCGACAAGCTCAGAAAGCCTGCTCAGCTCCTGTCATCGCTTGACCGCAGAAAGAACAGCTCTCACTCGGTCAATACCTTATTCAAGGGATCAGCCAATGTTTCAAAGTCATCTTTGATCTCAATTGAATCCACTCGCAGCTTCAATGCTGACAGAAACCCCTGGAACGATAGCGGCGTCAATCTGACTGACGACGACAACATTTGGGGAAGTGGCCATTTTAGCAGTGGCTTCACCAGCAAATTGACGCCTCCCAGCATTTTACACGGTGGCGGTGATGTCACCCCCCGACATGGTCCACGTGGCTCGGGCGACAGTGGCCGGCCTTCCACTTCTCATTCAACAAATTCTGGATACCCCGGTCCTATTGGTGGACCTTTCCGTTAGATTCTCATCATTTAGATGCTCTACGTGCAATACCCTCCGGCTGGATATACCCTGGCGTCGAAATACCCGGTCAACGATTCTGCATTGGTCGGTCTGTTGTTGATTTGCAGTTTTCGCATTTGATATTTTCTCTCACTCTTCGTTTTTGCGGGGCAGCCGGTTTTTTGCTGCACACAGATTGACTTACGCTATATCTATGAACCAACCTATGATACCACGAGCTGCTTAGGAGGTGGCGGCGCTGCAACAAGACCGAGTGGGCGGAAGCACTCGGATGATACCACAAAAAGCAAAAGTCATGATACGGCAAAAAGATACCACGAAGCTGCAGTTCTATTGCGTTATACACAGGCGTTGTTTATAGGATCTTGATGTTTTTTATTTTCCATCTTTGGCCATGTTTTTTTGTTGGTTTCTTTAGTGTTTACTTCAAGACTCTCTGGGCATCAGATACACAGCTCAAAAGCTATCAAAAGTTATGAAGAGGAGGACACATTGAGAGCTTGCACAGGGCGGCTTCAGGCCAACGTTCGTTACTCGAACATGGCCGGGCCCTGGTGGTGACATGGGATGCCGTACAGAGACTGGGCGAGGTGGTGGATGACGATCATAAGGTTTCGACCGATGGTCTAATTTGCCTGGGAGGACTATGTACGATATTTGAAGTTGATAGCGAAGATACCCCTGGTCTAAACGTATTTCCCACACTGACCCTTAGTAGACTACATGAAATTGTAAATCCTTCTCTGCACGATTGCTTTAACAAGTTGGACAACGATCTACGGCGTAACACAAAAGGTAGGTACGCTCGAGATGTCACGTAGTACAAACTGAAATTCTGCAGACCTTGTGAGGCTTAACCTTAATTTTCATTTCAACTGCCAGTACTGGTGTCTCGGAACGTTACAATAAGACAACGGCACTTGGGTTGGAGCCGATCTTGTGCATGGTGCAATGCATCTAATCTGGGGCAGATATACACCGAGTTCGATCCCGCTTTTTGATGAACCACTCATCGGGGAGATTACTTTATTGTAAATACGGAAAATGAAATTCACATGCCGCACGAGAGAGCCGGGGTCATCTCACACTTGGCTTTCCCTATAGCTATTCGATACTTGGGCGTATATTCGCATGTGCCGAGATCTCCCCACCCCAACACCTTCTAGCCAAGCACACGGGGCGCCCTGGTTACTGCAATCGTTGTAGATCCCTCTCTGCTGCTCACGAGGGCTGTCTATTTTGACTTTCTTCGTTATCATCTCTTCCTGCCGTCTGCGTGATTAATTGATCGGTGCCTTCCCAATTTCCGTGTTGGGCGTTTGGATCACACTTGTGAACGAGAACGGGTCATCGACTGGCATTAACGATTGGCCACCTAGACCAGCAGAATGACTTACACCATATTATTCCACCTTATCCCAACCCACAACCCTGAAGGCCAGTTTCTACCTCATGTTTGTTCACATTTCACGTCTTCTTGAATCCTGAGATGTTCAATCTCATCGCTCCAGGCTATCTATCGGGATGCTCTATCAACCACGTCTCACCATTTTGTACGGGCTCAAACAGATTGACTTGCCCACTTGTACGAACCTGGCCTGCTGCCTACTCAAGTACTCGTCGACTATCCTCACTACCCGTCATTCGTCGGCCCCAGACAACAACAGAGCATTCGTCTGGGCATCGTCTTGGCTCTTACATACCCCACATTATCTGCGGCACTCCACACTCCCGTCGATCAAGGACCGGTAGGCGGGCTCGCTTAGACGAACTTGGTCACCGGGTCTCATCCAGGAACCATCCCCGCAATCTTCAGCAGCTTAGACGCTGGTCTTACCGTCTGCCAGAATACTTCATCCTTTTGGACAACATTAGCCCTCCTTGGTCTCCTATCACCTACACTTTTGTGAACACTCTACACAATGCCCGCAGATGACAGATCCATCCACGAGGAAGAGTCCGTCTCACTAGGTACAGAGGATGCTGTTGACGACACGGAGGATCTTGATGACGAATATGTTGAGATTCAGAAGACCATCTCCAACTCCCGTCGCCAAAAGGGCAAGGATGTCGACATAAAAGTCCAGGACATTCTGCCATTTCCCTTTCTACCGAACATTCGACCATTAACTGTCTCGGATATCGACAGCTGCGTTGCATTAGAAAATGCTGCATTCGCCGATCCGCATCATCGATGCTCGCGTGAGAAGGTAAGTTGTGGCTTTTGTTTTTGTTTTAATTTATGATTGCAATGACCGCCGACGTAACCTTTCCGGTTCGTTATGGTCTCACTTCGAATCAATCCCATGCACAGTTCCATCAACCTGCCGTTGTGTTTTGACTATACAATTAACCAGAATTTTGATCCACATCCCGCGAATCGATGCATTAATTTTGAGCATATCATACCAATTCCCAAGCCATTCACCGCTCACTTCTGTCTTCATTGTTTGTCTTTCTGACTAAAGGCAGTTTGAATACCGATTGTCCAGCTGTCCTGAGCTTTGTATGGGTATTTTCTGCACAGTCTCGCCCGGGAGCGCCAAGGGTTGGGAAATCGAGACATGCCGCACAGCGAAACCGGTCGAAACTGGTCGAGATGATGGTTCGGTCAGTGTGCTATTTGCCCACATCGTTGGAACCAGATGCTGTGGTGAGGTCGTTACGGATAGTGACATGGGCTACCCCAGCGACTTCCGCACCGCCAAGACAGGCAGTTCGAATATCGGCCACCTGGAAGATGGTCGAACTGTTGCCATCCACTCGTTGGCCGTTCATCCTAAGCTTCAGGGTTGCGGACTAGGCAAACTTATCATGAAGGCATACATGCAGCAGATCAACAACTCCGGCACAGCAGATCGTATTGCATTGATTGCACAGAGCGTAAGTCATCCGGTCAAATATTCCGAAGCAAAGCAAAGCTGATAAAGAATATATTAGTATCTTGTGAACTACTATATACGTTTTGGTTTCGTTCACAGGGGTGAGAGCTCGGCTACATTTGGAGGAGGAGGATGGCATGATTTAGTAGGTTTGTGTATCATCCTCATATCGATACCTCGTTGACATGTCGTAGAATATCACATTGGCAGGCCCAGCGGGTCCGCCCAAGAAGTAGTGATATCTTAAGGCACCCAGCTAGGTGTTGATTGCGACTCCCCGAGGCTTACCAACCTAAGGCACAAACAGTCGCGATGTCTCGTCCAGGTATTTCAAACCCATTACATTCCTGGTCCCCTTCTGTGCATGTTTTTCGTGTATGAAGAGGGATGCACATGGACCAGATAACTCCAAGGATCATCGGGAGTATGCATGCCCCTTTAGACATTCCGGCACCGTCGGCTCACCAACATGACTGCATGATTGCCTATAGCCGCCGGGCATGATTGCTGGTTTGTGAGGGTCTCGTTTTACATCTTTGTTGTTCTCTTTCCACGGCATGACGTCTCTTAATAAATAACAAAAAGGAGATGAACAGAAAAGAAAGGGAAAATAATCCTTATTGTTTTATTGAGCGGAGATACCCAGGATTAGGGGCAGGTCCTTTCTCAATTTGGTCGGTTTCAGCCCGTCCCATGTTATTAGCATCATCAGAGCAGAGATGGTCATATTTCTTCTCGCGGAAAAACGAAAAGGGGCTACGGCGTTGTTATTAGACAGTCACTGGTGATAGATGAGGGCAGCGAGGGCAATCCCCGTTATTACACTGATAGACTACTCCGCAAATATAGCATCGCGGTATACTTCGGTTGTCAAATGGTCGGCTGTACCGTATCAGTCCCCGCACGCACAGCATGTGCGAGCTCTTAGGTGTTCCAAATTTTTTATTTAAATTTTCTTTTTAATATTTTAGTATTCTTTCTTCCTGCTTTTTCTTCTTGTTTCTACCTTTTCATAGCGTAAGGCCGGTCAGACATTCGCAATGGGCGTATCTAATCACTGGCTCCATACTTGGCCCTGTATTCCTCTATCCTCCTCAAATCATCCTCGGTCGCAACATGGCTCTCCTTGAGCCCCTTGACGATGTCGTCCAGCTTTAGCACGGCGACGATGGGGATCCCGAACTCCTTCCTCAACAAGCCGATGGCGCTACCGGTGCTGTCGGGCAGGGTCTCTTGTCTGTCGAGGGCGACGACGATGCCGACAACCTCGCCGCCCTCGGCCTGGATCTTGGCGACGGCCTCGCGCTTGGCGGTGCCAGCGGAGACGACGTCGTCAATGATCAGCACGCGGCGGCCTTTGAGGGGGGCACCGACGATGGAGCCGCCCTCGCCGTGGTCCTTTGCCTCCTTGCGGTCGAAGGAGTACTCGAGCTTCTTGTAGCGGTCGTCGAGCTGGGCCAGGGCGAAGGTGGCAGCGGTGGCCAGGGGGATTCCCTTGTAGGCGGGGCCGAAGATGACGTCGAAGGGGAGGTCCCCTGATGTGGAGGAAGAGGAGAAGGAATCGTGGATGGTGTTGGCGTAGGCGAGGGCGAGGGCGGAGAGAAGGTCGGCGCGGTAGAAGTCGCCGGCGTTGAAGAAGTAGGGCGAGGTGCGACCAGACTTGAGCTGGAAGGAGCCCAGGCGCAGACAGCGGCCCTCGAGGGCTGCGTGCAGGAAGTTGGCTTTGTAGGTGGGGATGGAGGCCATTGTGATGCTTGCCAGGGGAGGGCCCTCGAAATGCTGCTATCAAAAGTAAAAATAGAACAAAGAAAGAAGGGTTATATGTTATATATAAAGAAGCAGGCAAGCTGTAGTCAGTCCGTTCTTCGGGGCAGTTTGACGATATGCTACGCGTACGGGGGGGGGATTCGTAGTTGGCTTTGGAGGGGTCAAAGTGGGATGGATAGTGGGATTGGGGATTGGGATGCCCGCTACTGAGGCCTGAGCCTTTTTTATTATTTTTATTTATTTTATTTATTTATTAAAATTTCTTTTTATACTTCTGAGCAGCCGACCCCGCCATTGAGCCAAAGCCAAATGCAAATCCAAATGCAAATCCAATTCGGGGGTATTCAGTACACTGTACGGATCCGCACTCTCGGCATGTAGTCGGTCGTTATCAGTGATAAGATAAGGGGGCTTTAGCGCCAAGATTTCGAGCCACTCGGTGCTTATCTATGGAAATTTTGACTTTTCACTCCGCCTTTTTTTCTGAGAGAGTCAGTCCCTGGTGCCGCTTCGCTTCGCTCTGGTGGTAACGCCCCGTCCCTTGACCGTTTTCTTGAGGCGACCAGTGAGTACTGATCAACCACGACTTCTTCTTCAACCACTCTCTTAAACATCTCTACCACTCGGCCCTCTTCAAGAGACCCTCGGCAAGATGAAGACTACTTGGAAGGATATCCCACCGGTGCCCACCAACCAGGAGTTTCTCGACATTGTCCTGTCGCGAACTCAGCGCCGACTGCCCACCCAGATCCGATCCGGTTTCAAGATCTCTCGTATCCGTGGCTTCTACACCCGCAAAGTCAAGTTCACCCAGGAGACATTCAGCGAGAAGTTCTCCCTCATCCTCGAGAGCTTCCCTCGCCTCGAGGACATCCATCCTTTCCACAAGGATCTGCTCAACACCCTCTACGACTCGGACCATTACAAGATCGCCCTCGGTCAGCTCTCCACCGCCAAGCATCTCATCGAGTCCATCTCCCGCGACTATGTCCGACTCCTCAAGTGTTCGTCTTCTCCCGGCCCCTCAGCCATGCCCCCCTACCCCAAGAGAAAACATGCTAACCAGACAAAACAGACGCCCAGTCGCTGTTTCAGTGCAAGCAGCTCAAGCGCGCAGCCCTAGGTCGTATGGCTACCCTCCTCAAGCGTCTCAAGGACAGTCTCGCATATCTCGACCAGGTCAGGCAACATCTGGGCCGTCTGCCCTCCATCGACCCCAACACCCGCACCCTCCTCCTGTGCGGTTTCCCCAATGTCGGAAAGTCCAGTTTCCTCAAGTCCATCTCCCGAGCTGACGTCGAGGTTGCGCCCTATGCCTTCACCACAAAGTCCCTGTACGTCGGACATTTCGACTTCAAGTACCTGCGCTTCCAGGCCATTGATACTCCCGGTCTGCTGGATGGCCCCCTTGAGTCCAAGACGACGGTTGAAATGCAGTCCATCACTGCCATCGCTCACTTGCGATCTGCCATTCTCTATTTCATCGATTGCTCAGAGCAATGCGGCTACCCAATCAAGGCTCAGATCGAGCTGTTCAAGAACTTGAAGCCTCTGTTCTCCAACAAGCTTGTCTTCATTGTCTGCAACAAGATCGACATCCTCAAGCCCGAGGAGCTCGACGCTGCCACGGCCGAGGAATTGCAGTCGCTGCTCAGTGGCGGCGATGTTGAGCTGCTTCAGACATCTTGTAACACGCAGGAGGGTGTTCAGGACGTCAAGAACACCGTTTGCGAGCGCCTCATCGCTGAGCGTGTCTCCCAGAAGCTGAAGGCTGGTACAAACGCCAGTGGCAACATTGGTGGGCGATTGGCAGATGTCATGGGCAGAATCCACGTTGCCCAGCCAATGAACGGCACAGCCCTGGAGACCTTCATCCCCGAGGGTATCAAGAACATGAGGAAGTTTGACAAGAGCGACCCCGAGCGACGCAGGCTTGCTCGTGACGTCGAAGAGGAGAATGGTGGTGCCGGCGTATACAACGTCGATCTTCGGGCCGACTACATCCTCGAGAACCCTGAGTGGAAGCACGATAGGATACCTGAGATCTTCGATGGCAAGAACGTCTACGATTACATTGACCCAGACATCGAGGCCAAGTTGCAGGCGCTGGAAGAGGAGGAGGAGAAGCTCGAGGCCGAAGGCTACTATGACTCGGACGAGGAGATTGATGATGCCGAGGAGGCAGACGTCCGCTCCAAGGCTGAGCTCATCAGGGAGAAGCAGGCACTCATTCGCAACGAGAACAAGATGCGCAAGTCTCTGAAGAACCAGGCCCTGATTCCTCGCAAGAAGCTCAAGAAGAACTTGTCAGAGCTCGAGGAGGGTCTCGATATCTTGGGTGTCGACACGACAGATCTGGCTCTGCGGGCGAGGTCGACGACGCACGAAGAGCGTGGACGATCCATGTCCAGGTCTCGTATGGCCAGCGTGGCTACAGACGCCATGGACGTTGACGAAACCCCTAGAGATAGACTTCGGTCCAAGAGCAGAGCAAGGAGCCAGCCGGCTACCAACAGATTGGAAGACGGTGTCACTGACGAGTTGGCGAAGACAAAGGTGGAGAGGGCAGCCAAGGTTGCTCAGAGGAAGATGAACCGCATGGCCAGGCAAGGTGAGGCCGACAGGCATATTGGTACAGCGATGCCCAAGCATTTGGTAAGTAATTTCTTCCTGGCACGTCAAGTTCCTCAAGCTAATTTCATGTCTAGTTTGCTGGCAAGAGAACCGTTGGCAAGACGCAACGGCGTTAAGGCAAAATGTGGATGTTATGAGCTGGTGTGTTGTGAATATGCATATGACAATAGGTCTCATGATGACTTTTCGGATTGGCGTTCGGGCGTCTGCCACAAAACTGGGATCCTTGTTAGATGTCTCGAGATACTTTCCGTAATTGAGCTTTTATACCCCTTTGAGACCTTTGCCTCGCATCAGTGACATGTTTAAAAGACCATGATCCAGACTAGTCTAGACTAGCTGTCTTTACTATTCTCACTGGCCTTCCGGCTGGATCGCCTTTTCTATAACACTGTGCTCAGAATGACATGCATACAGGCGTCAACATCTGTGGGTAGAAGCAGCAAGAGAAGCGTGATTTCTGACTGTTGCTGGCCCGCTACTCTTTACTCATTTCAGGCCACTGCTGTGCTGTGCTGTGCTGTAACTACTGTATGCACATGCTCCGTACTGCACATGCACAGCTCTTGGCGCTACTGTAGGGAGAATTGATTCATGGCGGGGCACTGAATTCATCAAGGCTGGTCTGGTGTGGGGTTACCGTTATCGTTCACAACCAGCGTTGACTCACAAGCATCGTAGAACTGCGACAGGCTTCTTCTGCTTCGTGGACAGGTTTTCTTTTTGTTCTACTTGATAATCTCACTTCTTCCTGGTAGCTTTTTCCTTTGTCCGCCCTGTTGCAAAGCGTTTCTCACTTATCCCGTCTCAGACACATCGCGGTCATGGCGAGTGACGGCAATGGAGGTGTCACAGGCGCTACGGCAGGTTCGACAACGCGCGACCTGCCTTTGCGCGGAGCCAGCAACCCAGATGCTGATTCTTTCGAGTATGTTGCGCTTTGTACCTTCCCTAAGCTCCATCTGAGTGACTCGGCTGAGGTGGCGGACCTGCTAACTTCGCTACGTTACCGACAGCATAGTCGCGACTTACCAGCGCCTGCTGTCCGAAGACCCAGACCTCACCATGCCCATGGCCGCCATTGAGGCACTGATCGAGTTCCTGGGCCACAGCAAAGTCAAGACCGTCTACGAGACTATCGATCTCGTCAAGACGCAGAGCGCCAAGCTGCAGCACTCAGTTACGAATCCCATCGCCCTGTCACATGGCACCGACCTGTTCCAGCAGTACCTCATCATGTCGCTTAAGCAGCCGAATGCCCCCGGTACTTCTGCCTCCAGTGTCGCCGACAGCAAGGACAAGAACCCAGACGAGAGCTTCGAGGAGGTCCGACAACATCTGCTCAGGAACGGCCGCCTGTTTGCCGCCAGGGCAAAGGACGGGCGCGAGAGGATTGCCGTCAACGCGCGCAAGCACATATACCACGACACCACCATCCTGACCCACGGCGGAAGCAGAGTCGTAGGCACCCTGCTGGGCCGCGCCGCAGAGAAGCACGACTACGGACACTACGTTGACGAGCCAATCCGCTTCAAGGTCGTCTACGCCATCGACCCGGCACTCGAGGTCGAGAGCAACCGCGTCGTCGCCGCCCTGCGAGCAAAGGGCATACAGGTAGCCACCGTGCCCCTGAGCGCCGTGAGCTACGTTATGGAGAAGGTCGACATGGTCGTTGTGGGCGCTGAGGCTGTGACCGCTAATGGAGGCATCATCTCGAGACTAGGTACGTACCAGATCGCCCAGCTGGCCAAGGCGAACAAGAGACCCTTTTTCGTCGCGGCCGAGCAGCACAAGTTTGGCAAGACGTTCCCGCTGGGCCAGTTCGATTATCCCTTCGACCAGGGTCTTCTCGACTTCCACGCCAGCAAGGCGGAAGAGGATGGCGGCAAGCCGAGGAAGAAGTCCATGGAGAACCCGATAGACTACACATCGCCTGAATATATTGATAGCTTTTTCGCAGATCACAAGGTTGTCACGCCTGTGGAGGTTGCCAAGGAAGTTATCGATATGCTTATGTAAGGGCCTTGGGTGTCGTTCTTCAGCATTTACGGCGTTTTGGGACGGAATGGAAAATTGAAGGGTCATTTACACGATCGATCGATTGATCATATCAATCGGCCACGAATAAATTTCTGGTAGACCTGTCACAACAATGCAATGTCTTGGTAGTCAAAGCCTGGCGTATTTATTAACACAGTAGTGCGATTTGGTGAAGTGTGGCTCTATGCTGACCGAGCAAGCTGCTTCCCTGAGTAACATTGGCATCCCGTCCACTCTTCCGTAAATAACATGGGAAACGGAATCTTCTCTGTTCAAGATATGTTATGCATACAAGCCAAACTGGTTCTATCAGCTGTTACTTCCTTGTTCGAGGTGTACATTAGACACCTAGTGCTAGCCTTAAGTGGTTTACGCATTTGAGAAACTATATAAGCTATTTGGGACTTGATTGTGTTATAAAAACCTAACATATGCTCAAGATATGTTTTGCATATGTTGAACATATAAAGTGTGCGGGTTTCAAAAGTCATTATTTGCTCACACGGGGCATATATGAGGTATTATATAATGTTAGCCCTATGTATTTACACGTTGTATAAGCTGTATAAGTTGTACACGTTCTATGGGATCATTATATTATATATATGTTGGATAATTACCTGTTGAAAATATCTTCCCCAAGACCTGCATATTTTCCAGATCACATACTCATGCACGGTGGTAGGCATCTCGGATGCCTTCATAAGCTATTGGAGCTATCTAACGATTTATATGTCTACATTAATCTTACACAGTTCCACGTCAATATTGGGAATTTTGAGTAGAGCTTGAAATGCAAGCACAATGGATACTGCCGCTATATACTCAATTAGTGCGTGATCTAAGACCATCTGCCATGGTGATCTCCGCCGCACGCTCCGCGTTGCCATAGACTGTGACCTGCGGGTTGGTTCGAGGAGCAATGGGGATCATACTGGCATCGCAGACCCGCAGGTCGCGGACACGCCGCCCATTTCCCGCAACATCATGGAACCCGCGCCGGTAAAGTGTTGGGCGCTGGCCACGGTCTCCCGCACGTATCCCCTGACGTTGTCCAAATCTTTGAAGCCTCCAACCTGCGGGGCCCCCCGATTGTGCTTCCCGTCGGGTTTCAAGTTACTCGCAGGTAATTCCGTAACCATAATAACCACTATGTATTACGGGTAACTTACTAACACTTCAACATCCACGAAATATACAAGGTGTCTGGGGTCAAGGGCGAGATCCGCCGATTTGATGTGTACCGACCCCCGGATAGGGGGTGGACCATGAGGAGCATGATGGTGAAGTAGTTCTCATCTCCGGGAAACTCAAGCAAGGAGGCTCTTTAGCCATCGCAGTTGAACCCTGCGAAAGCCGCCGCAGAGAGGTAGCAGCCGGAAGCTTCGCTAGGCGATTTGAAAACAGAGTGTACGAAGGATTCGTGCGCACTTGCGAATGCACGATGTGGTCTTCGCTGGATCGTCTCTGGAAAGGGGAATATGGAGAATCCTCTCAAGGTCCTCCGCTCCGGTGGCATCGTAAATCCCGGGAAATGGGAGTTGTACCGCATGATTGGCACCACTCCTGGAGAGTGGACCACACTGTCGTAATGTGTAGTCATCCATGGCAACCGTGATACCCCCTGCGTCTTGACGTGCAACCATGTCCATAATCCCAAAACCTTCTTCATCCCCTAAGATCTCGAGGTTCAGCCTACACAACGGATGGTTCCGAAGATTCTCGCCAACAAAGGGGTTGTCAATAATAACTTTTGGTGCCGAGCGCCTCTAGACGAGACTTGTCGATGTGTGACGGATTGACATTATCGAATTCTGCAAACAGAGTCTTGGCCACTATTGGTAGCGCCCAGATGGTAAGATCAGGCCGCTCAATCCCTGCGCCAAGTACGCGCTACCAAAAGAAGCTTCTCTCCTTCGTTGAAGGAGAGATGGCATCAGGAACCGTAAGAGCACTACAAACCTGTCCTGAGAAAGGTCCGTTGGACGTGGAAAAGCTGAGGCTGCTCAAAGCCTCTCTCCAGACCTGCGGCCACTTGCTGTCCTCTGTGGGAAAATGTGAGCTGGAGGGGTCCGTTCTTGTATGGCATCTCCATGGACGCGCAGAAGTCTGGCCAGTCCCATTCCGGGTTTCCGAGGCTCGCCCATGCATCCACGTTCGCCTTGGAGGTGGCGCTGAACGAAAGCCCGTTCAAGGCACTTGAGCCTCCGACGGTACGGCCCTGAGAGAACTTGATCTCACGGCCTTTAAGTGCTGTCTAATACATCATCATCACCATCATCAATATCATCATCATCAATATCATCATAACATATACATATGTGAGTTCCCGGAGAAATTACATTCTTGAGGCACTGTTTTGAGTTGCCAAGTTGCATTAGGATCATCCACCAGCATTGGCCACAGGACCGGTAGTTTTACCCTGGCATCATCTCTGAGGTCTTCCCCCGACTCAATCACCAACACGGTGGTGCTGTGATTTTCTGGAAGGCGTGAGGCCAGAACCCTGCCCACCAACGCTTCACTACGACAATGAAACCGAAAGTTTCAGGCGCTATTTGATATACAATAACGTTTGGGCATGTTTGTCGTGAACATAATGGCAGGAAATGCCTTGAAGCAAAAAGAAAATGGTGTCACTAAGAATAATGCCGTTGGCTCTTATACAGCCGACCCTGATGCAGTTGGTTGCTCGGAACTAGATTACCTTGACGTAGCGTTACATTGCAGGGGTAGTTATTGAGAACTGATAGGCCAGCTCGCATGCAGCTGATTTGCTGGTGGCCACGGGTGCCTCTCATGATTTGTGCCTTGTGTCCAACGCGATTTGCTTATGTGACCAGTGTAGAGGGATGGTGGTTACGCAAAGCCATGTGGGCCGGCATATAATACATATGACATGAGTTGAAGACAAGAGCGATGTGGAGCTTTGAATCTGGACTATAAGAAGGACACTGCCAATAACGGTCCAGATGTGGGTAGCCACTGCCATGAAGGTATACGTTGGCTGCGCAGATCGTGGGTGGCAAAAGTTTGGCCGGAGACTCCATAAACCCAGGCATTGCAAAGCAACAGTCTATGTATCCATCTTAGTGGAAGGGCCCTCTTGAGACTCTGCTGGACAACTGGTATTCTACGACATTTGATGTATGCGAATCACACTTTAAAATTTGATCTTTGGTTTGTTACTATAATCCCTAGATTCAAGCCTTGAGCTCTAGATTGAAACCAATAACATGGCAATCCATGATGGTGATGATGCATTTGCCGCAAATGCTCATTTTTCCTTTTGCTAGTGCTGTGCTCGGTGTCCTCGCCCATCAGGTTGTTCTCGTACGTTGGGAATGGCATGTTCGCGCCCCCGAAATAATATAGAAATTCGGTCGTCCCTAAGACGTTGATGATAGGTCTTCAAACGGACACAAATTATAGTAGACTGCTGCTGGCACTCCTTGCTCGAGTTTCTGTTATCTTTTTACCTTCTTAGGTTGCGTTATTCTCTATCGAGTCTTGTTCCACCGTCCGACGAAGGCTGGCTTTCGTGGACCTTGGCACTGGCGACTCTCCTAGCTTTTCCACGTCTGGGAAACAAAAGGATTTAATAACTACATCATCCTTGAAGGATTCGATCAAGGATATGGCGACATCTTAAAAACTGGGGAGTCACAAGCTCTCTTTCGTCCTTGATATAGAGTAAGCTAAGCTAATTCTCAGCAAAGGGCTAGCCGAGATCATAGTATTTGATCCTCCGGTTTATTCGATAGTTGATGGCCCTTGGTCAATATGTGTCAAGTCTGAACGGCACGACCTTTTGTATCCACTTTTCTCTCGCGTTTGCAAGTGATAATGATAAACACACAGCTCGGCGCCGGGGATGGATTCAATGTTTCACGTCCAAAGGTGAGTTGTCCCAACTTCAGAGCTCTAATACCGCATGGTGTTTCAGTTCGGATTGTATCAATAACTATTATTGCAGCTCTAACCTAGCATGAACAAACAATTCTCAAGCATGTTGACCAACTGGATCGACAGATCGAGAATGATGTGTTATCCAGGAATTGTCAGCAGTGAGAGATCTGTGCTTTTGGTCGGTTTTGATACGATGGGTGACTTCATATTCAGGAAGCCTTTCCGAATAATGCTTAATAATAGATAGCATCGTATTATCATCCGCCTTCAGGAGGATCTTTATCTTCCGTGTCCTTTCAGTCCTTCCCCTTAGGTTATCCAGCCTGGTCTAGAGATGAGATGTAAATAATGCTAGCCCATGGTTGAGCCAAACAAAGCGCACGAGACTTTACATACTATCTTATGGAACAAGAAGCCCAAACGAGGTTCAAGGACAGCTTGTACTGGATGCATGGAGATAGCCTTCTCACAATTGTCGCTAGAATGCCAGCTAGTGGAAGTTGCAAGCTAGAACGAACCTACGATTAATAGCTAACTCGGTTCTTGGAAGTGAGCCGACAGCGTAGGTGCTTCATGGCGTTTTCTGCGAGCTGGCACAACATCTACAACATGCAGAACAGATATACGCAGTACTGAAAGGCGCCAAAGTATCTGACATCAAGTCACTAAGCCGTCTGCCTCACCTCGACGCCGTCATAAATAAAACTCTGCGTTTTCATCCAGTTCTGCTTACCGGCGGAGCTAGGAAAACAATCCATGGAGGCATCATGGTCGGCAGTACTTATATCCCACCTAATACGACCATTGTTGCACCTAGACATTCTATTACGTGAATTAAGCATCATCTCAACCTTTAAACAATGAATGATTTCGTCACAAACTAACATTGCCTCCTTTTTTAATTCAGGAGGGGACTGCTTTGAACAGGCAGGCTACTAGATCCTCGTTTCAGCTAAAAGTTCAATACCCTAACTCATAAATTCCCGCCAGGTCACCATAGCTGCTTCTGGCGTCAACTAGCGTTGGAGGCCATGAGATATGTAATTTCTAGGATTGTCAGAAAGTCTCGATTCGGCTTATCACATGGGTAAATGGTTCCAAAGTGTTTGATGATATGGCGGATCAGTTCACATCGAACCCTGGAAAGCTGGCACTGAGTTTTGACTCCGGCGAAGTATTCTATTAACATGCTGGGGGCACTGATAATTCTAGCAAGTAATACAATAGTGTGAGACAGTAGATTACAGGATTTATAGAATCGCGAAGGGATGATGTTTCTTCGTTTGACAAGGTGGTAGTGACCGGCCAAAAGCCAAACGTGTACCCGCTATGATAGGGCTGACCTATCCTCGATATTGTGCTCATGTTGTTTCCAATAAAATGATTGCTGACCAATAAATTGTGTGGCATGTCCCTCTGTACTGGGGATGGAATTGCAGTCAATGATAAGTATTATAAGGCATCTTAAAAAGCAAACAGTAACCGTGAGTAAAAGCAGGATCAGGTCATAACTAGTTAGATTCAACAAAAATAGTAGCAATGCTTGAATAATTTCCAAATAAGAACTTGATTCTTTCATCGCTGTTCGATGTGAGCCTTGGGTAAGGGCCGATATGATTCTTAGTTGCTCCAAGCCAGACCTCGGGGAAGTAACGTGACCATACATATCAACGTTTCAAGTTTCTAAGTGTTATTATATCGCACCACTCCAAGTAACATGACTTCTCGATGAGATACAGCCCATTCCTGTGTTGGCCATCAGTCATTGGTTGAGTGCTACCTCTATATAGGCTACAAAATTAGGTAAAAGCCTGCACCAAAGCCTAATAATAACGCCATCAAAGCTTGACAGGTCTAAAACCAACCGCTCGGGAAATTTAGTACAGCCCGCTGGAGAGGAGATCAATCAGAAATATCTAATTATAGTCTCCACAAACAGAAAGTGGACAAACAGGCCAGAAGAACAACTCCCAAATATGAAAGCGCTTAAACTACACCTGTTTTGCTGCCAGAAGATCTTGGGTTGTGATTACACATGCAAGGCCCCGGATGCACAATAAAATCTGCAATCAAGCCTCTCCAGAAAGGCTATGCACCAGTATGTCGCAAATACGCATCTACAGACCCGTGGTCGGTCTAGTCTACAGCTTCGCTTCTCGACGCTTCATGGAAACAACATCGGTCATCTATTATTACTTTGACTTCGAGCCACTGCGAAGTTGTGGTTATAACTATTAAGCTGCCGCCCCCAATCTAACTGACTATCCATACTTGAATAAGTCTTTGAATAATCCTCACCTTCTCTACCTTACTACCAACGAGTCGCCCTCTATCAGAGGCAATCGTCCAGATCCTCGTGAAAACTTGCCGACACAATATGAACTCGTTCTCCGCCAACCTTACGAAGTTGAGACAAAGACACTCGAGGATGTCAAACAAACGTATCATGAAGCAGAGCAGAGATTTCTAAACCTATGGTGGGGAATTCTTCTACTTTCTTATGTCCAGACTCCAATACAGCTCGACGCATGTTACTCTGCCCATTCATGACGGGAAGTCCGGGATTTTCTTGGATTCCACAAGAAGCTCAAGCAGACGTCCAGGTGCGCATGCGCCCAGGGAAGACATTGTTTCTGCCCGACCTATTTTACGTCTTTTTGTGCCCCTATGGCGCGGCCTAGGTCGTCTTCTGCCAGGGGTTGTGATGCAGACACTGACTTCTACAAATCCACCACTACTGCGTCTTAGGACTGCTTATCTGCCTAATCCACTATTCTCTCCTGGCGAGACATAGCCCATCCCAAACTGAAATACAATTACAGTAGATGAATATTTTAATTCTCAGCAATTCGATAAGCTTATAGTGTTCTAGTAGAAAGTCAAACTGTTGTTAAGAAAGTGTCACATACTTCAACGACTGGACGGTTTATGAAACAGGAAATTATTTGCTCACTGATTCTCTCAATGGGTTACGTAATGGTTGGACTCCGGTCGACAAGTCTGTCGCATTTTACAGGCTGATGCCGTATAGGTGCTGGAAGCAATATTTCATAACCCAGATAAATTTTGTCTCGAGACCATACCTTCGCAAACGTTCAAGAAACCAATGCAATCGCTAGGACAAATGCAAAATAACAGTGTTTAGCCGTGGACGATGTCCCACTACGGGCGAGGCGACTAATCCACGCTTTGTCTAAATGTAGGCTCGTGGAGTTATACCATTTGTATTTAAAAGCATTCATACGGAGGATTGGACAATGTATATTGCATGATATTTCAAGACAGAATGAGAGATCGTTTCGCTTAAAAACAAGTTGCTTATCTGTACAATCTAGCAACTTAAAACTTCAGCTAGTCAAATGCCACCTCATTACACATCCATTTTGCTCAAGTACTATCTACTTGACTGTAAATATGGCTGCCTGGGTTAATTTGAATCACCCAGCTTACTTTTGAGGGCAGACGTTTTGTATGGCATGAAAATCAAATATTGTTGTGACATGGTTGTGATGTGCCAGCCTGAACAGACGCCAGCCCGATGCTCAGATATAGTGGATTTTTGCAACCCTAATTTTGACCCATATACCCGTTGAAACACCATCCGTAGCGTGCCTTGTCCATGCTGAAGAGTGAAAAGGAACGACAGATGATGTTGAATCATCTGGAATAAATGTTGATGCAGGAAATGCCTGCATTCAATGGCTGGCTTGGCTTCTCTAGGAGTCGCGGACCAGTCTGGCGCCAACCCACGCGTAAGGGTAATTTCGCTGGTACCAGTTTACGCTGCAAGGGTTAGTCGATTATATGGAGTACATAGCTCATTTCAGGTACTTACAATGATTGTCGACCTGCAATGCGCGGGTGGGTTGCCCAGGAACCACCAAGGACGATGTTGTGCTTACCATCAAAGAAATCCGCTACAGAGTCGTAAATCAGCTTGCTGCTGACTTTGGTCGCAGTTCATATGTGGAGAATGGAGTACATACAGGTGTAAGCAGGGTAAAGAGCCATGGGCTCGAAACCTTCATGACGAACTAGGTCTGAGCTGGTCCATTCCCAGACTCCACCCATTTCTCCCTGACCTGCCAAGCGGTTGCCGTCGGATGTTACTGATACAGGATGCCACTGCTGAAATCCGACGTTGGCACCAGTAAGATCAATGAATAGTTTGTCGTTTTCAGACAACCTTCCATTGACCTGAAGTTGGGCTTGTGACGGGGGGTCCTCCTCAACACCATTATTGACGAGATGTCTATGCAATCATACATCAGCTTCTAGGCTATAGGTAGTCATTGAAAGATTGGCTTAGGCTTACCCATTCACTGCCGGCACCGTCTTTCCGAGCTTGCGTTCTGCCTCCTCCCTTTTTAGACGATGAACCCACGCATAGATGCTCTTCGTCTCTTCGAAGGTAGGGATTCTTCCGCCCATCCAAGCAGCGCAGCCTGCCAATTCGTTGTACGATGCGAAGACAGGCCAGTCTAGCGCGTACTTGAGTGGCACCAAGCCATAGAAAGTCCTGACGGCCTTGCCTTCTAAGAAATATGACGGTAGCAGAGTTGAGCCGCTAGGATGGCCGTTGGTGTGACCGTTAGCCTGACCATCGCTGTGTCCATTAACAGCGCCATTAACTCCGTTGGTTTCCTCGAGCGATGCTTCTGCCCAAGATGCAGGAAGTTTAGATACTTGCGTTTCATACATATAATGTGCATACTGGGTTTCATAAGTATTAAACAAAGAGGAGATTCACATATCTACTGACCTCTTCATTAGTGATTGGTCGACCTTTAGATTGGAAAGCATGAACGTGGATTTTACGTGCTGGTTTTTCGTTGTCCCTAGTTATGTTTGATTAGTGGCAGAGACTTGGCAAGTCTTGAGGCTGGAATCGTGTTTACCAGCCAAAATGTCCTTCAGCTTCTAAATTATTTTCGTCGTCATCTAGACCGATGACAACATCCTGCTCGGGAATACTGAACCATTCGTTTGCTGTCCTTTTCGCGTATGCATCCTGAGCAAGACTCTGAAAGTTGGGCCGCGGAATATGAGGCGGGGGTAAAGTCTTATCGCTCTGCAGCATCATATAAAGCAGAGTTTCCATATGCATCACCTCATGCTCAAACCCAACCCAGACAGCCCTTGCGACATCTCTTGGAATATGTTCCAGGCCACCCGAATACAGTTTCGTCAACCTAGCACGAACATTCTTCTGATATTCCAGGATTTCTGCTAGTCTGGGCCACTCATCAGGGATCTCTGAATGTGCGTGACAAAGCTCTGGGTTATCTACATCAGGATCAATGCCCCTTTCGAAGATTGAGTAGTATGATGCAGGATCAGTAGGTGGTTGCTTCGTGGTTTTCGTCAACTGAATGTCTAGGAATGTCGGGATATGCCCCAGGTAAAATATGCAGGCGTTTCTCAATCTGATAGGCTTGTCCAAAAGCTCCTCGTTCGGGAGCATCCGCCTGGTGACAGTATCCCATGTTGACCATAGGCCATCCCAGTCCTCAAGAGTTGGTACTACTGCACTAGCGTACCGACCAGGCGTCAGGCCGAAAGGCATAGTGGTGGGCTTTGTTAACAAATGTAGTCCTGCCCAAAGTTAGTCGTTTGTGTAACTTAGATAATGGTAGGGTTGCAATCAGGATAATCGTGATATACGATCATGACGTCCAGTCTGATGGATGAAAGGAAAGACGTGTAAGACTAGGACACTCGGAACCCTATGAGTGGCCTGAATATGGTACGATCCAGTCTGAAAACGTGGGGAACATTGCTTATTCGTGGAACGGCTGTACAAATTGGGCAACCCCCGTCTGTCTAGGTTGAAACAAGGGAGACGTGTGAAGGAAACATACCATATTCGTCGCCGTCGGTCATCCACCGCTCTGTTTCGACAACTCCCGCTTCAGCCCAAAGCTTCTTCATGCCGTCTTCCGAGTACTTCAGGCTCTGCTCGACTTTAATTCGCTCATGCGCTTTTATGTCCTCGCCAATAATGTTGACGTCTCGGATTGGCGAGTAGAATGCCTGATGACGGCCACCATCTATATCGTACACGTATTCGCCTATAGCCTTCCAATCATCCAGATTGAATTCGTCTGATCCAAGGATCTCATTCGCGTGGCGAAGGCCGTCCAAGAGAAATCTCCGTCAGTCAGTCGACGTCCAATGCTCAGATTAACGATTGGACTCACTGATGTGTTACACCTTCGCGATCTATGCCGGATGGCAGATCTTAGCATAGCTCAAAATAACCACAAATAATACTAACCATTGTATGCATGACTGCACTACACATTAGCTTCGGAGAGGATGCAGGCCAAGTTACAAAACCTAGACTCTCAGAACATACTAAACTTTTGAGGGATTGGTACAAGAATCCAGTCCAAGCAAGAATGTGTCTGATGGCTGGAGGACATCGGAGAATCCGCGTAGGAATTCTGCTGCCTCAGGTCGATGAAAATTCCCTATCCTTCTTGTCAGTACTGTCTCAGTTGTTCTCTGGGAGTCTACATGCCGATGCTTGAACCCAAGCTCATGACACACTTCGGTCTGGCTGAAATTGATGGCTGCTTCAGCCACTCTCGGCCATCGTCATAGGTTCCGAGCAAACCATGGCATCTCACATGGCGGAACTGAGGAACTTGTGCTAGGGTTCTCTCCAACTCCTTCTTCGACAGATCCAAAGCATAATAATCGATATCCTTCCCGACGTCTTCGAGTGCTTGAAGGAGAATTTGTACTTTTCGCAGGTTGCCTGATCCCAGCTCAACAACCATGGCCCCTGAGGGAATCGCTTTTGCGATTGCCGGGGCTGATTGTCGAAGCACTTGGATCTCCGAATTGGTTAAATAATACTCATCCAAATATGTGATCTTACAAGGTCAGTACGACGCGAACGGTCTTGGAACGGCATGATTTGTCACCTGTTCGAATAGTTGAAGGCCATTTTCGCTGTACAGCAATAAAGTTGGCATTGTCCGCGGTCCCTCATGGGGACGCAACAATTTGTGAATCTCTTCTTTGAGATTCAACTCTACTGCTGTTTGGCGAATATCAATTATATCGGTCCCTGGCGGAGCCTTGGCCGGTTTGGACGCCCCTTTGCCTGTCTTGAGGTTAGGGGGGACTGGTCGTGATTCATAGAACATTTCGGTAGCGGAAGGCATGACTGCTGGAAGCCAGAATGTCTCTTGCAGTAAAGAGATGATGCACTAAGTCAAGCGGGTCAGGCAGAGCGGGAGACTGGTTTTCTGGCGGCAATGTAGGCTATATATCGGTTTCGTGGGAAAGAATCACAAATAGCGATGTGAGAACTAAGACACCTTTGCCATGCTAGCTGAAAGTCAATATTCTTATTGTCTGCAGGTCTACCGGCATGAAACTTCACTTGGCTCGGGATGGTGATGTCAATCGCGGGTACCATCGAAGTTCTCTCGGAAGGGGCAGTCTTCTAATTCGTCCCGTGGAATGGGGTCCGCCAGCCCTTCAGCACGCTAAGACACATGGTCGAACGAGCTTTCCCCTTAGGCCTACCGTACGGTCTTGTCCTATTCCGTATTCCTGCGATTGAGTGTGATGTGTGTTCTACCGGGAGCCAGCAGCGACCACAAATCGTTGTCGTAGGGCCGGCTGGGACTTTGAGTATGGGGAAAAAGAAACGGTCCTGTCATGCAATGTCGCACTTTCGGGTTAGACAAAGGCTTAAGCCAGGCGCAAGCGTGGGAGGTTGTTGTTCAGGGCAAATCAGGGGCAGGAAAGCCATTGGACTTCCAACTTCGAGGTCCACGAGTTGCATGCGTCCCCGCAAAATCCCTACAACCCCTGTATGCAAAGCCTCACATGATGCGCATTTGGCCGAGAAAGGCAATCTCTGGATCCATATGTGCTGTGCCTGGACCAGCCAGCGCGCAAGTTGCCATTGAGAATGACCTTGACCGGCCAGTATATCGCATCCAGACGACCAGCTTAGTCTCCTAGCCGGCGGGAGTAATGTTCATCGATATTGTGCCGTTTCAGTGTTTAGGTCTATTCGGGACCTGACGATCATTCGTAGTGGGGCAGTCACGTATAAAGATGGCCTACGATACTCTGATAGAGAGAGGTGCTTTAATGGTCAACGCCGTGGTCCCTGGCCGAGACACCAAGAAGAAGAGTTACCGTTACCCGACATGCCGTTTTCGTGTGTCGGGTGCAGCGGAACACCTGATTCAATTACAATTGTCAAAAGAAATTCACCAGACCCAACTCTCCTCCTCTTAGTGTGGGGGTGAGTATGCCACTTACTAACCGAGTTTCGACCCGGTATCCATCAAACATACAAGAAGCACAAAACATGCCATGTACATAGTCTTATGTTGGCAGGTCTTCTGCCAACATGGTTGCAATTCTGAAGGCCGCAGCATTATCCAGATGACAACAGACCTTGTATAGACATAGAGTCTTGGGACTCCGACGAGTCCTCCAGAGACCAACACACTATAAGGTTACCCTCAACCTTTTTCGGAACCGCACTTCGTCACAGGACCGCCAGCTGGACCAACCGAAATAAAACAGACGTCATCCGTGTTGCGTCTGTCAGCTTCTGGGCCCATAAGCTCAAACGCGATGCCGCGGCGTGGTTCGATAGGCCTCCACATGGTACCAGCGACCCCTCGTTACCCCTCCATCGATGCGTCCTATGTACTTCAAATGGTCGATTACATACACACACATATTCTCTATCTCTCTCACACAGCGACGAAAATAAGTGCAGGAAACTATAATAAAGTTGAAAGGCCTTATCCACCATTAACGCACCGAACAATCACTTTTCATTCCGCGGGGTCGCTTTGCAGCGTTGCTTGTGGGGAAGCCAAGACGAGGTGGCAAGCAATGGGCAAAGTGCCGTATCTGACTGGCCGTTCATTTATACTTCCGCAGGACATTACATCGGACGGTTCTTTCCTGTACTGTAGATCAGTCGACTGGCTAGCCGGGTCTGGTGGAAATCACATGGAAGAAAAAGCATGGCCAAAATCCATCAAGGCTCTCCGTCTTGTATATCCAAAGGAGGGCCATCATATCCCCTTGCTATAGCGCTTGGCCATTCGCCACTGGAAGCAGGACACATCTGATATTACGTAGCGCGCAAAAATACATCAACGGCAGACTTCACCGGCACAGATGTAGTGTCCAACAATGGAAATACAAGCCGATCCCGGTGAGCCTCAAAAGAGTCTGGGCGTTATAAATGTTGTGTTTAATGCTGTTTGGTGCGGCAGTGTTCAGGGCCTCCTACGAGAAGGTCATCTTGCAGGTTTGAGACCTTCAGCCTCTGTAGTATTAGTTAGTCAGCTGTGCTGCAGGCTTGTAATCCCGAAGAGATTGTCATGTTTGCTCCCATTACTGTTCATTCTGGCCTTCCCGAAAGGGGTATCCCGTAGGAGCAGCCCGAAAATCCTTTCCAATTAGCCGAGTAAGATCGCCGATCACTAACAAGATTTCCCAATCCGTCAGCTTTCCGCGCATGTGGAGAAAGAGCCTCCTCAACGCCGCAGGAGTCGAGACTATAATTCCATACCTCGGAGTATACCCAAAACTGGCGAGCATTTGTTGGGACCTGAAGTTGGAGGAAAACAGTCGAAAAGCGGCCACCAGACAGTTAATTGTACCAACATTCAATGCAACATACTGGCCCATCGTTATCTTGCACAAAAAAATGAGGCAGGGGCATGTCTTGAGTGAAGTGATTAACCATACGTACAAAAACAATTTTACAACATCCCGAATATGTGCCCTCGCACCATTTTGATCTCACATGCCAGCAGCGAATTATCTTCGATGCCTTCACCCCTACACTGCCCCCGGCTTCTCCCACTCATCAAGCCAGCTTCCCATCTGCTTAATGGCTGCCTCGACAACAGGCCAGGTATCAGGATCCTCCTCGTCAATGAACATCTCAGGTGTATGGACGCCTCCCTTCACAACATACGTAGGAGCGTCCGTAGAGTTACAGGGGCCACCCGGCCTGTAGTTGCTGGACAAAGTGGCCGACCTCCACGGGTCAAACTCGCCGTCGACGAAGAAGACTCGCTTGTAAGGCGCGTCCCAACCCTTGGTCCAGGCGTTGAGGCGTTCCTCGGTCCAGCCGGTCATGCTGCCGGCTACGAAGCCGTTGGTCTCGGGGAACACGAGCGGGCATCGCCGTGAGTACTGCTCGGGACGCAACTGCGATGACACGATGTTTTGGCCGTCCGAAGTCGGTGGGCCGACCTGGTGCCAGCCGAAAGGCTCGTTGCAGAGCATCCATTGCCACGGCCGGTAGTCATCATGGTCCTTCAACGTGTTCCATTCGATTTCCGGGTCCCAAGTGTTGCACCTGGAGCCCCCCTCGCCGCAGCCAGCCGTTGCATTGATCCATGCGGCGTACGCATCCAGCGCAGCGACCAGCCCAACCCCGGTACCGTTGTTGATGGTCGTTTTGCTACGGCCACCGTATGTCTCGAAATAGTCGCAGAATTGCAAGACGACAGCCTGGTCGCTCTGCCACTCCGAGATTGGATTTGCCAGCGTTTCAGCAAAATCCATTGCGTTAAGGTCCTGCAGGTTGAATTTGGTCTTGAGCTCCTCAATATCATCGTCGTTTCCCCGGTTGAACACATAGTCAACGTGCTGCACGACCGTCTTGACGTTGTTGCTGCAGTTTGTGGGCAGCGCCTGCTCGATCGGAGAGAAATACGTCCAGAAGTCGTGTACTGCTTCAACAACAGCCGAGGATGCGTGATACGCGTGGAACACTCCGGGTTCCATCTGAGAAGTCCAAGCTGCAAGTGCACCGCTATAAGAGCCGCCGACAAGTACCCAGGGCACATCGTTAGCGTTGCAGTCACCGTTTTCGCAGAACTCTAGTTCAGCAGTCAAGGCAAAATTTGTCATATCTTTCATCGCGTTAGGAAGGTTGAGATACTGCAGGGTCTCGGCGGTGAGCTCGTCGAAGGGGATGGATTTACCCCAATATCTGTCTGTATGGTATTGTGAGTGACGCGATTAACCTTGGCCAAACATAGAAGTAACTTACGTTCGATAATAATGACAGCACCATTAAACTCTTGAGCATACCGACCAGGTATGGTGTCGTTCGCCAAGTATCCAATCATGTCATCTGCAGATTGCTCTCCTGGGTTAAACACGAAGACCGGGCCGCCTTTTTTGTAATATGATCCATCCCACCAATATCTCTGCTCGAAAGTACCTTGTGAGATGTCCGAATGATCGATGTTCTGAACAAATGTGGCATTGCCAACAAGGTCCAAGCTCTCTAAACTCGCTGCCTTGAGACCAAACCTCTTGTTCTTTTGGTGGATATCTTTTGCTTTCAAGGTAGCTATAGAGGGTGTGATGCAAGTCAAAAATGGTAGCAACGCTGTGAGTGCCGTTTTCATCGCGAGATCGTCTTTCAGCCAGGCATATAATTCCAAAAGAGAAGAAGGAGAAGAAGAAGTAGATATAAAGGGAAAAAGAGAAAAAGAGAAAAAGAGACAAAGTATAGAATAAGAATTGAAACAGGTAAATCACTACGGCATTTGTTTTGGAGTGACGGATGTAGAGCTTCAAAGCGTGCTAGTATTGGGATATCATGTAAGTCTCCTGGTAGCATCGAACATGACCATTGCAGAGCCATATATATGCCATGCTCACCATTCTGCTCGGCGACCCATACTCTGGATACCTAGTTCACAAAGGATCAGTAGTTTAATGAGGACCGCCAAAAAGCTCGCACTCCGCCTGCCCACAGCCCAGTGCCGTATCAGCTTTTGTTCTCCACCCGGCCTATTGTCACTCGGCCGGGACTTCAAGCGTTGCCTATTGAATACATAGGGTTTTATCGCATTACGGGGCTAGCAAACTTCCAGCTATACCGCCAGACAGTTGCTCCCAAGTGCTGACCACTAAGTGTTGGCTTTCATGATGATCTAGGAGCTGAGGTCGCTCAAGGGTCTGTGGTGACTGCGCTGGTCAGAACCTTGACAATTGAGAGGTGATTTTTTCAGGAACATTTCTCAACTTTATTTGCTCGTTACCCACTAACTGTTCCTGCGCCACTGTGCTGTTGTGCTGTTTGATCAACTGCTAACATGACCCGGTCTTAGGAGCGGGATGAGGGGACATGGGACCCCCTTTCAATTTTCAATGCGTTAAGCTGTGCCACATAGTTAGTTTCGTCCTATCCCAATCGCAGCAACCAATAGCAATTGCCAATCGCCATTTCGCATTTGGTTTGATGGAAACTTCCGCATTAAAGAAGCTTAGCAGTTACTCTATTTATGATACTATTTTGGGCGGCCCTAGACTTGAGCTAGCGAAGTTGTCCAGGTTCGCCTATAGGGCTGTTTCTGGCCGGTAACACTGCCCATAGGAAGGTAGGTTTCTGGATGTAATACTGTGCTTATGCGGAGTTTCCAGATCCACCACCATTGTTGGGTCAAGCGCTTACTGTAGTGGTAGCGCATATCACAACACAGAGCTTGTATCAAGGAATTTACAGGCAAACATGGGGCTTGGCCATTATAGTGCGGGTCCTGGTGCAGCAAATTTGGTGAAATTGACAGGGCTGCTCCACACAATCGTATCCCCTTCGCAGCAGCAACACAACGGCGACGGCTGGTGAAAACAACGGACGCATTTAACCATGCGATCTCAGTACAGCGAGGATATCTCATACAAGCAAAGTAAAATCACATGTGTCCTTGTCGTTGTCAAGGCCGCCCCCGATGCTACATGTCTGATCCATCGAAAGGAGAAAACAAAGAAAGGAACTCGCATTGGGCCGCGTATAAGTGAGCCTCATTCTTTTAGTCAACTCCGTTACGCCGGGCAAAGTCCCGATGCTAGTGAAAATGCTCATTGCTGACGTACAACTATTTATGTGTATGTATCATTGAAATGTGGCGCAAGGCCATACGCTTCGGTTGATAGGTCGAAGAACGGAAGCTGGCCATCTATCCATGGGTCATTGTTTTGTGTTAAGATGCCGAGGTCGTTCGTAACATTGAACCGTTTTCGTTCTTCTGATTGCAGCTCATACTCGCTGGAATCATCGCGGTGAGTAGAAGGTGGACCGGTAGTTTCGGGACCTAGCATTGCAACAGCTGATGATGCATAGGATTGGATTGGACGTAACGTGTTGGATTGCCGATTCCATGAATCGTATTGCGTATCATGAGGGGGTACCGCCGACGATCCATTGGCATCATGATAGGACGACGCATGGTTAATGGCCGTGAAAGTTGACGGTGTAGATCTTGGGGTGCCAACTCGGTTGATGGGTGGTAGACGCGAATCTACAGGCGATCCACGATCGACAGTGCTGGCCCTGGATCGGTCTCCATCCATGCCTGTTAGATCTATGGGCTGTATATGCCCAAACTCTCTCAGGAGCCTTTTGTCCTTGTATTCCTCAAGCCCGCCACCTTTGCCGCCAAGGCGCACACTCAGGCTGGTCTTTTCACTAAGAGTCCTGTTTTGATCGACGTGTATTTCGTAGTCTCTCCTGATCTTTACAAAGTAGGTATCCATCTTTTGGAGTACTGTGATGTACGTGGTTGCCATACTCAAGCAAACCGACATTTTATTAAGTGTCGTGTAAGTCAAGCCAAGAGGACCGTGCCGGAAGATATCGATGTCCTTTTCTCCTTCCAAAGGCTCGTTCCACCGGTGGCTGAGGATATGACTTCGCGTGTCCATTTGTGGGAAATGGATGGCGTATAATACCACAAATGCAGCAGTCCATATGGCAAACAGAACTATTGTCGATTGAGGCAGCTTGTCCTTCTTTTGACAGATCTCGATCAGATCGATGATCTCTCTGGCAGCCTTGAACACTTGCTCCGCACTTTCGAGCCAGAAACCATCCGGTGTCTCCTCCTTTGGGAATACTGGGTTATCAAGTGGCCCTTCAGGTCCTCTGCACCGTATAGGCACGAAAGGGATATATCTGCGACAAGATTAGCAAATTGTTAGACTTGAATTCCAATGTATATGGCTGACAGCGCATGACATGTGACTGAAAAATGGCAATCTTACTCTCGATGCAGCATGATAACGCACACGCTTCTGAGCATATGCAGCAGTACATAGACGCTAGAGGCCTGATGGTTTTCGTGTTTGAAGTAGTTGGAACGCGAGAACGTGAATGTGCCGGGTAAGCTCTGCTCAAAGCTGAATAGGCGGTCGCGTAGTTTAAAGAAAGTTGTGTCAGCAACCCAAGGTGCATGTTGGTCGGTCAAGCGGCCACCGTCGACACTATAACGCGAGATGTCGCCCCAGAGATTCACAAGGAAGACGAACCGACTCAGTACGCTGTCGTCAGTGACACGTGGATCTGACGGCATAGACTTCAGGAACCCAGTGCTGGCATCCATTTCCAAGTCGAATTTGTCCTCGGAACATGGCAGCTGGATCAGCAGCTTCTCCGAGTCTACAATGGCCAGCCGTTCTTTCCCGCAGGCCAGCATTCGATCTAGGACGAAACAGCTCCACATGGTTCGGCGGTTAGCCTCTCTGTCTAGAATCAACTGCGATTCGGAGACAGAGCCACGAGGGCGCTCGAGATGATGCCCTACTTTCCTGAATTCTTTATCTATCAGACCGAGTCTTAGGAAGTTGGCCATTCGGACAGCGATTCCGACAAACATCCACGCACCCAGGCCACCTGTGTTTTGCCGGGTCTGGCCCCATTCGTACAAACCGAGCATTAGCAGAGCTTGAACACGCTCAACAGACGCGGAGCCCATGGCGTTTCTCATGGATCCAAGTGCTCTGGTGAGAGTTTCAGCGTAGTATTCCGACGCCGCGGCAGGATCGACCTGGGTCTGAACCGGACGGGACCTGGCGTTGCCGCCTTGGGAATTGCAAATGTGCGCAAGGTATTTCACGAGGTCTGTGTGGTACCGAGCAGTGAGGGTAAGGATGCCCAACAAGACAAGGTTGAAATCCGGTGTGGGATCTGGCTGTTGGTTTCTGAATCTGCGACCAAGCTTCTCTTTCATTGTCGGAAGATGTAGGAAAGGCAACTCTGGTGCAAAATGGAGCTTGTACAAATCGAGGACCTGATCCCAGATGTCCTCGGTCAAGAAAGGCGCAGAGAGTACTTCGTCTGCGAATAGGGTACCCTTTTCATTGTCAAGCTTGGACAGCTCGTCGATCTTCTTCAGCTTCTTCCGGTCTGAGCCTCCATCTCTTTCCTGCTTGATCGCCGATGGTGGATCGTTCCTCTTTGGTGGGGCGGGATTGGGTTCGGGCAGCTTGAAAACGCAGTCCTTGCCTGTCTTGAGACAGCTGTCGCAAGGACTTGATCCGCCGTTGTTCTCACATTTTATCTTGGACTTTCGGCACCTGAGACATGCGATGCTAGAGCGCATGGGCGGGCGCATCTTGGCTCCCTTCTTACTCTCGAAAGTAAGACCTGCTAGTATGGGCTTCATGGCGTGCTCCCCATAGCCTTGCGGCACACCCCCAACTCCCACGCCCACTCCCACTCCTGAGCCCTGTGAGAAATCCGTGGCTGAAGACAGGCGCCTGTCGGGGGGCGCTGGCGGGGTGGGAGGGACTAAAGGTGCATCGGGAGGCACCGAGGACTCGTTGTATCTCCTTTTGGTTGTGGACTGATATGTAGAGTTGCTTTGTATGTCATCAGCGTCTGGAGGATCTGGCGGCGACAGGATGGACTGGATTCGGATTGGAGTACTAATTGTGACGGCTTGGGTCTGTTCGAGACCCAGAAGACTCGAGTATAGGATGAATGGTGGAGAGATGTGCAAGCCTTAGCCTGACGCTGAAGGCTTATCGTCGTCCGAGTGAAGACTGCGACACTGGGTGGGGGGGTTGCTGGGACTTGCTACGGAGAGTAGGAGTTTGTAGCCAGCCGGAGAGGATTAGTTGTTCAACTGTTTCTTGCGGCGCTTGGCGGCAGTTTGCCTGGATCGGCCGTGTACAATGGGGGACTGCAGTGGTTAGCTGAGTGACGCGCCCCTTGTTGGTCTTTGTCGGATCCGACGTGGGTTGAATGCACAGAGTGTGTTTACTTGCAATGCAATGTGCTACAGCATTACTGAACCGCTGCAAGCACCCGCGCTGTGTATGTGTATGTGTGTGTATGTGTGTGTATGTATGTGTGTGAGTGCGTGTGATGCAGGTTGGAAGCAAAGTGGGCGACGATGCACGAAACGCAATTTAGAGCTTCGGCGGCTACGACTTTTGTTGCAACAAAGGATCCTTGGTACAGACTGTAGTGAGTGGTAAGCAACCCTGTAGTCTAGACGCTTGCACTGTTGGCTCAATGCAGTCGATGGATGGATTGCGGCAAAGGCTGAGTGCTGCAAGTTCGTAAACGCGCAAATTAAGGCAATGGGTCTGTATAGTTTGTCCTTGGGTTTGACAACAAGTTTGGGCGTTGCGGCCAGGGAGTTGCTACTGCTGCTGCTGCTGCTACACTCAAAAACTCGGGACTCAAGACTCAAGACTCAACATGGAGGGGAGGAAAGATGAGAAGCAAGAAAGGCCCAGACCAGATTCTAACTCTCAGTAAAGCTTCCACCAGGAACAACTTTGGACGGAGCTCACAAAGCCGCTCGCTCTCTGTTTCTCTTAGCATACTGGGCCGCTAGGGCAGAATCCCGGGGACGGGTAGACCACCACCCTTGGACCGACCTGGCCAGCCAATGAATCCAGGGGAGATGGTTAGTGCTAACTCCTGCTAGGCGGCGCTAGTCCAGTACTGTACCGTGTAGCGCGCTACATTGAGTGGCCCGAGGGAAAGATCCCGCTTGTTGGAAGCCTACCCGTCTCACACCCCATCTACCACGCGCAAGAACCATGAAGAAAACCCACCTCCAGCACCCGTCGCCCGTTCTTCCTTTTTTAGTTTTATTTAGCCCTTGGAAACTTGAGTCTCGAGAAGCCTCGAGAAGCGCGATAGCCCAGCCCCCAGCACCTGCAAGGTCCGGCCTACACACTTAATCTGCCTACCAGACAAGACAGTTAGTCCCAGGCCAAACTAAACAAGCCAGCTGGACCCCACGCTTCAGGTCTGCCGATGTTCTAGTTCCCATCAATGCTGTCCGACAGGGTCATGTTAACTTTGGGTGGTGCTGCTGATCCCATCAAGACTCCAAGACCGCTCCTAAAATAACTCGCTTGAGCTGCATCGCAGTCGCGGATTTTCATTAACCTCATTCTCTGCGAGCGCATCATGCATTGCAGCGTAGTATTGCCAAAATTACGAAATGGTGGTCAACCCATAACCCTCCATCTCTCGTGACATGTTCCATTCTGGATCTGGCCACCTGCCCGTTTTTCTGCATCTCCTGTAAGCGCCTCTTCCCGATCGTTCGTCAAGATGAGCTCAATTCTGGGTTATGCATGGTTCACGTTTGTCCACCCCCAGATCCCTTTGTCTCTAAATGCCCGCCGCTAGCACCCCGTAGTGACGCCCTCAAGGAAAAGCGGTGACAGAATCCAAGAAGCAACCAGGTTAGGTTTTCCATTTTATTTTTATTTTTAAAGAGGTGACTGCACAAGAGGCGTTGATTTGTTTCGTGAGCGCCAAAGAGACAAAGAGGATAAAAAAGCAATTGAAATGCTGCAACCTGCCGGAGTGATTGTAACAGCGGTTATGGCCAATAAGCCACGAGTCTGAAAGGGGCCACAGCCAAAGGTAACGGCGTCAAGATTTCTCACTAAAGTTCCTTCCAGGCATTCCAGGGGCGGCGTCGGCGGGTGGGTTCCTTCGGTTCACGTCCTTCGGGTGGGACTTTTCTTCAGCGGGAAACAATGCATATCACCCCAACAGGATTGGGTATGGTTCTCCGCTGACCATGTTATTTTGAACGCGCTCGGCAACACCGCTTGACACCCCGCAGCTATTGATTAAAGTCTATTCGTTCGCGAAATTGCACACGAGGGAGGTGTCAGGGGTCGGAAATTCGAAGTGGCTCTCTACGAAATCCCTTCCTTCCAGAATCATTCGATGCTCAAACCTCTATTTACTTACCACGTTCAAGTCGTGGTGAGATGACTGGCCGATCAGATCAGCTTATCAAGAAGTGTAAGTATTGTTGTTGCAGCAGCAGATAGCGCTCGGAACCATTGGACCTTGTTGGTGCGACGCCTAGTGACATGCTTGAGAAGTGTGGGGAATTTTGTACTGTACAAGTTGGTGAGACTGCCAACTCCGATACTGCTAAAGCGAGACATCGGGCCGCATTCCAAGAATCGGCCCTTCGTGGATGCTAGCTGGGCTTTCAAGGCGCGAGCATTTATGGACGTGTATATTACAGTATCAGCAACATATATTTATGTCGTCCTTGCAAGCCTTCATCAAAGTATAGATAGACACGAAGCGACTAAATCCGCCTTTTTGTATCATTCTGCTCCCCACGGTCGCTGCTGACAATCAATCTAGGGGCCGCTGCAAGTACTATGTTAGGCGCTGCCGAGGCTCAATTACTTTCAACACCCGCCCGGACCTGGGACAGTGATGGCGACTCGGCATTATCGGCAGGGGGTAAACCAAACCACTTAATTCAGACAGTGCAACATGCAGAGCCAACACCCTGCGGGCTGTTGCAACACGGTGTAGTGCATCTACGGACCTTTTGTCCTTAGGGGATAATAAGCTGCAAGCGCAGACAGTCGTTCTGGATTATCCCGATTCTATGATTTTATGAAGTGATGCCAATACCCGACCCCTGGCAGGTTCGATGATCAAACTTAACAAGATCACATGGAAAGCGAGGCGAGTTGGCATGGCACATTACGGGGATCTCACAGGTCAAACTAATAATCTTTTCTGATCAGCCGATCAGAGATAGGAAGAAGAGCCACCCTGCTCTCAGCCAGTGGTCGGTCGGTATCTGTTATCCGAATACTTCGGGCAGCATGACCCTTGTATCTATCGCTTAACCCCCTTCTCATCCTCTGAGTGGTATGGGGGTAAATTCGGCTTCGGACGATAAAAAGCCGACCCGAAGTTCCATTAGGAGCTGTGTTTAGATCACCATGCGCTTAGAAGTTGACAATTGAGCTCGGCGCAATCTTGCTGGGAGGAAGTTTCGAACAGGAATTTCCTATTGCGCCAAAATTTGAACTATGCAACGGTCAATGCGCAGAACCTTGCGATCCGACATGGGTAGATTTGTGTTAGACTAGTCGCAGATAGCAGTACGTTCAGTCTGCTGAGAGAAGGTATGAAAACGTGCACAAAAGAGATCTACAACGAGATGGTGGATTGTTAGTTGTACATCAAATAGACAGACTTCCTTGACGGTTGTCGGAAAATGTTTGTTGGTCACTCCGTATATCTAATGCAGGCTTGGGGAAAGAAAGAAATTCTTCTGCCATTCTGCACATCTTGTTATGCTTGTTACATGGCCCCTTGGAAGCTCTCACTTCACAGTGGTGCGAACTTCGTTCGCTCGAAGTTTTTGGTTCGTAGCCGTACTAGGTTTCGTAAACAATCCAGACAATGCATAAATAGAATCCGGGGCCAGATAAATGGAAACTCATACACCAACCCAACCATGAAGTTCTAAGGGGCAACTGTGTTCTTGCAGATTTGATCAAAGACAAGTCAGACCTTATATCAATAGAAGAGCAGAAGTATTGGTTTTGACGTTACACGTCAATGGTGAAAATATGATAATGCATGCGCCGAGATTCTCTGGCCGGCGCTATTGCTGTTCACGCCAGTTACGAGAGTCAGGGTTCTTTACCGCGGGAGCGACAAGAAGCGTTTCGCCCTGTTTTGACTATGCAGTCAGCAAAACATTATCCACCGACTTCAGTATGGGCTTCGTGTAGAGTCCATGCTTAGCATCCTTCGCATGCTTTGCTCTAATATTGGCCCTTCATTGTGACGCGCGTGGTGCTACTCATCCCTCTGTTGTGCGCCAGAAATATGTACTACATGTTGCCCCTAAGCAAAGCGGCAGCACAGCCCCTTCTTGGCATTGATAACCCCTCATCATTCGTCTGTATCTGTGCTTCTAACTGTCAATTGAAAGTCATTGTGTGGTAGCTTGAGCTTCTTGTCCAGCCCGAAACGCTCCAAACGGCAGGGATGTGGCAATCACAACTCTCACGCCAATGACGTCGCTGTGAGGCCTCGTAGAAACTCAACTTGATTCGTGAAATGAAGCATCGCTATCACGCTGCTTCATATTAAGCGCCATTAATCACTCGCCTACCCTACAACGCCGCACATGTATGCGAGGTGATTCATAAACAATTTGAGAGCAACATTCCTGCTGCAGCCTCCAGGTCGATCCACTGCACACGTTCCCTGGAACCAACCCCAATCCTACAGCGCCAAACTTCACCACTCTCGTTCGCAGATAGCCGCTCTAGGAAACTGCGGCGTCGCTCGAAACCTCACCTCAAAAGCCCCTGCGAGCCGTTTATCCGATTGCTCCAGCCCTGTCGGCATAACTTATTTACCATCGCTCGAAAATCAAAACCATGGCTTCCGGGCATAATGTTAGTAGCTCCTCTCGGGGCGCACACGCCGTCTCAATCGCAGTCGGCTAACACTATTTGCATAGGAACCAAGGCTACTATATGCCATTCAGGGCGTCTCTGCTTACCACCTTCAGAATGGCAAAGAGGAGTCGCTTACGCCAGCTGGACCCCAGACTTTGTCCCTCCTGATGGTGCCGACGTCGTCAAATTATGCAGACCCGTCATCTTTCGACAACGAAAATGCAACCCCACAGGACTTCTATCTGCACATGCACCTTGTGAGGATCGCATTCCCATACTTGACAATAGCTGCATACTGACCTGACCTGTAGCCCCCCGAGTTGGATATTCCCTTGCCGGCAACCACGCAAATTTATCACCAACCTCCTACAAGCTACCTGATCCCGCGGTGGGATTTGGGCCCGGAGAGTGGGGCATTCACACGCGTCGAGTTCCCGTCTTCTGGAAGCCGGAAGGGATTACAGGAAGATATTGATACGTTTGAAACCATCCTTGCCCAGTGTACTTCTTTCTTGGAAAAGGCTGCTCCTCCCACCTCGGCCAAGAAGGCCAAGGCTGCCGCATCGTCTGCCTCTCGCACTTCTCCTACTTCATCAAAGGCCAGAGAAGCGGTCCATGAAGAACTTCCGCCCTACAACCCTGGAGATTACGCTCCGGGCCAGGGTTATGCCGACGGATCTCAAAGTAAGCAACCGGGAGGAAAGATTGTTCTCGTAGACGAAGAGGATGGAAGTGTCATTGGCGAGCTCGGAGAGGGATACCAAGTGGTCGAGGATGACGCTTTGAAGCATGGATCTAAAGGTAAGTACATATTGCATGCTTACTGTGCCCACGGGATACTGATAGTAGAACAGATCCTGTTGAGATCACATTACCCGGAGAAGGCCAGCACACTCTTGGCGTCGCGCCTGCACCTAAGGAGTTCCTGGAAATGGAACTCCATCCGGCGTATAAAAAATCATTCCTTGTCAACAAGGCTGTATACGCTTCTCGACTTATTGTCGGCACTTCCGACATGCTGTCTAAGGGCATGCAAACCGGGGCTGAGCAGTTCAAGACCAAAACCAAGGCAACAGAGAAGGCCGTCACGTTCACACCCACGACTCACGGACATGCTCGCCGCATCGGCAAGTTCTCCGGAAATGTAGCGGATTTATCGTCGAAGACGGTTGGCCAGGTCACGAAGGTTGCTCAAAATGTCGGTGCCAAAGTGGCAGGTAGAAAAGGGAAGGATGGATCGTCTAGGGGGTATAGTGCAAACGGACAACCCCTTGATACGTTCAAGCCCGGCCTGCTCAACAAGAGTTTGATGGCTTTCTCTACTATTGCGGACGGTATTGATTACGCTGGCCGCAGTCTATTAACTTCAGGTGGGTCGGCAGCTACTGATATGGTAACACATAAATGGGGAGCAGAAGCCGGCGAGCTTTCTAAGCATCTCGGAGGTAGTGTTAAGAATGTTGGATTGGTTTACATCGACGTTACCGGTGTATCGAGGAGGGCGATTATCAAAGCTGTTGGTAAAGGTATGGTTGTTGGAAAGGTCAAGGGAGGAGGCGACATCGTTGTTGGCGAGGATACGTCCCAGTTGCAGGCTCAAGCCGTAAGGAATGATTCTAGAGCGAGTCTCCTTCAAGATAATGAGAGCGCGACCGGGCTATACGATGGGAGTGGGAAGAAGCCAGTTTATAGATGATAACCAGACTAAGTCTGCCACGAGCTTAGAAGATTCGACGTTTTGGACACGACCAGTGCTTAATTACATATATTTACCAGTACAATGCGAACTATCCAATTTTAAGAAAGAAAAAACCCCCCCAAAGAAACTGATCATAACACAATGTTATTATCACTATAACGCCGGCGGACTTCCAACTTATAAGGAACAAATTCCCATGTGGAAAATGCAGGGTCGACTATAAACATATCACGTGATTGATGAGCGGTCGCCGTTAACGCGTGAAAAGCTGCGACAAACGGAGAGCGCGACTGAACGAAGCTAACCTAGGTTAGTCAGGTTGCAGCGAAGCTAAATGAACGATGGTTGTTTCGAGTCGGAGATCTGGAGATTTGAGCATTAACTTCCACCGTTTGCGTTCAACCTAAGAAAAACATGGCAGACTGAAGGTCTTGTCCATTTCTGGTCACCTGTTTCCTCTATTGCATCGAATTCAAGTGAGGAGAATGTGTTGTTTGCCCGTGATCACTCTGTGATTCGAGTACTAACCTTAGCTACCTAAACCGTAGCACAGCACAACAACCGACAGCGCAGCATTTGACACTGCCTAATATTTGTATGGTGTGATCCCCAGATCACTTCCTCTGAGTCACAAACGATTTCCAATGTGTCGCCTTGAGATCGTTGGCTGTATCATCCTTTTCGTCCACACCATTAACGACAAACTTTCAAATAAGAAGCGATCACACGTAGCAGGGTACGACTCCACACCTACTCTGCGGCGGTGAGACCAGTCTCTCTTTAATGCTTCATTTCTAGGCCATCATCTTGCCCCAGAAGATGTTGCACGAAATCTTGTTCTCATTGTCCGGACACCCGTCGCCTCTGCTCAGAAATGAATACTCCGACGCCAGCGCCCGGTCTTTGTTGTCCGCCCCAGAGCGCGAGCTCCTCAGGACCGCTGGTCACTTGAGCGAGCTCCATTGCAACCTTATTCAGCACACAACACAGATCAGTGCATCGCACTCGTCGATTATTTGCCGGTCAGTTTCTACCGCTATAAGTTCTGCTCATTTGGCAGCTTTCCAGCGTAAGATATTAGACGTCGAGGATGGTATTCTCCGTAAAGACGCTGGCCTGGTTGGGGCTTATAATATCGTCCCTCTCACTGCTGTCATTGGCGAATTTTCAGACTGGACAAGAAGGCTAGAATGGCTGTGGGACTTGGTAAAGTATATGTCCAAACAACGAGAAGGCGGGACGCTGTGTACAGGAGCCGACCTCATGAATAAATTACGGGACGAACTACAAACGGGCTATGCGGATATCATGGACACGGCGCTTGCACTTATCCAAGTCGCGGAGACGGCTTGGCTCAAACAAATGTCTGCCTGGGTGCTCTACGGTCGGTTGCCCAATTTTGGTGTTGAGGACTTTTTCGTACGAAAGAATGAAGAGGATGAACTAGTAAGACGAGCTCACTCCTGTTCGACTATCTGGCTCACATAAATCGCAGGGTTACGACGTGGACTATAAGCTTGTCCCTTCCTGTGTAACTAGCTCGTGCGTATCCTCTATGCTATTCATAGGCACCTCTCTCAATCGAGTACGGGCAATGAACGTTGGGCAGCCCACGCTGGGCGGGCTCGGCCATCTTTCTTCACAGCTCCATGAGCTGTCTAAGCTCAGCTTCCCTCTAAACTCGTCAAGTTTATCGAGAGCAGTAACGGCTATTCGCTCGAACTTATCACGGACGATCTTGCAGAAACTCTTGCCTCTTGGGAGGGTCGTTGAGATGCTACAGGTTTTGCGTCAATTCATGCTAGTCGGCCGCGGAGAATTTGCCATGGCCCTTACTCAACAAGCTGATGAGAGAAACCGCGGCCGTTGGCGCCGTGCAGATAACCTTGCTTATCAGAAGCGCGACAGTCTAGGCACTATTGTTGTGAAGGAGGGTGAGGCATCGGCTGTGCTTGCGCGAACCTGGGTTGCACTGGGATCAATGCGGGGTGAGCATGCGGAAGAGGATGAAGAGCTTGAGCTCGCAAGAGATCTTCTGCAGTTGAGCTTCCCTATATCACAAGTTGCAGTGCAGAACACCCAGGGCAACATGGTCGCCACCCCTTTTCGCAATCTGCTGCTGTCGTCACCTGTAGAGTTGACTGTGCGTATTCCCGCCCCGCTCGACCTCTTTCTAAGCATGGACGATGCACAAATATATACTTGTATCAATTCGTACTTGTTGTCGATTCGCCGTGCACACCTCCGGCTCATGGATTTATGGAAGGTCACCAGACTACGACGTCACCACCGAGCGCCACCAAGAGCCCCTTTCAGCATGACTAAAGCTGGAACCGAAAGGACTGAGACACTTCGCACGCGATGGGCAGATCGTTCCCTACGCCTGCGGAGTACTTGGACTACAAGCAGTGCCGTGATATTCTTCCTAGCGGAGGTCGAAGCCTTTCTGCAAATCGAGATCGTGGAAGAACTATGGACTGATTTCCACTCCTGGCTGTCTCGCGAACACTCGCTGAGCAGGCCAACTAGTAGCAAGCAACTAGGTGTGAGAAACACAAACACGCAAAATCATCCAAATTTCTCAGACATTGACGTCTCGGCTCGAGAGAATTATGCAACAGTCAAACCGGCCGGCCCCCATGACATACATACTCCCCCAAAGGTAGCACACCATGATCCACAGACCCTATCTGTAGCTCATAGATCATACTTGCGATGCCTGACGCAACGGCTTCTACTGACGCAACCGACATTTACGGAATGCATGTATAATCTGCTTATCCACACCGACCATCTTGTGGCATTGATTCACCGTCTGGATGGGGTCTGGAGCTCTATGGATCTCGAGATAGACGAAGGTGTCGTAGACGCGTTTTCGAACCTCGAGGCCGAAGAGGCCGACGTTAAGTCAAAGTTACGTGAACTCGAAATAAGGGTCAAGAAAAGCGTTGAAGAGGTTATCGAAGTCCTCAGAGCTCTAAGTATCGATCCTCGTTTCTTGACCGAAATGGAGGAGGGTAGCACCTTAAACAACGAGGAATCGCAAAGTGAGGAGGATGGCGGGCAATACATACCCAAGAGAACCGGTGGTGTTGATCGTTTGCTGATGAAGTTGGACTTTGGCGGCTGGTTTGATAGTGGCCCAAAGAATGATATAAGTGTTGAAGATGACGGAACCTAGCAAAGCCCGTGAGCAGGTGACAAATCCTCCTCCGAAGGACAGGACTTGCATGGCGAACGGCGCACAAGCAAAGGATAGTAATCACATGTTTTGGAAGACATTGCATCACATGGCTAGGATAGCTTTTATGAACGCTATTGATATCTACGAAATCACTGCTTTGCAAAAGAAGTTGTCTGCCTCAACTTTTCCGTTACCACACCGAAGCTGCGGCGATTTTGGGTGTCGCTTACGCCTTAATACATGCTTACCATCTGTGGCATTGCCGTCTTCCCAATTTGTTGATACATTGGAAAATCATTGTCACGTGCGTGACTTGTGGGCTTGCTCACCTACTCAAGAGGATCCGAAATGTGAATTCTTCCCGGTTATGCTACTAACTATCAAGTCGTAATTGCATGACTTGTGAGCGAATAACCATAGCATTGGACTTAGTCGAGCGCGATTGCCAGCCAACTGCCACAAATGTAAAGACGGTAAAGCAATGTGCAAAGGGTGATATCATATTGATCGCGTCAGACCGTGATTGAAACTTAGCAATGCTTACGGATTTTCGCGTAAAAGGAAAAGAAAAAAGCAAAGAGGCTACCATGCAGACTTGTTCTGAGTACAGTACATGGGCGATGCTCCAAATAATCCGTCCTTGCCCTACCATACCAAGTCCAAGATAAATGTACAATGCAACGAGAAATAAAAATAAAAAGCAAAGTATATTCTTGCGCCTGTACTAATGATACCGAATCCGTGATGCAAGTAGGCGATTCATGACAAATGGTAGAGTCATGGTTTTAGCCAGATGTGTAGTAGCGACAGTAAGCAAAAGGAAGAAAAAAATATGACAGGAGTCGAAAAATGCGATAAGATGAATGGCTCCGTGATTCATCATGCCCCGAGCTGCCTCGGCATGGAAACGGTATTCATTTTGGGTGGTTTGTTTGCAAGCTGGGTATGCAAGATCTGTGTTACTGTAATTCCAATAAAGGACTGTTTCTGTTTCCGTTCCTGTGTTATGATGCTGATATAAGACGTTTGATTGCACCTTAACGTATGAGTCAGACAGACCCCCATCTGCCCCAATCACCTCAATGATGGTGGCTGATTGCGTGCTGACTGCGCCAAAGCCCACAGACAGCGGTATTGGGGGTGAGGAGAGGGTCGACTTTCTGTCGTGTCACCCTAGTTTTATTGGGAGCTTTAGTAAGCTACAACTGGATGGCGGGTCTTTTGCAAAGGACTTGAGTGGTCCGAATGGCGGCGAGAGAATAATTTGTGTACGAGGGACCTGGGTCTGGCATGGTCGTCGTAGTCGAGGGTCTTGGATCTCTTGGGGAGAGTGATACGTTGTTGGCGTGTGTGCTTGGTGGACCAACGTTGCTTGATGCAATCGTCGACAAGAGCCATCAAACCAGTTGCAACTACAATACTGAGTGGGCTGTCAGCAACTGTATAATACTCTGCAATACACAGACGTATTGTGAAGAATTTCAGTACTTACTCTGCAACATCCGTTGCGGCGTCGATGAGGTCCTTGTCGCTTAACCACATGTGACAGGGAGGCACCCACCCGCCAGCGTTTTCATCCGACGCAACTTGGTTCGGAGATCGCGTCTCGGGGACAATGTGGGCCACTGGGGCCGAATGTGGACCGTCGCGGAAGAGATGGAAGGACACCACACCGGTCAACTTGTCGGTGACCCTTTTCCATATGTAGTCATGACCCCACCAGGCGAATTCGTACCGCTTCGATCCTTTACTCCCACAGCGCTCAACATCCACCCGGGCATAATTTGAGAACTCAAGCTTGATGGAGTTTGTTGCGGTCTGACGCGGCTTCGTGATCTTCCCCAAGGAGAGACCTTGGCTGAATATGTCGCTGAATTCGGTATCTGCATTGGCCGAGTGACTCGTTTCTGGCCTGCTCTTGGTCGAGAACACTGAACCGCCCGTTGGGGTTCTTTTCAGTTGTGGCTTCGTGAATGATTTCATAGCGGAAGACACGGAGCGCTGCAGGGTTGGTCGACTTTGATTTCCTGGCTCTGTGTATTTGCGTTTGGAATTACAAACTTCTCTTCCGGAGTCTCTACAGTACCTCCGCAGAGAGAACTCGCGCTTGTTCAGGTCGTACATTCGCAAATGGAAAAGTTGAACCGTCCTTCTGCGTCTCCCTGAGACTATCGTATCTACTCGCAGATTCATATTCCCGTCCGATGTAAAGTCATCGTGCCTGATGGAAAGACGATTCATGCTAGGGAATAAGGCCGCAAAATCTTGAGCTGATGAAGGTCGCACATTGGAGTCTGTGATTTCATGGCGATATATTGGTAGAGGAGGCACTTCCGTATCATCCACTATATCAACAATCTCCGTGTCTTCGATCTCATCGGCTGAAGCTTTTGACGAGTATGTTTCTACCGATGACCTTGGGCACAGGCTTGTCGATGGCGAAAGATCCTCATTGTAACGTTCTGTATAGTGCTTAGGATTTCTTGCACTGGAGGCCTTAGTAGAGCCTAAGTTGTCGTAAAGTGAACTTGGTGCGGTACTCCGAGAATCATAAGAGTACTGGTCATATGACTCATCACTCCTCCGTGAGTCCCGCGTACTTGTCGTATGATTTGACGACGTGGGAGCGTACTGCCTTCTTGACATTGTGTTGATTGTGCCCTTAGATTTGCCGGTCAAGACTCATGAGCTCTTCATTGACATTACGTTCCACCAGAGTCGAGGCACAGCCTTTATATAAAGTATGTAGATGAACTCTACCGCAGTATTCTAGGGGCCTTCGAGGTCTTGCAAAGTTGGGCGGCGATGAAACCGTGAACAATCCACGATTCTTGTGATTCGATAGATGATGACTGAAGCCTGAAGTGTGTGGGTCGATGAGTAGACCCAAGGAAATATGTGCCTGGGTGCTGGACGTAGGCGGGGCTAAATAAGTCTAACTGTCCAGTGAATGTATGCAAAGGTTAAGGCGAGATAGTGTGTCGACATGAGAAAGGTTGCGATATGATGCGAAAATTAAGGCAGGACTTGGTTGGCTACGAGACTACTGATGGATATGTCTGCTACAGAACGAGCAAGATGACTGGAAAGACATGGCGCGACGGAGCTCGGCTACACACTAATAGACGGGCATCGAGATACCAGAACCCTGAAGACGGGCATCGTCAAGATTGGCCAGAAAAGGCCGACAGGCCTCAAGATACCCTGGCGACTTCGCCCATGCGCTGGTGATGGGACGTAGCTACTTTTCCATGGGCCCAAAGATCTGAGCGTAAGACTTAGATCCCGTTGGTGGGAACTCAGTGGAGTCATCGATCTCATCATGGCGACTGGCTGGTATTACCTTCAGAATGACAAGAAAAGGTTTGTCAGAGTGGTGTGGGGTGTTTGACGAGTGATTGTACTCTGCACCAATGGTAACTTTGTATGTACCCTCACCTCTCATTTTTCATGTGCTTGGTCGCACGACTGTGTAACTTGCACGCATGCACCGGCCGGCTCCACTATCCAGATTTACTCTACATAAGTGGTACGACATAGCATCTAGGCAGGCTCTAGGCGCTGAAAGGCCTTGGCTCAGCACACTCCAGCCACTGTCCAGATCATGCTTGACGTACACACAGCACACAGCGCTGCCAAAGACGTCTCATCCGGGTGATACTTGGAGAAGGCGCTAGAAGATGCCACGGAATACTAAAATACTGGCTCCTGCGGGCTGAGCCGTTGACTACTGTAGCCCCCGGGCCATCTTCAGATTCCTCGGCGCACTTGTGTGGTGCAAGGGAATGTTTGCGACTGAACCCAATGCAGAACAGAGACACTCAAGGATCTGGGTTCAATTTGGCACTCTCAGTCACCACGGCTTTGGATTACTATACCCTTTCCGCAAATTCCCGCAATATTCGGAGCTCCCGTTTACTTCTTATTCTTGCGACTTCATGCCAATGATCCTCAGTGCGGACTTCTACACAATCCCGCACATTTTATTGCTTGATGAGAACAGCGTCCAGGAAACCGTCTAAATGTGTGGAAGCCGTCAGCATTTGAGTCATCATGGCCACATCCCGCACAAGTCGCGTTCCAATGGATCTTACTACACAGCCGACAATAGATCTGACCCCTGTCCAAAGGACGCAGGGCAAAGGTGGTGGTGTTTGACGCTGCGAGGGGCTTGTTGACCGAAACTCCAACAGAATCTGGGTAAGGAACCGCCTGGCAATGTCTTACCACGTATGAATCTGTTTCTCAATTTGCCGAAGAATAATTTTTCAAATATCTGTATCCATTGTGCTGTAGCACATATATTGTTACAGGGCCGAAATATGACGTTCACATTTTCTCTGCCCGTCCCTGGCGAGGTCGTTCTGCATCTACTCAAACCTTCATCTTTGCGACACGATTTTCATTGGCCAATTCGTCTCTACGAGCGCAACCGAAGTAGCTCTACAGCTTTGACAGGTGGAAACAAATCTGCAGAGCATGGCGCTATCATTGTCAGTATACGTGGCAGGCTGGCAGGCTGCCTGTGTCCTTGGAGGTTTGGGTATTATGATGCCCAACGACAATGACCGGAGCTATCGATAGCCTGCCAAACCATGTGTCTTGAGGCTAGCTTTAACACTGGACCAGCGTGCCGAAGCTTTCAGGTCAGCTGCTCAGGTACCACACATCATTATTGCAAACATTACAACGTGCCGCGCCAAAACCCGCCATCGAGGACATTGCGTTCCTAGTTCGATCCGCTCGCGGATTTGGCACAGTGCATAGTGAACTCAAAATTAAAGGCTTGGCATTGTATCGCCGTCACAATTCTGTTGCTGCTTACAGTAGTCGACATTTCTGCCGCAGAACTGCTTGACATCCCGAGATTCGGCTGCTTTGTAATAATAATAATGATGATGGTGATGATAATAATAAATAATAAACAATCATTTAAAATAAAATAAAGAACCCCTCCATTAAGACAGTCCCATTCACGCCAACGTATATTGTATGGGCTAGAACATATACGTGACCGGCATTCCAAAACTTCTAAGTAACTATGCGCATCTGCGACTATGCATGTCTTGACATACTTGAACTCGCGTGCGACGTTGTCACAGTACAAGTTTGCATTGTGGCATAATTATCCACAAACGCATGTACGCTGTCATGGGTACCAACCCAACCTGTTTTGGCTTCAGCTGTTCTCCCGATGTCATTTTACGACTATCAAACTATTATTTCATTAACACAAGAAGGGATACAGCACTGTCGCTGCTGTCATTCCCCCGATCTCTGCAGGTCGTTGAATGTGGAACGGCTGTGTGTCAATCTCTCATTCGCCGGTCGTCCATGCGCGACCCTCAGTTTGACCTGTCGCTAGGCACTCAAGCTATGAGCACGTGGCTTGGGATATCCAGCTTATGCTTCTAGGACCACTACGGCTATCGCAGAAGCATAGTTCAATCAAGCATGCATTGCCATTGTCTATCAAACGGCGTGGCCTACGAAATATGGAGGCTAGTTGGGCCGCCATGTACATTGCCCACTGCCAGCATGAAATATCGTCTACGAAGATCAGGGATTTCAAGCCTACAGGAATTAGAAGATATTTTGGAGTCCGACCAAATTCCCTGAAACCAAGACTTGTCTACGGATCTGGCGGCTGGCTAAATATTATACCCCCAATACCAGATACTCCGTCTCTACCCAACATCGCAGCGCAGCTATATCCCAATATGAGCTTGCATCAAAGTGTCGCGGTCTTTGTACTCCTAAAATTTAAACCAGATGTAGTGTCTATATCGAGTTTCCATCTTAGCTCAATAGGCATAATGAGTCGTATCAAGCACAATTTTTTAGGCGCAGCGAAACTCTTACGGGTGATCACCCTGGCCAAGGCACCTTTTCAACTATCCCCGTCTTCATCTATCGAGTCCAATAGTATGTGCGAACCCCCATATTACTGCTGATCATGTCATAAGCTCCCTGAGCAAAATGATCATCCTGATCCACACTATGTAACAGCTGTTCCAATTGTTCTCCTACATACCCCACAATGCGAGTTACCGGCCTCGGGAACTTGCAACCTTACAGACTACGCTGTGTTTCCCGTTTTGTGTACCTCCTGACGCCATGTAATGCATCAAGCTACGGATTGCAGAAAGAAATATCACGTTGAAGATCATTTGCTGTGCTCCAAGGAAGTATCGTGGCAACGGCCGTTAAGCACCCTGCATTTGCAATACTATTTGTCCTCCCTCATCAAGCTATGCGAAGCTGCTGTTCGTTTATGATTAACCAGCCTCTGTGGCGGCTCTTGAAAGACAGCGAGAATGATCAGACGGTGACACCTGTGGATGACAGTCCTGGTTGTGATGCATAGAAAAAGGCCACGTCTGACGCTGTTGCAACTGACGTATACTCTAACACAAATCCCTTGATAAGCGGAAGCCGACTCCCCATCTGAAGTGACCCAAGAATTTTATGGTTTTCATCCGTGCCTACAAATTCCATGAGATCGCTCCTATACATACTCGAATACCAGCTTAGTTACGTCAACCGATTCCTGCAGTGTCGTATCCATAGCATTCATAATTCAAACGCCGGCCCAACCGTAATGCTGTAACAAATCATCAAGTCCAACGAGAGCCCGGATCAATCGCCAAAGTTGATTCGGCAATTTTATGACATCGTTGTTCGATAACGGCTTCAAGCGAAGTAGCGGCTCTTCTTAAAATATTGGCTGCCACGACAGTGCAATGCTACCATACCATGTTTGAGCCTCCTATTGGGCTTATCCCGTCGTTCCGGCCAGCGAAGATCAGCTGCAATGAAGCACGAGGGTAAGTCGTACCGCGGAGCTGAATGTATGTCCTCTAATTCAATCGAGCTCGTCAAGCCCATGATCGCAATTGACGTGTAGTGGCCCGGGGGTTTGATGGTTCGGTCGCCATTGGCAGCCTTTGACCATGGATACACATATCCACCTCATCGAAAAAAACGGGCACACTGCAGTCAAACCCACGCAGAACATGGGGAAACACGACAACGGTCTTGCTTACGAAGAGATCGCCCCCTTTGTTGACTGACTGCCTCCATAGTCTGTGGTGTCTGCTGCTGATGAAAAGGTTATGCCTGCATCACGGGGTCTGTGGCATGTTGAGCCTCACCAATGACTGCTGTGGGATCGCCCGTCGGTAACCGCAAAACAGAGGTAATAATCAGGATCCCCCTCCACCCTCCTTGTCAGCTCAAAGAGGCGACATGCGTAGAAATCAACGAAAGACAGCAGAACCGCAAGATTCAGCGAGCAGCCGAAGTCACCGCATGGGGTTCCCCGGATTCCAGAACGTCGGATCGTGCTAATCGTCAGCTGGGCGTCACATTCAACCCCTGATGATTGGGCGCTGCTGAGCAAAGCGATATACTATTGGCCAAGTCTTCCCGGGAAAATGCGAGGGAAGGGTGGGTGGGATACCCGCCTGGATGGCAGAGTTGGGAACACAAAAAGAACGTGGAGGGTGGGCGCTGAACAACTCGATCCTCTAATAAGTCAGACAATGGCTAACCCCCCCTGGGATTTGCACATTGACAAGCCAGTAGGCTACGCCTGTTCCTTAAAATTTTGCTTTTAGACGCGGCTTGACGAGGAAACTGTCCTCCTGACTTCTCTTCGGCGCCACAACCATTGTATCAACCTCTGCCCTCGAGGAGATTTCTGTGGGCGACGATGATCATCAATTGAAGATCGCGGTCGATTGGAAAAATTCCACGGCAACTGCATTTTTCTGGTCTCCAGCTATGAGTCGTCGAGGGGTAGAGTTTCTGGTGACATGACGATAATGACGGGTGCAGATCGCGGCGTGTGGCAAATTCACGATAACCTCAATTCCTTGGTTCCCCAATTTCTCTAAGACCGGTGAGGGCACGACAACCCCAACAGCCAAAGGGACTCATTATGACGTCTATGCTGTCTTTTGACGTGGCCGCCCTCGCCGTCTAGATCTCACAAAATGATTCGAGGTCAAAAGTAATCATTGCCTCGGACGTGCCATCCAATATTGGTATTGGGCTAGACTCACTGCCAATACCTTGAATTCCATGCTTTTGTTTATTAATTCATGTTGCATAAGCATGGACACACGCAGAATAACCGTAATCAAACTCGCCTTTGCTCAAGATAGCACAGGCTGATATGGTGCCAAGGAAGTGTACTAGGATCATGACTTTGCAGCACTTTTCTCTATCTGCCCGTGGTAAGACATAGTGATATGCAGGGATGGAGACTCAGTCAATAGACATTTGCCCGGGTGTCCTCTTGGGTGTGAACAGAGGAAACCTCCGATTCCCGCCTGCGCCCATGGTCGTACGAGAGGAAAAACGGCACTGGAAAACCCCTCCAATCCTCGTGAAGCTCTTCCTTGCCAGACTCGGAATTCACATGCGTAAGACGAGAAGAAAAACCCCCGGACTCGGTATTCCCTTTATGTCTTGCGAGGACGGGAAGAAGCGAGGATTGGAGAATGATCGAATCGGGAATTGCAGATTGTGGTCAGATGAATTTGCATGGGCTTTAGTTTCGACCTTTTTACTCACTTATACAAGGTTAGATATAGGCTATTTGTTTGTTGTCGTTTAGCGGTCCGGCCGAACCGAGTGAGCCTCGGGTGTTTACGGAATAAACCGAGTTTGCACGACACTTACCCCCTCCACGGATGGTCCGGAATATTCGAAAAGGAATTCTAGCGAAGTGCAGCATTACATGTTAGCCGGCAAAATTTTCTGTATTGAAAGGTGATGTTTTATGGTTCGTTGGGTGGTGTGATATAATGGGTTTCTAGGTAATTTCCCTCCCGGCGGCGCAATGCCGCTCCTCTAACGTGACTTGGCGATGGATGGTAAACTGCGACAAAACTATACTGGAGGAGGGACTTTGGGACGTTTTAGGTCGACCCGCGCTTGGGACTGGACTGTAGTATGAAATTATTCCGTTAATGAGCCGCCCAGCTCCTATGACAGGTTACAGGCATAGGTCTGCTTTAACAAGTTTTAGACTGAGTAGAAGCGATTTGAAATGGGACAATAGCAACAGACATGATCATGATTATCTAAATTCTTACTTGACATTATGGCAATAAACTATAGTAACAAGAAGGGGCTTGTCGAGGGCAACAACAACTAATGTAAGCTAGAGCAGAAGACAGCGTAGACAAGGAAGGCGTCTCGTTCCGACGAATGCAAGTAGATACGGGCTCTCATATTCTCCCAATGATTTACACCTCATATCCATATCTCTGCAACTCAGCCAAACCAGGAGTGATCTTGATGATCATATCTCGGGCTAGCGAGATTACCACTTGTCCGTGCTGTGAAGTCCACGCTACCTCTCGAAGACGGTATAGGTGAACCATACCATGTGCTTCGGCCCGAGGAGCGTTGTGAATTCCATCTCATTAACGTTGGCAGGTAGTAGTCGAAGGATCCACGATCAGGCCTCTAATGCTGAGAATCCCAGCCGACCCAACTGCGCGGCATGACACGCCAAATCTTAACCTCACCAGATCTCAAATCGTCCAACTTGAAAGATTCTTGCTTGACTTTCTTATTCTCACGCCCCTGCTCCCAAGCCCTGACCTTCTTTTTGGTGCCGTCCCACTCAGCGACGATAGCAACATGATCTGGCCTGCCAACCTCCATTGAATATTTGGCGTGCATAGGTCCATGCTTGCCCTGGAACTTAGCATTGCGAATGGATATGATATCACCTGGTCTAATCTCATCAGTCATTTGTGTCGAAGCATTAGCCATGTTGGCATAGACAAGAGCGCCGTAGGCACGTGTGCCAACAGGCAACAGGACATCCTTGAAGGGCCTTAGGAGTTCATAGATCAGCCCTTGAGGCGATCCGTCTCCAACAACAGAATCCTTCTTGGACGGAACAGTGTTCGCGATTTGTAGACCGTATTGTTCATATGCCTGTTCCAGCTGATCTTGTCGGAGTGCTCGAGGGGGCGGCTCATGTCTCTGGTCCAAGTCCGTATTTGAAGGGTTTTGCGGATCAAACCGAGCCGTAATGATCGTTTGCGAGTAATCTTGGAACAGGACGTAAACGTCCTTGGTCACTACGGTGGAACCGTTAGGTGCCGGCGTAGTAGACTGGTCAGACTCGAAGTAGACATCTCTTCGTCCTTGGAAGATGGGGGGTACACCATTGGCCTGAAGCCACCAGCTCGTATGTTGAGCCAGGTCAACATCGTTGGCCATAAAGCCAGATTCTACAGACATTGATGGACGGCTAACATCCATGGACCTACGTCCACCCAAAGCTCTTTGCGCGTCCAGAGACTGCCGTGCAGGTGCTCTGCTTGGGGCTGCCTGCGGAGGAGCAGGAGGGGGAGCCCGGCTCATAGGTGGTGGCGGTAACTGATAGGAAGGTGTAGATTCAGGTGATTTAACTTCTTCTTCGTCATGCTTTGATACACTGTAAGAGGTGCTCTGCGCAACACCTGGACGTGTTGCTAAATACTTATAAGGATCATACTCATCGTCATCTGCCTGAGCGTGTGGTTCCGTTTGGACCGGTGGTGGGGGCGGAGGGGCTGCTCGAGGCATATCTGCAGATGGCCGCGCTGGTGGTGGAGGCTGACTGGGAATCGGGGGAGGAACAGCCCTCGGGGCCCCTGCAGGGACGGGTGGAGGTAGCGAAGGCGGTGGAGCCTCTGAAACTGGTGATCGAATTGACGTAGTCTCGTCTAAACTTGTGTCACGAGCATGCGATTTCAGCGCATCCTTGTGGGGTACCGACGAGGCAATGTCTGTATCGTAGTCTCCGTCATAATCAGTAATCTCCCCTTCCTCTCCATTGTCAAGAGGGCCTGGTCTCATTGGCGACATTACCCGCTCGGCGGATGTCGATGTCCGTCTTGGGGCTGTTCCGGGCGGAGGAGGTGGTGGCGCGCGGGTCTGCGATGGTATTGGCGGCGCAGCTCCCGGGATAGGAGGTGGCAGTCGACTGTTCCGTTTATTTGATTGGATTGGTGATATAGGCGAGGATTCTTCCCCTATATATGATGATCTGTTGCCAGCAAGTCGAGGTGATGCTGGAGCCATAGTTGGTGATGCGACGGGAATTGGAGGTGGCGGAGCGCGAGCGGCGGGTGGAACCTCTCCTCTGGGAGTCTCGAGTGGTTGCATCTGGCTCTCAGATAACTCATCGTCTGATTCAGAGCCAACACTGGGTGAAACAACTGTAGCAGCAGCGGGTGGTGGGGGCACTGGTCTCGCTACGGGGGTCGTCAGCAACGATTATTGTAATGCTAATACAAACCGACACTTACATCCAGTCGAAGGAATAGGCGGGGCGGCATGACGACCGCCAGGAATAGGAGGTGGAGCTCTGGGACTCATAGTACCTGTATTATGATGTTAATAAAACTTTAGACGAGTATACAACAAAGTCACTAACGGTCGTTTTCTGTGTCGCGAGGGCTCAATGGGGCAAGGGGAGTAGGCTCCTCCTCATCGGCCGGCGATTCTTGCTTCTCAGCTTGCTCGTCATCTTCTTTAGGCTTATCGCGGCTCATACCAGGAAGGGCCATGGCTGTGGGTATCGGAGGAGCTGCACGAGGTGAAGAGATTTCCTCCTGCGGTTGCTCGCTGGGACGTCGCTCGATCGGCGGAGGCTTCTTCTTTTTAACTCCGCCGGCGGAAGCAAGAGGTGCGGCGAAGGGGTTCATGCCCATCATGCCAAAACCTCCCATACCAGCGCCACTCATCTTGGCCATCCTGGCTCGTAATTCCTCCTTGCGCCTGACTTCAGGATCTTCTTCCTCCTCGTCTTCCTCCTCCTCCTCCTCACCCCCTGCTTCTTCCTCGTGTCCTTCCATTTCCTCGGCAGTTTCTACTTGAGCTTGTTTGGTGGAGGCTCCAGTTAGTACACGGGAAATACGCTTCGGTTGAGCGTCACTATCCTCGCGCTCGGTAAGATCCTCGGGGCCTTCGGTAGTGTCTCCAGCACCAGACATGTCGGCCTCATTGCCGTCCTCAGGGACGTCTTTGGAAGACCTTCTCCGTATCGGAATGGACATCCTCGGTGGCGGTGCTGGTTGGGCCTCGTCCAAAGATTCTGTATTGCGTCGTTCGAGAGATGGTGCATCAGATACATCAGTAGAAGCGCGCTCAAGAGGTTCTTGGCTGTCGGTACGCTTCTTGGGCGGAGGACGCGGCTTTGGCTTGCTCTTTGCAGCGGTATCCGCGTGCCGCTGGGCTGCCTCCTGCTGTTGTTTCTGTAGCAAGGCCATACGCTCCTTTAAGCTCATGGGCTTAGGCTGGTCCTCATCTTGACCCTCTGGGGACTGTCCAGGAACTAGACCTGCCTTGGCAGCATTCTCTTTATTCTCGACCTCCTTCTCCTTGATCTCGGGATCCTCATCCCGTCTATAAACCTTTGGAGCGGGCTTGTCCCGTGGTGGAGGCACGTAGGCATCTCTACTTGGGGGAGGAGCGACAAACGGCTTTTTGATGAAACCGGAGCTACTTCCTCCGCCAAGGCTTGCAGGCTTGAACGGAGCGATTGGCGGAGCTGCGGACTTGTTGAAAGCAGCAATACGGTCCTTGAACGAGCTACTAGCTGGCTTCTCGGAGACCGGAGGTGGTCCACTGCGTACGGGCGCTGGAGCCTTCACAAAGGGCTTGGTAGCCAATTCAGCTTTGGGCGGCGCTGGCACAGGTGCAGGTACTGCGGCGGGGTTTGGGGTTGGTTCAGCTGGCTTGGATACGGACGCTGGAGCCGGGGCTGGGGCAGCTTTTGGTGATGGCGGCTCCGCGGCAGGTGGCGGCGAAGCAATACGTTTCTCTTCCTCTGCGTCGGGTTCTGAAAGCGCTTGTTCCGGTGCCGGCTCGGGCTCGGACTCGGGCTCGGCAGCAGCTGGAGGTGAATAAGGTGCAGGAGGAGCAGGCTCGGGGTCTTTCTTCTTGGTTCGTGCTGGACGCGGCGGAGCGACTGGTTCATACTTTTCGACAAAGTTGCGAGGGAAAATACCTTCCCGCGGCTCTCCGGAAGCATCTACATATTCGCCGCCATACCAATCCGGGTCGTCGGTGTCAGTGACGGTAATGATCTGGCCGATTTCGAACGGCAAGTCATCTTCGTGGTTCGAGGTGTACTCAAAAAGAGCTTTCACCTTGAAGGGTGCAGCAGCCATGATGCCTCGCACTCGGCGTGGTCAGCAGACTGCACCTCAGCAGCTTGGCGTGGCTTGCAGGCTTGCTATTGCTCTGGGCTAGCAGGGAGAGTCGTTGGCTGTCTGGCGCGGAAGTGCAATGGCTGGTGAAGGTGGTTGCGATAATATGATCGACGATGAATGAGGGGTGGGCTTCTGAATGGTTATGTGTTTAATGGATTCGAAAGTGGAGTGCTGGTACTATGGCCTATTCTCAAACAGATTCGGGGGGGTTCCTTTCTGCATCGAGGCTGAGCACATGGACTCGGACTTGCACAAAACAGCAGCCTGTTGTTGGAGCTGTAGACGTCAGCGCATGAAGATCAATTGGAGCCGGCGTCCGCCAAATAAAGAGCTAAATAAGTACTCAACCCCGTATATACAACACAAGTACACACATACCTAACGGACTGGGAAATGGGCGCTAACTTTCTTCAACGAGGAGCAAACAGAGGACACAGGCAGCTTGGGGTGACAGACTATTGTACCGCTACCGGTGCAAGTGATTACTATCACAGCCTACAGGAATCTCAGAGTATCTATCGGTCGAGCCACAATGGTTCCGGATGTGAGCGACATGGGATGCTCGGCATGTATTGGGATGCCGTGCCCCCCCAGGTTATTTAAGCCAAAGTGATGGTAGCGGGTTGGAGCCTTCCATGTACGGTTCCGTACGAAGTACGTAGTACACACGGTGGGAAGTGAGGTCAGGAACGCCACAAACCAGCATGTCATTGTGGCTTCAAACCAAAAGTATCTCAAGTAGCTGAGGCGGGCTTATACGGTAGCATAGCTAGCGCCTCGAGTAGGAGGGGCGGAATTTCATTTGCAAAGTCCGACATGCCGACATGTAGTTCTCCAAGGTTAGAATGCATTGCAAGCGTTCTCATGCCACTCACTTATTTTCATTCACTTATTTTCATCTTGTTTTGACCCCGTCTCACTTGGGCAATCCTGCTGGTTTGATCTGAGTAACCGTCACATTATTTGTATACCATGTCTACCGAGACTACCATGTCTACCAGGACTCCCAAGTCAATACTCAAAAAGTCCTCGGGCACTGGGAAGCTCGCAGCAGACAGAGCAGCCGCCGATAAAGCCCGTCAGGTAGCCGTCACACATGCCAAGATCATACACCAGCAGCGCGACCACCAGGACCAGATCACCGACACCCTTATGGAGCTATGCAAGCTGCCCCTCCTCCGCGAATCTCCCTACACCTCGAGCAACCCCGCACCTTCTGACGCTGCCGCTTTCAAGTCTGGCATCCGCCTTTTCCAACCGGGAGACTACGACGACTTGATCGAGGAGCGCAATGCGAGTGGGCTCTGTGGCTATACGCTGTGTCCCTCGCCGCGCAGGCGTGTTCAGGGGGGAGAATGGAAGATTGTCGGTGCCAACATCCTCCCCAAGAAGGAGGTCGAGAAGTGGTGTTCACAAGCGTGCGCAAAGCGCGCTCTGTACGTCAAGGTCCAACTCAACGAGACAGCACCTTGGGAAAGGGCCGGCATCAACAGTATCAAAATAGATTTGTATGAAGAGCCAGACCGGAATCTTGCCAACGACATGAACAACCTGAAGCTAGAATCGCAACCCAAAAACGTGAGGGACACCGTCAAAAACGCCAGAGACCTGGCACTGGAACGAGGAGATCAAAATGAAAAGGGCAAAGAGCCTTCTATACCGGTCATTGTCAAGGACAAAGCTATCTCTACAGCTGCAGAAGCACCGTCGTGGAACGAAATGGGTGATGGCCACCTTATTCTCGAAGGCTACAAAACGAAAACGGGCAACGAGGCGCATAGCAATTGAGCAAGCAAAATTGTATGGAATCACATCCTGGAGATGGAGGGACAGGCCAGACCTGGTGCATACAGACGGCAGCATTGTACAGATCGAGATACCCGGCGAGACAATTGACTTCGAACATTACGTGTAGATGTCTCATCTGAAAGTGCACGAGGCAAACATGGCAGGTGGGCGAATGGATCTTTCGTAGGCAACAACTTGTTGTCCGCTTCCCAAGTCGAACGGAACGACATTCGTTGAGCACCACCCATAGATGCCTGTCGCGCATGACCAAAGGCTAGAAGCATGAGAAGCTAGACAGTCACGTCTCACAAGAGCAGGAGGGGAGATTGGCCATCAACCATCGTCTTCGGAATTAACCAAAAACTCAGGGACACCTTGTGTGGGGTAGATCTTGTCTTTTTTTTAAAGATCTAAAAAGCACTCACTATCGTCCAGAGACGCCGTAGAGCCGTAAAGCCGTGAGACCGTAAATGCCAGTTGCCCAAATCAACCATTCGTGAAACCCATGCGTGATACACTTTTCCTTCGCTCCAAAGACATTTAGCGGGCGGGGCGGTCACCGAAGCGGCGGGGGCCACGCTCAGTACCCTGAGACTGGGTAACGGGGACGACGTTGACGGGGATAGAGTCGAACTGTAGTAAACATGAGTTAGCACCTGCCGGTCACTGCTTTGTATATCGCGGGAGTCACGTACGCCGAGGTGCTTGAGCAGGTCCTTGGTCTCGGTGTCAATGTCGAGCTGGCCGCTCTCGGAGTTCTGGGCAAAGTCGAGAGCAGAGATCTCGGGAACGTATTGATCCTTGCGCTCTCTCTCCTCCTCTTGAAGCTTGAAGGAGATACCGCGCACAGGTCCACGCTGGATACGCTTCATCAAGTGTGTGGTGTAACCGGCAATCTTGTTGCGGAGGCGCTTGGAAGCAATGATGGCGATCTCATCGCAGACACGCTTGTTGGTCTCGAAGTCCAGAGTGAGCTTGGGGTAGTATCGCTCAATCTAATTCCTGTTAGCATCAGGCGCATTCTGGATCTACCATATGCAAATACTCACGATGACCTTGGAGGACTTCTTGACTCTAAATTCCGGTGTTAGCAGCTTTCTTCTCATCAAAAATCAAAAGAGACAGAGGTTCAGCGACATACGTCTTGGTACGGACTGTGACGAGTTAGTATGAGTTCCATTACTTAGGAAAGGGACTATGAACATACCACGACCCATTTTGGCGGTATTGGCTGATTGTCAAGGGGTGAAGTTGTCGGTGTTGAGCGTTGGGCGTCGGACGGAGAGGTTACCGGAGTTGAGTTGGCCGTTGGGTGAAGTTCAAGAGGAAGGTCGCGAGCACAGGTGAACTTTTTCGGTGGAGTGCATTTTCCGACAAATTGACAAAGTGCTTTGTGCTATGACCCCACAGTGCTTATCTAGGGCAGGAGCGATAAGCCAAGCCAATCCACCCAGTAAGAAACCAGCCAGCTTGACCACCACCCAGATAGCCGTCTGCCGACAGGCGCCCACGCTCAACTGGCACTGCCGGTCTGAAATGCTTCAAGTCGCCTTGAGAGTTTAGCGTTGTGGACACACGTACCATGGTAACCTGGGGAAGTTGGCATACCGTAGAGCATATATTATATAGCAAGCATCTTTTTGGGAGGCAACAACCTGTGATCGTTGCTATTGCACCAGCACTGTCTGCTCTTGCATTCGCCTCACAAGCCTAGACACATTCAGCGCCAATAGTATTCATAAATGGCAATGCGCACATGTTGATTCCGCGGCATTGCGCCGCAAGGGGGACATCAAATGCATATCCAAAGCCAGGTGAAGAACGGGGTTATTGGCAGATCCATTTTGCTTTAGATCTGGCTTCTCATATTTATACACGTATACACAATCCCACAAATAGTGTACATTGACGGGTATCGACTAAGACATCGTCCTTGAGCGGCACAAGCAACCCCTGCAGGTTACGACTTACGGGCAGTGCAGTCCGATGATATGCTTCTTACCGGTCGAGGCCATAGTTGGCAGAGCTGCCATAGATAGCCCTTTGGTTGCTGCGCTGCGTCCGTCGCATCCCCCCGGGTCTCTCGACAGTGAGAGACTCGGTCCTCTCCTTTACAGCAGCCTCCCAAACGTCCCCTTCGCCTACCATCTCCTTCTGTATAATCGTCGCTTGCGCATCCGTCTCCTCAAATTGAAGAATCATCTTGCCCTTGGGGTCAACTGACGCCCTGTGAGGTGCCACGTAAACCTTGGAACCGCCGAAAACATCAGGAACGAACTCGTTGAGACCAGGGATCTTCTCCCTCATTCCACGGCCCGTGCTCTTGTAGTTGAATGTTGTCTCTCCTTCTGGGATTTTGGATATGAGACCGGCAACACCAATCTTGGCAACGTAGCCGGTGGAGCCCGATCTGGGCGACACGATTCTCGCCTTCACCGGAGGATGCTTTTGTTGTGGGCCGTAGAGAGGATGGTTGTCTACATAGCTCTTGGTGCGGAGATAAGAGAGACCGGCAGACGGATGTGTGATTGGCGGGCCGTTTTGCGCGTACGGACTCAGGGTGATGTCGTATCTCTTGTTGACCGCGAAGTGGTTCAGACCCTCCAATATACTCGTTTGTGGTGCCAGCGGCGCGAGATCCAAGAATCGGCTGACGTGCTGGAAAAGGAGAATGCGGTCCCCGCGAAGTCTCCTGAGATATTCGGTCAGGGCTTCCTCGGAAATGTCACTCGGCAGGACGGGTGCGGGTAGCTCCTCTGCTTTCTCCGCTGCCTGTGCCTTTCGGTCGTTGGTCGTCTCGGCGGCCAGTTGTTGCTTCAGGTAGTCTCGGAATTCTGAGCGCCTTTCACGCACTGTTTCTGATAGGTACTGGTTGAACTCGCCTTCCGTCATACCCGCCAGCCACGGTCCGCTGAACTTCCAGCGGATGCTCTCTTTCTTGACCTTGTCCTCGGCACTTAGTGCAGTAATGTCGCTCGCCTCTTCAAAAACGGATTTGCCAGGTCTCTTGTCACTGGCTTCTTGAGGCACCGTGATGTCCATATTGAGTTCTTGCCATTTTTTCAAAGTGATGGTATGGTCCGAAGACGACTGGAAATCCGTTACTTGCTCAATGGAGTCGACCTGTCTGATCCTGACCAGCGGCAGCGTAGACTTGGTGGTCGTCTTCAAGGGGAAAGGGCGCTTGAATCCCCAATCACCCACCGCGCGCGACGACTCAGTGGTAGTGACCGAGAGACGTGTAGGAAACGGGGTTGTCGCAGTCGCTGATTTGTGCTTTGTTGCTAAAGAAAGGTCGGCCGGTGCTGAGATGGGAGCTGGCATGGAGAACATGCGAGATGACCTCAACAGAGCCGCTCCGGGAGAGACGCTCCGGGAAGCGTTGGCTGTAGCCATGTCGATGTTCGCTTCCTCTACCTTGTAACAGGGACAAATGGAGGTTGTGCTCGAGGCCGAGCTCAATCCAATTCTAGTGGAAACTGCTTTGCCATCATCTTCAAGCTTCTGAGCTCCCTGCAGAATTTCCGCGGCAGCACGGACCCACCCACGCCGATCCAGTGGCAGCGGGTTCGCGTCGGAGCGATTTTGTCAGGTCAAGAGCTGGCGGCGGCTGGCAGCCACTTGATAGAGAGGCCCCCCTTCCATTGACGAGACGCTTCAATCCCATTTTGCGGCCTACAGAGAGAACTTTATCCATCCAGGACAGAAATATACACGATATTCAGACTGTTCTCAGTCATGCATACACACATACATACCTTTTCGTGGTTTGTCTTGCTTGACTTAGATGTTATCTCCTCGCAGAAATGAACAAGTTGCTGCTATATAAATAGCCTTCAAGGCAACGACAAGAGTATTTATGGAATCGACGTCGATGCAACTTCTTCTACATTAGAAAGATCTATCTGCAATGGGAGGTTGGGTAAAATCTGGGTGGAGATCGTGCCAGCTCCTTTTGAAGCTTGCGATATATCTTGGGCTCCTTCAGACGCAACATTTTTATGACACTCGGTCGTCTCCGTCCGGGGTGAATAATGTGCCCGAGTCCCTTTTGTATGAGTGTCTCTACCCTGTCAGGAACTGTGTGGACAAACCTCTTTATCATCTCAGCATGTTGGGGCCTCCTTGATTTTGCTGCCCGGGTTTGCTGTAGATCTTCCCAACAGTCTTTGTAGATGCTGAGAGCAACGGACGGCGCGTTGCATACGGCAGTGCTTACATGAACATTCCCAGGTGTCCCGCACTCTCCGAACTTTACCTTGTGTCGTTTGACGTATGCGCGATCTACCCTCCGCGTTCTTTGTGATGCGAAGGAGCCGCATCGGCGGCAGGTGACATGTTGTTGCTCAAATCGGCACACTTTTACATGTATAACCAGTATTTCAAAACCGATACTGAGAATAGTGTTCTGTTAGAAAATAAATTGGAACCTAGGCTGAACCTCTGTGTTTTCTATATCGAAATTCTGGCGGGAGTGTATTGAAATCACGACCTCTGTCGATTCACAATTACGCATAGCCATTGGCGAAAATCACACTGAAGCCCCAATGATTCGCTTCACTCTCCTAGAAAATGATGGTTGATCTCAAGATAACTAAGTGAGTCATTGTACTCGCCAAGATGCTGCGTTGGACTTCCGCTAATATGTACATTTGGTCACTTAACACTAATTGATTGGTTGCCTGGAAGATTGAAGGCTGTAGTCATATAACAACAAAAGAGATATGATAACCATGACAATAGCTTGTGAGTATATGTACATTGCCATAACGCATTAGATCATGTAGACTCTACTTGATCTACTACGAGATGACTAAGAATGTACTGAAAATTATAGACGTTAACGTTGACTCTTTAGATACGCTGCCCAATTTATAGGGCTTCCTTGGTTTCCATCGGAGGCATCGCCTTCTTGCCAGACAGAGTCATCCCAAGCGGTCAGTCCACACAGATGTCTCATAGTCGGCCGACCATGTGGACAGTTCCAAGGCTTATCAAGTTCGCCCATGTGTCTAATCAGTTTTTCCATTTGCTTCTTCTGCAGGGATTTGCCAATCATGACACTACTACGACAAGCACGCATAGCAAACATTTTTCGTACTTTTGATGGTCGCGGTATCGTATTTTCAGATGCGGACGGATGATCCGTGAGAAGTGAGATTAGTTCCTCAAGGTCGGCTAAAGTGAATGTCGTCTCTCTGCTCAGGGGCAAACTAAGCAACTGACAACGAGAGCCAACCGGCTGGTAGCCGCTTTCGTCGACGCTGATCTGGAATCCATTATGTTCCAATGCCTCGCTATTCTCTTTGATAACTTCTTCTTCAATGGCGGTGAGCTCGAGAGCTTTGGGCTGTACAAGCCGTTGAGATTGCACCACTGTGGTTGCCTGAAGACGCTCAAAGTTGTATTTCTCATCTGTTGCATGCTGGTCGACAATGAAGAGCTCATCATCCAAAGCATGTCGATCTTCTGGTTCATCTGGGTTCATCTCTGCCTGGCGAACAGCCAGAATAAATCCTAAATTGAACTGGCCAACAATCTTCATTTTCTCAAAGTCGGACTTCGATATGGTAAGAGACAACTTCTCTTCGGCATCATCGCCTTCGATGCCGTGGCCGGAAACCTCGAGTGGTGAACTGGCATTAGATCTGGCGACTGTGTCCGCCAGATTTGAAATGCTAGCCCTTAAGTGGCTAGCATCCAAACGGACCGTCTGTAGAAGCTGACAAGTAACGTCCTTGCGTTTGGTTGAGCCTTTGACAAAGCTTTGCTGACGTTTCTGAGTTTCCTCAGAGGTGGCTTTTGCTACGTCTTCTGCAGCATCAATCATATCTCGAACCCTGCGCTCCTCCTGTGTCTTTTCCTCCTCATTATCAACATATTCCTTGTCGCTCTGAGTAGACTCATCAGATACCGATGCGGCAAGCTCATTCATGGCAACATATCCATGTTTTTTGCGAGCAGATCGTGGTTGTTCGGGCGGCGGGCGAGGGCTCGCATGTTCTGCAACACGCTCAACGCCAGGTTCTTCATGCAAAGAAGGCGAAAGGGTCCCTCGATCTGCACCATCATCGTTTTCAACAAATAAACCTTCACTGCCGTCACTATCTTCACTAGGCGATCTGAATTTGCCGGGGCTATTCACCAGGGTCGTTGCGATTTGGGCATCGTCGAGCCGTGTCCTCGCGGTGCTTGAAGCCGAGAACAATTGAGTAAGGCGTCCCTGGAATGATGGTATTGGTGCCACTGGCTTTGAAGTACTTTGCAGCCTTCTCGAGCTCTGATTAGTTGGTTTTTCTGTTCGTGCCTTTTTAGCAGGTGACCCAATGAGACTTGTCACGGTCTCGCCATCTATTGTAATAGTAGCTACTTCCTGAGCAGTGCGCTTGACCTTGGGTGGACTCCGTTTGATATTCTTGATCTCAGACGTACGCGAAGGAGGCACAATACTTGGGATCGGTGGATCTGATGTCCCAGTGTCCTCTTGACTAACGTCCGCCGTTTCTGCAGTGGGCTTGCTTCGGCTTAACTCGTCCATACAAACATTGAAATCAGCTACACGTCTCGAAATGTGAGGATTTTCTTGGCGCAGCTTGTCAGAAGGCTCCTCGTCAGACGTGTCTTCCAAAACCTCGTCAGTCTTTGCAGATTTGGAGATCGATTTTTCTCTGGGAAGTGGAAACGCTCCTTCAGGATTTTCATAGTCCGGCGATGGTTTTTCGGCAGATGCCTCACGATCATTTGACTTCCCCTCTACCCATCGACTGACGAGGTTAAGACCTGAGGCTCTTTTCTTCGAGGATGGCGTTTCTGCTGCTTCATTATCGCCGTCCTGGCCATGCCCGGGAATCCCATAGTCTGCGCTTTGCGCCCTCTGCTGGTTGCCTCCCGGGCCTACGGACGGGCCTCTCGTACCCCCATCCTGGCTTCCCACAGTATTCTGGCGGCTGATCGTCATCTTAGACAGCATTTGCTTCGGTCCACCGATATGAGAAAGTGGCACTGAATAATCTTGTGCCTCGAACAAAGCGATGAGCGCCTCTCTAAGGTTGTCGAGTAGCCGAGACTGGTCATGCAGCAAAATTGTCCGCTTGTCAGGGCTGACGTTTACATCGTACATGTGAGTGTCAAGCTGGATGTCCGCGAATATGAATGGTGACTGGGACGAGTTATAGGTTCTATAGACCTCGTTGAAAACTTTTGCGAACTGAGGCAACCCACAAGGTCGCCCGTTTACGAAAAACATTTGGCGATCTGGTGTCTGTCGTCCCTCGCCGTGAGCAGGGCGCGATACATGGCCCCTGATCCTTACCTCTTTCATACTCCCCCCTTCCTGAGTACTCCACCGTTGGCTGCTTGGTCCATTGGTAGGCTCTAATTCGAGCTCTAGCTCGAGAGGTATCAAGACGTGCAAAGTCTTGGCCCCAAAGACATTGACAATGTTCTCCCGTGTGGTGTTATTGCCTTTGGTTGAGAAGAGTACGATCTTCTTGCCTTTGTTCGGTTGTTGCGATACAGAGAACTTAACACCGATCAAAATGCACGCGTACTGGTTTAGCACACCTATAACCCTGTTCCACTCCCTTTTAATGTTGCGCTCGAGCTCGCGACGCCGAACAGGAAGGTTGTTGAAAAGCCCCTCAACGGTTACTGTAGTGCCTTTCTGAGCTGCAATGACACTGTTCGCTCGAAGTTTTCCAGACGTTTCGAATTCGAGTTTCGAACCCTTAGGCGCATCCGACGCTAGACAGGTCGTCACCGAGAATTTAGAAAGCGCACAAAGGGAGGAAAGTGCTTCTCCTCGAAAACCAAAGGTCTCTAAAGAGGTGAGGTCCTCGTAAGTCGAAAGCTTCGATGTATAATGTTTCAAAGCCAATGTTTCATAGTTCTCGGGGGCGATACCACCGCCATTATCCTGGACTTCGATTGCGTCCAGCCCCTGGTTTTTGAAACGGACATCTACCAGTATCTAAAGTTAGCATTGTAGAGCTTCTGCAGTCTTGCAGGGCATACCTATACTAGAGGCTCCAGCATCCACACTATTCTCGACCAACTCCTTTACGACCGAGCACAGGTCAACGATGACTTGGCCCGATTGAATCTGATGGATCTGTCTCCAGTGTTAAAGGAAGCCATGTGTCGCCAAGGCGTATCGTGAGCTCACCGTACGGGCCTCGATGGCCTTGATGGTTGCCATGGAGGTGCAGCTCTCATTGATGTCTTAGGCTGTCGCGAGACTGGTTGCTCATAATGTCCAACAGTGTGCAGAAACAAGTGAGCAGAAGTACGATTCAAGCCAAAGGCAATGGTTTCGTGATTTAATTCAGCAAAGATATGATTATTGGGTTGTTCGACACCCTGATTGTCTTTTTGTCTTTGAGGCTCCAATACAGAGAGCAGCCTTTCACTGGCAGCCTCGTCGCGCTACTTATCTTTAATTGAGACGCGCTGGATTTTGTGGCGCACTACTTAGTGGCTCAGTCCGCCATAATACACGCTACAATTTAGGGGATTGACAATCCTTTTCCGAATACAATCATTTGGCGAATGTGTTAAATTATTACCAGCCCGCCAGTCAATTTACACCCGGGCATTCTCCAACATTATTAACAGGCATCTGAAAATTATTTCGCCGTTGTAGGCTTGCATAGCGAATTTGCGTCCACGGGCAAAAAAAAATTTAAAACTCCCCCCTCGCCAACCCGATAATATTATGGACCCATGTACGTCTAGTCTGTAAGAAAATACGACTGACGCTTCGTCTTACGGGCTGTTCGGCTTGTTCTATCTTTGCGTAGCGTAGAATAACACAAATGAAAATATAAACATGCGGCAAGGTGTACTCCCTCATCTACTCTCCTTCATGGCTGATGGGCACAGAAACAACTGTTATGGGCGTCGGCAGCTTCGGGAACTGATGCATGTGTAATCCCTGTCATGCCAATCCTGCTATCCGGCTTGGCCTTGGGTGCGGGAAGGTATTGTATGACGTGATGAGCGCCTCGTAGATGAAACATGAGACGACATCAGCCTCAAGTCTAAAAGTAGACACAATGCATGAGCAGGCACGAGCTTCAAGCTACTCACACCGGATCCGTAGAGGCTTTATAAATAATCAAGTCTCCCAAGGTAAAGCCGCAAAGCAACAGATATTCGGCGCCATCTCATGCAAAGACGTCAGACAGTATACTGCCAAATCGCGAACATAGATAACAGTAATCTGGTTGAGCTGCTGTGCATAACAACTAGTCAACCCGAGACATCCCCATGAAATAGACAGGGTTATGCAATTTGTTCGCACATGGAGTGCTCTCATCATCATATAGGCCTCGGGAGCGGGGGCTGCATTAGAACATCGTTTATGCATTATGTAGGGGGGGGGGTTTAAATATACATATTTGGACAGAGCTATTACCAACTCGAGCGGCGGCGTGACTGTCTAAATCTTTAATCGATGATTGGAAGTTAATGAGCATTCGGTGGTTGTTTGTAGTCGTTAGTAATGCAACCATGCTACCTACTGTGTAACGTCAACCTGTGTTGCCGTTGAGCCAACAATAACCAAATGGAACCTTTGGTCAAACTTCAGATCTCGCACGGCAGTTAGAAGCATACATTTTGTCAAGAAGCTGGTCTTGAAGACCCCCGTCAGCTTGAATAGTGATCGAGGCTCGGGAGCCACAGCTGCGACCCAGGATGCTTCCGTGATGAGCGTGAGGCGTTGAATGGAGTATGCTGAGCAACGGGAAAGTTTGAAGGCAGCAAAAGGAGGCTTGCATACCATTGTATGGAGTGTCATCCGCGGAACTTCTGCACGTATTGAATGTTCGTATATGCGTGGTGCCAGACGCACGAGTCCCACTATTAGTATCCGCACTTTTGATGTAATTCTTCATCGAAAGGATCCTACAAGATATTACTCCTGCGGTTAGAGTACTTTTTCTTTTTTTGTCTCGATGTCCAAACAGCCAGCTTGGCCGATTGCCAAGGTTGCCAAGGTCTTGTTCAAGCTTGCCAGCCACGTAACGTTAGACCCCCCACCCTGCTCGGTCCATAAACTAGAGATCCGATGAAGGTCGTTCTGAACGGCGAGGCAATACAATGGGATGAGATGGGATGCCCAGTTGGTTGCGCATGGCGTTTGTCAAGCCGCGAGTCGTTTTGCTTAAACCACTACGATGCGAGTTTTACATATTTCCCGGATCGAGGAATCACCACTTGCCACTGCCCTTTAGTTGCTGCAGCAGTAGAATATCCAGGGACTGTGACGCTGCAGGCCATCAAGCAGGACCTTGTCAGATTACTTTCGCGTCCGCCCTCCAGTCCAGATACCGTACCTAGCAAACTGCAGAGGTACCGACCTCACGTCATTCGCCAGTAGAAACCACCTCAAGCCACAGCTCGTTAGGCTCAAGCATCGATACCGGAGCGTCGTAACATATGCAACTGAGCTATTGCTCTGACTGGCCGGCCTCGACTCTTCAGTGGGATGGTGAGTGGGGCCGCTGTAACAGACTTCTTAGTGGTGGTCACACCCCAAAGATTAGCGGCACTGATCCCTGTCCATCCCCCAAACTCGCCCGAAAGCCTGCCAGCCACCTTAAACTTGGCACCGTCAACCCTGCAAACTTAGAATTCTCTTGGAAGATAGCGTCCCCGAACGCTGCAAGCAAAAGGTGCGAGGGAAACATTCATCGAATGAGAGGTCGAGGCGCCAGAGGACGAACCCGAGCCATTGAAATCGCCTTGGTTGCTGCACCGCAGGCATCTTCGTAATCACCGGCAACTAACTTATTCAAACCAGTTGATTCATATGTAACCTGCGACACGACAACTCGCCAGCGCCCAAACAGCCTGTCCGCGGCTTCAACCTCGCCCTTTCCCTCGTCCCCCAGAGACCCCATTAATCCGCCGCTACTTCGGTGTTTGGGAACCACACTCGTTTCCACTGCATTTCCAATCTCATGACCACTAGCTTGGTCCTGTGCTTTTCGCGGAGAGATCGGCGCCCCTTAGGACCACTGCCGATTGATGGTAGCTGCTGCGTTCCGCACAATCCAAAATACCGTAGCCAGCCAACCAACTGTTGACTATGTCCTACGAATAAACTCGGCCCAGTCAATTGACCTTGAAACCACATCCATCCGAGCCTCGATCGGCCAACCCCAAGTTCTGGACTGCAGAAAAGGCATTAGTGACCATTATCGCGGCAGGTACTGAGTTGGCGCGCCCGCCTCTTCCCCCATGAAGAGGCGCTCGTCAGGGTCGTCCGAAGAAAGCTCTGATGCTTCTGTCGAGACATCTTCAGCCGGTTCCGATGGCCAAAGAACGACCTCGAACGATTCGCATGTTGTGGCACAGCATGCGTCGGAAACCCGCCAGCCCGAGAGGCAGGACAAGGCACAGAGCGCGAGCACCAGGAATTCCTTTGCCAGGATACGGCGCCAAAGCAGTAACATAAATTGGAAGCCAGCCCACTCAAGGAATGGTTCGCGGAACGCGCCGGCCGAGAAAGATACACCTGCCCAAGCGCACACCACGTCCGTCTTGGTCGCGGGCACTCTGGATAGCGATATGGGCGAAGAAGATGCCAAGCTTATGGCCAAGAGGAGACCAGAGCGCCGCCTGTGGGCACGAAGTCCCTGGAGCATGACCCTCAGAACTCTCTTGGCCACAGTTGTGGGGATAACTCTTCTTATCATGATCATCAACTCGTCACTTACTCGGCAGCTGGATCCTAAGGGGTGTCGCATGTCATATATGAGCCCGCGATACGTTCATTTAAGCGATTTCGACACTGAGCATACAAGGTTCGCTAGCAAGTACTCGCTATACCTTTACCGCGAGGCCGGCGTTTGCGACAGCAATGTGGTAGGGAAAGAGTCTAAAATTCCCTTGAGATTGATGACACTAACATCTTCTAGGCCACTGGCATACCCGTTCTTTTCATTCCAGGAAACGCGGGTAGTTACAAACAAGTACGACCTATTGCGGCCGAAACAGCCAGATATTTCCATGACGTGCTTCAACACGACCCAGTCGCCGTTGATTCTGGGCTTCGAAATCTTGATTTCTTCACGGTGGACTTCAATGAAGATTTCACCGCATTTCATGGTCAAACGATGCTAGATCAAGCCGAGTATTTAAATGAAGTGATCAGGTACATTTTGTCCCTCTACTTGGATCCGAGGACAGCTGGGGAACGTGACCCCGATCTGCCAGATCCATCCTCGGTAATTGTGTTGGGACATTCGATGGGTGGTATTGTGGCGCGCACGATGTTGGTTATGCCTAACTACCAGTCAAACTCCATCAATACCATTATCACCATGTCTGCTCCGCACGCCCGTCCGCCGGTGAGCTTCGATTCGCAGATCGTCACTATATACGACGATATTAACAGCTTCTGGAGACACGCTTATGCTCAGAAATGGGCCAATAACAACCCTCTTTGGCATGTGACCCTTGTGTCCATCGCGGGGGGTGGTCTCGACACTGTTGTGCCATCTGATTATGCTAGTGTAGAGTCAATTGTGCCAGAAACGCACGGCTTCACAGTCTTCACATCAACCATTCCTAACGTCTGGACGAGTATGGATCATGCAGCTATCCTTTGGTGTGACCAATTCCGCAAGGTTATTGCTCGTGCACTGTACGACATTGTCGATACTGGCAGAGCATCTCAGACCAAACCACGGGCGGAGCGGATGAGAGTCTTTAGAAAGTGGTTGCTAACTGGAATGGAGGACACCGCCGAGAAGACGCTTTCACAAACAGAACCGCAAATACTTCTTACCCTTGAGGATGGCTCCGACTCCGTCCTGAGACAAGGTGAACGTCTGACTCTACGTGGTTTTGGTGAAACTGGAAGAGCAAGAGCTCATCTTTTGCCGATTCCTCCCTCAGCGTCACCAGACCGCAAGCGTTTCACTCTTCTCACCGATACCAGACTAGACTATTCGAGTGAGAACGGCAAGCTTGAAGTTCTCTTCTGCACAATCTTTCCGTTGCAGCCCGGGGCGTCCAATGTTCTGTTTTCTATGAACTTGGATTTATCTGGTGACAGCACAGGTTCCACCCGGCTCGCTTGCAAGAACGCTGCTCCAGACCTAATTGCAGTCCCCAGATCTACATCTCACACGAATCTACCCTTCTATAGGGATGGAGAGCAGTCGACGGCACCATTTTCATACTTGCAATATGATTTGGAAGATATTGCCGAGTATGAGTTCGTGGCAGTCATTGAAAAGGCCACTTCAAGAGCTCCCGGCTGGGTTATTGCTGAGTTCAGCGAGGAGAGACATTACCGTCTGTCGAGTGACATCAGCTTACAGCGTCTTGTTTCTCTGGGGCTACAACTTGAGCTCCCAGCGAATCACCCGATGGTTACGGAACTGACAATACCGTCAATCGAAAGTAGTCTTCTGGCTTACAACTTGAGAGTTGAGAAGGAGTCGTGTGGCATTCGCGAGCTGTTTGCGCCGCTCATACGCCAATACCTAAGCGAGCCTTACGAGTCCAAGTTCTTCGTCAACGCTCGAAATGTCAAAGTGAGTCTCCATGGAGTCGCGCCCTACGTGCCACCTCCGATGAGAGCGAAGAGATCGCAAGATGGGCTTAGCTTTCAATTCTGGACGGATCCATCCTGCGATTCCAGGCTGTCCCTTGAGCTGCAAGTTGATTTGTTGGGCAGTCTCGGCAAACTATACATGCGTTATCGCACCGTCTTTGCGGCATTCCCTCTTCTGGTTGTGACCATGGTACTGCGCAAACAGTTCCGGTTATACGACAACACGGGCGTGTTTGTACCTTTCATGGAAAGTCTCGACACCTGTCTTCGTCAGTCGCTACCGCTTCTGCTTTTATCTTTGACCCTTTTAGGTTTGTCATTAGGTCGTTCCGAATCACACGCAGCAGGACTTTGGCTCTGGAGAAATACTACACACAGCGTGGACTTCTCGCAAAATGATCTTCTGGTCGGCACTACAGATCCGGTTTTCTGGTTCTTGGTACCCATGGTCGGGATCGTCTGCATTGGAGTGTGTGTTATCTTTCACTATATGGCACTTGTACTTACGCAACTGCTGTGTGCCATTTATGGCGTGATGGTGAGAAGTCGGACCTGGGCTCACCAAGATGATAAGAGACGTGCTTTGTCGCCCATGTTCATGCCTTCTTCACCAAGAAGACGACTTATCACTACCAGTATATTACTGTTCCTGGTTTCGACATTTATACCATATCAATTCGCATATGTGGTGGCTTGCCTAGTGCAACTGAGCACAGGCGTTCGAGCTCTCCGTTTCCTTCGCGAATCACCTTGTGTCGGAAACTCGAACTTCTACAACTATGTTCACTCAATTTTCTTGCTGATGCTGTGGGTACTTCCCATCAACCTGCCTACTTTGGTTGTATGGGTACGGAATCTGGCTGTGCAATGGTTTACGCCCTTCTCATCACATCACAACGTATTGTCGATCCTCCCTTTCATCCTACTAGTTGAGACTTTGACAACAGGAAAAATGGTACCCAGGGTGACAAGTCGTTTGCGACACTTGACAAGTTTCCTCCTTTTCGGAATCGCCATATATGCAGCTGTTTATGGTGTATCACACGCATATATGTTGCACTACATGGTCAACATCGTGGCAGCATGGCTTGTCGCAATTCATTCGACAACAGATTCGTTCTCAGTTGCTGGCATGAGATCTTTGTTTGATGGTGATCCGTCTGATGACAGGAAACAAGGCAAGGCGCCCTGAATTGTCAACATTTTCCAGCCCCTCTACAGGAAGCTGCTTATATATACATCAACAATGACAGGATTCGGCGAACTCTGCCACTGGGAAATTCTTAGAGCCCTCTGCAGAGTGGCTTTGATTCGAAGCGTTGCATCTGTTTCCTGACTCTCACTGCTGGCTTCCATTTTTTGCATGCTCCTAATTTCTTTTTACGACAATGCATTTACATGGTCATTCTGGTGTTTGGAAATTGTCCGCCGCATCTGATCTGTTGGTAACTCTTCTTCACAAACATATTTACTACTAATTGACGACTCTGCATAAACGCCAGCGAGTGCTTTTGTTGCAGTGACGACGGGGATGTGAGGCAATCAAGCGACTTTACGATGCCAGATGAAGGGAGGGTGCGGCACCGGTCACGCCAAATGAGCAACGCGGAAAACGCGATTATAAGGCTCTAGGCATTGATGGATGCCGGTGGCATCACTATCTTACAAGAATATGCAGGGCTAGAATCAATGAAGCGTAGAAAGGCCAGCGCAGAAGGGGGTCGTACAGTACAACGCGGCTGGCAACAAAGCCGGCTCATCTAGTAGACTCGATAAGAGAGTCATTTGTCAGACTGTACTTAATCAATGGAACGGTTAGCATAATGTTAATAAAGTAACGCATCAAAAAGTGCCAGCTCGTTCGGTCAACAAACGCCCTTTGTTATGATGGCTTTAGGGCAAAATCAGCCAGGAGGGAACCCAGCTTTAATACACGGTTTCAATTGGTTTAAAGGAGTTCAAATCTCCGCGTGGATCCGTGGCCGATGGCCCGATCAGTGGTGTCTAGAGTTTCTACACTTCCCCAATCGAGGCTGCGCCACCCCCGAAAGTACACATAATCTCAACCTGCAGGCCTCGTTACCTGGTTTTCCTGGAATATTGAAGTAACCCTCAATCGCCAGCCTCAAACATCCCATAAGCCTTTAGGCAGCAGCAGCGTCACGAATTCCCAATTACCTCGGCTAGCTTCTGGGTGTGAAAAAAAACATGTATGATATGTATATAATGGCAACTTCAAAGATTTCATGTTGCCTGCGTCACAAGATAGCTGCCAGCTGCATTATTTTCTTCTGATTGCCAGTGAGGAGAGCAAAACGCACGAATCCCTGAGGCCTTGGTAACTGGGAGAGTCAGTTCCAAATAGTACAACAATACTGGAAGGCAGACTGGCAAGATTACAACTTACCATAGTTATATCTCCGAAAATGACCATTACCAGATATCCCGGTCTAGCATAACAACGCCAAGTTGTGTGAACCAGATCTGGAAGCCAATAACCCACGGATCTAGGAAGAGTCCCTACGCGATATTTATTGAGGCTGCGGTTTATGAGTATTCCACAGAATCGATTCAAATACAGCAAGGACTATAAGCAATCTGTTACAATTCAAGCCTGGACAGAAAAGTCTTCGCGTTGATTTTGTATATTCCCATCAATCACGGATACCAAACTACAGGAGTTCTTGTAGGTCCGGGTACAATTTCTATACCGTGTCGGACATAAAAATCAGGAACAAGACTGTCAAGTCAAGGAGAGCCAGGAGATCTGCCAACAACTTGATCCGGTGACCGGAGAGGATTGTTCAATTTACCGTGGATAAAACCGTGGACAAAACCGTGGACAAAACCGTGGAATAAACCATTATTGAATTGGGCGGTCCCATTACTGGTGTATGGGGGCTTCTTTCCTCAAGCACCTTTGTTGGATTTGCAGGCCCAGAGCGAGTTGCTAACGAGCGAGGGAGGAACCTTGCCTTTCATTGCCTGGCTCGGACTTTGAACAAACGTCGAAGAGTTTCCAAAGCTTCTTAGAGAGAGGACAATTCAAATCCAACTTTATAGGGATTATTTATTAGGCCAGCCGTACCGCACAATGGCTTCCTCAAGAAGGACCTCCCGACCACAGGACTCCCGACATCTCCCTGTTAATCATACTATCCAGAGTATGTTTGATAGTACGTTAGAGACTTCACGGGATCATGGCCGAGGCTTGAATGTTATAGAACCACCAATCCATAATTTTAGCATCGCCTTCTTGGAGAACTCTGATCACACTTTTCAGAGGCATAACAATCAGTAAGTTGGATCTATTTTCAATCTGGACAATAGGCTGATTCGAAGCAGAAGCCCTATTGTGCAATATCCTTCAGCCCATTACAGCCAGTACACTGCTAGCTGTTCCGACGATTCACGAATGACGGCTGCTTCTTCAACGGATATTCCGCTACTGTCATCTCTGGATTCGTCAGGAACTACGCAGAGTACCCCGAGCGTGCTATACGAACCATGGTATCAGGAGTCATTTTGTGATGACATGAAGATCGAGAATCAATCCTCTTTTTCTTACGGCCAGGAACAGCTGTTATGTGACCCGGGATTAAGTGCTCCCAGTTGGGCAGACTTTTCTAACCACGCACTCTCTGGGTTTGAGCCTTTCGTCTCAAACCCTTCTGTATCACATTTAACGTTGTATTTGCTAAATGGCGGTCATGTACCGCAAGGGAACAATAACTTTACAAACCTCACAAGTACATGCTCTGGACAGGCCACACCAACCTCAGCACATGCTGTGGAACCATGCCTGAGTTATCAGTCATATGAAACGGAAAGACAGCGAGTAGTACCATCAGGTAGCACCAACAAAGCATCACCAATGCATGCACCGTTACCAAGTGGCCCAGGGAAAAGGAGAGGGCATAGGCGTAAGGCCTCAGACGGAGGCATATCTCGAAAGTAGGCGACCCACGATGCGGATAAGGACAGCTGAACTTACTTTTATGCCGACAGATACCGAAATCTTTCCAACCGTAAGGTGCTGTACATTTGTACTATCGATGGATGTGACCATCAGTTCTCATCGGCGAAAGACCTTGACCGACATCAACATGCAAGTCTCATACATGAAGAACAATGCAGTCGGAAATATCATTGCGATAATATGCAATGTTCACATTATGGAAGGGGTTACACGCGCAAAGACAACTTCGACCGACATGTGGAGATGATGCACTCGAAATTGATACCCTGATCAGCAGGAACACTACGGCGATTCAGGATACTGATGGAATAGGACTCAGCTGAGCATTGGTAATCGGGACGTCATTCAAGTTCAATTCCAGTTGAGTGTCCAGCTGGAGCTATCTTTGTGTCTTGAAATCCTCAATATATCATTAAAGTGTGAAGTGCACTATATACATCCAGTTGCCAACCTCAATAGCACGCGGTTCCTAGTATTGACCGGCGGGAAGTCGACTCGCAGGGGAACATCAAAACACCTTTCGTTAACGCCAGATGGACAGCCAGAATTCCAGCATCGAATGAAAGTGCTTCGAGCTGTTTTTTCGATTTCGCAGACTGCTATATCACTAGCCAAGGACTCTGTTGCTCTATGCAACCCCACGCTCAGCTGTAGATCGCCCTATCGTAGACGGCTCTATGGTCCCACAGAGGGATTGTTCGCGGCGTTCAACACTCACCCGGAAACAACCCGGATAGTCGCGGCTCGTGGCTCTCCGAAACTCAGCAATGTCACGTTCCACAATCTTCTTGACTCATATATGCCACCAGTCTCTTGCTTCCGCAACTGGGATGTGTATGCTGAACCGCTTATGGCAATATGGGCACCGGGTACCTTGAAGCGACTCGCTTCAAATGTGGCAAATTTAATACGAGGACCAGACTTCACAACCAAGGAGCTAGGCGGTAAGGTTGTGGACGTACCAACAGATTATGATTTGCTGTTAAACAGCAATATATACGATGAATGACGTACAGTGCTGAAGGATATGAGAGACCTTAAGGAATCCACTGAAGAGGCGCCCGAATGACATCCTCCGAGATTACTCATATTGTTTCTATATCGCTCAACTGATCATAGCAGTCAGTGAACCCACACTTTTGGTTGCCCTGGGTTCGCAAGTGAACCCAACAGTTCACAGTAGTCTCGCCCAGCTCGGTAAAGCAGTTCCGGGCATTGTTTTGTGGGCTTCTTATACTTGCACACTCCTGATTTATTCAATGAAGATGTCATAATCGTCATATGTTCTCTTGAAGTCTTGAGTCATAGACTCTTGTTATCATTCTGTTAATGTCTAGCAGAGAATTCATTCATCTTCGGGTAGACTACCTACCATGTAGTTTCCATTGAGTTATCTAGTTAGACAGCACGCAATGGTGGTGTTTGAATAATAACGTATGCTCGCTGATCTACCTCTCTGGCGAAAGATATTGGTGGCGGAACTTAGACGGTTTCCTCTTTTAGAAGTGAAGCGTTGGTAGAACCTGCGTGTGGAGTTGTTTGAATACTCCCCACCCCCACCCCCCTCGACGTTTTCCCAGCCGGCCTTTGTGGGAGAGGACCATTATTGGGTGTCTTGGTCGCTTCAGAATTCCTCGTAGAGAATTCCACATCCTCTGCACTCGTGTTAGGTGGCGGCGGCGAGTTTGTCGATTTTGTCAAATAGGTGGCTGAGGTGGTGAACGTGCTTGCAATGCAATCGCCGCGAGACCGATTCCGTCAGACTGTACCCGGAATAACAAATTTGTTACATATATGTGTACGTCCTCGTCTTGTGGCTCCAGCATCCGGTGGTTCTTTCATCACTGATCTCCAATGCCACCACAGCGGGCGGCTTTCGTACGAATTTCCGGGACATCGTTTCGTGACTGTGTGCAGCCTAGATCTGTCAATGTAGTAGAAGCGTCTCTGAGTACTTACTATAATTTCTAGAGCTTATGGCTGGATTGAAGACATAACCATTACTGAAGATATAAATATTTTGTGTTATATGCAAATTTCAACATGTCATGGACAAGTATTAATTTAAGTGAACAATGAAAAATACAAGCATCTGTTGTCACGAGTTGGAAACCAGCCTTTATATTCTTAGAACAATCGCGTTGTCTGATACGTTTCGTACTCCTTGACCAGAATCAATAAAATATTTGGCGGAGATGAGAAACATGAGGGATACCAGCAAAATCTAGAATTCGCATGTTTCAATTCCCACAGTGACAACAATGACAATGGCTCACAAGCAAGTATATATTTGAGTTGAGTAGCCAGCATGCAAGGGCCAGATACAACAACGCGTGTCCAATAACGCTGAACAAGCAGCGAAACCGACGCAATGCAAAGGAACCATGAACTCCTGAAATGCGGCGGCGCAGTAAAATAGTTCTCTTGACTAAGAAAAATCGAAACGATCGGGCAGGACGATGGGAGCCACGAGGGTCCAGATATACATGCCGTAGCAGACCCAAGCGCTAACTATCTTGACCCAACTAGCCCAGTATGTTCGTCCCACTGCAGCGAAGTCGCCTTTGTTTTGAATATCTTGACCCTGGGTTAGAAGAGTGGCAACCCAGCAAGTAGCCAAGAAGAAAATGATGTGGAACGCGGTGTAGCTGTACTGAGTGCTGTTGCGCTCATCATCGCCAGTTGTCTTTCCGGTTGAAGAGTCATCATCATCATCATCGTCCTCAAGAAGTGCGTCGGCTGGGAGACTACCCTCTTCTACGGCTCGTCTGAGTACCTCGGCTCTCATTTCGCGGCGACCAGGTTGTTGTGTGACCAGGTCGTGCTCGTCGTCATCGGGCAATCTAACGCCTCCACGGTTGTTCCCGAGTCCGAGGCTCTGAGTGGCTGCGCGTGTAGTGGTGTAGGCAACAGTGAGCATGGTCACAATAGCACCCATGACAATTGAGGTTGTTCGTGTGCCTTGAGCACGGAGGAGAGGATTGCACAGCTTGTCATCCGGCTCCATGGACACGGCCGACATGGTCAAGTATGTGCAGTAGATTGCTACCATGGCAGCCTGTGCAAGACCAGCCTTGGGATTGTACTCCTGAACTGCCGGATGGACCGAGATGAAGGAGATGAGCAGCCAGAAGATGAGGTTGATAGTTATGGCGGCCTGGTTCATGGCACAGTCGCCCCTAGCAAAAAAGATATACTGAACGATGGTCATCACCACCGAACCCAAGTACATGCTCAGGGTAGAGCCAATGAGAACGACTCTCCAGACGCGGGAGTCGGTTTCTTCGATCTGGTACAGACAGTATTCGGCCCAGGTATGCGCCAGGTCGACCAGAAGGATGAGACCAAGTACCAAAAAGCCCATGGCAGCAAAGAAGGAGATGTAGTTACCCCAGACTTTGAAGAAAGCATCGGGGATCAAGAAGGACAGTACAATAAAGGCTAGCCAAGCGATGATCTTGGGACCCCAGAAGCCATTTTGTAGTGCGGCGCGTGGGTTCTTGGAGTTGCTGACGCCAAAGAGTAGACCGGCGAAGACCAGATGGAACAGACCGAGGGCGAAATTGATGCGATGTACAGCCAGCCATCCATAGCACTCGCCGCTCGGGCAGTTGATCTTGACATAGTCAAGTGTGAGATGTTGCAGTTTCTCGATAGCCCAGGGCGTGAGCATTACCCATGATAGGATGGAGTTGACGAGAAGGATGAGGGCGTATGCGATACGAGTTGCGACACTGTCGTTCCGAATCATGTCAGCAATCTGTCCATGTCGCTGTCGATGTCCGTGTTGCGGCTCTCAACTTACCTGTTACCACACTTGCCACATGCGCTGCATACCATGGAACAGGTCGCAGCGCCGCAACAGCTGGCAGCGAAAGATATCAACTACATCACAAGGTAGGTTAGCGTTGGTCGACAGTGTGTGTCGCGGCGCAGCAGCAGCATGGAAAATGGAAAATGGAAAGCATACCGTGCCTGCGCTGGGAATCGCCAGCAGCGGAAGAGACAAGAGCGCACCCATGATGGCTCCTCAAGTATGCGCGCAATATTGCAGTAGCTTTCCGAGGCAACTTGAATCGTGTCGGATGTTTGAGAAGAACGAGGCCGGAGAGGCACCTGGGCAACGGCGATGGTGATGGTGATGGCGATGGCGATGGCGATGTTGGGACAAGCTTCCACCAGTCCAAAGTCGCGAGTAGTAGTCGGGCGGCTGCGACGATGCCGTTGCCCATGGGCGGACGCCTGGAAATGTGGCACGTGCACCATTACGTCGTCTCATGGCTCGTCGTCCTTGTCCATGGCCTACCTCTCTCACTATTGGATGGACATACCAGCACGGCAGGATCCGTTGGTGCACATCCCTCACTGACTCTGTGAGATGCAGGAACAACCTTGGCATATATGGCGATTCTTGTGTGAAGTTCCGTGCCGCAAGACATTACTCGATACCCTCAGAGTTAGGTGTAGATTGATTCCTCAAGATTGGCCTGCTGCATGATGTGTACAATACAGACATGCTTTAGTTACTCGGCACGTAACTGGATCTGTCTCATCAGAGCCCACCGAGCCCACCCCAATTAGCCCCGCATGAACTCTGATAAGGCATGGCGTTTCCGCTGCGTGCCACATAACTTACCACGTACTCCGTATCGCGTCTTCCCTTCCGAATCCCATTGCTGCACTGCACCACACGGAGTACAGTACGGGTACAGTACATATAGGACATACAGCGCTGCATGCAGGTGTTACGTCGGTATCGGCGTGTATATGTAAGCTAACTTAAGCATGGGCTGTCGCTTTGCCGATGATGTGCTGCTGCCGCAAGATAAGCAATCCTGGCAAAGCTACTCCACGACATTGATTACTGCATCTCATACTTTCGCTTCTCCTCCGAAACCACCGCTTGCTTCAATCTGCTCCTCTCCTTTTTCAATGTTTTCATGAACACCGGCCTGTAGCCTGTAGCCACTGCCACAGCCACAGCCAACCCCTTGCCGTGTTGACAGACAAACTCCTTTCGGATTATGACATCCTGAGCCATAAACTTGTAGTAGCTACACCGACATCGCACCCATTCTATTTCCGTCATGACTTTGGACAAGCAGCTTCACAATGCGCGCATTGTGTCAAGCGTAGCAGCAACTGTCATCTCCTTGGCTTGTGGTACCAACGTAGGTCTTCAATCGTAATGTCGGTCGGTAGTCGCCATGATCGCTAATCGGGTGTCCCGCCTCAGTATGTATATTCAGCATGGGCGCCTCAATTCGCCGACCGCCTCCTTCTGTCCGCGACCGAATCCAATCTGATCGGCCTTTTTGGGAATCTGGGCATGTACTCGATGGGCGTACCCGTGGGCATGCTCGTTGATGGGAAGGGACCTCGGCCCGCTGTCATGCTCGGTTCCTTGCTTCTCGGTATAGGATACTGGCCCTTACACACAGCCTACAATGACGGACACGGTTCCATCCCGTTGATGTGCTTCTTTTCATACCTGACCGGCCTCGGAGGCTGCATGGCATTCGCTGCCGCTGTCAAGACATCCGCTCTGAATTGGCCGCACCATCGTGGATCTGCGACTGCTTTCCCAATGGCTGCGTTCGGTCTCAGCGCTTTTTTCTTCGCGTTGGTCGGATCCGTTCTCTTCCCAGGAGATCCAGGTCGCTTCTTAGAACTACTGGCCACCGGCACTTTTGGCTTGACATTCGTTGGCTTCTTCTTTCTGCGCGTATATCCACACAGCCATTATCATGCAGTAGCACAAGCGACAGACGAGAGTAACTTGTCGGGTTCGCAGCAACTCCATCGAACTACCTCTCACGAGTCTAGGAAATCTCGAGCTGGTCGTGGACCGCCAATTGAACCTGGTAGGTCATCTACTGATACCACAACCCCAGAAACCGCCGTCCTGGAATCAGGCAATGAACCCGGAAGTCTGGACACTCACATAGTTGATGTCGAAGCTGCTATTCCCTCGAAAAGGGCACCAGTTGACTCTGAAGAGGTTGCAGAGGTAGATGAGACGTCATCTCTCATGTCTCGGTCTAGCTCAGCCTCATCATTGCCAGGCGACCTTTTAGTTCAGAACAGTGTTGATTTGGATCGTTCCCATCGTGTAGACATCAGGGGCTTGGCACTCCTTAAAAATTTTGAGTTCTGGCAATTATTCGTCATTATGGGTATTCTGTCGGGTATTGGCTTAATGACGATCAAGTGAGTAATCTCAGTGTTTGTCTATTCGTCAGCAGTATCTAACCGTCACTTAGCAACATTGGAAATGATGCTACGGCTCTCTGGAAACATTGGGATGATTCCATTGACGACAAGTCTCTCGTCCTTCGACAACAGCTTCATGTTTCCATCCTTTCCATCGGTAGCTTTACAGGCAGACTACTCAGTGGCACAGGCTCGGACTTCCTGGTCAAGGTACTCCACGCCAGCCGAGTTTGGTGCCTGGTGTTCGCGGCAGGCGTCTTTTCCGTCGCACAAATATGCGCGCTTAACATTGAAAACCCTCACTTCTTAGGTTTCGTCTCCGGGTTGAGTGGTCTTGGCTACGGTTTTCTATTCGGGGTCTTCCCGTCTATCGTTGCAGAATCCTTTGGCATTCACGCTCTGAGCCAAAATTGGGGTTTTATGACATTATCCCCAGTCATTAGCAGCAACATTTTCAATATCTTCTACGGCTTAGTGTTCGACGCCCATTCAGTCGTTGAGCCCGACGGTAGCAGAGATTGTACGGAAGGTCTGGAGTGCTACAGGTCCGCTTATATCGTTACAATATGCGCTTGTGCGCTAGGCGTAGTGGTTTCCCTTGCTGTCATTTGGGTACAGAGACGTGAACAGTTGAAAGAAAACAGCAAGGATCGCTCGGAAGATTAGAACATAGGTTACAGACATGGTAGAACTCATAGATTATAGAGCAGGACGATTTGGTCAGACAAACATGCAGATGTTCCTGGTGGACCACACTGTTGACTTCAACGCGTTCTAAGGACAAGCAGTCGATACGTGACGAATGCCCGTATCAAGAACGGTGATTATGCGGCTCTGTTCAGCACGAAATTGAACCGGCGCGGTTGCATCAAGATTTATGAGTCGTTATAAACTCGTTGCTTTGTTTTGATAATGCATTTATCTTAGAAAGACATAGATGGTAGGGTCCGACAATGGCACAAACATTCCGAGCGTCTTTGTCCCCATGAGAACAATAATGGAAAGACTTTGGGCATCCGGTGAATTTAAAGAAATTTATACCTGTCAATCAACCCTACCAGTTACTTTCAGGCCTTGCACATTAGATTAGCGGTCCGACGGAACAACGTTCGAAGTACCGAGTTTGCACGTGTCCTGGCAGAAGCTCCAACATCATGTGGTTTAAGCCATTGCTTTGTTGCCTGGAGAGCAAAAAGGTCCAGAAACGCTCTCAAGTCTCGAGGAAGACAAGTGAGGTGGTAATCGAAGAGTATGTAGCGCTGGCTTTGAACAACCACTACCGCCAGGTAAAAGCATATCGCCATCAGACGCACGAACTCGTACAGCTGGGCAAGGACCCAGCCGTGCAGCTCAAGTAATCGCTATGATATGGTACTCCAATATAGTACGTAAATGAGACTACCGGACAGCCGTGTGCTTGTCCGTACTCTCTCTGATCGGAAAACAAAGATAAATACACCACATTTCAAGCAAAAGCATACAGTGAGTAATACATCAGAATTAGTATCACACAAAGTTACCAATCACTAGTAGCAATGAGATTAAACATTATTACAATTTTATTGACGTTCCATGACTCATGCACGCGTAAAGACGTTTGTTCAAAATTTTGATCGTCCTTCTGTAACCACGATTTCCGTGGTCTTGACGACACCATGCGGTGGCAGGATGCCGTCTTCGCTGCTGTCGTCCTCTCCGTGGCTAACATTTGTGCCGTTAGTGGTCATGATCCGGGCCTTGTACGTGCCCTCTTCGAGCCGGTTATTCCTCTGCAGACTCTCGAGTCCAACTCCCTCGTCATCCTGCCGTTGGTAGCCGCTCCGGGGATTGGTCTTGGAACCATACTTGTTGCCGTATCGGGACGAACCATACATGTACCCTGTGGCGCGGAGACGTCGGCTTGTGTTCTCGAGAATCGATGAGAATAATGGTCGGAGTGCGGGCAGGCAGGCTGCGATGATACCGGTGTGGAGTTCGGCGCTGCAAAGTGTCGTGTCAGGATGATTATTCTATCAAGGACGGTATTTATTTGTGCAATGGCCGAGGCCACTTACTAATTCCAAATGAAAAAGGCATATGCCCAGGTATAATCCATGTCCTCGAATACATGAGAACCGACGTAGACTCGCACAATAGATGCTACGCACGCGCTGGTGATTCGTTAGTATTTGGTCATGTAAGAAACGGATATTTGCGGCCCATACAAAAGTCCAAGACTGAGGATAAAGATGAGTGTTGCCTTGACCCGTTTATTTACCTGTAGCCCAACGATTACAGGCACCGGCAAGAGTACGAAGACGGCGTCAGTCAAGATATTCATGACGCCGTTAAAGGTTGATAGTTTCAGGAATGTATCTGTCGAAAAGCACTTGGCATCCGGAGGTCGTGGAAACATATACGATGCGTAAGGCGGAATGCATTGCAGCGCCAACGTCAGGTCGCACGACAATGTGAACAGTAGTATAAATACTTCAGAACAGATCAGTATAAAAGTCTGTGGCAGTGCTCATGGGCAGAACGACATACCGATCATGAAGATGATGAACCTTTTGTACCATTTTCCTTGCACAAATCGCAAGAGAAAGAGACCAAGTGAAACCTTGACGAGACTGATGCCGCTGACGAGTAGAGGGCCATGGATATACTGCCAATATGATAATTTCCCCCACTCTTCTAATTGGATATCGAAGGAATGGCGACCAGCGCCATGATGTGTTTCGCCAACTAGGCAGACCATTGCACCAACGGCAGCGAGCTGAACATGTCAGTTAACCTCTTTCAATTGTATTAAATATAACCAACACCGGCTCACCCATGCAAATACCATCACCACGTCATCTAGCCCAAAGTGCTTGATCATGAAACCTCGAACGTACACGCGGAGCAGTGTGCACAAGGTCGACAAGCCCATCATCGTCCCGACGACTGCAAGTATTGTTGGCGCATTAGACGGCTTGTCGACTGCTGCGACGGTTTCTTGCCTTGACCATATCGTCTGCATCTGTATTACAGCCATGATTTCAAAAATAGCATGAGTGCAATAAGCACTCGTGCTTGTGTTCGGTATTATAAGACGAGACCAACAGGAACGATCAAGTTCCAACTTGCATCCATGTAGGGCCGCCGCTAGGCTATTATACAAGCGGACATCTAGCAACGGACATTTATGCGGCCAAGACCTCGACCTTTTTGCTCAGTGCATTATCCGAAAGTACCACCGCTTTTCAGGAGTATGGGGAACAGCCACCACGGCCGGAGGCTTGGAAGCGAGAAGCGAGAAATCAAACTTGTGAGCTCTGCATGGGGACCTGCATGCATCAACCGCATTGCAGCGGTTGCTAAAAGCGCCACTGCTGTAGCGAACGTTTTGGAGCCCATGGACAGGCTTCTTTTAAGGAGGCCCGGCAGAAGTGGTGACACATTCTGTATATTACTATGCTTTAATGGGGACGTTTTAGGAAAACCGGAATCAGATGAACTGCAGATCAACACACTCTGCGACGATTACGGAACGAGTATACATCCTCTTCCTTGCCGGTCAGAAATTGATCAAGCGGCCTCGTGGTCTGAACAGTCTTTTCAAGGATCGCCTTGGAAATACTGACCAGATCTCAACTTGTTCCACATGCCAAAGGACTTGCCAGATTCGTCTGGAACCAGAACACTGTAATGCCTGTAAGAGTACAAAGAAGGAAAACCTGACAGAGCTTGCATGTGACTTGGTGACTATTGATGTAGCCGACCGAGTACCAAGCGTTGGTCGGACGGATAAAATCGCCTGATGTTATCCAGGTTCAGTCTGAGACCGCAGTCGATACGAACATAAACAAGGATGAAGGGCCATGGTCGGAGATCACGGCGCCCTGAAATACTTCCTTCATCGTCTCCAGCAATCTCGGCCTTGCGACTAAGAAGAACGAGAGCCGGGGTCTATATCTGAAGCAGTCATCAAGAGTGGGGTTGGAGAGAGGAGGCCGACCGCACGAGAAAGTCCAGAAATTTCTCCATGGAGAATTCCTTTCCAGCAAGCCCGCAGCCATGGAAGATGAAACGTCAGTTCCAAGGAAACGGCAGAGTTCAATAACATTCCATTAATCGACGCGACTATGCTACTGGTAGTAATAAAGTAGTTGCCACACATGTTCTTAGGGTAGACCTTGTCACAACACACCAAATATTCAGTTGAACTTGAAGTGGTCAAAGAATATTCCCGACGCATTGACGCCAGGCAAGACCCTGGAATGAAGTAGAACGCCATACATTAGCCTCGAACCACTCATGAGACTAGGAAGCAAGGGAGGAGACGACCATGATTGGGCGCAGAGCACTTGGCTAGTTGTTGAGGTATTTAGCCTGAGCTGCGAATTCATCTAAATATTCATTAAGGGAACTCCATCAAAGCCACCACCAATCCCTCTGAGCGTTACTTGAACAATCTAGAAGGAGTTAACACCTCGGAGCCGACCCCTGTACTGTCGGGCCGAGACGCAAGATAGTCCACAAGAATAAAAACAATCTTCGGGCGGAATGGTTCCTATTGGTCTCTGATGTTCCATCAGGTTGCGCGGTTCTTGATCGCTGCGCTGGGGATGCAAAGGATTAAGAAGATTTCACTACGCCAAGGCCTGGGCCATCAGGAGGGGGCTGTAGAAGGTAAGAAGTCCGAGCATTGAGAAGGCCAAGACCCCAAGTAATGCCTCACCATCGACCCAGTATGTCCTTCCAGGTGACCGCTGCAGGGTTTGCTGATGCGAATGCTGTGCCGCGCTCGGTTACAAAGCCCAATATCGTCCGGACGTCTCATTGGATTAGCCTGAAGTTCACATTGCATGCAACAGGGTATATAATCTCAGCTTTCCATACAAGTGGATGACAGGGGACCCGATTATGTAGCAGTGAAGCTTAAATCTTAGTAACGTGTGTCCACCAGACCAGATTCAAAATGCAACTCTTCAGTAGCGTCGAAAGGGCTCCCGCTGCTCTCCCGTGCACACCATCGTTCGCGTCTAACCCCACTTCCCCAGATCGTCCACATATTGGCTGACTCCCAGGCTATACTATTAAAGGATATTGTACAAAAGTGAGCAGCAGGCTGAGACGCAAACGGCATGATCCGAGATAAATCACTGCAGAAGAACGGCTATAAAGAACTCATTTACGTGCTCGGGCTTCTGAGGCATATTCCGACCGGGCATCGGGTGGCAGCTGTAGCCGAGTTCTCGGTTAAGCTGCTAGCAAGGCCTTCAAGTATTAGGGTAGTATTCCTACTGGGGACTGAGCCCAGTCCGGAATGGATATGTACTTTGAGCTTCCCGGATGTCGTTTGCGATGAGCCGTTAGACCAAAGAAGCCTTGTTGACCCGGATCCAAAAAACTTTTTTTGAGAAGTTGAGAAATCTGCCAAGTGCATCTATCAGATCATATTTATCATCGCAATCGCGCGCCATACTTCTTAGAGCCGCTTCATTTCCCAGAACTCTGGTTCGACCGCTGACGCTACAACTCTCACTTCGTCGTATACAAGGGTCCCCCTTTGCGTATCCGGCGTGGGAATATGCTCCGAGATTCGCCTCATGGCCAGGGCATCGTGGCCTGCCACACTCGAGTTCCAACCAATAAGACGCGTTTCCCCGAGCCACCTTTCTGCTTTCCCCCCCCCCAAGTAAGATCGTCTCATATCAAGCAATTGTTCGTTCGGAAAAGGTCTTGGCCATCGGTCAAGTGGCAAGGGATCGTTTGCTCTATTTGCTTTTTAGAAACTTCTGATTAGTTGAAGGCCTTGATGTACACTTGACGTTCCAAAATCCGTGAAAAGATAAAGGGCTCGCCCAACGTACACGGTTGACTATATTTTGTGGCTGTACTTATTGACCTTCCATTGAATGTGGCTCTTCTTGCCAGCTCTAATTGTGAGTATTAGGACCACTATTATAATCTCTCCTCCAATGACCCTTGAGTAAGGACCCGCTTCTGGAGTATTTCCTGCTTTCAGATAGTCCAGCCAATGCATGGTCGGAGACCCTGCAGGTCAATAGTAACAGTTGCAAGGCCCAGGCAGTCCAATAGTTCGATACTGGGTTTACGAATTTGATAAATGCGTGGCTCACTGGGGTCCCTATCGGCATGTCTAGGCCGTGCCCACGGCTTTATTCATATATCTGAGCCAGACACCGTGGTTGGATGTCTGTTCTCCAATGCACCGCACTTGACTTCGCTGTCAAGACGTTCCTCTCTCGCATTCCTTCTAGTCCCTTTCTGAGCTCTCTTGGCGTGCGCCACCTTCCGTCAAAATGCAGCTCTCTTTGTGGTCGCCTCTTCTAGCCTTGACATCAGTGGCTTCTGCATATAACCCTGAGTCAACGTTGAGGACGGACTTCCTTGCAATTGCCAGTCTTGCCAAACTTACTGGTTCCATCGTCGACGGCAGCTTGAAGTCGCATCTCGCGGAACAAGGCGTATCGCAATCATGTAACATCCTCAATGTTGGCATTAGAAGGGAATAGTACGTATTATCCCACCCAGACTCAACTGTTTCCTGTGCTGATTGTCTACAGCTCCACCTTATCCCGCAAGGAGAAGCTTGCCTACACGAGCGCTGTGAAGTGTCTCATGGCCAAGCCCGCGCAGACTCCGTCTGACCAAATTCCTGGAGCGAAGTCCCGATACGATGACTTCGTCGGCACACATATCAACCAGACTCTGTCCATACACGCCACGGGCAATTTTTTGCATTGGCACAGATACTTCACATGGGGCTTCGAGCAAGCTCTTCGCAACGAATGTGGCTACGAAGGCTACGTACCTTACTGGAACTGGGGAAAGTCGGCCAAGGACCCCATCAACTCCCCCTATTTTGATGGGTCTCAGTACTCGCAGGGAGGTAACGGCGTTTACGCAGAGCACAACTGCACCGATGCTCTTGCCAACGGCATCAACTGCATCCCTCCGGGCCAAGGAGGTGGCTGTGTCACAACTGGCCCCTACGTAGATAATTTGGCGAACATTTCTGCTTCCTTCCCGTCACTGCGTGCAGCCGGTGTTACTGCCGGTCCATTCTTGGGATATCAGCCGCGCTGCATTCGCCGCGATGTCTCCCCGTGGGTTTCCAGCCGGTGGTCCACTGACAATGAGTCTTACGACTTGTTGACAAACGCCACATACCAGACTGGTATCGGCGCCTTCCAGAACCGCATGCAGGGTGACTTCGCTAACGGGTACTTCGGTGTGCACTCTGCTGGCCACTACACCATCGGCGGCGACCCTGGTGGTGATTTCTTCAACTCACCCAACGACCCCATGTTTTGGCTCCATCACTCGCAGATTGACCGCACATGGTGGGTCTGGCAGAACCAGAAGCCCGTGGACCGCGCCTTTGATATCTCTGGCACGAACACGGTCTTCAACACCCCGCCAAGCCCAAACACGACGATCGAGGACACTATCAACTTGGGTATAATTCAACCAGATATGGCTATCAAGAACGGAGTGAGCACGGTCGCCGGCCCATACTGCTACATCTATGTATAGAGTAATGATGTGTCAATGTTGGGCACTCTGACACGCTGCCTTGCAACAGGACAGTAAAAAACAAATTAGAGTAATAGATTAGCACATGCTAAGTTTTCAAAAAATGATAATATTCAATAATTCAACCTGGGGCGAAAGCTTGAGAACTCAAGAAGTGCGTAAGCGGTTATCCCAAAGTGTGACCCTACTCATCGATTTCCACTCGAGATTGACATGTGGTTCCTCACAATCTTTTCTCAGTCGAAATTGAGGTACCGCAAGAGTGTACCTCAGGCTGCAGAGGTGCTGTGAGGCTCTTACGGGCGTAGTCCGCTCATCATTTAAACATAACAAACCAACTCAAGTGCCAAGAGGCAAAACGGGCCTATGGGATCACAACCACATCTTGAGAAACACGAAACGCATCAAGGTAACTCCGTGGTTAGACTTGATTTAGATGGGCTTGATCGAGCATAGGCAGATATTGAGCTTGGCAGTCAGTGCGTTGCCTACAATTCGGAAAAGCGATACGACGCAGCAGCCAATAGCATATGGCAGCAGATTGACCTTGTCCTCATATTGATACGGGGCCCTTCCACAACAGGCGAGGATGTCATTTCTGAATCGAATTCCGGTCTAAGCATCACTCTTAGATCTGCCCTGCTTAGTAAGAAGCCTTTGTCGTATTGCGAAGCCGCGGATGACATTGAAGTGCACGAGGTGTCGTGATGACCTACAACTGTGTAGTATAAGCAAAGCAGAAAAGGTTAATCCAGCTAGTAGTGGCCGTAGAATGCGAATGCGAACCCTGATGACGATGATGCTAAACAAACTGGGCCGAACCGGATGGAATATGGGCCGCAAGAGAGTAGATGGGGGGCTTCGTAATGACGAATGCGAGCTGCGCCTTCAGAAGCGCTAAACCAAAAGAGGCGGAACTTCAAGTTCATCCGGAGCTAGGTCTAGCATAGGGCTATACTACACGCCAGGACGGACCCAATGTGTATCCCCCTTTGTTTAAGGCCGTGACCTGGTGATATTCAATCGCACTCGCAAGATTAAGCCTTGGCTTTGTAGAGTTTCGGTTTTTCTTGGTGGGCTGAGCCTCATTGATGATGGGATTATTGTTACTGTGTAAAATAAATATGTACAGGTTATGTATATATATTTACATATATATACAGCAACTCAAACAGCAGTCAAAAAGTTCAGCTTCTCAAAGCACATCAATACATACAAACGCAGGTCGCAGACAAGTACAACAAGTATTGCTCTATCATATTAAGCAGTCTCTCTTTGATCACAATGGTTCAGTCCTCGAAGCCTCCAGCCAACGCTTTTGTAGCACGAGCTCGAAAGATCTACAACCCCATCGGTTTCTCGAAAGGCTATAATTTTGTTCTCTGGTTTATCTTTCTGGGGGCTTTTTTCGGCTTTACACTTGCTCGCTTGCAATATCTGAATATTTGGGGCGTTTTCTGCGGGAGTAATGGATCTGATGGTGCTCTTCCCGGAGAGTGCTACTACTACACCAACTTTGACGCGGCGAAAATCGGCATCGTTCTTCATCTGGGCTGCATTCTGCCAGCGGCTCTTCTAGCTTGTCTTCAGTTCATTCCTGTTGTGCGATACAAGGCCATGATTGTTCACCGCGTCAATGGCTGGATCGTCCTCTTACTCAGCCTACTCGGGACGATTGGTGCTCTTATGATTGCCCGACACGCTTTCGGTGGCGGTGTCGATATTCAGACTGCCATGGGATTACTGGGTATGCCACTCTCGAAATCCCCCGTACCCTTTCCAGCTATTTCTCCGTTGTCTTTCGAAGCGGCACAAAAACACTTTCTGTCGCTGTTCCACACAACAATACTGACTCTGATTGTCTCATATAGGCATAATGTTCGTGGGATCTTTGGTTCTAGCTGTCATAAACATCAAGCGTTTGCAAATCGAACAGCATCGAGCCTGGATGCTGAGGGCATGGTTTTATGTAAGTAGTCATGCATTAATGAGTACTTCACATCGGGGTTAGCGAAACATGTTGGCTGACAACTATGGTATCGCAAAGGCTGGAGCGATTATAACCATGCGCATCATCATGATTATCGCCGTTATTATTCTCTCCAAGATTGGCGGCTATTATGTAAGTGATTGAAATGTGTTGTGCATTCATACTTTCCTAATATCCGAAGAAATCTCCATGCTACCCATCCCTGCCCATTCTCTCCTCCTTCCATTTATGATGGGAATGTTCTAATCCCCAACAAGCGGAAAGAAAAGCTGATGTCCCCCATGAACAGACTGCCCAACCTTGCGAAAAAATCGAGTACATTTTCAGAAGTGCGAATACAACTATGGCTCTATTCCCACAATGTGCCGAATTCTTCTCTGGCGCGAACCCCAGTCAAAATGTCCTTGTCAACGCCGATTACAATGGAAATGTAGTCGAGATCGCGTCTGCATTCAACCTGACTTTTGGCCCTGCTGGGTGGTTGGCAGTCGCTCTCCATGCTGTCGGCATTGAAATCTATGTGGGTCTTGTCCAAACATTGTCGATCTGATATCTTGCTAAACACCAATAGCTACACCTAACTCCCGCAGAGGCTGAGCGTCTGAGAAAGGTTTCTTACCAAAGACAGGCCGAAGCTGGCATGCGGCATCCTGGTCGGGGAGGTCTTACGGCTGATCGTTTGGGTGATGCTGACACCTGGCAGCCTCAGGAGACGAAGGGAAAGGAGGCCCCTGCCGCTGAATCTGACTCACAGCTTCGTACAGCTTCTCTTTGAGTCTGAGAAAATCTGACTTGGCTTGTTTGGGGGCACACTTGGATGAGCTTCTTTTCAGAGAAAACATAGAGGATCGAAATCTGGTTTAGGCAGCGAAGCGTTTAGAACTCATTTACCTTAGGGAAATCATTGCCGTCGGAATTTTTAATAGATCATACAGCTGGAGTTTTGGGTTTTTTATTCTGGGATAGAAACAGTCTTAACCAGCAGAACGCAGCGATCTCAGCTGACCGAAAACCGAGCCAATGAAAACTTCTCGTGGACGTGAGTTTGCACGCGTCTGAGTGACTGACCCGTTCCCATTTGATTTCAACAATTGATCATTTGACACAACATGGATGCCGATGATATCTTCTAACGGTACAAGGGAGTGGTAATCTCTTCGATTCTGCATGGCCGACCACATGCTGTACAGGTTTGATACATGGATTTTTACATTAGTGAGACACTTACATAACAAGCCAACAAGGGTGAATTTAGGCAAAGATCATTGCTCCAAAACTTCCTTCACGATCTTCGAGAGCTGTGCCTTCTCCACATCTTTGCCGTCTAGCGGTCCGCCAGGGCCGAGTAGTTGCTTCATGACATCTCCCATCTTGGCCTTGCCTTGTACTGAGCCTTCGCTGGTCAACGCTGTCACGACCCCAGAGACAATCGTTCTCAGCTCGTCCTCCCCAACGACTTGCACACCACTGCCTGATACGTATTCGTTCAAGATGTTGATCTGTGCCTGCTCCTTCTCTACCAGATCGTCGCGATTCGCAGCCTTGAACTCGGCCGAAGCGTCCTCAGAAGCCTTGGCAGTCTTGCGAAGAAGTGCCACTAGCTGGGCGTCGGTATTGATGGGACTCGCAGTCTTCGAAGCATTAAGAGTTTGCGCCAGGATTGAGCGCAGAACCGTCAGTCGCGCAGCGTCCTTAGCACGCATAGCTATTTTGAGATCGGTCCTGAGCTTTTGTAGCAGCGGTGGCGGCGCAGGGTCTGAGGAGTAGAATCGGACCATTCCACGAGGGGCAGTGGGCGCCAGACGAGCCCGCATGAAGCTCGATGGCAGCCGCTTAGGAATGAAAGAAGCCATTGTGATATTTGCTTGTGAAGAGCTTAGCTACCTGGCCGTCGCGCTTCGTTGGTTTGGCGTGGATGCAATTGAGCTCGCAGTTCGAGTTGTACTAAGTTAGCCGCTATATGCTAGGCGGGCATGCGGGACAAGGGCGTTTCCGAAAGTTTAACAGATGATACGTAAGTAAGCTGCAGGTTGTGAAAGTGCTGTGCTGAAATAAAATCTTTCAACACGCGAATTGGGCCTTCATCGAGCTCGAAATGGGAAATTTTGGGTGAGCTCTCAATTGACCAATGACGTCTCACTAGCGCAGGTACGTACCTACAACTATATGTGGCTTGCATGACTGTGCATTTTGCCAGATCAACAGAGAACATCTACCTATCATATCAACTTCAAGCTTTTACGTTGCCAATTTGATCTCGGTGATAATAAAGGGTCACTCCTGAAACCGCGAGGTTCATGAAAAGAAGAGAATTGACGATATTCCGCCAGGGGGCTCGTTGCATATATATGACCTGCCAGGGGCGCTCGTTGTATTGCAATTGATTCGTAGGCATGTGTTCAGCACTATACGGATGGCAAATTGTCCCCAAAACCCAATTCAAGACATAGCAATCCAACCGCCCCGAGTGATCTCACTGCTGTCAACTGCATCGAGGTCCTCATTGCACTGTATTGGAGGGGGGGAGGTGGGTTCGTTGATTATCCCTGGTCTTCAGCTTAAGACTGCAATATCCCCATGATCCAAAGACACATGTTCAAGTAGAGCGGCTTACTTGCCGTGTATGAGTACGCGTGGAAAGGGTTTGTACTTGCCGAGGTGATCTAAATCGTGATGGGTGGATAGAGTTATCAAACCCCAGAGGGGCGTTGCTGCTGCACCAAAGTCGAGCTTTCATAGAGAATGTGAGCACCTGGCGCCTTGCAACGATACTACATTACGCCATTAGAATCGTTTCTCCCATATCCAATTTCAACGTTTCGCAGCTAATTGCTACTCCGGGGGTGCTCTGTCATCAAGTACTCTATTTCCTGTGTTTGCCTACTCATGCAGCTTGCCTCACGCTGTGTTATGTTACTAAGCTCCGCCGAGAAAGAGCGTTCTGACCCAACAGACTGGTAGCGAGACAAGGGCCGCTCCTACTCCTTCTAGGTTCACACCGATTACTGCGTGAAACCTTAATTGAGCTTCATCGCATGGTCGACTTCTCCCCCTGGTTCTTGTTCTTTTTCTGGATTGTCTGCTGCTGTAGCCGGCTGCAACGCATCATTTCCTAATATGTCCAACCCTGACGTACTTAATGACAGTTCAGCACCCGTTCTACCATCTCAAGCGTTCTCTTCATCGACCACCAGACGCCCTAACCATTCCGCAGTAGATGTCTAGCCATGAACAGATCCATGCGTTCAATCACCTGTTATCGTTTTCGGCCAACAGCAATGTATCTGGATCACCGTAATTAGCACCTTAGACCACAACGAAAACCGTGTATGTCTTACACAGAGAAATAAGGCTGTTCGCGTTACACGATTTGGTCAACACTTTCCATTCAAGAGGGTTCTGGAAGTCTTACCTTGTAATCTGGATTCCGGGCATCAGCTCTGGCATTTTCCACCAGCTCGTTGAATTCTTCAATCGGCAATCTGGAGTTTTGGTCAGTCATTCATGCCCGTTCGGGAACTTGCGATTGAGAATGATACCTCAACCCACGTCGCGACGTTAGTGGCCACAGAGCAAGTGAATATAGCAGCTCGGTAATGTTGGGTAGATTCCAGGCACCTAACTGCCTCTCTTGTGGGTCTTCGACGTGTTAGTTTGTATTTTATTTTATTTTCTTATGAAAAGTAGCGTGGAAGTATTTGAAACTGCTTACCGGTTGACCAGTTGCACATGGGCAGTTCCACGCAAGTTTCCTCGACGTCAACAAAACCAGCAGATCTTAACATGGCTCCGAGGCGCATGCCTACACGCGGGTCCTTCTCTAGCTGCTCCATTGCTTCCATATATTTGCTGCTCCATTGACGAAGAGCACCATCTATTCGTGGTCAATACTCAAAACATACACCAGTTATTTGAGCATTTACGCACTGCTGGGATAGTCGCCTCCCGGGCATTGAGCGTTGAAGTAGACTTCAATCAACTGGACCCATCCTTGCCGGACGAGAACACGCTTGATCTCGCGAACATATTGGCTCCACCGATTTGTATTGATACCCCCATTCACCATCCTGCTATGGACGAAATCGAAATAGCCGTTGTCATAAGGAATGCTACCAGTGGAAACTTCAGCAAGTCGTACATTTACCGCAAACAATAAAGACTCACGCTTCGTTGAGATCGCACTGGTACTGATAAAGATTTGGTGGTGACCCGAACGGCATCATAAGTGTTGAGACATCAATAGCGTGCACCTAAGTGTGACATGTCAGCCGAATCTGCCTGATTCTCCTGTGTACGCGGTCAACACCCAAGCAACTATCAGCATGGCATGTGAGTATGTTGTATGGAGACTACCAGATCTTCTCGATGGAGGAATGTCAGTGAAGTGAAGGGATCACGTAGACAATGGGGGTATCAGCAAAAGACATTACTGCCTTCAATCAAGCCACGCATTTTACATGGCCAACCTGAGAATTGCTACTTGACGCACCTCGCAGGTTGGTACATTCTGGGCTACTTCAATGGCCCAGCACCCGTTACCTGTTCCGCAATCAAGGACCCTACGCAGTGCGTTAGGTTGTGGTAGGATTGTTCGTCCAGTCTTCAGGATTATCACTTCGTGCATGGTTGTAAGACGCCGGTTCTCTGCCTTGGCGGCGTTAGTCCTGCCATATTGTGTTGACATAACCTGTTAGAGGGCCCATACCTCATCGATTGGCACAAAGTAGGCCCTACTGTCTCTGGAGAGGCGGTGGAAATATCGTCCATGGTACTCGAATGTTTCCTCATGCTCCTCGGGGAGTTCGTCGGCGCCGTTGCTATGTGTCTTCAGCACTTGAGGGACGTGATTGCGTCGCCACCACCTTACTTACTCAGTCATTTGTCTCTAAGTGATCAAAATCTAGCAGGAACTCGCTGTGATGGCTTCAACACAATGCCCAACATATCTCCTCAGTTTATATAAGAGAGGAATACCCATAAGGCAAGCTTCCGCGATTTCCTGGGTACATTCAACAATATAGACTGGGCGAGGTGTGGATGTAGAAACACCCTTGATGAACACGTTGGCGACGCTAAGCGACCACTCCTCCCATGACCTATCGCCGATCCCGAGTGGTACAGAAGATTGTACGCAAGGTACATACCCGGGAAAAGGTCTCGACCGCTGTGAGTTCGTATTAAATCCCCCACATTCTGAGACTTGGGCCATCTTTCAAAGACTCCTACACAATTTCACAATCTACAATTCGCATCAAGATTAGACAGACGTTTCATTAATTACCAGTTCCCTCCTCAGGATCGAAGTTGTGGGCTCAATGGTTGCAGCTGCCCAGGAGTAACATGTCCATCACAAGAAGGTTATCATGATTCCTGAAAGGAAAGTCCGGCAGTCCCGGTGGCAAGCTGCCACAATGATGACTTTCGCATTCATCTCTGGACTTAACGACTGATCACAACTGGCATGAACACCAGCTAAGGATCGAGAGTGCCGCCGAAGAAGCTACAAAATTCTAAACGATTCGCCCATATCGACAGTCATCGCACTCGCTAGTGGGCAGACAAATAATCAATCACAATACATTGCTGGACGGGCTGAGCTTGGCTCCTACCTACAAGCTGGGAACTAGATGTCAGAAAGACAAACTGACCAGCAATGAGTTCTTGGAATCAATCAATTTCAACCGGGTAAATTCTCATTTCTCACAGCGTAGGGCACAGTTCGTGAATGCCCAAATCTCGTCCTTAATTCTGTGCAGCCAGCATGTATGTTACTCCCCTGACTATGGCAAACTGGTACCATAACTGGCGAAGCGTCATGCAGAGATCGAATTCTGGTATCCCTGTTTTCCCAAGTGATGCATCGCCAATCAAAGATTCAAAGGATTCTCGTGCATAATGGGCACTGACCCTGAGTGATTATTACTTGTAATGGAAGGACGACTGCTGAGCTACTAAGACAGCACCATTGCCCGTTTCGCCCAGGAGCTGCCCAATTACAGGACGATCAGCAAAGCTTGCACGTGAAGAACTAACTATAGACCCCATGCTTCTACCAGGTTCGCGCAAGGATGATACCTGTCGGTGGGATATCCCCTTGTTTCCACTCGTGGCAAACAAGGTTTCCGTGCCTTCGGGATGTTTTCAGAACGTCAGGTTAGACCCGAGAAATCGGATCGATACTTGTGTAACAAATCATCAGCTATTCTTGGGGTATGCTCCTCAAAAACACTGCTGCCGATATCTCCTTACTGAAATATATATCGGACTGTTATGTGCAAAACACGACAGATTTTTATAACGAACGACCGCTCGTTCAAGCTATGCAGAGCTTTTCAGAACTCAATACGCCTTGATATGGGATTTACCACTTGCGCGATCCTGGCGGTCATCACTGCTAACATGTGGATTTCAGTACCTGGAGATGCAGTTTGGTGTCTTTACCAGCACTACTAATTCCATTAGTGGCAGTATCACCCAGTCGATCGCCTCGGCTTGACCGAACGTGGACATTTGTACAATCTGTGCATGATTTGCTTATTACGTTTTGATGCCATAGCCCGCCAGAAACGAAGCGTCATATCAGAGGCGGTGTGTAAGCACCCCGTTGTTTCAAAACATATAGACAAGGGCAACTTGTCCCAAGTGCCCCTCAATGTTGGACCCGGTGATTCAACGCGCATAACCAAGAGCTGACTGGTTTAGTCGGGGGATGGGACCCACCATCATGTGAGCGACCTTCGCTTGGTGTTTTTGGATGATTTCTGGTGGATTATTTTGGGTGCTATTCGATACTATTGAATCATTCAATAAGTTTTCGAGAAGTGTTTAATAAATTAGCTTCGATATGGCGACGAGGGCCAAAAGAAAGCAAAAATGAAAAAGAAAACAGTGGTCGGTCCTTGCTTGGCACTTCCAGAGGACGTCCCAATAGGGAGTGGTTGGAGACGACCATACAGATCCGTAATAGCAATACTGTACCTGGTATTGATCAATTCAATTTCGTTCCTTGCAGGATCCGAAAGTACGGTACGTTAGCGTCAAAACGCCTTCCAGAAGCTTTCGAATCTTCCTTCGGCGTTGGCGCTATTTTTGGTGACATTGCGCTGACGGACAGAAGGACTTCATGGTCCGCAAAAATCCTGAGGAATCCCCCCTCACCCTTGTTGATTTCAAGTTCAAGTATCGACGTTTTCGACATTCTACACTAGGAGGAATGCCCAGCCGCATCCTGTCCGGATATCCCGTCCCTTGTGTCTAGAAATGGGCAGAGGAATTGAGTCCTCGCTTTTTGTTGAACTAATAACTTAGAGGTGGACAAGGCTTCGACCGTCAATTGGCATCCACCCGAACCACCCCATCGGATTTTCATGATCCCTGTCCATTGGTGGTTCGCGCAATGGCCTAAGGTTAGGGTAATTGATATGCATGTGATGGCGATGGCTGTCCGATGGCGTACCGCTCTGCCGGGCCATGCCACCTAGTGGGAATGTAGCAGTACTGATGTTTTGAATCACCCTGACAGGTCAATACGTGAGGCTATTCACGCCCAAAAACTAGGCCAAACGGTATTGATATGCGTGGTCAGCATTGTTGCCTGTGTTGGCAGACTTTTCGTCATGGTCAAATCTACCTCGCTTAACATGATGCATTTTTGTCTTGCTGCCTGCACTTACTGGTCTGTGTGGTAGAAATGCATAACGAGAAGGATTGTTTGCAAGCCACGAGGATTCGAACAGGCTTCCTGCTACAATTCTGCCACAATTGAACTCCATGCAGCGTTGGCCTAGGTAGAAGTCGGACAACACCGAATTGAGCGCTCCGCGGGCAGTTTTCAGGGACCCATGTGCATTATGGATGATTTTCGTGTGCGCATCACCGCGTAGCCACGACCCAAAGAATGACTTGATGCCCTCTAGCCTCGGCGTAGGTCGGCCGCTTCATGCCAGCATTGCCCATACGTAAATAGCCTGTAACCGTCTCGTATGTATGGCGCCGTGCTGTCAGCTAAGTTTTGCTGTTGCTACTATGATATACGAACACCGGCGTCTTGGACGAGTTTCGTGACATGCATTCAGACACAAATATATCATGGGGAAGTGATATGTCACTTTCGCCTTGTCAGGATCTACAAGTCTTAGCCACCACAAGAAGAAGAAGAAGAAGAAGAAGAAGAGGAGGAGGAAGAAGACCTGGGGCGCAACTGACAGAGCTCTTGGATGCTTATCGTAAGTACAAGTCATAGTCTGTCTTGATACTTAATTTCCAACGGGAAGATAAAATTGCGAAAATGCAGGCGTTCCAGATGTCTATGACACAACAAGTCTCAATGTTGTGCCGTGAAGGTGTAGCCTCCTTCCGAGTGAGGCAAGACTGGACATATATGAGCGATCGGACATGTGGCTGTGAAGTATAGATTTCTAGCAGATGTAGCTCAACGCTAAATTAGGGACTGAGCGCATGAAACCTATATAACATATTGGCAATTGAGACCTTGTTGTCATCAATTTGGTTGCTGTGTTTGATGACCATGAGGAGACAGTCTGCGGACTCATGAACAGCTTAAACGTTGTGTTCGTACATCGGTTATATAATACTTGGTTGGGTATCCTGTCCCTGGTGGGGAAACTTTTTGGAAAAGTCAGAACCTGATGAACACCACTGACCAAAACCAAGTCTATTGCCATCACTGGACCTGTAACCTTTTATGGATCCGCCACTCGCCTCTTTAGGATTTTGGTCTTGGTTGTTCCGTACCAAGTTTTACTCCCGCTTGACCGAAATCACAAAACACCGTCTACCAACACTCGAATACTGGATTTCTGGCTTTCACAGTCTCCAGGCGCTCAACGATAACCTTTCTCCTGTTTCCTTCCATACCTTCTGCCGCTGCGTATCCCAAATCGCCTTCCATATCGGCATCGTCTCCAATGAAATCTCCATACATTTGTTGAGCGATCGAGTTGCTGTTTCGTCGCCCAGCTGCAGTGGCATAGCTGAAACGTCTCTCTCGGTGGGGCGTGTAAATATTAACGGAAGACCTCGCAGGTCCTTGGTAACTGGCTCTTGGGCCCGCATGTGAAACCTTAGGTCGCGATGATGACGTTTGTGGTGATGTTGTATTGCCATCTTCGAAGTGGTTCGTTCCTAGACCGTGCGGCGAGGTTGTCGCCTCGTCAGGCGACTGCGCTCTTGGGGTGTTGAGCTCAAAACGGCCAGGGTTTGGTAAGGGACTAGCTAAACCCAGAAGGTCGTCTGCCTGGGTTGGTGCGCTGGATGAGTTTACTGCGCCGATATCCATTTCCTCCTCGATAGCATCATGTACCTCAGGATCGGCCTTACGGCGCATATCCGTACTGGCAGCTCGCATCGGAACAGCTACGGGGACGTCGACGAGATCATCCCAGATACATACCCTGGTACGGCGCGTAAGCTCTAAAGGACCATGATCTGGTGTCTTCAGGGTTTCAACAACGTTCCAAGCTTGGCCTTTCATGACGGCCATTTGGCGTGAGAACATCTTCTCTTGAAAATCCGGATCGATTTTGAAGACTCTCCGGAGAGCAAGCTGCGTTTGACTCCACCACTCAGTCGATGTCAGAAGAGGCAAGAAATGATCACGAGTCTTTTGTGAGAAAGGCCGCCCGATAAGATCAACAGGCAAGAACAACCATCCGAACGGGAAGCTGCAGAAACAATCAGTACGTATAATGGCCAAGCTGAGCTTTTGGTCTTACCTTCGCCAAGCATCCGGGTGTTTCCAGGGCCACGAAAGGGAGTTATCGATAGCGCCGATAGAGATGTTGGGTTCGCGTACATTCGTGGAGCCAGTTGCCTTCATGGGTTTCTGCGTCTTATACGGGTTCACTCCTGGGCTCCTCGTCTGGTTTCCATCCGTAAGATCCACCGGCCGTGCAGGCTGGTCGTTTTCATCGTCTTCAACATGCATGTTAAATTGCGGAGGTTCAGAAGCAATGGACACTGATTGGCTTTCCCAGTCGACTTTGACCATCCAGTTATCAAGTCCTCTGTCTGTGTTTCGCATAATATAGTCTAAGATGACGAGCTTCTCCAACTCTTCTCGGAACGCTTGCTTGAGCCCTTCTGTCCAGACGAAGTTGTCTGGGCCGAGAGGGCGGGGTGATGGCGTGTCATAATCGTCGTCACTCTCATTCCCGTTGACTCGTCTGCTCGAGGGGCGACAACTGTCGGCCCATTTTCTCTGCTTATGACGGTGTGTATCGTTGGAGCGGAACCCAGACCAGTATTGGTCTGGCCATGGATTTTGCTTCAAGAAGACATTGGCGTCCTTGAATCCTTTCAAGAATACTTGAAAGCTACCGGCTTTGCTAGGGAGGGGCTTCTTCTTCCTATAGAAGCTTCGCCGGTCCCAATAGGGGTAGTGGAATGATTTTGACGATAGCCATACGACATCCGTATATGGTACCATGTTTGTTCGCAGCTGACAGTCCAAAGTATAAGCAGCTGCTTCGCTAACATACGAGAGGTTGGGAATGAGGCATGCTCGGCCGAAACAGCACGGGAACAGGTTTCTATGGATCCATTTGTTCCATTTCGGGTTTCCAGCAGCGTAGGGCTCCTCATCCTTGGGCTTAAAGACTCCCACGATCTTGCCGTCGAGGTTACGGGCGAAATAGCTTCCAGAGCTACCTTGCGTAATCATGCTGGGATGCATGCCCTGATCAATAGCCGTCCGGACGCTCTGGACTATCTCATCAAACTCGTCTTTTGACATGGCAGTCTGATGTGCAGTTGCCGCGAGAGATTCGGCGGTGGCGGGTTGTACACCATCAGGAGCCTTGAAGACGCTGTATTGGATTTCGAGTTGCTCTTCATCGTCATGTCTCCCCTTGCCCTTGCCCCTTTTGAATTTGGAAGCGATCTCATCTGCCCACCTCTCCAAGCGGGCGTTGATAGCCTTGAGGTCCACACCAGAGTTCGTTCTCGCTCTCCTAGGACGATGCCTCTGTTTTGTGGCTTCCGGGGAGGCCATGCCCGAGTGAGGGCGTGGCTGGGCGGCAGGGGCATATCTGGGTGCGGTCTGAGGCTGCAAAGAAGCGAAGCTCTGGCCCAAAGGCTCGTCGTCAGAATCGTCGCTGAACTGGTCAGCCTGAGCCAAACGTTCGTAGCCTGTGGTTGGGGGTCGAGTTCGAGGCATGGTGGCGGTAGGTGAAGCAGGTAAAGTACAACGGGTATCGGGGCTATCGCATGGTGAAACGGCTCTGCTTGGCTGGTGTTGGACTTGATCTCTGGCGATGGACGCTGCGCTGTGGTGCAGTTGTTCGAGTTGAGCAAGTTAAGGGGTCAGTGCTCTTTGTCCGGCTCCCGAGTGTCGGAGCAGGACGGAGGCCTCGCAGACGGCTTGGAGGAAAGTAAACTGACAGGAGAAGGAAAAAGAGAAACGAAATGAAATGTAGTAGAATACAGATTTCGAATGCAGTGCTCCTGTGACAAGGAAATTTTGAAGCTGGTTCAGAATGCCAGATTGGGATTACTGGAGATGGGCTTGAAGTTGTAGCTAACCTTAGTCTAGTCTGACCTAACCTCAGTCGCCAACACGTCACGTCAGTGGCCTGCTAGTTGTAGCGGAGAGGTAGGGGCCATTGGAAGCTCAGGATTGTCTATCAGTCTATCAGTTTCACCTGCCACTACGGAGCACTACCGGTGGCATGAGCTGTGCAGTGATAGAGCTAAGTCGTATCAAGCCTAGTTTAGGTCAAGTAATGTTCGAGTAGCCTGGCCTAGAGCTTCTAAGTTACATGGCAGCAAGCTGGAGCGAACCTCCCCCAAGCTCTCCTCGCCTCCACACTCTTCTCGGAATCGTAGACTCGACAAAAACGGCGCTGCTTTGATGCGTTCCAAGCCGGCAGCTCAGCTCGGCTCAACCCAGCTCACCGCGCATGCTTTCCTATGACAGCAGCCACAACATACGTACATAGTATTGCTGCTTCTTCTCCGCATACCGACACCCAGTACGGATCTGTCGACCGTGGCCGGGTGCACGGGCAAACGATTGAGATCATGACCATAATAGGACGTATACTTCTTGGCCTTCGGTAGTGAGTACAACGAACCATTGTTTTGGTATGTATCACAGCCGTCTACTGTCATTGATAGTAATCGGGAGTTCCCTCTAATAATCGCCATCTGAATTCAACTTACTTGTACATCCGACCCATATCCAGCGAGCTCGACAATCTTCATCTGACCACTTTTCTTCTGCACTTTGCTCCTGTCGTTGTTCGACGGCGCTCCAAGGTTAGCTAAGTTTGGTTCGCATTTCTAGGGCAAAAGGTGGAACTCGCACCCATCGAGTATACCACTCGGCTGCCTTCCAAGCATAGCCTCAGATGCCAACCGTCTTGCACTTAGCCCTGATCACTGGCATAAGATAAGTACTATCTATGTAATATGTTGAGTTAAACAGGATATATTAGTGTCATTTCGCGCGATCGTTAGCGAAACGGGCCCGGAGTTGAGTGCGCCAACTCTCTGTCTATTGCTTGCTTTCAACTCAACCCTGGAAAGCCAAGGCATAAAGTTGAGCTTGGCCATTGCAGCAACCCGAGAATCCACCTTGCGTGCTACCTCGCAGGCAGTCTTCCACAACGCGCAGCGCGGCCAGTCAGCTGCATGAATCCTTTTCGCTCCTGCACGAGTACTAATCAAATCCTTAAACCAAGGCCCTTCACTCGCATCGTCATCGAGGCATCACAAAGGTAGCATTTGAAACACCTCATACGATCAACTGCACTTGCGTTTACCAGGAGAAGCTGAGCCGATGTAGTTACGTTGCACGTGGCCTCGAAACCATCTCCCAAAAATCAGCCGTCATGGCGCCATATCTTACTTATGCACAGGTCATCAAGCTTGTCTACCCTACCGTAAGACAACAAAACCGACTACTGGGGCAGTAGTGCTTGAGAAGTCTGATATGGATAGACCATGCTGAGTCGTGGGTTTAGACTTCACCGGATTACTGTCCTTAACGTACGAGAGTTTGTGGCCATTATGCTGACCAATGATAAAGAAGTTGCGGGCTAGACAAGAACGTCTTTCTCGTTCGACTGAAGATTCCCAGACCCCAGCGCCGATCAGCACGATATCCCCAAATTCCAATATCTTTGACTAGTCTAGGTGTGAACAATGGATCGACAAGTCCTGCCCATATCCAATTTGTCTTGGCCCTCGTATGCTAGAAGGTTTCATGTTCTTCCTTCCCTCCTTGCCCTCCCTAATCATGTCACCCTTGCTGGTTAACCTAGTTCAATTGCAAATCATAAAAGAACCAACAGCCACCCCCGACCTGGACCCCAAACAGTTCGCTGGTCATATCATTCCATCAACCAACGAATGCATAGCAAACAGACTAGTTACTGTTCCAGGTGTATTACTCCCTTGGAAGCTACTGAACAGATATCCGCAACTGCTCTAGGCACCCTTTTTTTCCATTGCTCTTCTCGTCCCCGCAACGGAGCGACCGGTATCCACTGTCAATAGATGTGAGGCTGTCGACGTGGTTTTGACTTTATGCTGTCCCGTCCCCGATAAACAAAGGGAAAAAATTCCGGGCTGTCACTTAAGAGACATAACCCTCTGCACGCACAGCATTGCAAATTTGCACTTCAAAATTGTTGAATCCATCCATCTAAAATGACAGCGCCGGCAACTGTGAACGAACGAATGAATGAGGTGGTCATATCGACCTTGTCGTCACCAGAGCTGGAGCAAAGGGGCCGCAAGCGACGCCGCGATCCACCTACGTTCTTGACAGTCGTCGAAAGACAATTGCCCTCAGGCGATGACACCTTTCGAGGCCGTTCTCGGCATCGTTCTACATCACGAATCGACATGTCTAACAACTCATCCCGTTTGAGAGACGCATCTCTGTCTCCAACACGACGCAAGATTCTACGAATTGCACAGCTGATCAACCGCCGTCATAGAAGCCAAAGCCCATCGAGGTCCCGGTCCCCAAATACGCAAGAGACCTCGAAGCGAAGGAGACAAAGGACTCGAAGTCATGGCCGAGTACATCACGATCATCCCAAACCAATCGAGCACACCTCGCTACTGTGTCATGAAATCATCGTGCGGACCGAACCCGTGATTGACCAGCAAGTCGGTTGATATCCATGGCAGATATTGCTGCAACAAAGATGCAGCAAGTTTGAGCGAGAATATCAAACGGAATGCGGGATGTCCTGTTCGATGCACCACATGCAAGCAAGTACCCTGTGTCCTCAAGCGACAAGCGGGCTTCTCTCAGATTCGAGGGTTTCTGTCAACGTAGGAAGGTGCCGAGTTGAATGACAAAACGAACGTTTGCCATGTTTACGCCGGATGCGCTGAGCCGCGGGTAAATTGCGAATGGAAAAGCCGGAGTTCCTGTAATTGCTGCTCTCGGATGACTTCCAGAGAGTTCATGGATACGAAGATGGGGTGAATATTGCATTCAAGGCGCAAGTCATTGTGTATCTTGAAAGAAATGGGCAATGGGGAGATGTGTTTTACTCCGGGAATCTAGTTAGGTAGCTCGGACATTGCTGGTTTGATATTGTACAACACTGCAAAAGGACAAGCTTCTTACACTTTCATGTTTGATATGTCAATATACGACGATCGTTACCCACCACTGAGCCTATAGCCTGATCACGAGTGCAAGAGAGCAGGACCTTTAGTGCCCGCAATGCCAGCACAGTGACATTCTGACTCATATGAGAACCACGTGAGCATGTCAATAGCAGATACGGTGATGGAGTTTCAGAGAAGATGCATAACTGGTAGGTGGAATCCCGTTATGTAGCTCCAGAGCGCTGCAAGTCTCAGAATGCCCGTGTTTTCGTCCTTTTAAACTGCATGCGGGCTGCGGACAACACACTTCGTGGAGTCGCCCAACGTTAGAGCTTGAGACTAGCCGCACCACGTAAAAGCCATCTTATTCCTGGATGTGATGCAATCAAGTAAGTTCCTCGTTGACATTCCAACCAGCTGTATATTCCAGGTACCCTTTCCATTTATACAATGCTGCTGTGGTACATTGCGAGCCCACTGGCGATATAAGCTTTCGCGTACTCGAACTTTTGTGTCCCACCACTCTGGCATGCAAACATACACTTTTAATTCACCATGTCGATGTCGTTCCCCGGCAAGACACCGATTTTACTCTCCCAGAGATGGTATCTGTGCAGCGAAGCAAAGGGCATACTATGTACTGTATGTACATAGGTACATACTTGCTTGTAAGGGGCACGTGGATATGAGAGCTAATCGATATGAGGCTAGATACCGACGGGGTCTCACGGTGGTCATGGTCATGAGACCAATCGAGTCTGCAACTATGCAGACAGAAACAAACGCGTTTTGCCCATTTCCGGCCAGCGCTACCTGCAATTAGGCATGGTAGGCAGGCCCATGGGCACAAGACCAAGACGCAAATGCCGTGGGGTGGACAGGCTTTCTGAGTTAGTGGGTTATCTGTCGAGGGGCGCGCCGAGGGAGTGCTTGAGTACGGGGACGGGATTGGGTTACGGAATAGGTACAGTGGTTCTCATTCTACATAGTACAAGTACTAACTTAGTCAAGGTAGGGTGGGAACAGCGATGATGATGCGCTTATCGGGCGCGTACCGCACATTGATAGCCTCGAGGCGGATGCAACCTTGAACCAACGTACCTTGATCATCTGAAGCCTAGGTAAGCCTATGCTCTGTAGAAACAGCTACAGTACGCTGCCTATCCATATTTCTTCCTCATGAAGCCGCGTGACTCAGTTGATTCTTGTCCGTCGCGCTCATCCGCGTCCGCTACGGATTGTGCGCGCTGGCACGAGAGTAATCTGCTCACCGTCTTCTAATACCATTCTGTTTCAGTCAACTCGGTCCAACTTACACTCACATCCCATCGTTGCTGCTTTGCGCTCAGGCCGTGCAGATACAGATGCAGATGCACATGCTGATGCTGCCTCTTGTTCCTACTACGATACCTCGCTTGGCTCGGTTACTCCCTTGCGCGTGAATCGAACACTTGGTTTCTCTCAGTGAAGCTCGTAAATCGATCTATCCTTGGGACAATCATTTCTCTACACTGGTTTTGATGTTCTTTTATTTTACTTCATTTTTTTGCTAAGCGCCTGCTCCGGTTGAAATTCAACTCAGAAATTCACTCTCAAGTGCGTTGTTGCCCCACCATCTCATCGCATCTCGACCGGCGCCTTCTCTTTCTCTCTCCATCCACAAGGTTTGGATGCGAGGCTCCCGTTTCTCGCAGCTATCTTTCACGCAGCCTCCAGACTCACCTTCATCAAGAGATGCAGTGAATTACCACGCGATCCTCGAACTTGTTTCTCAAACGAACTCACAGATTCCAAAGAGCCTTTACGACTGCTCCTGTAACCCGAGCCCCCTCGAGATTGGCGACACAGTCTTTGTAATGAGGTCCTTGCCTTGACAGGATCATTCAAATAAGCCTGCATTCAGCCGTGCTTCAGCATCAGTCGGCGCACCAAAAAGGCAGTAACCATGGCTTCAAGGGATCACGCACATGGTAAAGCTCCACTTTCCTTGAATATCCCCATCAGCTCTTAGCAAGGGAAGATGCCAAAGTGAAGATGCAGAGATTACGCTGTGGCAACGACGTCGATTACTCTCGTTGTGGCGAGAATTTCGCTAACAGCGACCAAGGCTTTGTTCCTCAGAACGGGACGGCGGGTGCGCCCCCTCTGAACAATGGCAGGCCTCCATCTGGCCTGGCCTACAACCCGGCCATGTTGCTGAATCCAAAGGGCTATGCGAGCCCTTCCCACGCCGGGCCGGCCGCTGCGGCAACGAACGGTCAGGGCAGCTCGAACGATACCAGCTTTCTCGATTTTCAGTTCTCAAACCCAAACGACGACACAGGCTCGAGTGCCAGCACCCCTTCATCCTTCTTCCATCAAGGCCCCGAAGGTGCCGTTCGCAGCCACACGAATACACCCGTTAACGGTTTCGGTAGCATGTTTGAGCGAATGAACAATGTCCAGGAGCGAACAGCGATGCCACAGCTGAAACGGCGAAAGGTCCAGGCGGAAGACAACGATATGATCCCCTCGAACTTCGGAGGTGGCGGTAGTGGCATGCTTGGTCAGTACGTCAAGGAGAAGCGCGAGGAGGACAGCAAAAATCCTGCCCTACGTAGCGTCGACACTGTGGATCTCACTGCGACCCGTAAGTATGGCATCAATGCGATGCAAGTCATTGCACCAGACAAGCATCGAACTGACATCGAGCTAGTTGAAGACGACGGCGACATTGTCGAAATAACCGACGCAAATGAACAGGAGGTCTGCTTTGGTAAGCTCCTGAATGCCAAGATCAACTTTGATGTCGTACCCAGCCCGAAACCCGGCCAGCGTGCTCTGAACGATGGCTATTGGCCAAACGTCAAAATCATGCTCAGTCGCAGGCAGGGCGACCCTACCAATGTGATTCTGGCCAAAGATCATACAAGAAGGGTTGTTGGCAGAGTCGACGCCCAAACGGCACTTGGGCTGTCACCACTTCTTGACTCCGCTCGTTTGTATCTCCGTACTGAAGCCAGATTACCTAGTCGAAAGAAGCAACCTGGCGAACAGGCTGGCCAGCAGGTTTCTCAGGCTTTAGCTTTTGACTGTATATTGTACGGCCCGAGAAGATCCTCAAGGGCTGTAGCAAAGCATCTGTACTCCAGAGGCCTGAAACTCACTCATCCAGCTCTGGTGGAACCGGGTATCAAGTATGAGAACCCAATGCCACATGATGCCCGGCAAGTTGTCCCCATGAGGCCGCAATTCGTACCAGGTCCCACGGCGGTTTCCTACCCGCAGGTTTCGAGGACTGTCGAGGAGGTTCGGAGTGAAGTCATGGGAGTGTTCGATTCTTTGACAAGAAGCGAAGATCTGCCACAGATGGAGCCGGATGCGAGAATTACTACAAATCTTCTCCCACATCAAAAACAGGGTCTTTATTTCATGACTATGCGAGAACGTCCCTGCGACCTGAATGGAACCGGTGGAGCGCTCAACTCGTTCTGGCGAATCCGCATTGGGAATAATGGCCAGCGATCATATCACAATGTCATCACTGGCCAATCATACCCACGCCCCCCTCCTGAGACTTTCGGTGGTATTCTGGCAGACATGATGGGTCTTGGTAAGACACTAAGTATTCTGTCTCTGATCACCACCTCTCTCGATGCCGGAGAAGAGTGGTCGAAGCTTGAGCCAGAACAGCCTGCGCTCCCTCCCCCTCCCAAGAAGAATGGCGGGTCCCGCGGGTTTGATGTACCTGCCCCTGCACCTCTCGCGCTGACAAAACCAGCACTGAACTCAAGAGCAACATTGTTGGTTTGTCCTCTCAGTACCGTCACGAACTGGGAGACACAGATGAAAGAGCATATCCAGCCTGGCACAGTCAAATGCTACGTTTACCACGGACCTAATCGTATCAAAGATGCAAGAAAACTGGCTGATTATGATATTGTTATCACGACATATGGCTCTGTATCTAGTGAGCTTCGAGCTCGGCACAGGGGCCAAAGGGGTCCTCATCCGCTCGAAGATATCAGCTGGTTTCGGATAGCCCTCGACGAGGCTCACATGATCCGCGAGCAGTCCACGCTGCTGTTCAAAGCCATCTGCCGTCTGCAGGCGCATCGACGTTGGGCAGTTACCGGCACGCCTGTACAGAACAAGCTGGATGACTTGGCTGCGCTGCTGGCTTTCATTCGACTGAAGCCTTTCGACAACAAGACTACATTCACACAGTACATTGTGGCCCCGTTCAAGGCTTGTGACGCTGAAATTGTTCCCAAGCTGCGAGTTTTGGTAGATACCGTCACACTTCGGCGTCTCAAGGATAAGATTCATCTGCCAGCTCGGACGGAACAACTCGTCAAGCTCAGATTCTCTCTGGCCGAGGAGCAGTTGTACAAGCTGTTTGAGCGGCAAGCCCAAGACAAGGTCGAAATAATCAGTCGCGGTCTGGAGAAGCTGATTGGAGGAAGAACCTACATTCATATTTTGCAATCGATCCTTCGACTGCGTCTCATTTCGGCACATGGCAAGGAGCTCCTCAACGAAGACGACCTTCAGGCTATGCAGGGTATGACGCAGGACTCCGCTATCGACCTTGACAGTGACGACGAAAATGACGCTCAGAAGACTGCACTATCCGAGGCTCGAGCGTATGGGACCTTTGATCTCATGGTGCAGACTAACAATGATGGTTGTGTAGCTTGTGGCAAGTCCCTGAGTTCGAGCGTTGATGAGAACGATGCCGAATCCGAGCGAGCGGAGAACCTGCTCGGTTACATCTCTTCTTCATGCTTCCACCTTGTCTGCGCTTCTTGCAAGCCAACATGGGATCGGGAGACTGGACGCCAGGTTATGGGACATTGTCCAGTCTGCCAAAAAGACAACGTCAATCTTGCCCTGGTTGAACTGCGGAAGGACAAGGCCGAAGCTGAGCACGAATCACATCAGGCAACAGGCAAGGCCAAGAATAAGTCCATGAACACGGATGGCTACGGCGGTCCTCACACCAAAACGCGAGCTTTGCTCGAAGATCTCCTGAAGCTACAAGCACAGAGTGAGGCGCAGCCGGATGAGCCTCGCCACAAATCGGTCGTGTTCTCTGGATGGACGTCTCATCTCGATTTAATCGGAATCGCTCTAGAGGATGCGGGGATTGTCTATACCAGGCTCGACGGCAAGATGACTCGCAATGCCCGCACGGCTGCCATGGATAGATTCCGCGAAGATCCCGCGGTGGATGTGATCCTCGTATCCATCACAGCTGGTGGTCTAGGTCTCAATCTGACCGCAGGCAGTAATGTCTATGTCATGGAGCCGCAGTACAATCCTGCGGCAGAAGCACAGGCGGTGGACCGTGTGCACCGCATTGGTCAGAAGCGGCCTGTTCGTATCATCCGCTACATCATGGAGGGCAGCATCGAGGAGAAAATGCTGGCTCTTCAGGATAAGAAGAACAAGCTTGCGAACTTGTCCATGAATCGTGGCAAAGCCATGGACAAGGGTGAGGCAGCGAAGCAGAAGCTCATGGACTTACGGAGTCTCTTCAAATGAGCTCATCACACAGTACATGCCGACTTCAGCGGTACAAAGTTACACCGCGATATCATGGCCACGAGACACAGGTTTTGTCCCGCTGTGGCGAGGCATATCAGCAAGGGCTACATGCTGGACTTTTGGGGTAGTGTTAAGCTGCCACTGCGGTCGGAGGTGCAAATACAGCGAACGCAATGCTTCATACCAGTCTTGCTCTGGTCGACCGACAGATACCCAATCCCACATGAGGTGGCACAAATGGCGTTTGCGGCTTGATTTGATGTATAAACGAAGACAACGAAGAAAAAGAATTCTCACACGAGACGTACCGGTGGAGTTGGTGGAAGGTCTGTTTGGTTTAGGATTGTGTATGCCAGCGAGGCTTTGGCTAATAGCATCGCATCAAGCAATCCATGGATATCTAACGCATTATGGAATGCTTTGGTGGGACTCTTTGCTTGCTTGAGGTATCTGTTGGTATCTAGATATCATTCTACATACCCTTCTCGCTTCTTATCTTCTTTGAGATACCATTTGTTACCGGGCCCCTCTTTTCCTTTCTCTTGGAGGATGGGATCGAATTTCTGTCCTGGGCAGCGCGCCATAGATATACTACACTGAGGCACATGATCTTCTTTGACTGCTCAATCCTCTTGCATTTTCCAGCATGTGAAATAACATCTGTTGGGATGCTTCCATTTTACCCTTGTTGGCGTCCTATACGTAAGTAAAATGAAACTATCTCTCAGTCCAAGTCCAACAGCGATTCGATGCATGATAGCATTCGGACGTCGGAGAAGACTTGACAGGGCCAACAGACCCCATTTGGGCGAGCAGGGTAGGGATATGTCACACATGAACGTCGTTGTAAACTTGTATCGATCGGTTGAGCTGACATGTGAAACCGATAACCTTGGGCCCCCGGGGAGAGGGAGGGGTCCACTTCTGTGCTTTCCCGGACTGCCGATTTATGTTGGGACGGACGAATCGGCTAGGTTAGGGGGTACTGTAAGTTAGTGGACACCCATGTTGCACACTCGCGGTCTTAATCAAAAGACCTCTGGCTCGGACAGACGGATGACATTGTTGATGAAAAAATACACATTTTGCTTCCCTCTCCAGTGGACAACTAGCGCGGCGGTCATTTTGATCCCATTTCTTCCCAATTACGTAAAGCTGTAGCAAATCACATACGGGTATAGATTATCAAGGTTGTTTGACTGTGTGAATTTTTCACTGTGAATTCAATGCTATTGGGCATATGTGCCACCCGGTAGTTCCGACCACCTATAACGCCTTTGTGAAACCAAGCTCAGAAAGCTTATCCGTTGAAACGAACTGCAATTTCATGTACAAGGACCAATAGCAAACGCTGATGGTCCATCAAATCAACTCTAATGTGTGTTGTTTGTGCACTGCTCGCTTAAACCCATTTTCCTTTAAACCACTCTTTCATTATTTCCATTACCTCATGCAGCCTCAGCGCTCGAGATGGGCTGTGCGGTGCGAGTGAGCTGATCGCCGGCTCGCATGATGCGCTGGCCAGTCGAATCGTTGATAGTGATGGTATCCTTGTTCTCAGACTGTGCGCGCTTCCAGATCTCAACCTCGCAGCCGCCCCGGAGTACACCGACACGCATGGTAGAGAGCAAGTTGTGGGCGGCATTCGAGTGGAGATAGACACCACCGTTGAAGATGGCGGTGGCATCCTTACCAATGGCGGACGAAATGAGAGCCTTGCCACCAGGGTGCTCCTTAATGAAGTCGGTCACATCGTGGATAACACCAGCGACAGCGACGAGAGCCTTGCCGTTCTTAGACTCGGCGACGTAGTCGTCCCAGTGGATGACCGGGAGCTGGTCAAGAGGTGTGCCCCAGTCAAGGGTGGCACGCTTCTGGTCAAGCTTCTTCTGCAGCTGTTGTACACGACCCTTCTCGATTTCGTTTGATCGGAACTCCTTGAGATCGTAGGCAAGACCAAGCTTCTTCCAGACACAGATAGACCACTTGGTGGGGTCGTACTGCCACCACTGAATAGCGTTTCGGTAGTCGGAGGGGAACTCGTGGTGGAAGTTGTGGTACCCCTCCCCGAGAGTAACCAGAGCAGTGATGACATGGTCACGGGGTGAGTTGCGGTCGTCGAAGGGCTGGTCACCGAGCCAGTGGGCGAGGGAGTTGACGCAGAAGGTAGCCTGCTGGACGAAGAAGATGCGGAGAATGCCGGCGTAGACGAAACCACCAGCCCAATCATTCCACCCCAGACCGCAGACAAGAGTAGGGAAAACAAGACCCATGGCGATGACACACTTGATGAAGTGAGTGTGCTGAAACACAACAATGGGGTCATCGTTGAGGTCGGTGATGTCGGTGCGACCAATGCGCTTGGGGTTTTGCTTCATAACCATCCATCCCAGGTGAGAGTAGAGGAGACCTTTGCGAACAGAGTAAGGATCCTTCTCGGTATCAGTGTAGCGGTGGTGAGCACGGTGGTCTCGGGACCACCATCTGATGGAACCTTCCACGGCTCCGGCGCCGACAGCAGCGAGGTAAATCCTGAGCGGGAGGGTCGCCTTGTAAGAGGTGTGCGCCCAAAGACGATGGTATCCTTGAATTTCATGTCAGTAAGAGCTTCTGTGAAAAAGTCTGTCAATGTACTATACTAACCAGCTGTGATGCCGAGACCCGTGTTGAAGTAGTAGATGACGGAGAAGATGGCAGTGTAGAGGTGAAGAGGAGTCCAGTAAGCAGCGACGCAACCAGCCAAAGGCACACCCAGGATGAAGGTGACGTTGAGCCAGTTGACGTGCTTGTACCAGTTGCTCGGCGTGATAGGTGTCTCTGTGATGTGCGGCTTCTTCAGGTCGTATTTGTTACCACGGAGAGGCTTGTAGTCCTTGGTGCCATCCATGAGAGGCGCGGCCTCCGGGGCCTTGGCGTCTGTCGACATGATGATAGTCGAGATCAGCCGATATGTAATGAAAGGTATCGGGCCTCGGATTGATATTCGAGGGCTTTGGGATTGGGATTGACGAGCAGCGTGGAGGAAAGAGGCAGAGGCAAAGGAAAGAATATGTGAGCGGGCTGAAGAAGAATATTTATTCAAAGAATCGGAAGTACCGAAGTACTGAAGTACTATGCAGTGGGTACGGGATTGGCTTTGGTGGGACGCCTGCGGTTCGAAAAAGATGGCGGGGAGCAAATAGTGGCCCGTCTCTTTTGGATTTTTGGATTTACTTATTTTTTTGCCTCCCGGCAACAGTATATCCCTGTTGGAGCGTAGGCAAAGGCCGGAAGCGAAGGGACCAGGCAGTTCTGGCTCCTGCTTGGAGACGCAGAGGCTTCGTTTGTGCGGTGAGGTGAGACGCCTGATGGATACTGTAATCGTTCAAGCGTTCACAGTTGAGTTCTAGAGTATGTACGTAGGTAGTCTGTAGTTCAGAGCCAAGAGATGGCCACCAAAACAAAACAAAACAAAACAAAACAAAACGCTTGGAATACGACTGGGCTAGATGACTACTTTCTGATAACCTACATCCTGAGAGGTCAGTCACAAGCACAACAAGCTGTTGTCGCCTCGCTTTTACAGAATAACAGCCGAGGCGAAATGGATGGAGCCTGCAATTCACATAACGTGGGGAATGGACAAGGGGGCCATGGGCAACGGCAAAGGACAACTGGTAATCGAAACATGGCGATTGCTCGTCTCAATTGCGGGTTGGTGCTTCGATTTCTGCTTGCATGGCACTTGACTGTCCCAGATGTCGTTGTTGTTGGGGGAAATTGTTGGGAGTATTGTTTCCGATGATTGGCCCCTGCAGCCGAGCGGAGACAAGGGTCCTCCCAAAACGGGCGGATACAACCAGGTATCCACCTCTTCCGGTGCAGTAACAGTACAGTAGGAACAGAAAGCACAAAGCAGGAGGCGCAAAGCCGGCAACTCCTGTAGCTATGCCGATGTTCGTTACTATCATAAGCAAGCAGTTATATAAACAAGCAGGACGATGAGGATCGTAATCGTCAATTTGAAGGCAGACGGATGCTGCTTACTGTACCTCAATGCGCTGTTTCGTTGGTGAGATTTCAACCGCTGCAGTTACGCTTACGGGCTATCACTCCCGAGCCCTACATATCTCGTCATATGACTCTCAAGTCAGCGTTGATCATGATCGCTCCTGCTGCCCGTCGGCTGCTGTATGTGTTTATGTATTATTGAACAACCTCTGCTCCGAATATTTCTTGTTCGGCGTATTTGAACACCATAGTTGAACCAACCAACACCTTCGATTGGCTAGATCTTAGCGTCACGTCACTGTATACTCTAGCTCGAAAGCCTGGGCAGTAAGTAGAGTTATCGTTCTGGCAACGGGGATGTATGGCGCGCTTGGCAGCAGTGCCTCAACGCAGCGCAGCTAAGACACCGAGTCACTCATACAAGTTCAAAAGCCGAACCTCGTCCGCACCTTCGCAGCAGCGATCACGATAATCTAGACTACCACAAGTTCGGTGACTGATCCACAGCTGGAAAACGAAAGTCGGTTATTTGGGCTGTGGCAAAGTTTGGGGTGCCAAGTTTCTTTTCTCCTGGAGCTCCCGGAGCTAAGGAACAGTGAGCCGCTGGTGGCACGTGCCCACCAGATGTCCCCCTTCTGGGAAAGTTTTCCAGAAGCCTTCAGAGATCTTCAGCCTTAAACCTTAACCAGATTAGCGGAAACGCCACCCGCATCCTCGCTCCTCCCCCCTGGCGAGCCCGGCTATCAACCAGCTGCCAGATGCCCAGCGCTACTCTGGAAAATAATCTCTGGACTTGCTACGGTCTGAGCATGATTGGCTGATCGGGGCAATGACACTGTATATGTAATGTGAATACATCTCTGAAACAATAATGCTCCCCCACGGTTTGCGTCACATAACTTGCATGATCCTGCATGTCGTTGTGAACATGATGGGCCGGCAGCTACCGCCGTCACGAAATCCTTGTTACCGAATTGCTGGCCCCTGGCCAATGTTGGGTTGTATAAACATACATATCTAGGCCCTGCCACTAAGAATGAGTAATTCATATCGGATAGTCAGGTGGGTACCGTAGAGATACGGAGATAGTCGAGACTTCGTTTATACATGGCCGCTCTGCTGTGCACACAGTCAATTAGCGCCCTACATAAGTGGTTGGGTTTGCCTGCTGTGCGTGGCCACACATCATACCATGACCCAACGAAACGCGAATGGCAACCAACCACTTAATAATCACGTGCAAGGAAGATCAGGAAGTTGATCTGGTAGTCTGACTATAGAATTGACATGAGTCGGAGGTCTATAAACAAATCGTATCATCATTGATGGTCATCTAGCTAAATATTTGCTATAATTGTACAAGTCATCCACTCCGTGAGTTTCGTAAGATGGCGTATGATATGTGCACACTGACATCCCAATCTACCAATGCAAATCCAAAACTCCATGCGTGAAAGAATCCTGTGAACTGTCTTTCCAGCATTGATGCTCTGAGATTATCTCGAAAAATCACCCTTGGTCCTGTGTCGCCATCCTGTATCTTGTTTGCTGTCGTATCTTCGGTTGCAATGTTCTTATGCTTGTGATGCTACGTTCTGGTTCGCTGCCGTGCTCGTGATTATGCCTAAATCCTCGTCGGAACATGATGGGTTTCTGTACTCGTCTTCTGCGCTATATCCAGTACCAATACCAGTGAGGTCAGTTGCTACGTCGTGACTCGGTGAGAATTTCGGCTCCGATGGAGGCACTTCGAAGGCAGCGGATGTGACTGGTGGGTTTTCAGGAGGCATATAACTTGAATCTGCCGTGTTGTTGTCGTCCCTTGAATTGTTGTCCTGGTGGAGCAATGGTGACGATTGCAGGAGCAAATGTGGGTTGTCATCCATATTGCCCGTCTTCTTAGGTACCGACGAAGTATTTGGGACTACTGCTTGGTCCTGAGAAAGGCTGCTCTGCAGAGCAGCACCAGCGACTGTCGGGTCCTTGTGCTGAGACGGTTCGCAAGCGGAGGTCAGATCTTCCGAGAGTCGGTTCTTCGACTGGTTCTGATTGAAAGACTCTCCTATTTCTTCGACAAATATTTTGGGTGTCTGTACCGATTCGGTACGTGGCTCCCAATCGATTGACTCGGCATCCTCATAGACAGAATCGTGCCTGATTGCATCTTTCTCTTCAGCTTGAGCTCCAATAGTTTTTAGGGTTCCTTCCAGTTGTTTCGTGATTTCTCGAACTGAAGCCTTTTCTATATTTTTGGGCGTTCCAAGTTGGCTTTCGTTGTTGCCCGCATCGCTGACTGACGGTGTTGAATCATTTTCTGCCCATTTAGCATTGCGTCCCAGGTAAGACGAGTCACATTCGTCAAGATTGCTTGGGAGCGGACTAGGAGGGGACCGTCCACGGGGAGGGTAATAGTAGGCATCGTCAGATAAGCCAGGCGAGGTAACACCTGACTCGTAATCCATGTTAGGGAAGTACGTATCACTTTGCGGCGTGACTGTTCTGATAACGGGATGCCCATTACGCCCATACCCCTCCACCATATACTGTTGCACTGAGTGGCCATCGTCCACGGATATAGAAGGTGGATCGATCTGGTCGTAGTCTTCCTGAATATGTTCTGGAAACATTGCAACAAGTACCGTTGCTTGCAGCCGCAACCGCGGGTTATCACTTAGACAAACTTCCATCATCCTACGGTACCATCTCGGCACCGTGATCTCCGGGTCCAGGTGTAACGGTCGGCGATGGGCCTCGGGCTCGTCCTCGAGCGTTGCTAGTGCCCACAGGACCATACCAAGTTGATACAGGTCCGACTTCACCCCAATATACATAAATATTCGTTGGTTGCTTTCGATAAGTGGAGTTGCCTCCGGCGGTTCCCAGCCAACTGGGCAACCACGTCTGTTGATGTCTATGATTTTCGCATTATCATTCTCATCGATTACAATATTGGAAAGTGTAAAATCGCCCTGAACGAAACCAGCTTCGTGGATATCAGCAAGCCCTTGGACAATTTGCCGTGACCATTTCTCACGTGTGGCCCATGGTAGATCCAAGCCGTGTTCTTGTGCATCGTAGATGATGTCAATAAGTGCCCCCTTCTCGGCGTAATCAATGAGGAGACCCTTGACTTTCTGGTCTTCGTCATCGACAACGATACCGTAGAAGGAGATGGTATCAGAAGAAAACCGCAACGAATTCAGAGCGTTGACCTCGTATAGGAATTCGTCCACGGTATCAGGCCCCGGAATCTCCTTCTTGATGAGAGTCTCTCCATTCACGCGGACTTTATAGACAAAACCTGACATGTGAGAGTCAAACATTATGTCCCTTTCCCGAATTCGCCGACATCTCAAATGTTGCACCGTACGAACGATAGGGAAGTGTATAATCTCCTATAAGTATTTGTCAATAGAGCTTCGGAAGTCTGTGTACGTCAACACTCACATTAACGTCTTCAACAACATGAACATGCAGTCTTCCATCGGTAGTTTGCAACTTGAGGTTGGTAACAGTATCATAGAACTGGATGTCCTGAAGGCTTTCACGGATAGCATCATATATTTTTGCACTCTTCTCCCTCTGGAACTTAGTTTTCTGCAAGTCGCTCTCTAGAGATTCGGGAGGTGCATTTCGGTAATCCAGGGAAATTGTCACACGGCGCCACGAGAACTCCTTCTCCCTATACGTTACAAAGAACTTCTCTCTTTTCGACTTATCTCTGAAGTGCATGGATAAATTTAGGATCCACTTGCTCTCGAGTTCATCATGGATCTGAGCTTCATACATAGACGTCGTTGTTGATCGAGCATCCGCCGTTGAAGGCTCTCTGGACGGAATCTTGGCGAGCGCAGAAGGCTCTTCTGGCTCAGGGTCAACATCCGACGCATCGATGCCTGACACGTTCAAGGATGGCCTCTCCTCGGCAGGGCTTTGGGGTACAAGCAGCGCATCGCCGTCTGCCGCCACCGAGAATGTGTTGTTCAGAAACTCAGGTGCGCTCGCGCGAGGTAACTGTTGGCTTCTATTCGAAGAGACATTGCGAAGCGGGTGGAGGCCCCGCCGATCCACAGAGACTGCTCTTCGTTCGGCCTGTGTCGGCTTGTCTACCTCCAACTTCTCTCTGACCTCGGACTGTTGTCTTTTGAATGTCTTTGCGCGCGGTAAGCCTGGTACAACCCGCCTCGAAGCCCGCCGGAGGATGCTTGAGGTGGACGAAGCTTCGGGGGCCGAAGATTGGGGTTCTTCCGTCGAAATCGTCGACGTTGCAGGGATATTGTGTCTGCCCAGAAACCTCTTCAGCAAAGCAGAGAACCTGTTGTTATTGTTATTATTATTGTTGTTGTTGTTGGTGTTGTCCGAATGCAGCTCATGTGATGTGGGGTCTGTTTGTGTTGCCATTTTGGCGGATGTGGAAAAGACCTGGCAAAGCTCGTTGGAGGATCATAGACGTGCTGAGGCCGTGGTTGTTACAATGCAGGAAGTATGAGGTGGAACTGATCGGCAGTATACAAGGACGAATTGTCGCACTTATGGCATGTCTTTCTCCACGGGTAGCTGGCTGGAGTGTCGGCTTGCCCGCTGACGTTGTAGGACAGATCTGGTTCCAGAAGGACTCTGCATCCAGTCGCGCAGTGGCCGATCGAGACCAAGGGTTGCTTCTGGGGCGACGAGAAAAAAGGAAGACCAATGCTGGTGAAGCGCCAAATGCTATGCAGGTAACCGACACACTCTCTATACACTAGACATCTGACGGTTCTCTAGAGCCTGGGAGGCATGACGACAGCAAAGAGGATGGCAGTTCAACGGTTGCAACTAGGGTAGCAGACGTGGATGGGTGTTAAAAAGCAGGAGACTGAACCTGGAGGTGGAATGAGGCGGTTCGTGGGTATTGGTCATCCGGGCACCGGTACTGCGGCTGCTTCGTTGTCATTTGGGCGCTCGCACTCTCTGGTGTAGTCTATTCAAGGGTCGAGTTGCAGCAATAGTAGCCTATTCCGGAGAGGTCTCGGGCGGCTTGCAGCAAGAGAGACGTGGAATGACTGAGATTCGGGGGGACGAGCACAAGTGACTTGTGGATGCCGCTGCAGCAGTAAATAGACGCAAAACGACTCGAACGCATGCGGTGAACAGCTTAGGCAAGCTTAGGCTCCTCAGGCAGGCACAAGCCTCCGGACTATGCCGGACTGACTCTAGCTCGGCAGAAGAAGTGCTTTCCATGCCAGGATCAGGGCTTACTGAGCCGGACTAGGGTCCATCATGGTCGACAAGGATCATCTCGACGGGCCACCTGTGCTCTGTACGCATCGAGCGATGCAGCACCGCTTGTGTGTGCTATGTATGGAGGGGATGGGGCTATCGACCGTGGGGTTGGGTTTGAGTAGATCAACCCATCTGTGATGGTAGTTCGTCATATCAGGGCTGGGGGCCCGGTGGTGATGTGATAGTCGACGGTGGGATGTGTAGTGTAGCAAGTCAGATCAATTCACACTTCTGATTGAACAATCATTGATGTGTTGTACAAGCTATGATGGCGGTGGGTAGGTGCGGGCACGCAGATGGTTGGAGACGCTTTCGGTCCCCTGACTGCTTTGCTGCATGTCTCGAACGCATCTGAATGCCTTCTTTTCCATCGCGAGGTGATTAGGTTTGGCGCAACTGGCCCGCTCCTCGGTACATCTACATGCTATCTCTAGCGCCTGTCTTGTCCGAACCACTATGTACTTGGGCCCCATGCTCTTGGACAAATCCGCTTCATGTGACTGTCACCGTAAAGAACGTTACCCATGCCATGGTGGGACGAGCAGGTCTTAACAGCAAGCGTGGTCCACCGTCCGGCCACTAGGGTTTTGCTTCCCCAGGCACCGGTTGACGCTAAGAGTATACACACTGCTGTGCATCGATATAGATTGACACGAAGAAGAAGAAAAGGGCAGAATTAGTAAAGGCTCTAAACAGATCTGACCGCAGGAAAAGGGGCAGCATGATGTGGATGAATTGAACGGGCACGCCGGAAGTATGAGGGATATTGCACGCCGCGTGTGCGCAATCTACGTTGCTTTGTCCCATCAGGACGCTTGAGAAACTATAGCTAGAAAGTACCACTCCATCTGCCACGTATAGTTGTGAATTGGGTAAGATCTGGTCATATCAATAGCAGACCCCTGAAATAGGATGGCGCCAGATCTGCGGACACTCTAGGATATGAAACCAACACTTTCCCTCAGTCTAGGATTTGTGTATCTTGACCGCCTTACCAGAAGTTACTTTCCACAAGTATGAAGTTCTCAAACGGGGATGCATATGAGCCCACCGATTGCCACGGTCAGCTGGATGTCTGACCTGCGTACTGACGTAACTCATCAATGTTGTACGACAGATTCTCATCCGAACTCATCAGCTAAGAGTGTGGCAGTCAAATATCTCGCCGAGCCGAGAATCAGCAACTCGAATGGGATGACGGTACGAGCTGGCAATGTTACGATGCTGTCAGATCTCAAAAGTCCAGTGTGTGAGTTCGAGACTCCTGTTCCATTGCATTTGCGTGCTAAGCAGTGTTGGTACACTCCATCATGGCAGAGAAGCTCCTAAGCTGACCCTCCATCGTAGAACACTAACACAAGACCGCCCACATCCGACCATCACAATATAACCGTGAGATGAGAAGTCGAACAACGGTGGTTGAGCTCGACACTAAGTCACCACAAGCCCTGCGAATTCCGCTCCGCGTCCAATTGATCGCTCCCCATTGCTCTCCGCTCTAACCTACATGACTTTCCAATCTCCGGCTCCGATGGCTTGGGCACGAATACATGCGCTACGCAAGCGCAGCCGCCCAGCCGGAACGGCCAGGATGGGAAAGGCTTCCCCAAACTTCAAAGCGAGGCTGCTGCGAAAACATTGGCTCAAAGCATCTTCATTCTGTCGCAAGTCAGCACTCCATGCATAGCCTAATTATGATTCCGGTGAAAGACTTTCGTATTCACGATCCTGTACTGTATACGCAGTGGTGTTGACTAATCTATGAGTTACTGCAATACATTATACTGGATGCATACCCTCAAATTCACGACCCGAGGCGAGGATCATTCATGGCAGAAGACGAATACGCGGCAGACATACGACACGATAAAAGTGCTGGCTTTACTCTATAATGTAGACGCACAGACTGGTGTGTGTTGAAATGGACATGGAATCGTTGTGTAGATTGTGAAGGCCTGCATTGGCGCTCCCGCCCGTTCGTCTGGAGCTAAGATATCCGCTCTCTTTCTCCAAGATGCGTACTCCACTAGCCAGTACGTCGGTTCGGTGGGCAGATACTGTAGCGCTTTCGCCAGCTCAAATGACTTCAAGCCAGATCGATCGCAGATTTTCTCCTTACGTTCAGCACGACATAACCGGAAGGTGAAGGGTCTCTTGATGTCTGCCATATGACATAGTTTTGATGAGTTGTACAATTTTGCGATCAGATTCTGCATGGTCGCTTGGTGAGATCCTAGCGTTGGGCAATTGGGCATCACAGCATCGCTCGAAACAGTATTAGACGAGGGGGAACAGGTAACCCATTATTTGCACTAATGGGATGCTCGTAGGGGGTTCGTTTTGCAAAACGTAGGAGCTGAAATGTAATTTCCATCTCGAAGTTCTGTAAACAGTCTGCAAGGCGGAGCAATGCCACGCAAAGATTTATTTTTGTGATGCAACTCGCTGCAGCGTGCGTTAGCATGATGGGGTTCTAACATGTATCCTTGCATTGTTCGTTTCCCGAGCCCAACGTCGATGTTCCTACGGAATACCGAGAGCGGAGAAAATGCTAATTATTTGCGAGGTTGGGGGGGGGGTTTCTTTCATTAATCTCCAAGATCTTAAGTTGAAGCCAGGAGTGTATGATCTTGTCATCACTCAAGTCAATGCCAATGTCAGCTCACACTCGGGTCTTCTTTCTTGCTTCTATTTACAATGCCCAGTCTAATCAACTAGGATTGCATCCAGGCCACTAATTGCTCCGCCTTTTGCCGTTGACTACACGTGCAAAGAAAGCATCCATATGCGTAAAGCAAAAATTACAATGAGTTTATATGTAGAGAGAAGAGAGGGTGTGTCCGACTTCCTTCGACCCGGTTTATCGAGTCATTGCATCCTATCGCCTAGAACGCCTTCCGATGGCAAATGCTATGTGACCAGTATAAATCTCTCTATGCATGCAAACCAGTAGCCAATGGTGGTAAGGGACATGTACGTTGTTTAGCTGTTGCTTCTGCGTCGCCCATTTCGTGATATCCTATTCGTCGCGATCGCTCTTATCCTTGTCCTTGTCTCCATGCTCCTTCTTCCATTCGCAAATCTTGCACTTGTTTGCTACCTCTCTGTCTACGTTAGGGAAGACAAGGTCGAAAACTTCGCTGTACCAGCGAGCTGGCCTGCCTTCAAGGCCCTCTTTAATATTCTAGAAGGACTAACGTCAGTACGATGATTTTGAACAAGAAATGATAGGGCTCCTATTGTTGGCAACTTACCTCAGGAAGTTCCAACCAGTCGGATATGTTGTCCTCCGGGAATATGATCAGCTTGCAACCTGCCCTGCGTGCCGCCACTGCCTTCTCTCGCAAGCCGCCTATCCGCAAAACTTTGCCAGTAAGGGTCAGTTCGCCAGTCATTGCTACAGTAGGGTTGACAGGCGTCTCTAGTGCCAATGATAATAGAGATGTCGCCATCGTGATACCAGCAGAAGGACCATCCTTCTGTACGGCACCCTCGGGAACATGCAAGTGGATCTTGGCCTTGTCAAAATAGTGGTTGTCAGTGAATTGTTTAGCCATGAATGCTTTGGCGAAGGAGTATGCGATGGTCGACGATTCTTTCATGACCGATTTGAGGTTTCCGGTGATCTCAAGACCCGGTCGGCTGCTGGGTCTCAAGGCAGATTGTAATATCGATTCGATGTACATGGCCGAGCCTCCCATTTGCGTCCACGCAAGGCCCATAGTCACACCAGGCGGGGTAACGTCGTAGAGCCGATCAGATGTGAAGACAGGAGGACCGACGTAGTCTTTGAGATTATCCTTGTCGATAGTGACCTCAACAGAGTCAGGTACCTTGAGAGCCACTCTTGGCTTCTCCGTGGTCTCCTGCTCAGTTGCTTCGGATGACACTGCCTCCTTGTTGTCCTTCTCTTTCTCCTTGGTGGATTCTTCCAGGGCTGCTTTGCCATCAGCGGTTAGGGCTTCTGATTCAGGGAGCACCTCTTCACCCAAATCCTGAACAATCTTCAAAGCAGACTTTCGGAAGACCTTCTCGATCTGCTTCTTCAGATTACGGACACCAGATTCACGGCAGTACGATTTGATCAACTCATCGATGGCATCGTCTGAGAGGTTTACATTGGCCTCTTTCAAACCAGCCAACTCCTTCGCAGCTGGAGCAAGATATCGGTCGGCGATCGCCTTCTTCTCGTCGGAAACGTATCCAGACAATCTGATAACCTCCATGCGATCGAGGAGCGGCCTTGGGATGGTGTCAGTCATGTTGGCTGTGCACACAAACAGAACCTTGGACAAATCCACAGGTACATCCATGTAGTGATCTAAGAAGGAGCCATTCTGCTCCGGATCCAGAAGTTCAAGCAATGCGGAAGAAGGGTCTCCTTGATAACCTCGGCCGATCTTGTCAATCTCATCAATAAGAATCAGGGGGTTCTCGGTTTGGCATTTCTTCAGCGCTTGGATGACTCGTCCGGGTAGTGCACCAACATATGTTCTTCGGTGACCTTTGATTTCCGCGACATCTGTAAGACCACCGACACTAAAGCGATAGTACTGGCGGTTGAGAGCTCTTGCTATCGACTTGCCAATACTAGTTTTGCCAACGCCAGGAGGTCCAACGAAGCACAAAATCTTGCCTTCTACAGTGCCTCGAAGCTTGCCAACCGCAATAAACTCGAGGATTCTATCCTTGACGTCCTTGAGACCATAATGGTCCTCGTCCAGAACCGTCATGGCGTTCTTGATGCCAAAGTTTTCAGCGCTCCTTTGACCCCAGGGGATTTGTGTGAGCCAGTCAAGATAATTCCTTGTGACGTTGAATTCTGATGCAGCCGGTTCCAAGTGAGCAAGTTTGTTAATCTCGTCATCAAAGACCTTGCGTACAGCCTCGGGCATTGCCAACTTGTTGGCCTTCTCCTTGAACTTCTCAACCAGCTTGTCCTTGCCATCGGATTCGATTCCGAGCTCGCGGCGTATACCCTTCATCTGTTCCATGAGCCAGTATTCACGTTGCCGCTTTGTGATTTTTTGCTCAACGTCTTTGGTGATCTTGGATTGAAGTTGTGCATTCATGAGCTCCTTCTTGAGAACAACGAGAGCTTTCTGCATCCTTTCCTCGACATTCAGACTTGCAAGCACCTCCTGTAACTCTGCAGGCTCTCCTGCCGAAACAGCGGCCGCAAAATCTGCCAGTTTTGCGGGCTCTGCGGCGACATTTCCTGTCGAGGAACTCATACTGAAGGTTGAGATCTGGTCGCGGAAAAGGCTATTCATGGTAGCAACCTCTTTGAATACGTTGACAATTTCATTTGTTACCGCTTTAATAACGGAGCTCTTCGGGTCGAATGGTTCCTCGGCGAGGTTATCGACGTTGACCAAGCTGACCTTGTACTTGCGTAAAAATGAAGTGGGCTCGTACTTTTCTGTTTGTGCATCGGACTTGGGCGCGACGGCGGCCTCCTCGAAACTTGCTACCACGTCGCCCTTCTTCTCTCGCGGCGCTTCTTCGTCCGTCTTGACGGGAATTGGCTCGGGCTCTGGGATGGACTCGGGGCCAGACTCGGTTTTGTCGGCATCTTGGGGTTGGGCTCCAGGTGGAATTAGGGTAGAGAGCTTGATGCGTCGGTGGGGGTAGAGGATGGCAGTAAGGCTTGTTGTCTCGCCATGGACTGGGAACGCACTCGTAATTTGCGCAAACACACCCGTGTCGTAGACGTCCTCAGGATTCCGAATGATGTCTTCATCGGCATTTTCATCCTTGAACAAGAATGCGCCTATGTATGGCTGTCCCCTCTTGATCGACTCCATGATGGCTGCTGACACTTGGGGATCCTTGATCGTGATGGCCTTGTAGAAGCCAGGGAACAAGGGTCGCTTCGCGATTGGTATGGCCATAACTTGTGGGTATACTTCAGGGACCACGGGCTTTTGAAGTGCCTTGTCGGTGGCTGACTTGCGGCCTTTTCGTCCTCCATCTCCTGAACCATCGCTTCCAGAACCGGAGGAAGCACCGCCGGCAGCACTGCTTCCCTTGCCGTCGGCTGCATCTCCGGGAAGGTCCTTTGCGCCGGACGATGGGTCAGAAGAGGAACTCTTGGCCTCACCGACTTCGTCGGGAAGTTCTCGAGCCTTCTTTTGCTCTTCGAGATTGGCCTTCACTTCGTCCTCGGATAAAGGTTCGATCTTTTGATCAAAAAAGTCGTTGTCTTTCTCTTTGCTCCTAGCGATCGAGGTGGAGAAATGGCTCCTGGACGGGGCCGAGGCTAAGCACGCGACATGTCTCTCGGTTGAAAGGCGTGATGCTGTGCTTTGTATGGAATATAATCGTGATATGGACGTGGTGTTTATCCTATTCGCGTATCTTGGGGAGCCTCTAAGAGCAAGCTGTCGCGACAGATGCTGGCGGCAAAGCATCGTGGCGAATGGATGTCGGCGTGCTCGTGGTCGTGGTCGGAAAACTGGCGCGAATATGCTGTAGAGGTGAATGCGAACAAGTTTGGACACAGCAAGGGCCCTCTGGCTTCGAGATGGAGGAAGGAGGGGCGTATTCTAAAAGTACAATTACAGGGTGGAAGGAAGGGAAAGAATTGCCCCGTGGCAAGCTATCGTCGAAATTGCTGCCGATATCTCGTCATGGAATTATTATTAAGCTCCGAGCTGGAACAATGACGCTCAGAAGGGCTGCCTTTTGGCGCCGGCGTTAAGAGAAAGATCCAAGATCCACATTCCATTGCCCAACGTTGTTGCTCCGTACTGCAGAGTCCAGCCTCAGTCTAGCACCTACCTACAGTGCAAACCATAGGTTACAGGCTGCGGGCTACAGGCTACAGGCTACACCTCAGCTCTGTGCCCCTCGATTTTCCAATGTCGGCGTTACCATCTTCCGGAGCTGCTCACAAGCAAGACTGGCTGACCCCTGAACTCCTACCACGAGTGCGTACCTTTTAAAGCTCCAGCGGGTGGGAATAGACCCCTACTAATCGGCAGTTTCAGACCACCCCTCATTCTTGCACCCCTTCAGTTGACCTTGGATCGTTCTACGAGCTGGTACTGCTCACCAAGAATCGTTTGCACAATGGAAATGCTTGACCCGGCCACAGGGCAGCCGTTGCCTACAGACTCCATTCAACGCGTGCTGTTCATCACCAACAAAGTGCATGTCTATAACATCCCTCCTATGGTTCCGGGAAAGGGCCATGTTGCCGCAACATGGACAGCCGACGACAACAAGCGCCAGATCTTTACTGCGCGGCTGCGTGTAATTGAAACCTCAATTCCCCAAGTCGATGGCAGTGAGAAGGTCAAGACCGACATTGTCCTGGAAGATAGCAGCAATGGCCAGCTCTTCGCCGCCGCGCCATATGTCACAGAAGCTGTTGTGGAGCAAGTCTCCGACAGCTCACGCTTCTTTGCCCTGAGAGTTCAAGATGAAGCTGGGCGAAAGGCATCCCTGGGCATTGGGTTCGAGGAGAGAACTGAGTCTTTTGATTTTGGTGTCTCGCTGCAGGAGGCAAAGAAGAGTCTAGGCTGGGACCAAGGTACCTCAGGCGGTAAGAAACCTTCAATGGAGAGAAAAACCAGCGAAGAGAAACGCGACTACAGCCTTAAGGAGGGCGAGACTATCACAGTCAACCTTCCAGGAAGGTTCCAACGCCGAAGGCCTGATCCTGAATCGACCTCCAACGCGCCCCTGTCTTCGTTCGCCCTTGCACCTCCACCATCGACCTCGTCATCAAAAGGCAGTGGTATTCTACCTCCTCCCCCAAGTGCTACAAGCACCAAGTCGCAACAACGATTGGGACATGCCAGTCGGCCTTCGGCGGCAGACTTGGGCTTCGATGACGGCAAATTTGGTGAATTTGCTTGAGCTTTGTTCAGAACATAAATCTACGCAGGGACAATGACTGGGACTCAACGACCCGTGAACTATCTCAACTGCCCGATGTACTCCATGTCACCTTTTCTGTGGTTCGAAAACTCAACATTCCATAACGCCAAAGCTTCTTCAATTCCCCGCGCAGTCGCTCCAAATTGCTCCTCAGCAACGTAACCAACGCATTGGTGACCACACTCCCTGTTCGCTGCATCACTCCAAGAAAATTGCAGAGAAGGCAGACCGTTTCGTTTGCGGCCCAAGTAGGAAAGAAGAAAATGGGGTTTGGTCGAGACACATTTTCTGAGTGTTGATTGGCTCCCGGGCAGAGGGCATTCTTTTTCATACTGCTCTTCGGTGTTGACTTTTGTGCTGATAGTGTTGCCTGAGTTGGTTTCAGGCAGTTGTCTCGTCGAAGAATGTACGTCAGGGCACGCCCGAAGGTGATTGGCGTGTCGATAACATTGCGGTCTCCGATGCTCTCCTCTGACCGCACACCTCGTCATCACAGTTGAGGATCAGAATGGGTGGCGGTGCGAGCGGCCAGGATAGAGAACAATTTTCAGCTGCAGTATATGGACGGGGCGGCCCTATATCATCACAGCCGCGTCTTGGCCATTCTGCGGATTGCTCCCGGTCCCATCGAGAAGAGTCTGTTCTAATAGATTCCGCATTTTTCTCCCACACGGTAAACCAGCACTCTCGGCTTCGGATTTCGACATGAACCTGGCCCAGTCGCAGCATGACCGCCTTTTGATATTCGATGCTATCCACATCTGCTTCCTGGTCCACTGCTGTTCCTTATCGGTATCCTCTCGCTGCTTGCCCTCAGCCTCAGGGATGATGTCATCAAAATGTACCAGTCGGTGGTAAAGATGCAGTGTCCGTTCATTCTCTGAATTCAGGCGGTGAAGGAGACATTCACGCTCATGATGGAGCAATCCCAATGAACGAGGCTCGAAGGCAACACGCATCGAGTCTTTGGTTGTACAGTGCTATGGCGTGCTGTGTCTTCTACTTCCGTGTTGATGTTGTCCAAATCGGTCAGGTGGGAAGTGGAAGATATTGTAAGGACGTTCGCCGGGTTCAAACTGATACATCAGGATGGATACGAGCGTATGGTGTTCTCGTCAACCAGGTTCTGGCGCTTTGGCTAATTAGACGGCGAGATTCGTGCCATATTATATGGGAACCCCTTCACAGCGGCTTTGTGAGACTAGTGAATAAGTTCTACTCACAGCATTGAAGGCCACAGTCGGTCGTAACCTAGAAATACATCAGACATGAGTCTTCAGTTTCAAGACAGAGCTATCGAAATAGGCGGTTGCGAATTAGCTCTCCTTATTCCACCGACTTTAGTGTCAATACTTTATTCTAAAAGCACTGTTCCGCCATAAATGTCTTTATCCCGGCTTTTAAATAGCTAGCATAGTTGTTTGAGTTTTGCTTGCGGATATGCAGAGACGACAGAAGTGATGAATTGACCCATCAGCAGACCCTCTGTGCAGGACGACATCTGTGAACATGCTCCATGATGTGCAAATCTAAAGAGACCCCAAGATTGGAGCACTACGACTAATTCAGCTATCCCGTATTGCGTGTTGATCAGTGATGCATGCAAACTTGCATCATAATAAAACCTTGCGTACTCAATGGTCATACATCGCAGCATCTTAACCACGATTCCACGCATCAAAGAGCAAACCCTTCATGCCGGGGAGGATCATTGAACCTCCAGAGCCCCGCCCTCTCTGCCGCTCTTCTTACACTGTTGACTTCCTGCTCCGTGACCGCCCTGTTGATTTCTGCATATCGCACTTCCTCCTTGTCTTTCATGCCCGCCTCAACTCCGCCAGGGTCAACCACTCTCCTACGCTTCGGCTTGCCCACGTGTGCCGCAGGCCGGTATTGCTCCATGATGTTGACAAACACGTCTCGGCCCAGCGTCTCCGCCAGAAACTTCACGATAGACTCCCCATCTGCTTCTTTGCCCGGCATGACCAGATGCCGGACTAGGACGCCCTTCTTCGCAATGCCGTCGTTGGTAAAACACAGATCGCCGACCTGGTCATGCATGGCTTTGACGCTCTCACGCGCCGTCTTCGCATAGTCCTCGGCCTTCAGCAGGCGCTGGCTGGCGGCCTTGCTCCAGACCTTGAAGTCTGGTAGGTAGATGTCTACGAGCCCATCCATGAGCTCGAGCGACTCGAGCGAGTCGAAGGCAGAGGTGTTGTAGATGACAGGAATCTTGAGACCCATGTCCCGCGCTGCCAGGATGGACAACGCGACCTGGGGAACAACATGCTCAGGCGTTATCAGGTTGATGTTGTGCACGCCGCCCGTGTCCTGTAGCTTGATGTACCACTCCGCTAGCTCCTCGGGCGTGAGGTCCATTCCGTTGCGTTGGTGGGCAATGTCGTGGTTCTGGCAAAACGTGCAGCGCAAATTGCAGCCAGAGAAAAAGACCGAGCCCGACCCGTTGTGCCCTTGGATACATGGCTCTGGATTGGTCGGTCAGCTCGGTGTACCACGCGGAACCAGGGTAGGTGCAATTCCTATGCTCATTTTCTTCCGTGACAGGGCAGCCTACCTTCACCAAAATGCGGCGCGATGACGTTGACCTTCACGTTTGATCCAATGAGACACATGCCGGTGGTCTCATACCTATTTACGTTGCATAGTCTGGGACAAAGATTACAGTTTCGCAAGTGCGCATACGCCCTCGTGCGCTTCTTTGCCGCATCGACTGAGCTGAGCAGTTGATAACGAGGAGTATAGTCGTCGAGGAGAAATGGTGGAGCGAGATGGAGCGATCTTCTTGGTCTGGTCCACGAACAGAGCCAAGGTTTCCGAGACCTGACCCAACGAGTCGCGTTGACCATTCTGTTCGATAGCATCGTCATGGTCTACAGGCACAGCTATTGTATATAGATGGATGCGTGAGATGTCAGTCACTCCCCAACCTTGACTTGAACGTTTAGGGCATGACTCCGGAATCGAAGAGATCGGAGCACTTGGTGACAGAGGTGCTTTAAGATACCGATAAGTCAATCTCTTGCCTATCGAATCGAACTGAATCGAATCTCACGACGTAGCAAGTGCTGGGGATCAAGGAACGGCCTCAGGCTGTCAGAAGGTCGAAGTTATTCGGCATCCATTTGCGAAACAGATGGCATATCTTGCAACGACAACGATAGGCTCAGTAACAACCAATCATCTATCGCTGCATATGGCGTATCAAACGAAAACCGAAATGGAGATTTGATGTTACTGGGAACTGTCCGGCCGAACTGGCCCTTTGCGTAATAGCCGGAAGCCGGGTCATGACGTACCCGCCGTTGCCGGCTTGGCAGGCATAATAGCGCCCAGCACTCATGACGGAAAGTTGATATCTGAGTAAAAACTCCGAATCATATCGTATAATACGAAACAGTCCTTGGAGGGGAATGCTCACTAACGCAGTACTTTGTCGATGTAAGTTGGGCAAATTCGGAGCTCCGCACTGCTCGTAATTACGGTGAATTCATAACTAAGCCGCAGGAGAAACTATCCCCCATCATCATCTTACACAGTTAGCCCCAATTGAAGCTATCAGCAGCGTCTTCCATCACAAAACACTAAAGTATAAAGACTTTTGATTATCCGTGAGCTAAAAAGTTTTGGTACAGACGTCAGATTTCCATAAAACTCAAATCCTTCGCAACTTCAAAACTACATGAGCGCAAGGAGATCTCTTGCAAATTCATATAAGTCAAGCCATACCTCTTATTTTCAAACAGTTCAAGATGGCCCCTCAGTTGTTCTTCGTAGGTCTGGGAAACATGGGCCGAGTAAGTTGATGTGTTCATGATTCCCCGACGGCAAACCACTGACATCCGGGAGGGCATGGTCACCAACCTCGCACAAAAGGGCAACTTGGACAAGCCTGTCCTGATCTACAACCGTACACAAAAGCGCGCCGATGAGCTCTCAGCCAAGATCGGCAACGGCAAGACCGAGGTTGTCAGCGATCCTCTGGATGGCCTCAAGCGCGCAGATGTCATCTTCACCATGCTCAGCAACGACCAGGCAGTCGAGGAAAACATCGACGCATTCCTTTCGACGGGTGACGTCAGCGGGAAGCTCTTTGTCGAGTGCAGCACCATCCACCCGGACACCACAGAGCGTCTGGCCAAGAAGGTAACCGAGGCGGGTGCCGAGTTCATCGCCTCGCCCGTCTTTGGCGCACCACCTGCCGCCGATGCCGGCCAGTTGATCTTCGTCCCCGCCGGCCCCAAGGCGGTCATCGAGAAGCTCAAGCCATATAGTGTCGGCGTGATGGGCAAGGCTGAGGTCTTGCTTGCCGACCGACCTTATGGTTCTTCGTCCACGCTGAAGCTCATCGGCAACACCTTCATCCTGAACATGGTCGCTCAGCTTGGCGAGGCATTTACCGTGGCAGAAAAGTCGGGGGTGGGCGTCGAGCCTCTCAAGAACTTCGTGGACACGCTCTTTGGCGGGGTGTACTCGGGCTACGCAGACCGAATGGTCAAGGGCACATACTGGAAGATGGAAGAGCCTCTTTTCAGCGTAGATAACGCCATCAAGGATGCCACCCATGCACAGAGCATTGCGAAGTCGGTGGGCGCAGAGGTAAACAATGCGGCCAACGCTCAGGGGTATTTGGAAGATGTCAAGAAGCAAGTTGGGGGTGCAAAGGGTGATATTGCCGGCATTTACGGCGCTGCCCGGGTGAGGGCGGGACTGAAGTACGAGAACGATGCTTAAGCAAACTACACTGCAGCCATGGTCCGAATAAACGAACAGATGAGCGACGCAGGGGACGGGCCCGTCTCTGAAAGTGAGCTGCAGCTCATTTGTCGCGGAGTTGCACGGCGTCACAACGGCGATACTTTGATGTAACTATGAGGAGGAGACCCAACGGTCTTGAATCAAACAAGGTAGCAAACGCATTGTGGCTTCCATTGCCTCGATCCAAACAATCCCAAATGTGTCTGTATATAGAAAGTAACAGACGCAATGTTGCCCAAGAGTGTAAATTCCGAGTTCAAAAGGATTTCTAGACTTTAACGACATGTAGTAGCATTTAGTACTCATAATATTGGAAGACATTTCTACAATAGACTGTAGAGCTTGTCATGGATGAAACCCCCCTGTTGGCTGACTAAGCTGCCCACCTGTAATGGAAGTCGGCCAGCGAGCGTGTTTGCGGGTAACCTGCAGCTGCAGCAGCTAGACTACCTACAGTCGCCAAAAGTGTCCAGCGTCATTTGCCAGGCAGCTTCTAAGGTAGCAAACCAAAAAGCTCCAACATTCGAACGTCGCCTCTTCTCTCTCAACCACCAATTCCCCCAACGCCGCAGCATACCATACGAACATCATGGCTGGAGGGTACGAGCCCCCTTCCCGCCGTAGCCTCCCACGAAGAGAGCACACGGGGAAAATGAGCTAATATACGGGATGCAGTGGCAGCGTCTTTCTCGGCCTCGTCGTTGTGGCAGCCATGTGCGTAGGCGCATGGTTCTTCTCGCCAAAGGGTGAGAACCAGACGTGAGTCGTTCTGACCCCCTCCCCGGAACCCAGTCGCCGCAGCGACCGACGGGACCAAACTGCATGGCAGTCAAGTGGAATGCGTTGGCTGACGTCTGAGGGTCTTTCCCGCGCCCGCGAAACAGGACGTGGCGCTCTTCTCTGATCATCGCATTCATCGCCTGCTATCTCATGTGGTTCATCACCTTCATGGCACAACTCAACCCCCTCATCGCACCGAAGAACCCAAACGTCCGCATGGGATTTGAACATGAATAGAGGGTAGGGGGGGTTTACCTCAACCGGAAAGGAAGCACGCCGAGGAGGGGACGAGAGGAAGCTGCGCACAGCAAAGGATCAAGAAGCGCTGTGGGCATGGCCATGGGCTTCTGGTTGTAACATACTCTATCTAGCCAGATGTCTACATCACTTGGCGTTCGGGAAGATGGTATTGATTTCGTTGGGTTTGGACGAAGCGGACTGCACCGCACGAGCCGATATATGATACGGGAAGAGAACAGCACATGAATTGAGGTTTCGCTCCGCGGCAAGGAAGCGGGTTTGCAGTTTCCATAGATGCGGCCAGTCTGCTTATCACACACCACTATCATCTGGCTCATGCGGCTGAAACGCTCTCCGTGGCGCGTCATGTCAAGTCTGAATGATTTCATTGCACTGGTGATCCCCGATGTCACCCAACCGCCAGACTACTTGCCCAATCTCTAATATAGAGCACCGCAGCCCATAGCGCTCGACCGTCGGCCGCAACGCCACTCTCGCCGACCCCGTCCACGCCCTCCAGGCCGACCATCCACAGGATCATCCGGCCTACCACCCACCTGCTCACAGCCCCGGCGGCGGCCAGTACCAAAGCTGCGGGATAGCCACAATCTAGGAGTATCTTCAGCGCCTCTACATTATTCAGCACCACTGCCCAGCCCAAGCTTCTAGCGGCGGCCGGTACGTCGTAGTCCCATATGACCATGAGTATCGGGAACAGCTTCGTCGAAGAACTGACAAGCAGCGCCGTGGACACGGAATTCGGCCGCGAATAGGTCCTCATGAGACCCAGGTGGTTCAGCGGCGAGAAGGGCGACGACGTCAGGAACCGGATCGAGAGGTGGAAGGCGAGCGTCGAGAACGTGCACAGGATGAGGAAGAACAGGTACTGGAACACGATCGGCTGCTGCGACAGGCTGCCCAGGTTACTGTGGCTCCCCGGGGCCGGGGTGGACTGCTTCTCGATGCGCGCCCAGGTCAGGTAGACGTCGAACAGGAGGAGCAGCGTGCCCAGGCGAACGATCGAAGGGTCGAACTGGTCGTGGTCCCGCATCAGCGTGTTGTGGAGTAGATGGCGGTATACCTTCACGAGCACTAGACGTTAGCCATCTGTTGTTCGTTTCATGGTTTGCGCCGAGCCCATTGCAAGGGCAGGGCCCCCGAGGCCCGTATTCTTGTACTCGTCGTCGTCGTCGTCCTCCTCCTCGTCCTCCTCCTCCACCTCTTTTCTGAGCGAAGACAGTGTAGAGCTCTTCTCATTGTCGTGGTCAATAATCCATGTGCTGGCACTGGCCGTGATGTGAATGCCCTTCTGCTTTTTATAATTTTATAAATCCCCAAGGGGAACAAAAAAAAAAAAAACCAAGCCCACGTACCTGCGGCTTGATCAAGACCAGGTCAATAAACAAGACGACGAAATCATGCTCGACATATTTATCGCAGAAGCGCCCGCAGTTCTTGCACACAGTCAACCTGATATTGTGACCGCTCGAGGGGTCGCCCGCGCCCGAGTACTGCGTCCATAGCGTCTTGACCGGGTGGCGGCACTCGATGCAGATTGGCATAATTCCTCCCAGAGGCTAACCCTCCTTCCCACGGTTGTGGTGGTGGGAGGACAAAAGCAAAACAAAAGTAAAGAAAGAACTCTAACACTGGGGAAAGCGCCGGCTACCTCGGCATCGTTGCTTTCTGTGATTCTATCGATTGTCGCAGGCGAAGGGAAAGAGGGAGTATCCAGAGTGCTTTGGATTGGTTCCGATCAGCGGGAAACGTCAGTGAATCGGCTCGCCTTATCAGGTCCAATGCATCATGCAGCGCGTCGCCCCCCTCCCCTCGGCCGGCAGCACTTAAAAACTTTAGCGGCCTGTACCCCTGAACAACAAGCTATTGAGCTCCATACATGCTCCGTACATACACAGTCCCGAACTTTGCAGGTTTCCCAACCCAGAGATTCCGGCCCCATGCAGTGAACTTTGTTTACCCTTAGATCAAGGAGTCGAGGATCCCGAGAAGTGCATGATACAATGATGTAAGATTGATTATATTCTGCTGTCCGCCTTATCGGTGAATGCTAGCACAGAAGCAACAACTCCCGCCATCCTGAACGCCTTGAATGCCCAAACATCGCTCGATAGTCATCGAGTTGTCTATCCAGTAGTATAAAAATAGTCTAGATCCCCGAATCACAGCCAGGCTGATTCAGACACATCAGTCTGCCTTCTTTCCCTTCTGACCTGCTGGCCGCCCGCGAACATTGCTGCTCTCCCCTTCAGTAAGCGCAGTCGAGCCGAAATAACCCGATTTTGACGGGTTCTCCCCTGGCATTCGTAGAGGTGTCCTTGGTCTTCCATCGTCACTATTAGTGTCTGTCAACTCGATGAGATCCAATTCGTCCCCAAGTCTTCGGGTCGACCCGAGTCTTGGTGTCGCAGGACGTTTTGACCACGCGCCACGCAACCAGTTCTCGACGGTTGCTGCAGCTTGTTCGAGGCCAATGCCTTGCTTGTTGGCCACAAGCACCGAGTCTCTACCATCCTCGAATGGGCTTTCCACAATGCCAGAAGGCGCGCCCTCGTCGGTTTTGCTGGTGAAACCCCAATGTGCCGACTCAGACCCCATGACCGACATTGATGGCATGGAATCAATGTTGAACCCTTTTGGTAAGCGCTTATTCGCCCAAGTGTTGAAGTAGTCCTTAGCTGGCCCCGGCGCCTTGACACTTCTACTCATGGATCCCACGCCACCCGGCCGTTTCATCCAGGCCGGTACGTTGTCGGTCTGACTGACGCTACTGCCTCTACTTCTGCCCACAGAAGGCGATGCTCCCAGACTCCCTACGACTGGGCGACCACTCACAGAGCTTTGTCGCCGAGTTGGCATGCGCCCTGGACTGTCTAAACCATGCTCGGTGGGGATTGCAGATATACCACGTGAGAGGTCGAGGGATTGGCGTGGGCTTGAGAACGTCGAGATTGTGTGAATACTCTTCTTCCTTCTTGGCGGAAAAAAACCCATGGCTTTTCGTGATACTCTCACGATCTCGACTGGGTGCTGGACCGAGTCGAGTTTCACCCATCGGACGTGGGCCCAAGGCTGTTCTTCTTCTTCTGGGAGAGACTGTGCTTTGCCATTGCGCGAAGTAAAAAAATCGTCATGCAAAGCCGGCTGGTGCGAGCTTCCCGGTGCCCGTTGGAGAAAACTTTCAGGCTGGGGTGTCGTTGCTAAGTGGTCTACCTGGTGGGAATAGACGTTTGGCGGATCACAAGGTCGGCCTTTAGACTCGCAAGCGTCTACGGGAATCATCAAGTGCTTGCGCACCTGTATATTGTCCCGCGACCATAGACCGTTAGCTTTTCTAAAGGCCTGCTCCTGACACCGGTATCGAAGCACCACTCCGGCATATGTATCATTCGGTTGAACATGGTGTAGGTAGGCCAGCTGCTCCTCAACGGGTGGCTTGCTGGCGGTCCCCGAAACCCCCTCATCAGAATTTCTCCTTTTGTACTTCCCTGCCACATCGAGACCTCCATTGACACCCTCGTAACTCTCAAGCACACTAGCTGTCCTCATAGCCCGAAGCGCAGCCTCTCGCTCTTCTACCGAGCCTGCAGCAATATCGCCTGCCCTGGGTCTCGACGATTTTGTTGGTGGGGACGGTCCCCAGCTTTCGGGAAGCTTTCTGTCGTTGCTGCTTCCACCACCGCCAAAGGCATTCCACAAGGATACTCTTGATCGTGATTTACTCGCGCTCCTACTGTTCGGCTGTGAAATATCACTATTGTAGCCGCTTTCTCCACCGGCTATCAATGAGGATGCGAAATCCTGTACCGCTGTCCAATTTGGTGTCCATGCGCCTTCCAGCAGGCCTTTACTGAACGCCGCATTACCGGGGGTGGAGCGCCCACTATTCGCCGGCCTGGAACTTCCTATACGGGCAGACGGTATCGGACTGACACCACGACTTTGTACCGGAGTGGCACCGGGACTCAGACGGGTGGTAGTGGCTGCGTTACGATCGCGGACGCTGCTGTTGGCAGCTTTTCGGTTGCGTGGCCGTGAAGTTGTGTTCGCATCAGCGGCGGCGGGCATCAGCGAAGTCGAAGACATTGAAGAGGCATTGTTGTTTGACGATGTCCTCTGGAGGTCGGACATCGTCAAGGCAGAATGGTAGGTTGTCACCTAGAAAGACCAGGGCAGGTTTCCCGCGCGAAGCGGATTGGAATGCGTTACTAGCATCAATGCTCGGGTATGTCGCAGAGGGCGGACGATAACGGCATTTGAGGTTACAGGTTTAAGAGTAGCCGCCGTGTAAAGTTACTGGTTGTTGGCGACAAGTGCTGTCGTTGTGCTTCGTTGTGCTGTCCGTAAGGTAGTTGGTTATCGTGGAAACCGAGATCAAATCAGGAGACGTGGTTTCTGAGTGACGTTGGGAGTTCTGGAAATAGACGATGACCCCCCCAGCGCAGGAGCAACCCAAGGTTAGTCTAGACTAACCTTAGTCGCGAGACCGATTGGGGGACCAACTTGATGTTACACCTTACGGATCTGTACAGTACCCCGTACCAAGTTACTGACCAAGGCACTACCCAAAATGTATGCAAGGTTACAAACCAGTCCAAGTATCGTGCAATTGCCTCGAGACACGGCAGAGGCAGCTGGACACAAATTCGAAAGAAGCAAATAGCTGAAAGCCCAGTGCAAAGTGTAATTATTGCAGAGGGTTGTCGAGCAAATTACACCTTCATTAGAACGTTTCCGAATCATCCACAGCACATCATGGTTATTTCTTCATCTTGATTGCTGCTGATGGGGCCGCCGGGCGAGTCATCCCTTTTCAAGGATCCTGGTGCCCGCTCACGTATGTCAGTGCCGTTCTCCGTCTGGGCGACATGCCCGCCCACTGGGATGGCAGGGCTGGGGCACATTGCGCAGTGTGCAACGGTCTGCTTCGGGGCCCATCAAAACGTAAGACCATAGCTCGACGCCTCTCCCCAGGGGGTGCCGCCGCTACTTTCCATTAGTGAGTCTTTTCTTTTTTATCTTTTTTAGTGAGTACACAATACGGAATCCGTACCAACCTCAACTCAATCTTGAACCATTAACCCTTACATAACCCTTTCCTATGCGTGTCCTCTATCTCCCAGCAGCTCTCTGATTTTAAAGTTGCCCAGCAAAGTAATGTCCGATGCAATCAATGCATGCCCGTACCGTTTCTCGACACCGGCGCGTAAATGTGCAATCGTGTTTTATGTCATAAATATGTGATGGTTCCGATCGAACGTCTGCACCAACAGTTTTGTTCATTGTTTTGGCCAGACTGCATGCCCAAGTCTCAAGCATGTCAAAGTACTTTCACAAACACGAGTAACCAATACCGCTCGCAAACCGATTTCAAAACGGTGTTTCCCAACAGCTACGAGTCTGTCCATTGTAATGCGAACCCGTCATGACCCGCCCTTGAACGCCGCGCCATTAAATAAATCGAGTGCCTTTCCTGCATGCCTTGAGCTAGTGTTTACGCGTTTATCTCGACTTCCTGTGGATCCTCCTCATCCACATCCTCGTATTCATCGCTCGATGACTTGGCTTGGCTATGGTTCATCTGGAGGATCTGGCCTCCGCCCTTTCGACCAAAGAAATCCTCCGTCTTCAAGCCACGGACGCGCTTGGGATCGATACTTGAAATGGCGTTCCCGCTTGCTTTGTGCTCCCGGATGAATTCCCTAACTGGCACCATTGCGGCATCCCTGCAAGCCTCCTTGATGTCGCTTCCTGACATTCCTTGCGTGACTCTGGCAATGTAGTTAATGTTGAAGCTGGGGTCGGTCTTGGTATCTTTGAGAATGAGTTGTAGAATCCTCATTCTTTGGCTCTTGTCTGGTAATGAAACAGGGAATTTCTTGGGCATTCTCCGCAAGATGGCTTCGTCGATGTCATGGATACGGTTGGTTGCACCCAATACACAAATTCTTGCTGGAGTTCCACGTTCGTTGGCAGACGTCAACCCGTCCCATAGTGTCATGAACTCGGCCTTGACCATGCCACTGGCTTCGTGCTCGCCGCTTCTTCGAGTCCCCAGGACTGCGTCTATTTCATCGATGAAGACAATGGCAGGTTGCAACTTGCGCGCGAGAGAGAAAACGGCACGGACCAGCTTGTTTGAATCGCCATACCATTTCTCTGTCAAGGTAGATATGTGCAGGTTGATGAATGAAGCACCACTCTCGTGAGCGACAGCCTTGGCCAGCATGGTTTTGCCGCATCCTGGAGGACCGTAGAGTAGGACGCCGGATGGTGCCGATAGGAGAGATCCGCCTTGAGAATAGAGGTGTGGCATAGTCAAGGGGTAGATGACAGACTCCTTGACCTCCTCGATGATGTCTTCCAGCCCGCCGATATCTGCATGCCGTCAGTTCTGCGACGCCACAGTCCTGGAAAGAAACAGGAGGATCTTACCGTCAAACCCAACGGGAATGTCCTCGGGGGGCACCACTTCTAGCGCGACCATGTTTTCATACTCGTTCAATTGCAAGTCCTCTATCCGTGGCCCTCGTCGCACAGAGTCGCCGGAAACATTGCCATCGCCATCGGCCCCCTCATATTCCCGCGATTTCTGTAGCCGTTGCAGATTGGCTTTTGCTTTGATTCTGGCTTGCTCGTGCTTCTCTTTCTCGGGATCGGCGAGGGTTGATTGGAGGCTCGATATGATGTTCCTGCCCAGGAAGTATGCGGTGCCAGTCTGTGAGAAGTCGTGTCAGTGATGGTTTTTCTAAGGTAAAGTCGGGATGGGTGGCGCACCATGCCCAGGAATACTATTATATCCCAGATATAGTTGGAACCGTCTCTCCGTCGGTCGCCCATCTTGAGAAACCTATCCAACCAGCTGGGAAGCATTTGCTCGCTAGTTTGCCGTCGGAAACTTGAGCAACGAGAAGACAGCAAGTAAAGGTTCACAAAGGTTTAGCTGCGCAGGAGCCACTACACATGCAAAGTGATTACTTAAGGAGCTTGTTACCGGCGATGGACCAAGTTGCAGGCCAATAAACGCCTACCCAAGGTACCGAGGACGAACATTCTTGGCTTGCCAGGTTACATAATCCAGTCTACTTTAGCTGTGCTTGAGCCTTGCAGTTACGCCACTGCGTCTGTCTCACCGGGACGCGTCGGCTGCTCGAGCCTTCAAGGTTACACACATAAACTTCCGGCTCAATGAATGTTGGCACGTGGGGCAAATCTTTTAGCGCAGAAGGTCGACGACCGACGGGCAACAAGCATATAGGGGGGGGAGGGGGGAAGGAGCCTGGCAAGCCTGGCAGGCCTAGCAGGCTAGCAGGCCTAGCAAGCCTACTAAGTACAGTACCGTAGCAAAGCCTGGGAGGTGGCAGGTCGGTGGGTGGGGTTGGATTGGGGGCTCGATTGCTTCTATTTGCTCCTGCCGGTACCTCCAAATTGCGGTTTGTTTACATCTCGAGGCATCCCACCATTGGCAATTAAAGTTCCGTCGCGTGTCTACCACCAAGTTACAGTATATCCCACGCGCCCATTGCATTGGAGCAGCCACGACTATAATTCAGAAAAGACGCTCCTTACTTGCTTCAGTACCGCTACTTATACTAGCAATTGGATGAGCATTTGTCCATTCTGTTGTGTGAGTGTTGGCTCTTGTTTTTCATAGGCAGATGCCCAAACCGAAGACCGCCGCTTTACTCGCTTTGGTGGAGTCTGAGGACGAAGACTTGTCCCAAATACTCGAGCCGGTCGCGCCAAACAACAACGCACAGAAGATGCCTCCAGCCAAGAGAGGGCGGCCCGCCGCTACCAGTAAAGCGACCGCCGACAGGAAAGCTCTTGAGGAGAAGGCCACCAATGCGCAGACAGCGCCCGCCTGCGCCAGAGGGAAGAAGCGCCCTGCGGCAGATGATATAGAACCAGCAGGGGATGCTCAGGACGAAAGTACAATCGACCTGGGACCCAAGCCAAAGAGCACACGTGGTCGGCCACCAAAGGCAGCAAAAACTTTGACGCAAGCAGAGGAGCTCTCGATGGCCGATGAGACAGGACAACCAGCTGCGCAACCCGCCAAGAGGGGAAGAAAGCCGAAGGCTCAGGTTGCAACGCCGCCAGCCGAGATCGAGATCCCAGAGACCCAGCAAGTCGCCCCTGCGGGCCTCGCCGAACCATCGCTCGAGATTCCAGAGACTCAACCTGTTGAGGTTTATGACGAGCTCGACGATAGCATCGAAGACGAGCAAGTCGAAGACCTACCGTCCTACAACCGCGCCGCTGTTTCTTCGGTGCAGCGAATGCAACATTATATCATGCCTTCAACCGGAGCAAGGGCACACTTAGTTCCCATGAGCACGAGCAGAATGCAATATCGACAGGCCGTCCCATTCAGCGCCAGTCGAGTGCGCCCCATGGCCGCTTTAGACACCGAAGCCGACGACCCATCTCTGCGCAGACGAATTGGGGAGCTAACCCGCAAGTACGATAATCTGGAGGTCAAGTATCGGGACTTGCGGGAGATAGGAGTCAAAGAGGCAGAAGCCAACTATGATAGACTAAAGAGACAAGGTGACGAAAGGGCCAAGAGTGAGTCGTCAAACACAGGACTCTGCTCACAGTGGGAACTAACCATGATTATGCAGCTGCTAATGAACTGATCGAAACCCTCAAAGCTCAGCTTGCTGCCCAAACTGAGTTAGCCAAGGAAGGGCAGCGACTCAAGCAACAACTAGAGGCCAGCGAGAACAGGGCGGCTGAACTCGAGGACAAAGTCTCGACGACACACAGGTCGCTCTCTGAAGCCAAGACGGAAATCAAGACTTTGTCTACCAGGTTAGCAGCTTCTCGAGCTGCCGAAGCTGCCAGTGTCAAGGTCCCTGGCAGTGCTAGGAAGGGCAACATTGGAGACAAGCGCGTCCTCGCTAATGCCGAGGCTGCTATTCAATCGGCTCAGGTGAAAGAGGATCTGTATGCTGACTTGACTGGACTGATCGTGCGTGGTTTTAAGAAAGAGAACGACGAAGAAATATATGATTGTCTGCAGACTGGGCGCAATGGAAGTGAGTTTACCCATTCCGTTCTTGACATACGTACAGTGCTAACGGCCCCTCAGCCCTTCACTTCAAGCTGTCAGTGACGCCGGATGACGAGTCAGAGGATCTGGACGGAGCTCAGTTTATGTACTTGCCACAACTGGATTCCAACAGGGACAGTGATTTGCTGGATGTCTTGCCAGACTATCTCACCGAGGAAATCACATTCCCCAGAACCCATGCCGCCAAGTTCTATTCTAGGGTTATGAAATTTTTGACCGAGAAGCTGGAATAATCGACGGCAAGGTTCTTTTCAGTATATTTGGTACCAGACAGATTATTTCGGCAAGATACCCTTTGCTTCCCCACAACATTTGGTTCAAAAAGGCAGCACGAGTTAAATGGGGTTTACACCTTCACGATGGAACAATGACTTGTACGAAAAGGAAACAGCATCTAGTCTTCGCACGAAGTAGACTAACCTTAGCACTGTGATCAAGGCCAATGAGGCTATTGGCATTTGTCCAAGTAGATGCTTTATCGGTATTGGTCTAGACTAGTGACAAATCTATCAATGATAGTCCTAATTTCTTCCTGTCATGGGAACTTAAATACACGATTAAATTCCAAGATGTTTTGCAAGACGTTCATGTGTAGCGCGCTGAAAAGAAAGTGCCCGCCAATATACGCAAACCTCGATGAGGTTTGCGGCCGTCCAGGTTCACAGTATAATAAGGATCCGCCAATCACAAGCGCCAAGCGGGTGGTTAAGTCCTTGCAGCAATCCCTGCTCAGGCCAGGTTACTCTAGGAATATTTCCCCTGTCCAGTTCCGGAATCTACGGGCAGGCTCCACGCGGAGAGCTGATGTGAATAATTTCCGATCCAGCCTTTCAAGAGCACGTCCTGATGACAAACACGAGCTTTTGCCCAGCCAGGTACTCGTTACTGCATTGTTGGCGATTGCGCATCGTGTCATATTTGGGGTCGTCACTCATTTCGGGGGGGTTTTTTTTTTCCTTCTGCCGCCTAATAGATGGATGCCAGCCCTCTGGAGCGTTGCTGTTGCTACATGTATTCTTGTACATGTTGAAACGCATTTCAGGACGGCAACATATTTCAATCGTTCTTGGCTCGGCTCTTGCAGAGCAGCATTTGCGCCATGGCGACCGTCAATCGCTTCACCTTCCTGGCCATTGCCATGGTCTTTCACCTTGTGTACATATACTCCATTTTCGACATTTATTTCGTTAGTCCTATAGTTTCTGGCATGAACCTTTTCCAAATAGACAGGAACAAGGGCACAAAAGCACCTGCAGATCGTCTGGTTCTCTTCGTTGGTATGCACTCCCCTGCGCCCGATGCGTGTGTTTCCCGCGATGCTAACTCAAATCGAAAACAGGCGACGGACTGCGCGCTGACAAGGCATTCCAATCCTTCCCCGACCCCTCGCCCAAGTCCGAAGACGACGACTTGACCCCCAAACCTCTTGCGCCTTTCCTTCGCTCGCGCGTTCTGGAGCATGGGACTTTTGGCGTTTCGCACACGAGAGTGCCTACTGAATCACGTCCGGGCCATGTTGCGCTTATTGCCGGCCTATACGAGGATGTATCCGCGGTTGCGACGGGGTGGAAGCTCAATCCAGTCAATTTCGACAGTGTGTTCAATCGAAGCACGCATACGTGGAGCTGGGGGAGCCCCGATATTCTTCCCATGTTCGAGAGAGGAGCAACCCCTGGCCGCATCGACGCCTACTGCTACGACGCCGAATTTGAGAATTTCATGGAAGATGCTGTCCATCTTGACCACTGGGTCTTTGACCATGTGAAAGAGCTGTTTGCCGAGGCCGAGAAGAACAAGACTCTGAATGACGCCCTGAGACAGGAGAAGGTTGTCTTCTTCCTTCACTTGCTAGGTTTAGACACCACTGGCCACGGATTTCGGCCGTATTCGAAGGAATATCTGAACAACATCAAAGTGGTGGATCAAGGTGTGAAGGAGATTTCCGAATTGATCAACAACTTTTATTCAGACGACAGGACAGCTTTTGTTTTCACGGCTGATCATGGTATGAGCGATTGGGGTAGCCACGGTGATGGTCACCCGGATAACACAAGAACGCCGCTGATCAGTTGGGGATCCGGTGTCGCAAAGCCAGTTGTTTACACTGACTCGATCGCTCCCGGCCATGATGACTATTCGTCTGACTGGAACCTTGATAGCATCAAGAGACACGATGTCTCGCAGGCTGATGTTGCAGCTCTCATGGCCTACTTGGTTGGCGTTGAATTCCCTGCCAACTCAGTTGGCGAGCTGCCACTGTCATACCTCTCTGCAAGTATCCAGGAGAAAGCTGAGGCATTGCTGGTTAATGCTCAGGAGATCTTGGAAATGTACAGGGTAAAAGAGGCATCCAAGAAGGCGACTCAATTGAGGTATAAACCTTACGGTCCGTTGAGCACTGGCCCTGAGGACCGCTTGCAAACGATTCGCGAGCTAATTAGAGCCGGTAATCATGAAGAGGCCATTGAAGAGACAGCAGCTTTGATCAAATCTGGTCTTGAGGGCCTACGGTATCTGCAAACATACGACTGGCTCTTCTTGCGAGCGCTCATCACTATCGGATACTTGGGCTGGATGGCCTTTGCCGTCACTACGGTTATTGACCTGCATGTGCTGCAAGGTTCAACACAAATCAAGCGGAATCTTGGCGCCGTAGCTTTCTTCTCTTCGGTACTGGTTGTCCTCTATGCGTCGTTCATCGCTTCGCATTCCCCGGCTACATATTATGCGTATGCGTTCTTTCCTGTCTTTTTCTGGGAAGAAGTTTTCGCCCGAAGGCGCAGCTTGGTCAAGGGTCGTCAAGCTTTGTTTGGGCATGTTCAATCAGGAGGCAAAGTGGTGAACCTAATCATCAGTTCCATCTCCTATCTTGGAATAATTGAATCCTTGGTAAGCAGATATGTATTCAGTGTTCTTGCGATTTAAATCAGCTGACATCTAGTTGGCACTCGGTTACATACATCGCGAAATTCTCACCGTCCTATTTTGTGTAGGATCTCTGTATCCGGCCGTTCTCGGCATTTCGTTCCTTAGGAACCATGCGATTCTCGCGGCGACATGGTTTATCTCTTGCCTGGTGATGAGCACTTTTACTCTCTTATCGGCGATAAAGATGGAGAATGTGACCTTGATGTAAGTAGTATCATGGTGTAGATACTCGTCCCATCACTGACCGCTTTTAGCCTTCTTGGTGGCGCTCTCATGGTTTTGATAGGCCTTTTATACCTCCTATTTGAGGCAAGAATCCTTGCAGATTTCTCAAGCGCATCAACGCCAAAATCTCAGAAAAAGGAGACTAACCTGTCGAGGGCGCTGATTGGAGTTCAGGTGAGTTACATAAAAGTTGTGTCAGCCGCACTTCTCGCTGACGTATAATAGATAGGATTGATTCTGTTGGCTATGTTTGTGACACGATCCAGCGTGATTTCTCTGCAATCAAAAGCAGGTTTACCTTTAGGAAATCAAGTCGTTGGATGGGTCACACTGGTTACCTCGCTCCTTATGCCTCTGGCCCACAGGTTACAACCCAACAGACACTACCTGCACCGGTTGTTGGTCATATTTTTGACATTTGCGCCAACATTTGTGATTCTCACCATTTCATACGAAGGATTATTCTATGTTGCATATTGCATCACGATCCTCACCTGGGTACGTTTGGAACATTATGGGCAAAGGTTCTTGGCGCCAACGCCCAAGAAAGAGAATTTGGATCCCAAATCAACGACCGAGTCGAGTTCCTCACAGTTCCGGCCGCTGAAACTATCTGATGCACGAGTGGTACTGTTCTTTTTCGTGCTTCTCCAGTCAGCCTTTTTTAGCACAGGCAATGTTGCATCAATCTCGTCGTTCAGCTTGGAAAGTGTCTGCAGACTGCTCCCAGTCTTCGACCCTTTTTCTCAGGGAGCACTCCTTATTCTGAAGCTCATGATTCCGTTTGCCTTAATCTCGGCAAATCTTGGTATTCTCAATAAGCGTTTGGGCGTAGCACCATCGGCTCTGTTCATGGTAGCTATGGCTCTCAGCGACGTCCTAACACTCTACTTCTTCTGGGTGGTCAAGGACGAGGGCTCTTGGCTTGAGATTGGATCTACAATCAGCCATTTCGCTATTGCTAGCTTGCTATGCGTATTTGTGGCTGCGTTGGAAGGTGTGAGTGCAGTTTTCATATCGGGCGTCGAAGTAAATAACGACTACCATAAGCAACTTGAGGCAGGGAAGAATAAAAGCAACGGGGCCGCTATGGACGCGGTGGCCGATTTAGTTGTTGGAGAAAAACAGGAGAGGTCGAAAGAAAAGGAGGTGATGAAGAACAACGAGACATAGGAGCCCGAAACATGAACAGCCAGTAGAAATCAAATGAAAATATGATACCACAACGCAACCTCATAGACCTCGGGACCATGTTTGAACTAGCCTACGTGCCCGATTATTGAAGGCGTTCGTAGTAATTCATTGCGCCAGCCGTTTTCTTCCGACCATACCGAGCGAAGCATCATCTGTTGCCTGCGGGAATTGCTAAATCAAGGATAGCGTAGTGTATGAATCCTTCCGCAATTCCCAATCTCGATGCTCATCTCAAAGGTCGTACCATCAGGTGGGTGACAGAAAAACTGTTGCAGAGGTCACTATAGCTCACTTAACAGTGCGCCAATTTCTTGTGTCAACCACTTTAACCATTGAGCTCAGCTGAAGCCTCGGGCCTCATTCTCTACAATACCACTAACCTGGGCCATCACATACTTGTATGTGCCACAGGCTTTGATTACGATCATCAGCCTAGTTTCAGATACATTCATCGGCTCTCTTAAAGCTCAGAAACCAAACGTTTTGTGGCCAAAGATGCGTGTCGTATCATCGAATGTTTACTTCACTGACGCAACCAAACGATTTGCGTGTCCTGAATTTGCCGAGGCATCTTCCCCAGATTCGACGTCTGCCCCTCCCCCGCCATCTTCTGCAAATTCTGGGCGTGAGGTAGATCGTCCCCTTTTGCATCCGGGGTCGGGACCAGGTCTACTTTTGTGTCCCGGGTCAGCAGGCTGCGCAGACTATTAAGGAGCCAGGACCATGCCAACGGGAACAAATCGCATCTTTCGCAGGATGTAGGATGCTGTCAACCCAATCATGAGTGCAGTTGGCGCATCAACTACCACACCAATTCAAGTGCGTTCATGCGAGACCCCATTTTCCAAGAACAGAAATCATACAAGGAACGTGAAGGATGGCAAGCCAGCGGCCTTTCTAGTGACGTTTTCTCTGACCAATCTTTACTAACCCAGAGCACCGAGATCTTCATTATATAGGTCGCACGATACTCGCTTGAATATTGCCTCACAAATAGCAACATGTTTCTAGGCTATAACGAGTGGGCCAATCTGCTATACTTGAAAACAACAAACTACCCACCCAAACGTCCACTAACGATATGATCTCTACAGTGTGTGTCCCAAAAACGTATAGTTGAGTAGGTTAGAACTCGGTGCCAACACGGGAACTTGCAAAAGCCCCGGTTGTCAGTGTGCCTGGAGCGTGAAGAGGCTACTGTATATTAGCTGCAATGCGGTGTGCCTGACCCCTGGGGCGTGAATCTTTCCGGAAGATTTTCTGGGGAAAAGCTCAGGGTACAGCATCAAAATCGCTGTGCTCGACGGAGAAGGCTTCCCAAAACAGGCTCACTACCCCATACTTCCAAAGCTTGGGCATGACACCCTCAGCGCGTCGAGGCTGCAGCTAGACGAAGAAACGGGATTGCTTGGTAACGAGGCGATCAAGTGGACTCGGCCGGCTGGCCAAGCGTCGTTGCGGATGTTGCCGCAATTTCACATGCTTTCAATTTCTCGTGTGGGCTAACCACTTGAGCTGAGATGAAAGAGTGCAGCACGATCAAATTCACCTTACCTGCAGTAAGGCGCAGTGAAAACGAAATCCAGGATTCTGCTATATGCGCAACCATTACATCGATCTGTGCCCGCTCAATCAAAAGTTTATTGCGATCTGCAGCAGACAGCAGACGGTCTGCAAACTTTATGCATTTCCTCTTTGCTTCTCATCTATAGCCATCAAAGCTGCAGGCTCGGGTTGGAACGCACCCGCGAGTTATTCTCTGGAGATTGACTACAGCCGCTATTCAACTGCTTTATCTGACAGACGGGGTTCCGCTCACTCCTGCGAAGTGCTTAGACTGCAAATTTGGCTACTGTCAAACACCCTTGCAATTGTCAAGCGGCGGATCGACAAGGACAGCCCCCCCACGCATACAGCCAGCGATTACTGAGGGTGAATGAGGAACGGACTTTTACAAATATACCTACCTACAATACTTACACCTGAGATCCACTTTGGTATCTTTCCCCTTTTTCGTTTTATTTTTATTAGCGATAAGTACAATACCGCGTAGGGAGACGTCGAAATAAAAAGGCTTCTGCATCGGCTTTACGAAGTACATTGGTCAGCAAACATTCTCTAACGTTAGAGGCTAAGGGAGACGGCGCACGGGAGCCTATCCAAAGTGCCGGGGATTCCGCTGCTTTCCATCAGGCGGGTGCGACAGAGCTTGACTGCTGGCGGGAGCCCTTTTTGACCGCTGAACTTGGAACCTTGCCTTGGTCCAGGTCCAAAGTTAGCAGGGTGTTGTGTACCTACCTGGGGTCTAGGACTCGGACGCGGGCTCGACAGCAACACGACTGTGCCTCTTGTCCTCATCACTCCAGAACCCTTTTTTCCAACATCGTCGCATCTCGAGTGAGCTGGTCAACAACGACGGCAAGCGAACGAAAATGGAGGTCGGCTCGTCAGCCGCCCACGGCAATAGTCAATCCTCGAATTCGCCGGCGCAACAGACGACACCCGGAGGGGACGCCAACGGCAGCACGCAACCTCCTGGCGCGTCGACATCCGCACAGAACCAGCCGGGAGCACCAAGTTTTCGAAGGTGTGCTGCAATTCAATGTCGAGATATCGATACAGAAACCTGCTGACATCTTCACCTCATAAGACAACGTGCATCGAGGGCTTGCGAGGTATGTCTTTGTATTATTATTGTCACTCCCAAGAGCTTGGCTTCTCTCCCTCGGGAGGGGGGGTTCACTTTGCTTCTATCCATTATCATTGTGCCTCGGCACCTCGGTTTGATCCCCGGTTTTGCTTGCTCTGTCGCATCGCATCGCGTCGCATCACATCACATCACGTCGCAACTCAGCCTCGAAGAGTGTTGGACTGACCTATCTTGCGCTTCTAGACTTGTCACGCCAGAAAGGTATGAGCCGATAACGACTTTTTTTTTTTTCCTTTTACATCCAATGATCCCGATAAACTTGATGCGATACTCTTTCCCGTGCCTGCATTGTCTGCCTGCCTCCCTGCTGCAGCACGCCGCCCACAACGTCAACTTTGTTCTTTGTACAGCCCAAGATACTCGAGTCCCAGTACAACGAAACGAAGGACATGGCCTAAAGAGGACATATATCCGGCAGCTTCTGCAACCACATGAACAACCTTCCGCCAGCTACTCCGCTCTGGGTGGTAGCGCATCGGATTGATCGTGGTGCAGTGGAATGTGGTATCCGAACATATCCACCATTGCCTTGTTGTTACAACCTCGTATAAATACGTTTGAGCGTGCACAACCTCTGACGACTACCGATAGAAGGGCGGCGGTTTGCATGGCATGCATCACAAACGTGGTCCTGTAGAACGAGTAGCTTAGGGTGCACAGACTGTAGTGATTGCTGATGCTGACATCTCGCAACACAGGTCAGATGTGATGCTGCCAGCCTTGGTGTTCCATGTGAGTAGAGTCCATCATGATTGTGCTGTTGGCTCCTCTGCAATCTATTCGTCTTTGCGGCCGTTCAACAGTCAGGTGGCTGATAGCGCATTGTACAGGCACAAACTGTGTGGCATTTCAGATTGAGTGCAAAATCCCCGCTCCAAAAAGGAAGAAGCCGGCAGGAGGCAGAGATTCAGACAGGTATGGGTTCTCCCGTCGATCCTCGCAAGTTAGGAAAGAGCTGACTGAGAAACCTAGCGAACGTGGTGATGTGACCGAGGATCGATCTCCCGCACCCGTCGGGCAATCCAACACTTTCTCGGCAAGGCCAGCAGTATACCACTCGTCTGAAGGCACCCCGACCACGACCTTAACGGAAGCACAGGCTAGGAAAGAAGAAGTCGATAATGGCACCTACGTGGACCTTGTCATGAAACCCAAGTTCACCAGAGCGCCCATCACCGAAGCTGGCCGAGTAGCCTTCCTCGGGGAATCCTCTAACCTCACACTCCTAGTCCATGATCGACAAGGGTCTTCAGATGTCGTGCATTATCCTCTACCTGATAATGTGAGAGGGTCGAGGGCCAGGCTGACTGAGCTGGATAACATCGAGATTGATATCCTTCATCAGCGCGGGGCCTTCCTTCTGCCTCCTCGAGCGTTATGCGACGAACTAATCGATGCCTATTTCCGATGGGTTCACCCTATCGTTCCAGTGGTCAACAGATCTCGCTTCATGAAACAGTATCGGGACTCGAAGAATCCACCATCCCTACTATTGCTACAAGCGATACTTCTAGCTGGCTCACGTGTTTGTTCCAATCCACAACTGATGGACGCAAACGGTTCAACGACACCTGCCGCTTTGACTTTCTACAAAAGAGCAAAGGCGCTGTATGATGCAAACTACGAGGACGATCGCGTTACCATTGTTCAGTCTCTGATTTTGATGGGCTGGTACTGGGAAGGTCCGGAAGATGTCACAAAAAACGTCTTCTATTGGAGTCGTGTTGCGACCATTGTTGCGCAGGGGTCAGGCATGCACAGAACAGTGGAGGATTCGCAACTCAGCAAGACGGATAAGAGGCTCTGGAAGCGTATTTGGTGGGTTCTCTTTACTCGTGACCGCTCTGTTGCGGTTGCTCTGGGCCGTCCGGTACACATCAACCTTGACGACTCCGACGTTGAAATGCTATCGGAGGATGATTTCATTGAGGATGAGGGTGATTACCCAAGCGCGTACCCGCCGGATCCCATCCATGTTCAATTCTTCTTGCAGTATGTTAAGCTTTGTGAGATCATGGGTTTGGTCCTTTCTCAGCAATATTCCGTCGCATCCAAGGGTCGCCAACATAACGCAATCGACCTAACCCACAGCGATATGACTTTGGCGGATTGGTTGCAGAACTGCCCCAAGAACGTCTACTGGGAAATGCCGCGACATCACTTTTGGAGTGCTCTTCTGCATGCCAACTACTATACCACTCTTTGCCTGCTGCATCGGGCTCACATGCCTCCGAACAGCCACTATGCCAATAGGTTTCCGGACGACTCTTCATACCCGTCACGGAACATTGCCTTTCAAGCCGCAGGTATGATTACATCAATCATTGAGAACTTATCGGCCCATGACGAGTTACGCTATTGTCCGGCGTTTATCAACTACAGTTTGTTTTCGGCTCTCATTATGCACGTCTATCAGATGAGATCACCTGTCCCTTCAATCCAACAGGTCACACATGACAGGATCAGAACCTGCATGGCTGCCCTGAAAGAGGTTTCTAGGGTATGGCTAGTGGGCAAGATGGTATACACTTTGTTTGAAGCGATTCTCGGGAATAGGACGTACGAGGAAAGACTTCAAAAGGCTGCGGGGAAGCGGCATCACAAGAGAGTGCAACAGACTATGGCACAGTTGCAGCAGCACCATGATGCACAACAAGCACAACAACAACAAGCGCAGCAACAAGCACAGCAGCAGCAGCAGCAGCAACAGCAACAAGCACAACAGCAGCAGCAGCAGCAGCAGCAGCAGCAACAACACCAACAACAGCAACAGCAACATCATCAGAGAGGACAAGAAGCGGCGAAGAGAAAGTACGACGAAATGGCCATTGACTTCAGTGTCAACACCCCTACGCCGCAAGAATCATACGAACGGTCGCGGCCACAGACTCCTGCCCACACAGGCAACGACCAAGGGCAGCGTCCAATGGGACCGCCTGGTGTAGCGTCCCCACATGTTCGATCCGGAGATACTTTTATGGGCGGCAGTAACAGTCGGCCACATACGAGACCGGCGACACCGTTCAACCCATCTTTCTCCGTACCAGCTACACCCCCTGACCTGTATTTGGTCACGAGAAACTCACCGAACTTGTCACAGTCGATATGGGAAAACTTCCAACCCGATCAACTATTCCCTGAGAACACAATGGTTCCGCAGTTTCCACAAATGTCACCGCCACAAGGCAGCCAGAACCTTGATCCCAATCTCATGGCACAGTTTCAAAACATGCCTGGAAGCGCGCCGATGCAGAACCAGCATGCGAATGCACAATTCCAGCAGCCGCGTCCACCACCTACGTCAAATACCAGAGGACCGAGCGGCAGTCCACACCAGCAACATAGTAACAGTCTGTTGAACCCCAACATGCTTCAATTCCAAAGCCAGCCAGGCAATATGTGGCAAGGGTCAGGAGTCGATGGGCTACCGGATGGCCATAGCCCGAGTGATAGTTGGAGTACAGGATCTGCAGCCGGTCAGCCAGTGCCAGCCACTCTGAACGTAGAAGATTGGTAAGTGCATTCGCGTGGTCTCAGAGAGTCGTATGCTGACATACCCTTGCAGGTTTCAATTTTTCGGCATCAACGGCAATGATGTAAACTTGGCAAACCTGGGAGATACTTTGGGACTTCACAGTAACACATAGGCGGGGCTGAACATTGACTTTGGGGGGGGGGGGGGGGGGGGGGCATGGAAAACCTTTGTATCAAATACGAACGACCGGACCTGGCGTATGGTGAAAATGCTTTTTGTAACGTGTTTCCATTTTGGTTGAGATGACTTGGCCATGGCTCGAAATTCGTATCTCATGAATACATCGAGGTGTATTTGTCGTGGTTATAACAATGGACACGCCAGCATGTATGGGCTTCTTGTATCTCACACGCTTTTTGAAAACTTGCTGCACATTTTCATCAGCATGTGTTCGTCTGAAAAGCAGATTGAAGAACAAGTGCGATGCAGGTTGCGATGAGGCTTTGTCTTGCATGATACAGACTGCTTTGCAAGTTGTCATGCTAGACTAGTAGGCTAGCAGAGTAGATATAGGCATCCACCGCAGTTGCTGGATGCCCTATTGGTCCCGGTATAAATATAACCAGTGGTCCATATCAATTTATGATACTACCGGCTTCCTATTTGTTGATTCGACACTCTTCCGTCCATGAGGGCGCGGACTCTTGTGTCTACTGCTTGCCACTTCCTTTGTAGGTTATCTACATAGATTGTAGAACTTCAGCGCAGTTCCCAACCTGCCGCGCCTGGTTCAAGGTATTGCAGCATAACGTTCCGAATCTCCTTGATTGATTCGATCAGCGATAGCACACATCTGGGAATAGAATCTGTGGCAACATCTGGCATGATGTGCCGGCGTTGTATGGATTCATTCTGTTTTGCATGCCTCTGAGGGTAGTATTTGCTGAGATGGTCCAGGAGGCAGGAGGATTTTACGGACGTCGGACCATTCACGACTAAATCTTACTCTTGGCATGCATTTGGCTTACAAGGAAAGGCCCCTTGGATTGGAGTAGATTGGTCATGATACGGAAGACCCAGACGTTTCCATTGGGGTCCAAATAGCCTTACAGAATGTCCTTGGGAAAGTCTGTACCAAGTAAAATTTAAAGTTAGCGTGAACAGGGTACTTCAGGCCCTGAAAAGATGCCCCGCACTCACCGGGTTCGGGTTCGGGTTTCGGGGGGAAGCTAATGAAGGGCTAGGTTAGACAGGTACTTAACTTTTACTTAGTCAAGCGCTAACTTGAGACCCAGGCACCTCCCTAGAGCTAAAGTAGTGCTTGAGTACTGCGGTAGTTTCGAGGCGAATACTTGGTAATAAATGGTTACGTAGGTATTTGCCTATTGTAGGTAGTCGCAGCCCACTCCAAGTCGTGTCGTTTCGTTGCCTCATCCCGCTTAATTAAAGTTGTCTTAATCCATCAGCTTCCACGCTTTTGGTGTCTTCACCAGCCATTTTTTTCTTTGTCACGAACCTAGACAGGAATTCACGTCGCCGAGTTTTTGGCACCATTTCATAGCCTGTCACTTCCGTTGAGATCAGACTTGTATTCGCATCGCCGACAACGCAACGGCCTTCTCGCTCAGCTGAATCGCACAGCTGTGCAGAACACCATGTAAGCCTCACAAGCCCAGATAACATGAAGGACCTTTGTAGCATGTCACAAGCTCACATGTAATCCGCACCCAACAGGCGTATCACACTCACCGTGTCCAATCCCGAGGTCGAGGCCGAGGATCTTCGCCTTGTATCGCTCGAGGTCTTCCCGGAGATGACCATCGAGGCTCTCCGCAGTTCCATCGAGGCCGAGGGTATCCCCGAGCCGTCTCAGCACATCTACCACAACGGACAGCTGATCACCGACAAGTCCAAGACAGTTCAGGATTTGGGTATCACAGACGGCGACATGCTTGCGCTACATATCCGCGACATGCGGGGTAATACAGGTGTCGCTCCAGGCCCTCAGGCTCAGCAGGCACAACAGCAGCAGCAACAGCAGCAGCAGCAGCAGCAGCAACAACAACATCAGCAGCAGCAACAACAGCAACAGCGTAGTGCTATGGCCCAGGACCCGGAGCTTATTCGATTACAAGTACTTGGTGATCCTCGACTGCGGGCCGAGCTACAGCGCTCAAACCCCCAACTGGCCGGCGCATTGGAGGACCCAAGACGCTTCGCTCAGCTCATCCGTGACACCACAAACCAGCAGGAAGAGGCCCGAAGAGCGAGGATGCGCGAGATCGAGCAGCTGAACAATGACGAGTTTAACCCCGAAGCACAAGCGAGAATCGAGGAGATGATCCGTCAGAATAATGTTATGGAGAACTTGCAGAATGCTATGGAGTATAATCCCGAGTGTAAGTGGTAACCGAGCCTCCGCATCCCCCTCCGTCATACGCTAACCTGCAAATAGCATTCGGTCGCGTGCACATGTTATATGTCGATGTCAAGGTGAACGGAGTTAAGGTGAAGGCACTTGTCGACTCTGGTGCTCAAGCCACCATCATGTCTCCGGACTGTGCTGAGGCTTGCCACATCATGCACCTCGTTGACAAGCGGTTCGCCGGTGTGGCTCGGGGTGTTGGCACAGCTGCCATCATTGGCCGGGTACATTACACAACACTTCAGGTCGGATCCAGGCATTTGCCGGCCTCGTTCACTGTCATGGAGGGCAAATCCGTGGACCTCCTGCTGGGCCTGGACATTCTCAAGGGCCACCAGGCAACAATCGACCTTGCGCGTAACAAGCTCATCATCCAAGGTGAAGAGGTGGATTTCCTGGGTGAGGCAGATGTGCCCAAGGAAACCGAGGAAGCTGTAAACCAAGAGCCCACAGTACCAGGCCCTGGTGGCACGACGATTGGTGCTCGCTCTGGTGCAGTTACGGCAGGGCCTTCAGCTCCACCCAACAACCCACCCCAACAGTCGAATCCCGTTGCTCGCCCTGCACGTAGCCCTGCTCCCATACAGACTCCTCGTCCGTCTGCACCACCGGGCGCTGGAGCTCCCCCGGTGCCCCCTCAACCCGCAGCAGCCAGCAGCTTTCCTGAGTCGGATATTCAGACGCTGATGGACTTGGGTGCCACAAGACAACGAGCGATCCAGGCTCTGGAGTTCACTGGTGGCAATGTCGAGTTTGCTGCCAACGTCATCTTTGCTGAAATGTAGGAGAATTGCAGTCGGCAATTGCAATAACTTGCCAGCTGGCGCCGTGCTGGAGAGGAATTATTGCTATCAGAAGCATAAGTTGATACCACAAAACAAGCAACACTACTGGTTCAGCACTGGACATGGTCAATAAGGGGAACATTTTGTTTTTGCGACATGATCGGCGTAATAGATCAGTTGCGGCTGGCCGCAGGGAACCGGCGGCATTGGTCGACGGTTGGTATCAGAGCGTTCAGGGCATAGCTTGATTGCATTGGGTGCGAATTGGTATTTTGACATAGAGAAAAGCACGCGTCTCTGCGTTGCAAACATATTGGCCAGTACACGTGCTGTAAATTACTCAATTGGTCTCGCTGTAAAATGTGAAGCATGCGTATAGCTGCCCGTCTCAAGTCCTCAGCCTAAATGCCGAATTATCGGAGCTTGTATACACAGGGCTTCAAAATGCTGCTCTCGTCCACATTGTCCGAATTGTTCGCCTCAATGAACTTGGGCCCTTTCTTAGGCCCAGGCCGACCCTGCTCCTTAGCAGCAACGACACCCTTCCCAACCACTGGCGTTGCACCTTTGGTAAAGTGCATCTTGACGAACATCTTGTTGCCAAGATCCACTGCCTCTTTGCCTTGTCCCTGCAGGACGAATCCTCTCTTCCTGAGCGCCTCGACAAACGCCGAGACATCGGTTTCCTGGCTCTTCATCTCCACACCATCAACCTCGACTGCTAACGCCTCCTCTCTCGCTGCATCATCCTCTGGGCCGCCCTTGCCCTTCTTGCCGGTCTGGTTCTTCTTCCGGTTCCCAACACTGTGCGTCACGACCTTGCCCTTCTTGACGGGAGCGAAGCGTGACTTGATCTCGGCGATCCAGAGCTCGCCCTTCCAGTGCAGAATGCGGTATGCCTCTTCGATAAAAGACGTCCAGTTGGTGCCCATGAGCGCAAGGCAAAAAATCACAACATTGACGCTGCCGTCCTCGAGCGGCAAGTTCGCGATATCTGCGCGAGTGACCAATGGACTAGGGCTCTGCAAGTCGTACGAGAGGATCTTGAGATTCAGCTTCTTCTTCTCAGACTGCAACGTCTCGGCCAGCTTTGCGTCACCGCATCCGAGGTCAGCAATGATGCAAGTACCTTGAGTCCTCAGGAGTGGCGCCGGTCCCGAAGTAGGCTTGCCCTTGTCGCCCCTGGGTGGCTGTCGGATTTTGCCCCTAGCTTTGATATCTGCTATGTAGCCGTCGACGGGATTCTCTGGCCAGACCTGGACTTGGCGGCGGAAACCTTCGTGGTATTCCTGAAACATCTCGGGGGATTCCTCAAACAACGAAAAGGCTTCCGCAGATGGTCGGGTGTATAATGACTCGTTGAGATGTCGGAAGCGGGCTGACACTAGCTTCTCCCTCATGGAAGCTTGAAGAGGCGTGAGCTTAGGCTGTGCTGGTAAAGGAGCCGCCGGTGCTTGTTTGCCGCTCGCCTCCTGCTTCGCTGCAGCTGAGGCAGGTTGTTCATTCTGGATCTCTGGCTGGCCGCCCTTGGACTTCTTCTGCCTTTTCTCCTTCTTGTCTACTTGAGTGGCTTCCTTGGAAGCGGCATCAGGCCTGCTCGCTGAAGTGTCCTCCTCGGCAGCTCCGGCATCAGCCTGTTTGCCAGCTTCGCGCTCCTTCTTCTCCTTCTTCTTCTGCTTCAAGGTCTTCTTGAAGGTCTTGAACTCAGAAGCTTGGTCAGGATTCAGCTTGGGCTTCTTCGCTGGCTTTTCCTTGCCCTCAATGACACTCTCATACAGAGCTGCAACATTGCCAGAAGTGACGTTGCTAGCTGGCCCAGAAGGTCGCTTCCGCTTGCTGGCGCCGGGGTTCTCAGATGGCTTATCCGCCGCACCCTTGCCGTCTTTGGCATTTTCGGCCTTGAGGTTGGCCGCCGAAACGGACCATCCCGGCACTGCAAACATTTTCTTAGATCTTGATAATGCACGTAAGATCTCAAAGTCCAGACAAACTGCAACTATCCTAAGAATCGGTCGGTTGAAAATGGAATATGCGGCTCAAGGGAATTGAGGTGCAAACAGACGGATGTAGGTGTAGATCCAGACATTGGTACTGGCCGTTCGAAATTTTTACTGGGGGTCAACCTTATCGCCAAGCGCTGGAGGAGGTGCACCTATCAGGGTGGGTGGGGCTTCACGTGGCATCCTCTAGGGAAACTGCCCACCCATGCATTTCCAACGACCAGGGGTCAATGTGTACAAGTGTTTCATGGAAGTGTATCATCACGGCTTACGACAATAACCTGGAAAACTGCAGTGGTAGCATCTCTTTCTCTCCTTCCGACTTCTCTCCGCTTTCCTTCTACCTATGCATCTTTGTCAAGACTCCCTGGTCGTCGCTCCGGATATCTGCTCAAAAGATATGCAGATTGTCTCAACCTGAGACTTCCTTGGGCCTTCTAGAAGGCCGCCAAGCTCGTCGACAGCCCACAAGATGGAACAAACCTACATGCTGGAAGTGACGCAGTTGGCAATTGCCTAGAATTCACATTATTTCGGCCCTTTTGATAAGTTCAAACAGCCCTGGCCAATGGTCAGATTGCAGGTATCCGACACCTTTCCCCAGGATTAGGGACGGTATTGTTCAGAGGCAAAGCTACCGTCCTTATTCCAACGTATCCGCAGTTGCTCTGTTCGGCGGTGTCTGGGTGTTGGGGCTTTTCGATCACCAAAATGTCACACAATCAAGCCTCTCTGATACAACTAAAGCGCTGAGCTAAAACAAAAAGATCCTCTGGGTATGACAGGGAGTAGCTTCGAGTCTTAAGCTGTTCCGGGATGTTGCGATCGTGCATACCATCAGGACGAGCAAGTTGAAGATACTATGGCTACAAATCAGCTGTTCTGACTAAACGTCGTTAGAGCTGCTCTCACTCGACAGGACTAGTCGTGTTCCTCCTCGGAGAAAGAGCTATTCCTCTTTTCAAATATTGCATTTCCATCGAATTGTACCGGTATTAAGCCGTCATTCTCCTTGAGAAGAGTTAAACACACCTGTCTCGTTTTCAACTTGCAAGGCCTGCTGTGCGCTGCCCAGGTCATCCCAACCAAGCATATAGGGCCGTTATTGGGAGGGGACAATGCTCCAAGCCCAAGGTTGGTACGACGCCCTCTCGGAGACCTCTCTACTGCTGACGCAGTGTTCTGAACTAGTTAATGATTTCTCCGCTGTTGGAAGCCCATATGGCGAGCCATCCAGGAGTTTCTCCAAGCTCTCTTCGCTTAGGTCTTCGTGCAGACCAGAGTGCCCGTTCGGGACCGGATCAGTCCCTAGGTCATTACCTGTACCATATGGACGGAGCCAGTGCATGATACAAAGTTTTGTAGTGTTATTTTAGAAGCTCATCATCGTTGTTGCTAATAAGGCCAAAATCATCTGATCGACGTGGACAGGTATGAACGATGTCATATCGTAACACTGTGCACACTCACTTGGAGAGTTTGTGAATTCGAATGACGTCGTTCTAAGTAGAGGATGGACTCTTCGAATCTGCCCACGGAATCTGAGGAGAGAGTTTGCACAACATGGATAGTATACTGCCAAAACTCACCAATAGCTCAACTGCGTTATCTGAAAGTGACGACTGCCAAACACGCGCCAACCCATGGCGTGTGCTCAGGAAGCTACTTCTTTGATAGCACCCGCTCGGTGGAACTCGTGAGAGACGGCTCGTGGTCGCTACATAACCACTGCGCTTGCATTCATAGGAATAACGGTTCCTTGCCGTTGTGGCCTTCCCTGTGGACTTTGCGGACTCGCCCTTTCCCGCCAATACAGAAGTCCATCGGATCACTGCTCTGAAAGTTGCGTGTGACAGATTGCTGGATTCAGGTGCAGATACTGGTCACGAATTACACAGTCTCCGCCTCTGCAGTAACTTGATGGGCCGCTGCGTTGAAGCCGGCAGAATGCCGTATCGCCATTGTGTGTCTTGTTCCTGCAACATTTCTTTCGTCTGACAGAGTGGAGAGTTTGTGTATGACAAGTCTGCATTTGATGCACCAAGCAGCTCATCTGTGTTACGGCCATCGCCAAGAAAAGATTGGCTTTCCCACAAGATCACACAGCTCATTTATGGCCCCATGGATCATGGAAGCATGAATGAGAGCAAGTTCAATGGTTAGGCTTTTCGGCATGAAATTGATTGTCAGGAGGCTAGCACCAAAGTCACGGTTTCTAAGAGTATCACAGGCACTCTCTCTGTTGTACTATGAAGGTCAAGAGCCGTCAACTTCCCCGCGCACGTGGTTCACAATTATTCATTGCTTGTTTGAACGGCTGTCTCGTCGATACACTTCCACACTAACGAGGGTTCTCGGTTCGTTGACGGATTTTTGACTGCCGGAACAGACTTAGTACTAAGTGGAGCTGGGGAGACGCTATGCCTTGGCCCGTCCTTCAGGTGGATCAGGATCCTGGAGATTAGGATTTTGTCATGTATTGATGGATCTCGCTGGCTGGAATCAAACGTGCAGATTGATTGGCAAGCTGCCAGCCCAAGCTCAATATTCCCCGTTTCTTCATCCAATGCGTCCAGCTGCTCCCATCCACTCCGGTTCGTTCGGCGCTCGTCGCTGCTAGACTCTAGCATCGTCGCTAGTCGCTCTTGACCTCCCCTAAGGTTTATGTTTGGACGTTCATGACTAATAATGGCCCAGCAGGGGTCCTGGTTGAACTTCTTCCTGTTGGATTTGTGTGCAACGATGTCTACTTGAACATTCTCTCGTTGTGTATTGTATGTCTTCCAGTGTTAAGATGACCCCACCTTTTCTCGGTCATCACCCAGTATCGCCCTAATTCCAATCCCATGCATTTTGTATCCCCGGCTCCATGCAAGAAAGATCCGGCCGTACTTTACACCTCCAAAGTAATGTATATACCTTTGCACGAAGAATTTGGCCGACCCAGCCATCCCTACTACGAAGCACATCACTGAAAGTAGACAGCTGAGTAACATCAACTCGTTTCAGAAACCCCCAACGCTATATACACGTATCTAGTGTAGCCACTTCACCTAATTGTGTTCACGCAATCTATGTTTTCACGCAATCTACCCAACTTTCGTATTTCTTGCTGAACAGTACAAGAGTACGCCGGCGGAGATTATTCCTTCTGTCTTGCCTCACCACTATCACTTCTCTTTGAGAAATCACTGCAGACTCTTCCTCTCACCGCCGTCGGCGTGGGCTAAACCGGATTGTCAGTAGCCTACCAATACTCTATCTGGTGGGAATCATCTCGACGTGACCATCTTCTTGATTGTCCGTGTACCTTTTGCAAGATTTATCCATAACGTGGTAAACTTATGGCCAGGCGGTTGGACCGAGCGATAGGCCAGGCGTGATCAATCATCTGGGTCAGGAGCCCAGGTCCAACATTCATGATGGAGTCCTCAAAATCACCACCTTTGGGCTCGACCTCCACCCCTTCACCTAAGGACGTTTCGCCGGGTCGGGATAAGCCTGACGATGATCAAGCAACTAAGAAACAGACCGTGAGGAAGAGGACCAAGACTGGTTGCATGAGTACGTCAACGTGGTTTTTGGCTACTTTTTACACTATCTGCGAGTAAAGTTCTAACGCTCACAGCTTGTCGGCGACGACGCATCAAGTGCGATGAAGCAAGACCGGTCTGTGGCAACTGTATTAAATCTAAACGGCAGTGCGAAGGCTATAACCAGCGAGTAATATTCAAGGATCCGCTTGGCGCTTTTGCACCATTTGGGCCTTTGGCCTATCCGCAGCCGTCTTCTCAAGCGCTTGTACGGGAGCAACAACTTTCGGCGGCGCAGCAAAAATCAACATCACCTCTCCAGATTATAGCACCAAAGCCACCACCATCCGGATACTATCCAGGACCTGTGCCATTAGTCAGCCCGCCCTTTCCAGGTCAGGCCCCTACTGTGATCCCGCCCCAAGTGAATGCCGATCCGAGCTTCTACGGTATACAACCGACGCCAGTCTCAAAGTATACCTTCTTCCCCCCAGAAACTATTGATGCCTTCGGCCAAAACCGATGGAGACAGGGCCCACCCCCGACAGAAACACAGTTTGAGCTCCAGCAGTTTCGCCCAAATGATGGCCAGAATACTGCCGAAGTTTCCCAGCTTCTGCAGCCCCAACCTCGGCATCTGAGCGTACAAACCGATAATGGTGAAAGTTATAGACACCATGAAGCGTACGAACCTCACAGCTTGCCACAGTTAGATGGTATCGACGAGGAGGAGGAAGAGTATTCGTATGACGAAGAAATGGGCGAGTCAGATAACGATGATATGATGATCCAAGAGGGACAGTCTCAGCTGAACATGATCGTGTCCCAGAGGCTTAATGACCGCTTCGACTCCTTCGACATTCAGCCGAGAACATTTGCACTTCACGCTGGTCATACCATGACAACCTATGAGTCATCACCTGCGAACTCACCTCTCAATGATAAGCAGATAGCCGATGTATTCTGGCACTTTGTGAATGTCACTGGCCCAGTAATATCCTTATACGAAAGACACCCCTCTGACGGGATGGCATACTTGCAAGGACCTCAAGTGAAAGAGCGGCAGCATATCTGGACATGTAAGTGCGACCCCGATGCCTCCTAGACCAGAAGCTAATGAATGGAACAGACACATATCCTGTTCTTGCGTTGAGTCACCCGGCCTTGCTTCAAGCGATTCTCGCCATCGGGAGTTTGCAGATAGCCAAACTCAAGATGGTCCCGCCAACAGCCTCGCTAAAGCATTACCATCTCTCATTGAGAAGAATCGCGCGGAACGTGGGTAAACCGTCCAAGAAGACGCAACCATCGAACCTGGCAGCCATCTTGCTGTTGGCCTTCTACGAAGTATGGAACTCAGACCATGGAAAATGGTGTAAGCATCTAATAGGTGCCCATTGGATCATCAAGGATATTCCATTTGAAGACATGACCAGGAAAGTCATGGACATCAAGCGACGCTTACGTCACAAAAAGCTCACGGCAGTGCAAAATCCCCCAACCCCTGCGTTCGTGGGATTCGACGAGGGACCCTTCAGCGCCTTCGGCGTTTTTGATCATCATTTTGAACAGCCGTACGATCCATTGCAGGGCGAGTCAGATCCGTTATATCACGATTGGGATATGATCGACGTGTCGTTGCTCAGCATTCTGACTGGGAAAGTGATTGATCCTGACGAGCTTGGCATGAAGCCAGAAGAACATAGTAAATACCCCCGAAGTCCTGGAAAGCTCACAGAAAAGGATATAGACCTCTATGAAACACTGAGCGATCTATATTGGTGGTATCTCAAAATGGATGTCTACCAAAGCGTCCTTGGCGGAACAAGACTATTGTCAGTCCCTCTACACATGAATTACTCGAAGCGTCACTCACCTGAAGTAGCACGAAATATAACCTTTGGACGCAATGTCTGCCGAGAGCTCCAATCAATCGATCGGATGCGATGTAAGTCCAAGTCCACAGTGCGTCAGAGCATGTATGTAACAAAGTCTACAGTTATGGAACATTCGATCATCTGGTGCTGGTCTTAGGTCGCCTGACAGATTTTCAGTCACGCGATCTCGTCCGAAAGCGTCGTTTCTTCAAAGCCAGAGGAACATTCGGGCCTTCGGGCGCACCTCCCGGCACTTTTCCGGGCATGGTGCCCGCCTCAGATCATGTACAACAGCCGATGGGCTTCAGTCCACCCCGGGAAGATCCATCCTCCCCACGCGGCGACCCTGAAGAGGAGGATATGGACAAACTCACTGTCCAGGCCTACCAAGATTGGGAAAGCCTCAGGATAGCCTTCGAGGCCTTCCAAAATAGCCTTGGTCCAGATTTCCAGCCGTTGGATCAAGACTTACATCCCATGTCAATGTCGCCCTTCGGCCCTGCTCTGCGTTACAGGACGTACAGCATAGCGGGCATTTGGATGAACTACCTCATGGGCATGGTCATTTTGCACAGAGCGCACCCGCAGATGCCACCAGTTGCCATGATGGCAGCACCCATGAGTGCCCAGCAGACTATGCCGTACGCCTTTCAGGTTGCGCGAATTGCCGCTGGTCTAGAAGACAATCTGAGTATATTGGCGGAGGTCAGCACACTGGTCAGCGCAGCTTTGATCGATAGTGCGTTCTGTTTGTTCGTCGCAGGTGTACAGGTATGATCCCCAAGATCTCACACCTCTTCTCATACGCTTCTGCAAATTTCTGACAGGGACCCCATACTCACATGAACTTGCAAACAGTACCAAGTGGACGCCCAGCGGCAGTGGCTGATCCGGCACCTCCACGACATTACCCGTCTGACGGGCTGGGAATCCGCGCGCCAGATCGCCGACGGTTGCGAGTCCGCATGGACGCGGGCGGCGGCCAGCGGTCGGGGCGCGCCCTATACCCGTTCGGTCGACCACGATGCCATCATGACCGCCCACCTGCGTCGACCGAGCTTGTGGGGCAACCCGCGCAGGATTGATCAGCGCATCCTGGAGATCGAGGACGAGAAGTGGGTGCTCGACAAGGAGGACAAGACGCACTATGCCCTGGGCATCATCGGCGTCCAGGAGGATCTGGAGAAGCTGGATCTGGACAGTGTGGAGAAGGAGGACGAGCAGAGTGAGAGGCGGATCGAGGAGGCCAGGGAGAGACGGACAAGGTTGGAAAGGGAGGAAGAGATTCGCGTGAGGTGAGATCGGTTTCATACACATGACGAGTTGGATCTTGTGTTTGGAGGCTATGGGATTGTATGGTACAGGAAGAGATCGTGGTACGGGTATGTTCTACGGGGGAGTCCTGTATTTCAAGGATAGATGTAGTTTTTTTTTTCTCCTTTTCTTCTTCTTCTACGTCTTCTTCTTTCTCCCCTTCTCATTTCTTTCCCTTCTCTCCTTCTCTCTTGGAACTGGGTTCGGAGTAAAGTATTGGTGAAACTAATGGGTTCAGCTGATAGCTCGATGTCAGTATACTAGTGAATCAGATACGCACCAATAAGAATGTTGAGCTGCAGAGGAGACGGACGTGAGAACTAGGCGACAACAGCAACGGTGCTTGAATTTGGCTTTCATGATGGAGAAGGACTGCTCTAAGCTTCCGGGATTCTTCGCACAATACAGTCATTCAACTCTAACACATCTGTGTGCTCTGTTCGCCAGAACCTTTGAGTTGGTAATGTTCTTTTTCTGCAGTGGGTGTGATCACCGAAACCGGTAGAGAATTGAAATCGGTAAGAGGCACACAAGGAATGAGCTGTCACTTCTCGCGCTCGCAGGATGTAATCTCCATGTGGACTGGCCACCCCACAGAGCTCTCGATTTCGTTTGTCGGCATGGTTCGACCGTAGCTTACAAATGGCACGCTCAATTGGCATTGCCCGTATCTCTAGCGATGCGTGTTCTTGGAAGCCGCGTCCGAGCCTGGCATCAAAATCGTTACATTTTATCTCTGGTCTATCGTCTGAGCACATGCCATGCGGTGCGTGAACATCATCATGAAAGCCGAGTACCGAGTACCGGGGTGCTTAGTTTGCGGGGAGTCTCTCGACGACAGCAGCCATCTCCTCGTCTGTGTATATTCTGAAGCCCTTCTCCTTCGTTACGCTCGCCAATTGCACGTTCTTTGCATCCAGCTTCTCCTCCATAACTTGCTTTAGCGTCTTCAGGACCAGCGTCTCGGCGTCGACGATCGTGAGGGACTGGTTGCATGTTAGCGACGGCGGTCCAAGGGCGAGACTTGTTTGCTCGAGCTCACCTTGTGGTACTCATTCTGCAACTCGGCCTGTGCGCCCTCGCTGCCACTTCCGATTGCCTTTGCGTCGTAGCGGTAGAATGTACCACTGGGCTCGGCGTGGTACAGTGAAGGGCCATCCTCATCGTAGCCAGCGATCAACAGCGCGACACCAAAGGGCCTGCTCATGATGCTCTCCTCGCCCTCGGCGCTCTCGCCAAATCTCAGGGCCAGGTCGCAGATGGCCTGGGTACAGCTCTCGACCCTGAGGGGCTCGTTGAAGTTGAAGGTGTGGGACTGGGACTCGACACGGGCGTGCTCGACCATGCTGCGGGCGTCGGCCTGGAGGCCGGACATGGCGCAGCCGATGTGACGGTCGATCTCGACGATCTTCTCGACGGAGGAGGTCTCGAGCAGGGTGGAGGTCACACGCTTCTCGACGCCGAGGACGACACCCTCGGATGTTGCGACTCCGATGGCCGTGGAGCCGAGCTTGATGGCCTCGAGACTGTATTCGACCTGGAAGAGACGGCCCTCGGGGGAGAAGGTGCTGGAGGGCAAGTTAGTGTCATGGTGTGGCAAGACGAGGCTCAAATGGGGAGCTGGATGCTCAGACGTACTTGATACCCCGATCTGTTTGCCATGTTAGCTGGAATGGAGCTTGAATGTACATGTGCAATAGGGCATACCATATTCCGATCTTGCCATGAACATCTTGGCGGTATTGTGTGGGTATGTTTCGGGGGGGGAGGTGTTGTGTTGTAGTTGATTATAAAAAGCCGAGATGGGTGCGGGTTGTTGTTGTTGCTGCTGCCGCCGTCGTATCTCTGGGTCGTCACTGAGGGTGCAGAAGGCTGAGGTTGGATGGATGTATTTGGGAGTGGTTGAGAGCTCGGGCTAAGGTGGTTACTTGGTAACTTAGTGGGCCGTAGAAGCTCAAGGCTGCTACAGCGTTGACGAAGCTCCCCTTGAGCTCCTTGAGCCCCATGAGCCCCTACCAAAATGTCCTCCGGGCCTTGGCTTAGGTAACCCTTGTCAGCAGCTCGGGCGCCTGAAGCACTGACCATGCACTTTTGATGCTTGTACTTCCAATGAAGCTCAGACCGAAGCTGGAGGCGGGGCTCTGTGATACAGACGAAATAGCCTGCAGCTTGCTCACAAAGGAATCAGCACCGCAAGGGGCCCGAGGTTTTAGCGGGTATTTGTTGTACATTGTAACCATTGCGGTCCATCGTAGCAGCAGCGAGTAACAATTCAAATGGCATGAGTTTGGCGCAAGAAGAAGACGCGCCTGCTGCCCACTTTGACGCGCATCATATCGCACCTGCCTGCAGGTCCCAATGCGCCGCCGCCTATCCAATGATTCGGTCGCATTTGAGCCCAACCTTTGGACAAAAGAAGAAAAAATATCACAACAACAAAAACCAGCAGAAGTTCCATACTCTCGGCGCGACATAAGGCAACAACGCCCCGGCTAGACAATCCCAATGTCGCCGTGTTGTCACTATGTCGTCCAGGCTCTCAAACCACCCAGATAGACGCACCAATGTAACCAACGAGACTGCCACAAATGGCACCGCTGCTGGTGCCGCTGCTGGCTCCAGACCCCGCATGACATCTACGCATAACCGCACTGCCACAAGAAGCGGCCACGACTCACCACAGTCAGGTTATGATAGCAATTCTACCACCACAGCCCACAAGCGATCGGCTTCGGGAAACCCCAGGTCTAGGAGCGCGACTGTCAATGAGCGCAGAACTGAGAGGGTCACAACAAAGGAAAAGCTAGTGTCGCGCACCAAGAGCCCCGACAGACGGACGAGGGACACCGCGCCGCCAGAGAAATGGAAGCCAAAGGAAACCGTGCGCCCACGCACCGCTGACGGGAAACAAAAGGAACCTGTCATTGAGGCCCCGTCCAAACCATGGGATCCCGTCGCCGCGTTATCACCACACACCTCGGCGCCCTTGGCCAACCGCATCATCATACCTCCCCTGGCTTCTGAAATGCCAGCGGCCCTGCAGCCAGAGCCCCTGCACGACATGTCACTGGAGGCTCAGGAAGCTGCCATCATCGAGGATCTGCTGTTTGTCTTCATGGGATATGAGGGGCAGTATATCCGATTCGCCTATACGTACAAGCCAAGAGAGGAGCGGGACCAACTTACTGGTCCATCTTACAAGACGTTGCCTGGTCTAGATCCCAGCTTGGAGGACTTGACGCAGGGGATGTTGAAGATGGCCTCGCACTACTCCGCCCTTGAGTATTTCGTCGATGTCCAGAGTAGGGAGGAGTTCGGTGCTGTTAACCATGCTCTCTGTGCAGCCATTCGGAAATTTCTGCAAGAGTATCTGGTCATGATTGCACAACTCGAGACACAGTTTCTCACCAATGATACTTTCACCCTACACGTGCTCAATATTCACACATTACCGACGAGCCAAATGATGTCACAGCTTTACTCGTTAGCGCATGAGTTCTTAAAGCGCAATGCTTTGTTGGATGAAGAAAGCGAGGAGGACTCGGATCCCGATGATATCGACCAGATCTTGGAGAATCTTAAAAAGGGCGGCGACATTGTGCCAGGTAACATGACCGGCAAGAAGGTCTGTAAGGGGGTATTGTTATTGGGCTCATCACGAAGAGGTTGGAGACCATGTCGGGAGATCCGGCGGCGAGGACATTGCTCACATCTCTTCTTCGGGATGCGACTCGGCCCTATATGTCCATGTTGAATGAATGGCTCCATCGCGGTGGTATCAACGACCCCCATTCCGAGTTTCTCGTCAAGGAGCAGAAGAGCATCAAGAGAGAGATTATCGACAAAGATTACACAGACGACTACTGGGAACGAAGATACACGCTACGAGAACAAGACATTCCACCGCAACTGCTAGGCGTCAAGGACAAGGTGCTCCTGGCTGGGAAGTACTTGAACGTGGTGCGGGAGTGTGGTGGTGTTGACGTTAGCAAAGTCGCCCAAGATCTACCCACCAGTTTCGATGATCCTCGATTCCTCGATAATGTCAATAATGCCTACGCGTATGCGAACGAGTCGCTCATGAGACTCCTCCTCACTACACATTCCCTTCCAGCCCGACTTCAGTCCCTGAAACACTATTTCTTCTTGGATCCATCCGACTATTTTACTTATTTCTTGGAGCTGGGAGCGTCCGAACTACGGAAGCCCGTCAAGTCCGTTAATACCGTCAAGTTGCAATCCCTTCTCGATATTGTTTTACGCCAGCCCGGGACAATAGTGTCAATGGATGCTTTCAAGGAAGATGTCTATATAGAAATGAACGAGGTCAGCCTCATCAAGATGCTGCAGCGGGTTGTGAACATCACCGGCATGGAGCAAGGCGAGGCTCTCCAACCTCTGGGGAACCAACCAGTTGAAAATGACAAGAACGCCAACGGTTTCACGTCACTCCAACTAAACTACAATGTGCCATTCCCCGTATCATTGGTTATCAGCCGGAAGACGATTTGGCGATATCAAGCGCTTTTTAGATATTTGCTTTCGCTCAGACATCTGGAGTCGCAACTATCGACCACGTGGCATTCTCACAACAGGGGTATTGTATGGTGCCACAAGTCCTCTTCACGGAGTCTTGAGATATGGAAGCGGAGAGTGTGGACCTTGCGAGCTCGCATGATTGTTTTTGTTCAACAGCTACTCTACTTCTGCACGCTTGAGGTGATCGAACCGAACTGGCAAGCTCTCATGTCAAGGTTGAGAGCCAAAGATGGAAGTATTGACGGCTCCGGCAAGCCAGATCGTACGGTCGACGAATTGATGCAGGACCATGTGGATTTTCTAGACACTTGCTTGAAGGGCTGCATGCTTACCAATGGCAAACTGATCAGGGTAAGCACGCTGTTTTCTGCTCTCATCATCGCTGACAAACTCAAGATACATTCCAAACTCATGCAAACCTGCACAATCTTCGCCACTTATACGAATTGGCTCTCTCGAGAATTGGAAAAGGCAGATCCTGATCTTATCGGCAACATCAAGCCTCCCAACATGAGTAATGAGCAGTGGAAGCAGTTCCAAATTGCCAAGTCACAAAAGTCTTCGTCGTCCCACAATGACAGCATGTCTTCTAACAGCACGCTCCATGACGAGGAGACCAAGATCAACAACCTTTTTGAGATAATCAAGAAATGGGAGACGAATTTCAGCAGGCATTTGCAGATCTTGTTGGATGCACTGAACCACTATGCTGCCACAGAGACGGTGGTCCTGCTGAGCTTGTGCGCAAGACTTGCGACAGCGAACCAGGGGACAGAATACGCGGGGTTGAGAAATGAGGAGGACATCGCAGCATGAGTGTACGCATGTGTACGGCGCATTTCGTCATACGGTGGGTGGTTGGCTAGTTATGATTATGGCGTTCAGGCCGGAAAGCGATACAGGGCTGCCAAAACTTACGAAGATACCATGATTAAATGCTATTCAAACCTGTTTGAGAAGAGAACAAACATGCGACACTGGTTTGAATCGTGCTGGTTACCTGCCGGCTATGTACTCATTACCCTTCTTGGGTCACGCATCTTCCTTTCAACGCAAGTCTCCAGTCGTTTCACCCACTAATAAGCCCCCACAGCCGTTCCATTTTTCTCACTCACCCTTCTCGCCCGTTCTAGCCCGCCTATTTGCCGGCTTTGTCCAGGAGTTCCTTGGTCTCTGCCATCAGTGCCTTACGCTCCTTTGTCAGGTGATCGGTCTCCATCATGAATAGACGACGGATCCCACTTTTTACTCTGACAGGCACGTGTATATCATATCCTTTGTGGAGCCTTTAGGACGGCTGTTTTCAGATCGTCGTGAAAGGGCGCGCTGATCCAAGATTTGAGATCTTTCCGTTTGTGTGAAATATTTTCTGCCGACTTGTCGTTGGCGGCATCGTCGGTGCGTCATCGGTTGGCTTCAGCCATGGTCGTGAGATTTCCGGGTGCTGATGGAGGAATTCTACCTAATGCAAAAGTGATTACTTGCGCCTGGATATGGACTGGGTTTTGCATTAATGGAATTTCGTTCTATGATATCCAGTGGATCCAAGAAGCAAGAATGGAGACATCGACCGCACAAGAACACTTTGCTCGATATAGGAAACTAGAAACCCACAGTAGATCCAACGAGCACAATTTTGTAAGATCATTGAGTGAATTCCATATTCGATGCTTTCTACTTGGGCCCATTGCTACTTTTACAGTTATGAAGGCAACGCCAGTCTCGGTCGCTCGGTCGCTCGTGTAACTTTACCTGACATACCCTGACAGTCGGTAACCATCCTTACACATTAAAGTTCATCCTGGATCATCAAAACCAAGCTCTACAAATAGTTGCTGCAAGAAAACAGAGTAAATGCGGTGCAGAGACTAGACGTGGGCGGATTTATTTGCCACTTGGATGTTTTGCGTTGAAAGGGGCATTTTGTTTCGCTCACCCTTCTGAGTAGCACTTGGACGATCAGATGCGGATGAATTTTTGAATAGCAAATCAATTCCTGCCGCTGGTGGGTCCTGCCATAGTCACATTTGATGACGATGGCGATGGCGATGGCAGTAAAGGTTTAGCAACGTTGGGTTTGCCAGTGTAGTAGTACTCCAGAGCTAACATCTGCATCTCAAAGAAGCTCGCACGGTAAAGAACTGTGAATCAACTATCCGCACTCCGCTGTCCAGATTCTATGTTATCAAGAGCAACCATCAACTATTTTGGATATCCTTAATAGGTTATGGTGTCCTATAAGTCATCCTCTTAATCGGTTGTTAGTAAGCCTAAGAACTTGAATGAGCCACTCGGGGTTATAGGGCCAACTGGATATATGGTTAACTCGATAGAGCTTCACTGTCTGGTTTTATTCAAAAGGCACCAAGCTCAAGCTCCAACTCATGCCTCTACTGTTTGTAGAACAATTAAATGAATACTTCGTCGCCGTCAATGGTCGTCTCTCGTATCCTTGACGACGTTCTCAAGCTGCTGCGACATCTGAGCCATAGGCTCATATGGTGAGTGCGAATGTGTTTTGGAGAGCATCTTAGAGAACATGTTGCTGATATTCCACTCAACATCAAAGCTTATGTCATATTCTTACGACCCAGAACTATAGTTACGATTCAGCTATTACCATACCTCTTTAAAATATCCATCGAAATTGATAGCGCGAACATTTTCTTATTCCTAGATGGTATCTACCTCCCGCTATAGAGCATCTACCAGGACAGGATTCTTTATAGCAAAAGTGACAAGAGCGGCGCGGATATTTTCTATCGACATAGCATCCACCCATAACCAGAGCTACTATTCAATTGGCTGTGAGATTCCATCAGGACTACTAGCCACTACTTACACGGGTACGGTCCCGGGGTTCAAAGGTCGCGGGTAGTCATCCAAAGACATTGAAGGGCCTTGATCTGGCACCCGCTCGTTGGCCAGAGGTTGTAAAGGTACATAGGAAGGTATATAAACTCCCTGCGCGGGTACGGAGCAGGCTCAAGGTTCGAGAGACTGTCAACTCGCTGACGTTTGGCCGAATTGTAGTTTGACATTGCAGTAAGTGCATTTCAAGCTTGAAGGGAATAATTTGAAGAATAAAATGGATATTCCTATATGCATTTGCAGACACTGTAATATTAGATATCAGCGATACGCGTTATTCCTGAAGACGGACGCGTAAATTGATTGTGGAGCATCCCTTCATTTGCAATACCGAATCCAAAAAGAAGAAAAAGTTACAGCATCCTTGTATTTAATTGGCGAAACGGCTTGACGCAGAATCGATAGTACAGGTGGTTAAAAGTATCAACGAAGTCGCGTAACTAATATTCTCCACTCTTGGTAGAATCGAGAACGAAGGGGTCGCTTATCTAGCAAGCAAAGAACTATATTAATATGCAAAGGTCCTTATCCAACTGATAGATGCTGTGATGCTAGCTGCGGATATGAACACGAGGGCGCTAGGAACCAAGGACAATAGTCTTAGCACTTCGCAAGGTCCCTCGTGGTATTAATGAAGTTCACGGAAGTTCACGGAAGTTCTGTCAGCTCTGATAGTTGTTCAGCGAATTCAGATTTGCTGCACGTGTAGGGCGTGATCAAGGTGATCGATGAAGGTGAGAGTAATCATCATACCTTGTGAGACACTGCCAAGATGGCGTAACGGGCGTAAGAGAAGGACGGAAATAACGATCTTGACCTGCCCTGAATCCAAATGAATAAGGCCTACTAAGTATATAATCCTCGGCTACCTAATGGCCGAAGACAGCATGTAAACTTGCATGCAAGACTTCTACCGTGCTTATGCACTAGTAAAGGTAATTTAACCAGCGCAGGCACTCACTGTTGAGTGTTGGATAGTGTCAAGCCTGATCGTAAAGAGCTTTGTATTTGTTGCCTCGGATTCTGTGCATAAAATTTAGGTCTTTCTCATACAGCGTGTTAATCGAGATGAGAAGAGAATTGTGTTAATTTGCCTGTAGCCCTGCTTTAATTTCATAGCACTTCTGCTGGTTAGTAAGGACAATAGTTACGGCTTTCCTACCTGCAAACGGTTCTGAAAGGCTAGTTGGAAAGTAATTAAAGCAATGAAGGTATTTGGGAGGTACTTGGTACCGGTCAGATGTGGTCGTTGTTGTATGAACACACGAGTTGAATTGCTGCGATAGCATTAAGAGACAAAGACTATGAACTTGTCGGGCACTTGCCAATTTTGTGAAGGAAAAACAAAACGTCCCGTAGAGAGTCCTGGAGGTGACACCACTTTCCATACAAGAGCCACTGTAGGGGCGCTTGACTACGATGCTACGTGTATTCTAGTGCTGGGAAGTTCTCTGTGCGCCCTGAAAATAGGTAACAAAAATGGTTCCATTGTAGAGCGATGGTTCAGAACGCTGATCAAAGTCGTCCAGAGTTGCCTAGATCTGCGTAGCTCAACGACCGTGAGAGAAAATACTTCAGACGAAAGGCAAGACTTAACAACCGGCCCTGAGTACTTGAACCAATCACTGATGGTCACCACTGCGGCGACCAGTAAAATACGAGAGACGCCAGATAGTTCCCGGCATGTGTAGTTGACATACCGTCGAGTCACCAGGTGCGCCAAGTCTTTCTTCGCCACCGCTCTCGAAAGCACAGCAGTTGGTGCTTCATGCCTCAAGTTATGCCAGTAAGACGGGCAGATACAGCATCTGAACCTGATGTGAGTGATATGTTCCTGTGAACCCCAAGCGTACTAGACACAAACTCATAGTAGCGTTATCGAGCTTCTGTTATACATTAAGCGACCGCGATGGCTCTTCCAGTAGATTGATGCTTTTTAGGATAATGGGAGCCTACATGGACTGGTTGTTAGTGATGCGGTCATGAAGTATGTATGAGGAGCATGCGCGTTACTGAATAGTCCAACAGGTCAGAAGGGATCTTTTCGGCACCAAAACAAGAGGTAAATTTTATGGCGTAACTAAGTCTTCACTCTCGTGCCACCAGGGTTAAACTTTGAAGAATAGTTTTTGATTGAGTTGATCCAATTTGTAGAGGTTTGTTCAACCAGACTTCAGATGAATCCATTGAAGAAAATCCTCTAAAAACTAAGACTGGGGCCTTTCATTTCATGTCTCCCTCTGAAGGCTGTCAAAGAACACGATCCGATGTCTGTTTAATTCAACATCCGGCCATTACAGATTCTTCGTTACGATAAGATGCCTGCATCTTCGAGTCAGCCATTGAATTGTGTGCCCTCAATAGGCAGTGGATACCCACAGATATCTCGGCAAGAGTTCAAAAAGATCACGCGAAGAAGAAGCCACGATGTAGCCAGGTCGCACAAGACTTTGTCATTTTTGCGGGATCTTGATCTAGTATTAATGACCGCGAAATGACACCCAAGTGATGCTCAGAAGGCTGGCGACATGAGATGAGTCATAAAGTCGAATCCCCTCACAGCATGAGGTAATGTGGTAGGTGCCCAACCAGCCCCAGCTTGCCGTCCCCTCTCGACCAATTCAGGAGGTGTGTTTGCTTCTCAAAACGCGCCAGATCATCAACAACCAAGGCAGCCGAAGGAATTCATGGCTCATCTCTCCCATTGCCTCCGAAATTCGTGGCCTACGTATCTGCAAAGCCCAGGGTCTCAGGCCAAAGTTCTCTCTCTGTGTCTCTCTCTCTGTCCCCCCACGTAGCCTTTCATTTCTGGTGGTATATATCACCACAAAGCATTTCAAAGTGAGGTGAAGTGATTCTGGGAGCGCGGTGGCTCCGTATTTCAGTCGGTCAGCAGTCATCATTCGGCTATCCTAATCATTTCATCCAATCCCGTATTTATGCTGGCGGGAGTCTGCGTCGCTTAAATGATGTTGGAGGTGGAATGAAAAAGCGAGAAAGGTGTAGGGACGGACAGGCGCATGTAGTTTATGCATTGAGACGAGGGCAGACCATGAGGCAGGGATTTCCATGTGGAATTTGTACATCTGTGCTGGCAATTACCGGCCTAACAAAACTGTTTGCATTTCATTGTACCTGGTATGGACACCGAATGTATTTTACAAGTCCGAAACTCTCTCTCAAGAGATCCCTTGTGCCCCTTCACCGGTCAATGCCTGTAAGTCTAATGTGAATACATCGCGAGATGGAAAGACCAATATAAGTCGACTCTTGGGTAGTCTTGCAAGTGCTTGAAAAATGGTCAGTGTGATAGAACAGAACGGGGCGATTAACTCGGTGAGTTTGGATTGGCCAACCATGGGGTTGCGTTGGCAGGAAAGTGCTTCCAGGACTGTGGGGACACTTCATGATTTCCAGTACTTCATACACTCAGAAAATTGTCTGTCTTACCCATCCATTGCTAACATTGGTCCGTTGGCGCGTCTCGTACCTTGCGTAGATGCTAGAACGTACTATGCAATAGCGTGATAGATGAAGATCAAGCTAGTCTATCGCAGGTCGACTGCCACAAAGACCGACAGGCGCACTGGATAACACGGATCTGAATCGGCGATAAACGAAATAACTACGTGGCAGGATTGGCAGTTATCCTTCGTAGCTACCGCTGGAATGACTGGGCTGTACCCAGTCGCCATGACAGAACTCCAGAGTCACACCACCAACTGAGCATCGTGAGTTGCATAGACCAAAGTTGAAGCCCTTGCTCAAAAGAACCAATCCGAACTTCCGCTTATCAGTGCGGTTGCCGTCACAGGCAGCTACGGGCTGGCTCCAATGGCATTTATTGTAAGTGAACACAGAAGACGGTAATGAGCAAGCCGCATGCTGTGGCAACTTCGGGATTTTGATATAAATAGAGTCTTTTGCGACACTTCCAATTCTCGAAAGTCGAGTCTACCAATTCAACCTTTTCTTTTTTTCTTCTCTCTCTAAGGGTTTCGAAGTGTGTTTTGTCTTCACAACTTTTCAACTCCGTTCCGAACCTTGGGATTATTTCATCCTCCAAACCCAATTCCCAATATAACTATGCCGCATAGTGTCCATAACAACTCAGAGGCGACGCCAAGGTCAGCTAGAGATCCCTCTTCCACATGAAGCTTCTAAGTTTTGTAGTAGTACTTGTGCGGTCACAGCATCTTCTGAAGTTGCGGGACCCAATTCTGAAGTACAAGCAGAACAACCATCTCCATCGCCAATGTTGACAAAATGGGCCAATAGCAGTGATAGCAAAGAAATATCCATAAGTGAACGTCTTGCGCAGGCTGCTATGGGGTGTGTAACGTCAACGTTGTTATCCTCTGGGATAAAAGCTAACGTTACGCAGCGCTTGATCTTCTCCACTGGTGTCCATGAGCTATCTGATGGTGCTGTGGGTTGTACATGTCCTTGGTTAACTCATTTTGGTTACCATGATAACTGGCACAAGCACCAGTGATCATACAGCCTTCAGGAGTCGTGAAAAAGCACTCAATTCTCCCACTACTCGCGCCTTGCCCCATGCTTCGTGCTGTACTGCCAGTCTTGGTGACATCATGAAGAGTCTCCAAGCGTCTGACCGGCTCCTGTAGCATGGAATCCATCTAAGTTAATTGTGACCGCACCAGCTTGTACGAGCTTAAATAGTATCAGTAACACGTCGTAGGATACTCAAGATAAATGAGACTTACCGCGCGGGAGAGGTCATCAATGAGGTCATTGACATCCTCGATTCCAACACAAAGCCGTATGATGTCCTCGGGCATTTGTCTCTCTGCCCTTGTCTTTGGGTCGATGCTTGCATGGCTCATTCTGCACGGCATGCTGATCAAGCTGTTGACACACCCAAAGCTTACGCTGATTCCGAAGATCTTGGCGCCTTCGACGATCCTTTCTGAGATTTTGAGATCTCCAGTTTCGAAAGAGAGGACTGCACCAGCTCCGCTTGCCATAGACCAATGGAGATCATACTGTGGGTGTGACTTGAGACCAGGGTACCGCACCTTGAAACCGTGCGACTCGAGGAATTCTGCAATGGCCTGAGCATTGGCCTGCTGCTTCTCCATGCGGATAGCAAGGGTCTTTACTCCTCTCATCAAAAGGAAGGAGTCATTCGGAGACAAGCCGCAGCCGGTGGAGTTGATGGTGAAGTACATCTTATCGCCCAGGGCCGGGTCATTGCAAGCAATGATGCCAGCCATGATGTCGTGATGACCAGAAAGATACTTAGTTCCCGATTCGTAGACGATATCGGCACCCAGCTCGAGAGGATTGCAAAGCATGGGCGAAAGCATAGTATTGTCAACCACAACAAGGGCCTTGGGGTTGGCGTCATGAACCGATTTCGCAATCGAGGCAAGATCCACGATCTTGATCAAGGGGTTGGTGGGGGTCTCCAGGAGCACCATGGCCGTCTTCTCCGTGACAACATCTGCGACTCTTTGAACGGTCGTTGTATCAACGTGGTGGACGACAATGCCCTGGTTGGAGGCCAAGTACGTCAGCAAGCGGTTGGTGCCTCCATACAAATCGTCTCCAGCAATGACCTCATCTCCAGGTCGGAGCATTCGGGTAATCACGTCCATTGCGCCCATTCCAGAGCCTACGGCCAATGCCCGTGTGGCATTCATGATCTTCGCCATGTGTCGCTCCAGATGTGTACGTGTGGGATTGCCAGAGCGGGTGTAGTCGTACTGTTCGCCACCGCTAGCGGAGGACTGCTTGAAAGTTGCCGACTGGTAAATTGGAATGCTTGAGGCGCCATATTGGTCTTTGGTCTCGGTGTAGACAAGTTCTGTAGCGAGGGCATATCTTCGGCGTCCGTTGGAAGGACTCGAGGGTGCGGGGGACGGGGGAAGGTCATGACCGTCGAGGTCTATCTTGGCAAACGCCTTGTTGAGAGGCTTTGTGCCGTCGTCGCTCCCGGCGCTGGAGCCGTTGTTGGGCGGCGAGGACATTGTGCGGTTCTGGAGGGAATCAATGGAAGCTGTCGTGCGTATCAACTGCGGCCAGCACAGTTTGGGCTGGTGGGGTCGTGCGACGGCGACCTTTTTGCCGAGTTCGGGATGAGGTGTCGATTTGTTCTGTTTGTGGATGCTGACAAGAGACAATGGTCCAATCGAGATCTCAGCTAACACACGACGTCAATTGGATTGTGTGATGGATTGTTTGTGCGTGAAGATAAAATATAGAAGGAAGAGATAAATTCGTCGTCCAGAGTGTAGTTTGAATGGAGGGTCCGGTTCCTGACCTGACAGCAACCCACGGCCTCCGATATCCGGTCATGTGCCGGCAAACCTGGGGTGCAGTCATATGCTAGCCGTCGACTTACCATCCCCGTCTACCGGTGTGGCCACTCTGGTATCTTCCTAACAGGCGGTAGTGAACGCTAGGAAATGACGTGCTTTGCGTAAGTTTAAATTGGCGTTGCATCATTTGACAAAACCATCACGACTGCGCGGACAGCACAGACCTGTGTAACGTCAGTTGATCATACATTTACAACTATGGAGTATATACCGTTATCTTCAAATAGCCTAATGCTTGGAGTCCACCAAGTGCAACCAAGCTGTACATGCTATGAGTCACAATACACCACCCGTCATTTTTCTGCATCAAAAAATTAATGCCACAACCCCCCTCGTTCACACAGCTTGATGTCTGTGGTGCACTAGTTGTTACGTGTCGATTGACCTACCGTTCAGATAAGCCACACTCCTCGGCTACAATCAGGGAGTAAGTCGGTAACCTTCTTGACCGAAACCTCACGTGATATCTCGCTGGCCAGATTGCCAGGATGCTGACTAACATATAAGTCATACATAATCAACTTCACTTTATCAGTTAGGCAACCTCCATCTCAGATTTAACCCCGCCAATGGCTTTGGTGAATGGGAACATGTAAGGCTAGAGCGTTTGACTTTGCAGCTATTCAGTGTTGCTCTCCTGGAAAGCGGTACTAAAGCGGAAATGGCACGGGGCGACCCGGTCGCTGCCTGACTCGGCCACTCCTGAAGCATGTAATCCGGACTAGAAATCCTACATTGGCTAGACCGTCTCTAAGCAATTGTTTGCATCAATAATTCAAGCGAAATAGTCCTAGATGCATCGAGCCAGGGCTGTGCGGACATCCGACGAAACACCATGGCAAATCCTAATGTGAAACTCGGATCGCTTGCCGGTCCCGAGAGATTGGAATCATCCACGGGCAGACACAGGATCGATACTGCCCACACTTCCCGCTGTGACTAGAGCAGAACCTCCAGGCACGACTTAATCCGAAGTGTCTTTCTAGGCGCACGGAAACCCATGGTGACTATCCCGCTATCTTTAGCTTGCACAAGGGGCTAAAACTAGACTCGTGCTTCAAAAATGCCAACGTTGCACGATAGTAGTAGCAAGAAGAGGTATGCATCAAAAATTACACGAGTTTTCGTTCGGGGACAAGAACTCGCCACCGATGCTTGGTTATAAGAATGGGTGAATGACGAGCGGATATGCGGAAAAGCTTGCCATTTCAGCTTGCTTTTTATGCCCTTTCTATCAGAGCGGGAAAAAAAATCAAAAAATGTTTCATTAGACTTCATTTTCCAAAACTCTTTGTTCCCGAGGACGTAGATATCATCACCTCATTCTCTCATTTCATCGAGAAATTTCTTTGTCACCCCGTTAAGATGACAATCGAGGCTTCTGCAGCCACCGAGACAGCTCCGGCGCTTCCAGATTATATGACCAACCCCAATGCCGTGCTCGGGGATATTGACGCGTCATGGCGATACGGAAAGCCCCCGGACTACACGAATACACGTAGAGTGTTCGCTGAGAGTAAGAGTTGGCCCTGCACCCTAAACAACCTCGTCCTTGTGACATATACTGACTTCCTCAACCAGCTAAGAAACGTCACCATCCATCCGGTTCTCTCCCAGACCTCGTCCAAAACCTCGTGAAGAACTGGGAGATCGAGGCTTCCTTCAAGACATCGGTCTCCGACTGGCGAACTGTTGACCCCAACACATACACGTTTGCCATTAATGGCGGGCTACCACAATCGGCAGAGCATATGCTCAAGGTGGGCACATACAATGCCATCATCGCACCTAATGAATACTATAGCCCTCAACACTCGGATTTTGGTTCTAGCCATAAAACTTTCAAGCGAATGATGCCCACCTTTGCTTGGGAGGTGCTCGAGGTGTATAGCGAACCACCAATCGTTGCGTTTAGATGGAGACACTGGGGAACTATGAAAGAAGATTATGTTGGTTGGAATCAGTAAGTCGATTGTTATAGTTGAGCGAACTAGATTGTATGACTAATGCTGTCGAACACAGCAATGGAGAGAAAGTCACAGCCAAGGCACATAACGGGCCCATTGATATCGAGGGCGTTACTGTGGCACACTTGACAGACAAATTTCAGGTCACGAAGTTGGAGACCTGGTTTGACCCTCTCGAGATGTTCAGACAGATAGCTCCTGAAGGCGTCGTCAGGAAAGAAGTAGTCGCCGCTGCTGCTGCTGCAGGCTGTCCCGTCATGGCCCACCAATATGCTAGTGGTGACGGCGGCAAATCTATTCAAGGGCTGACCAAACACTTTGAGGGGCAATTAATTGGGCCGAAGTCTTCCGGCAGTGATCCCAAGCAGAATGTAAACAATGAATCGACACTAGCGGTTGCCAGAAAAGTAGACAAGGCGGTGATCGATGGACAGGCCCGGCTGGCAGAGAAGACCGCTTCCGAAGCAAATTCGGAAAATGGACAGATACCAAGGGCGAATGCCGAGTGAACTGCGGAGTCATAATTGAGCTTATGCCGCGGGTATGCACAATCTTGTAACGTCTTACTAGCGAGTTGTTTGACCAAGTACATCGTTCAACCCAACACAATCGGAATCCTGTGAGATGTTACTCTCAGGTGTAAGCAAGTCCACAACACTAACCAGATCATATTGTATAAAACAAATGTTTCTACGGCAAGCTAGCACCACGTCTAGGGTTCGTGTCTGAAATGCGGCCATGTGAACGTTTGTTTTGATATTTGAGACGACATCATATGGAGGGGTACCTCGCAGAATATATCCCTTCTCTAGTCAGAACCAAAAAAGTATACTTGATCTCCAAACTACAGGGCTATTATTGAGGCTGTTGACCCTTTGCTTGTGTTTGAGCCTAGCGGGCTAGTTCTAGTGCTAATGATCCCAAGATCCTGGTGCCAATCCTACATATTGTCCTGTATCATGCCATAGCAGCTCTGCTAAGACGTACCGGTCGCTATAAGTTTATGAGCGCCCCAATGCTAGCCCAACGCTAAGTGTAGTAACAGAGCTTCATTACTAAATAAATTCGTATTCATCCTCAGAAGGATTGAGGGGTTGGTGGGTACATGCAACAAAAACGTCATACTAATCATCATTACAAAATCTTGGAAGCGAATTAGAGCGTAAATTAAGTCTATGGATAGTGGCACCCGGTGCTGAGAGATAATTTATCTAAGTGTTTGGAGCCTGCTAAGTACCTTTAAAGTGTGCTGGGCATCAGGGTGGTTGATACGAAAACCGTATACTGGAAGCGAATCTAATCACACAAGTCCCTACCAAGTCATAGTTACAAACAAAGGGAACAACCAACCATTGAGCTACTAAAGGTCACGATGCAACTCATTCACTCAGCATTTTTGAGTGCTGGACTATCCTCTCTGGTCACCGCTATCGAATCTAACCAGGTCTTTCAAATCCCATACATTAATGCCCACGAACCGAGCGGAAGACCTGGCAACAGTCCTTACTGCACTATAGACTGTAAGTTAGTGATGGAACCTTCACTTTCATTCAAGATATTAGCCGGTAATTAGACAGACCACTAACCTGAATTCAGTCACAATTATTGATGCCGCGTCAAACGCAAGCACCTCATGTTCGGTAGAACATGGCTGCCTCTCGGATAGCGATGTGGCCTTGAAGCCCCTTCCAACCGAGCAGTCGCCAAAGGTCTGCAATGATACCAGCTTCAACTTCTACGTACCCGAATACCAGGACTTTGGAGATTACAAGGTGCACGTTGAGCACGGCACACATGAAGCAACAAGCAAGACCATCAATGGTGATAACTACCCGGACGGCTACCAACTCAACTGTGGAGGAAGTGGTGTCTGCAATGCTTGGTTCGCTAACTCAGTTAGCCCAATCGTGCTCGACTTCGAGAATTGAGTGCATTGTTAGTACCTAACTAGAGAAGCATGAAACCATCCATGGGCATGGATATATGACCGAGTAATGGGTAGAGTGCTTTGAGCTTAGAGTCATAGTTACTTTGATATGGTACGGCACCTTTATGATACATGTATATTGTATCAGGACAATATGATAGTTCCTCTAGGCTATCTTAGCATTTAACATGGTCATTGTCATAAATAGGGCGCGGCTACTTGGAAGGTATATATATAGACAATTTATCTCCCTCTTATCATGTCTTCGACATTTACTTTTCTCCAAGACCCTTTATTTTACCCCCCCCCCCCCCCCCCCCTAATAACGAAACAATATGTTTTTGAGTCAACAGGAGTCTTGTCGACCCGCTCTTAGGACCGTGGTATTTTCTGTACTTTCGTACTTGTGCTGCGGCATCAAGTACGAAGGCAAGGAGAGAGGCCCTGGCGTCTTTGTGCTCTCCAAGGACGCCAGTCGTGAGTTCCCACGGAACACCTCGACCCGCAATCCCTACAAGGGTTGTCGATCTGACAAGCATTCGGGCCATGAGTGCTCGTGGAAGAAGGTAGGCAGACGGGATGAGGGGTGGTGCCTGTGGGAATGGCGGCCTACTGGCGAGGTTTACAGGTTCCGAACGGACTCTGTAAACCAGCTGCCCTCGTACCCGCCCGGCTAGATGATCATTCTCTCCATACAGTAGTTTTCAGCTGGCTTTCCATGTCCTACATCCGCTTTGAGGGCACTGTCCCTTGATCTCCTCGCACATCGATGAGTTGCACGCCCTGTTAATCATGGGTAAGCCTCCCACCCTTACGTGTTCAGATACGATCACACACGGGAGGTTTTCTTTGTAAGAGCTTCTCGACGTGGAACCTTGCGTTGTTCGGATTATGTTTTTCCGCTAAAGTAGAAGACAAAGAAGCTAAATAAACAAATCTTTTGTTTAAAGCCAGCTTCTACATGTGATTCGTGGTTGATGATGCTGTATGGCTTTGTCTACGACTCGCGTGCTTCAATTATTTCTTTTGAGTATCGGTAGGAGGCAACAGTTTAAACTATTAGGTACGTCTAATGGCAGTGTAGAACATAAATACAAGTGTTTGTGCATGTATAGCTGATCTAATGTTGAAATTGGCATTTGTACTCGATCGACTGTTGTACGGATTTTCAAGCTGCTTGGCCAGTCTGGTAAGAACCCTTCAAGCGCCTTCGAAACGCGCCAGAGCTCCATGGTAGTCTGGGAAGATACGAGAATCATGGACTGTGGCACAATCTGTCCCATCGTATTAACGAACTCGCTGCCTAAGCATGTTACACAGTATTATGACCTACGATAGCCTTCGGGAGCTGGGTGACTGCACATTCACTAAAGACTTCAAAGACAGGGACATGGAAGGGGCTGCAGTATATTGTGCATCTTGGTGTCGTACGTAACGACTGAGCAGTCCCATGACCAAAGATTACGAAGGACATGCATCAGTCTATGGACGATGAGTCCAAGGGTGCCTTGTCATAATTGCAGGTGCTGGGCCTTAGTCCGGTTCGCAGATGCATGCACACGCCACGTGTAGAATTAGCGAGATTTTGAGCTTGGTGTTTTGCTCAACCACTTCCATAAGAGTCACACGGCCCCCTGGGTTTGGTTATATGTCGTACATGGCGGGATTGTCTCAGGTCCACGGCCACAAAACAACTCTCGGATAGTATGAAGTGCACGGGATGGATGGATTGTTCTGTTAATGACTTTCTGTTTGCGTCGTCGATGCTTACACGGCACCAAGATGAACTAAAACCAGACGGACGACAGGCGCTGTGATTGAGTGAGACTGCATTTTGACAGTAAAGAGCAATATTCATGGCAGGTTTGCCTATTTAAAACAGGTACACCGATTTCGAAGAGATTGGCCCTGACGGTAAAGATTAGCATTATATGTCTAGATAGCAGTGAGAAAAATAAAACAAAATGATCTCGACCTGACCTCCCGGGGGTGACGAATACCGAGCTTGAAAAAAGGTTAACCAAGTCGCTTTTCGGGGTCGATTAATATGAGCAAATCTGATAATGGTCAACTTGACCATTCTGCGACTCAATTAAGCATACGGTACATAGCATACCATAAGGTGGCACTCTCTCATCAAGTTGACGTTAAGGTTAGTAGGTTCTGCGGGGAGTTTTGGCGGGCGGTTTTAGCAAACGTCTTAAGGGAGAGTTAGTCCTACACCCCAGCAAATTTCCGCGCATACGCCCCTAGGACAGAATGATCGCACGAGTGCAACCAACATCACATTTAGCTACGTATTGATTGAGCGTCAGCCTAGCGAGTCCCAGTCCCAGTCCCGGTCCCAGATCCGATCGAAGCCACGCCCACGTCAAGTACAAGCACATCACATCACAGCAGAGCACAGCACCGCACAGCACTTTGCGCGCCAGTTACCCGCGCACGCGTTGACGGACACGGATAGCTTAACGCAGAGCTTGCCATACCTTAGCCTTCCCTGCTGTGCCCAACCTCTGGTCGCGTCACTCGCCAAGAGCGAGGTGAGCGAGACATAGACCTTCATTTGCCATGTACGCCGGCAACTATGGCTTCCCAAATGGCGCCCCACCTCCCCAGAACTCCCAAATGCCTGGCCAAGGTCAAGGCCAAGGACAAGGACACAGTCAAGGACACAGTCAAGGACATAGTCAAGGTCAAGGTCAGGGCCAAGCACACAGTCAAGGCCCAAATCACAACCAGCCGCCACAGCAGCAACACATGATGTACAATCACCAGCAGTTTCCCATGGGCGCTCAGGGCGGCGGGTTTCCAGGCGGGCCCAGTGTCAATATGATGCCTGGTGCTGGCCCTGCAGGTGGAATGATGCAGAATGCCGGCATGCCGCACATGGCTGCCGCCAATGGCCAAAGTAAGCTCGATGCGATTCGATACTTCCCCTAACACACCTCCGGCTCACCTGTTGGGACCGGGCCGCAATGTGCCTACCCTCCTTTGTCCAGATCCAGCTCTCAAGTAAGGCTGCCGATCAACCTGTGTCTTTACTCGGCGTAACGACAAGGAGACACGAACCAACAGCGCCGAGACGACCCAGACAAACACACCCTCCTCCCTCCAGTTTGCCTGTCGCATGGCCCCGTAACGTGTCTGACATATACGCTAATGTGTGACTGATCTGCAGTGCCCAACTACCAGACACCCTATTCAAACTCACCGTACGGAGCTGGTATACCAACATCAGTCGCGCCCCAGATGAACATGCCTCCCAACTACGCCATGGGCGGTGGCATGCCGATGGCAGGCTTCCAGATGCAGCCCGGTCAGATGACTCCACAGCAGCAGCAACAGCAACAACAGCAGCAACAACAACAGCAGCAGCAACAGCAGCAGCAGCAGCAGCAGCAGCAGCAGCAGCAACAGCAACAGCAACAACAACAACAACAACAACAACAGCAGCAGATGATGATGCAACGTATGCAGCCGCCGCACTCAAACCCCGGAGGCATGCCCTCGAACACGCCGCAGCGACAGTTCCCGGGCCAGAGTCAAACTCCAGGCCCAGGCTCAGGTCCTCAGAGCACGCCAACCATCAACAACTCTGTCCCCTCCCAGCAACCTCATTTCTCAACACCCCAGACGAACCACACTCCTGCGCAAAGTCAGACTCCAAACAACGCGCTTCACCAGCCCTCACAATCCCTCGGGAGCAATATCCAGACACCACAGACACCGACCTTTCCCGCCAATGTTCAAGGGAGTGGAACCAATGGCACCGCAAGCGCAACCCCTGTCAGTCCCGGCGGGGACTCGAGGGATAAAGACAGGATTGCAGTCATACTAGAGATTAATAGTGAGCTCTTATGGGAGGCGTCGCAGGTTCAGAACACCATGCTGGCGGTGAAGAACGAAAAGCTACCATTGAAAGAAGGCGCTCCACAAGACGCAGAGAAGACGGAGGAGGAGAGGATATTGGCACAGGACTACTCGCAGTGAGTGTTCCTTCTTTGCTATCAACAATCAAACTACTGTACTAACGCAGATCACAGATGTATGCGAAGACTACAAGGCAATCTTGCATATCTGGCACAGTTGGCCGACAAGAAGACATCTTCCCAAGCAGCAGCTCATCCGTCGTATATGAAGCCGCCACCTTTGAGTGCGAAAGTGAAGATACGGCCGACGCCACCACCGGAGGGCTCAGAGGGCAAGGCCTTGGAGCCGGCAAGCAGGGACGAGACCATCAGATATTTCAACGAACTATATGCGAAACTGCAAAACCTCTACCCAGGAGTCGATTATAACAAAGAACCTGCACTTCCGGGGCCGGGAGCAAGGCCAGGCCCCCAAGGACCAAATACGCAGAGGCCTATCAACCCGGCATCAAATCTGCCCAGCCCAGTACCCGGGAAACAACCAACGCCAAAGTTGGCAACATCTGGGCCACCGCAATTGGTAGCTGGTCAACCGACCGCGAACGGACCGCAAAGCTAGAAAAGCTCGTCCAAGTCATGCCAAATTATGGCCGGGACGATAATGTTTGATAGAGTGTCGGGTGGATACTCAACTCACGAGCTGGAAAGATTGCCGTCGTTTCTTATTGAGCAATCAAGATGCAGGATCGGAGGTGTTTGGGTAAAAGAACAAAAGTGTCAAAATACCATTTGGAGAAGGCGTTTAAGGAAGGGTGATGGCGAATGACGGTATATTTTGAATATCATATAGTATTCATGCGTATATATGTATATATATATATATATATATGTGTGTGTGTGTGTGTGTGTACGTATAAAAGGCGGAGACTGGTTGGATAGATCATCGCCTTGATGTAAATCCCCCCCAAAAAGAAAAATAAACTACTCTTTAGTTGGATCAATTATGATTTAGCCGTGAAAAGTTACGCTTGGCAGCCTGGCATTGTCAATAGTAATGGCAGTTTGACTAGGACTCTTGTTTGGTCCAAGATCCTGCACAGTGAAAGCAACAAGGCGGGACCAGGCAGAAACAGGACATAAGTTACGGAAAGGGCACGTTGGTTCATCCTAACCACATTTGTATTCCTGAAAAACTTAGAGCTCACAACTTAAATACATGTTCACGCCGCCGAGCTTGGGGAGTAACGGTGGATCATATTACGAAGCTTATTTTGACACACGCCGGTCGCGAATTGGACTTACATGGCGTTGGCTTCGTTATCTTGGCAGGACTTTCCCCCGAGACCTTCATCGTGACAATGAAGAACAGCCATCCTCTGACATCATGACTTATCGGGAAGCCAGGAGCTTAGGGCCACAAACGGCTCTCTCTCCGTACATACCTAGAACACCAGCCATCTTCCCCTTCCGCCCACGTGAGAGGGCTATTGTATGATTGCAATATGGATCTCTTCTTGAAGATGGTGCAAAGGATTTATTGTTATTTATATTCATCATTATTTTTATAAAATTAGTATCACAAAAAAATCGTGGTTGGCACACAAAGCGTGCAGTTGTGCTTGATATTGATTGAGGTTAGAATTAAGACCCACCAACCAATATCCCCCTCTCGGAGACACCAAAATTGAAGTTTGGTAATGAAAGCTCTGGAATTGGGTCCTTCATGCTTTCGAGGTGACGTGACTCACGGTCTTTTTCATTTTCTGATTGCGGTGAGCGTATTGCCAACAAGGAGTTGTAGAGATGGGACAGACGCAGACAGCCTGGCCTACGCCGGCTGATACGACCACGAAACCTGCAGACGCTCACGCTCGCAGAGAGGGTCGTCGTTGTTTGCCAGTGGGGATGGAAGGGTTCATGCACAAATGCACGAACGTTTTGTGCTCGTTGGACCCAGGACGTTCCAATCAGAGTTTACGCCATGCGTGCCGTTTGTGTGGTTGCATAAAGTGGGAATTGGAGCTTGACCTAATCAAGGCGGAAAGACCCCTGGCCTTGTCAATTTAGGTCATGGTGAAGGGGGAAGGACAGGGATCCGCGTCTGTTAGATGACCCACCCCGCTGGAGCGCGAGTTTGGTTGGCGAACCTCCTGGCCTAGAATCGTCGGTTTGTTTTGTACTGTACGCCGTTGCGACTGTTCGGTGATGAATACTGGCTGGAAATATCGATATCTTATATCGCTATTGAATTATCAAAATGTAGCGTGGTGTATCTGTGATTTGATAGGAGATTCGAAGGGCATTGCTGATGAAAAGCTAGAAAGGAGTAAGAGAGCCTTTTGTGGTTGATTTTGACCCGGTAGTCGATCCCCCGATTCCGTATTCCAGATTCCAGACTCCAGACTCCAGATGGCGGGCAGCTCTTTCAACCAAATCCCTCCTTTGACTTGAAGTAGGCCACTGCTGTACTGTACGGAGCACTTCCAACTCATCATTCCGCCCTCTACTGTATCTGCTGCTCTGGATCCGGGGTAATCAAATTGGAGCTAGACTAACTAGATAGTCGATCATTATTGCCACAAACTAGGCCAACCACTCACTCACTCCTTACCCTTACTTCCAACGATCCTCACTCGAGCACTTTGCCGGCGTCCTTCATTTCACTTCATTCCGTTCTAATCCAATCCGATTCAATCTAGGCGGCGGCTCTACACACGTTCGTTCCAGTATCCAGTTTCGTCGATTGGTACTCGAGGCTTCCACAGAGCTGTATGCGAAAAGAAAAAGAAGTGCATGCTGCATTATCCGTCGGGACTTGGTGCAGCTAGAGTTCGACTTCGATATCCACTCCCTACTCACGCGGGTTCGTTGTGTTTCAATTTATGTGAACTGGGTCCGCAAAAAGCCTTCGGTGAAACAAAGACAGAAGTCTCTTTCTATCAATTGACCTTTGCATGCCTTTTGCTGGTCCCAAGTCCCTTAGGCCCGAACGTCTCTGTCCGACTTCCCTGCAGCAAATCTACAGACTACAATAGCTCGAAGAGATTGTCTCAGACAAACCACCCCCCCGCATGACCGCCACCGAATCGCCCTTACGCGAGTAACGATATCACTCAAGTCGCGTCTGATATATTCCCCCCGGAAGTCTGTGCTCGCAGCACAGCATAGAACTAAACGTCAATTGCTACAAGCTGCCCAAACACGAACGACCCGACCGAATTCCGTCTAGGCTGTCAATTGTCTTGCCGAACGGCTGACGCAAGATCAGACCCGGATTGGTTTCCCACAGGAAGGGAATACCTGGGGCCGGAATCGGGACCTCGATACTAGCGCTCAACATTCTTGAGATTGGCAGATCCTCCATCATTCCAAACAGACTGCCCTGCCGCTCACCAGACTACCGTACGGTTGCCTAGACACCTGGACACCAGGGTCTGCGCTTCGAGATGGAGCCAGACCCAGAGTTGCAAGAGAGGAAAGGAACAGCATCTTCCACCACAATGGACCTTAAATTCCCCAACGAGAAGGATGGCCCGCCGCCCGCAGGCCACGACTCAATGGTGACCGTACGTCTCTCAGAACCACCGAGTCTGTCGGTAAGGACAGACTTGCCGCCGAACACGTTGCCTTCTAGGAGAAGCATCTTCGGGCCCGAGTACACACCCACGCCCACAAGTGCTACATCACCATTGAAAAAAGCGCACGAGTCGCGCCAGATGGCAGGGGACAAGAAGGAAGAGCAAGAGCAAGACGAAGACGAAGACGAAGACGAAGACGAAGACGAAGCCGAAGACAAAGATGAGGAGAAGAATGACAATCTCAGCCCAAAGACCGTTGGAGATGCCTCGAAAAATCTGCTAGACGAGCTTGAGGAGTCAACTGAAGAGGATAACACGCAAGCAGATGAGACGGGCGATTCCATGGACTCCATTGAAGAGGAATCGGAGGACGACGAGGTCAATTGGGAAAAGCTGCAGAAGAGTGAGGACGAACAAGCCCAGTGTGATGATAACGTAAGTCAAGCCTCTTATGTCTGCCAGCTCCAAACTGCATACGCGCCACGCAAGCAACTGCATCATCCAAACTACTGCGGTTGCTGACATAATACATGTGTAACAGTCGACCGCAATGCTTCTGGCTCGACTCGAGGAGGAGAACAGCAAGTTAGCCTCGAACCCAAAAGGTATCAAGGTGAAGGTGGTCGAGCAACCGGCAGCTCGTCATCCTGCAACTCGCCAGCCGAGACCGCCATCGATGGCGCAGCTACGTGATATGGTCAATGGGCCTACGCCTGTCGCCCTGCGGTACTCGGTGCTACCCCCGCCTCCAATGACTGAGTTGCAATTTTACATGGCCTTGGTCAGGGACTACCAACAGACAGCGGCTCGTCTGCCAACGCTGTTGTCCAAGAAGATTCGCAAAGGCATCCCACCGCCGCTACGAGGCGTTGTTTGGCAAAGCATGACAGGAGCACGCGATAATGTACTGCTGGAACAATTCGAGACACTCAGCGGCGAATCGAGTCCCTATGAGGGTATCATCGGCAAAGATCTGGGAAGGAGTTTCCCAGGCGTGGAGATGTTCCGTGAAGCAGACGGCGACGGACAACGGATGCTGGCTAGAGTGCTGAAGTGCTTCAGTCTCTATGATCAGAAGATTGGCTATTGCCAAGGACTTGCCTTTCTGGTTGGACCTCTGCTGATGCACATGCCGGATAACCTGGCCTTCTGCGTGTTGGTTCGGTAAGTGGACACAAGCATATGCATAAACCTCGCTCTACGCAATGGCTACGGACGCTAACATTTCATCCGGGATGACCAGGCTGATGGAGAACTATGACCTACGCGCATGTTTCCTACCGGATTTGTCTGGGCTGCACGTCCGAATTTATCAATTCCGCGAACTGCTGCGCCAGAACCAGCCCGGTTTATCGGCCCACTTGGAGGAGCTCCAGGTCGATCCGGCATACGTTTCACAATGGTTCCTCTCCTTTTTCGCCGTCACCTGCCCCCTGCCCATGCTGTTTCGCATCTACGATGTCATCTTTGCCGAAGGTGCGTCGGAAACAGTCATGCGGGTGGCCCTCTCGCTTATGCGCAAGAACGAGAGCCGCATTCTGGCATGTTCCGAGCTTGAAGATGTGATGCAGCTTCTCCTGTCCCGGGGTCTTTGGGATTGTTATCACTACAACGCCGATGAATTCGTCGACGATTTCGTTAGCCTTTCCAACGTGGTATCGCGCGAGAAGCTAGCACAGCTCGAGCTGAATTACAGGGAAGCGCAGATCCCTACCGCAAATGCAGCCCGCACCTCGGACGTAACCACAGCAGCCTCTCGCTTTTTGGGACGCCTGTGGACCACGACAAGTTCCAGTGGCTCTTCTACCAAATCCGCCTTTGGCGCACTATCTCCTGGGCTCATTGCTCCGTCGCGACCCTTGAGCATGCTCCGCCGCAGCACATCGAAGCAAAGCTTGGCGTCGACCCTCAATTCCATGGAGACCAGCTCTGCTAGTGTCTTGAGTTCTGCATCGACCGACGCCACTACCATATCGCGCCCTTCGTCTAATGCTGACGATGCATCAATCCGTGAATCAACACCTACCCTGTCCAAACAAATGGCCGTGGGCTCCGGCGTTGCTACCGAGAGCAAGGCTTTGCATAGTCAGATTGAAGACCTGCTCACTGCGCTCAGTGAGTTGCAGCGTAACCATGCATTGCTCGCAACTCAACTGCAGACGGAAAGGGAGGAAAGAGAAGAGGAGCGGACAGCAGTCAAGTCATTGATCCAGGGATTGAAGGAATCGCACGCGACTGAGGTGGAGGGTGATGATGATGATGCTATGCCGCAACTGTTATCCCAGCTCATCGAGGGCGTGGAAGAGCGTTTCGGCCAAGAGGATAAGCGCAACAGCCAAGGCCCCAACAATTCGGAGACGAAACAACAATTGCGAGATGAATTGGCACGAACGAAGGAGCATCTCATGGTTGAAGTGTCGCGGTCGCAAGACTTGAATCGCCAGATTGATGAGATCGGTTCAGAGGCCCAGACACTGAAGGACCAACTGCGAGACAGCCATGCACATGTTCGAAACCTACACCAGGACAAGCAGCGGCTCGAGAAGCAAGTACAGGTCATGCGCGTTCGGGCTTCTGCCGACAACCAGGCCGCCAACCAGGCCGCCACATCCGCAGCAGAGCCGTCTGGTTGGCTTACATCTGCTGCCAATCTGGCCATGGGTGCTTCTGCTCCGACGTCTGCCCCTGCTGGCGGACTCCGCGAGCTAAAGCTGGGGCGCAGCAAGTCGACACCAAACGGTACGAGGGAGCACTTTACCAAACGTAACTCGTCGCTGGTTAGAACCCAGACAGAGCCGATGAACCCCTCAACGCCTAATGAGCATGAGTCCTTGCTCATGGATCTCGTGCAGGCCAAGACTGCGGAGGCGGTCGCGAGACAGGAGGCAGATGAGCTTAAGCAGAAGCTCGAGAGTCTCAAGAAAGCATATGGCATAGCACCAGGCGAAACGCCAGGTGCGGTGAACGGTGCGGCTAACGGTACGACTGGCATGTTTGGAAGACTCGCGGGAGCCAGCCCGGATGCTGGCGCTAAGAGCGTGACATCGACGTCGCCACCGGCCATACAAAGAAGTGTCTCATCGGCATCGTCAGCGAACGGCGGATTCTGGGGCTGGGGGAGGAAGACTTGATGGATCTTTGGCGACTTCGATTCTCGTTTACTATGACCAATTTTTTTTTTTTTTTGCATGGCATTGCGACGTTTTTTTCTTTTCTTTTCCCCTTTTTGTTTCTGCCAATCCGACAAGGGCATTATACCAGCATTATTGAAAGACGTATTAGATTTGGCTTGGGATGAGTAATAAGCGAGACTGTTTTGGGTTTAAAACGAAGCGTTCTCAAAGGAACTGAAACAGCACACGACTCATCACTTCGAGGGAGGGAGATAGCACATGTTCAACGGTGGCCTCCCTGAAGCTTTCGAGACAACAAATAGAACAACCTACAAGAAGACGGCAATGTGCTGCTCTCGAGTCGTGTAGAGATGTTGGAACAGGAAAAACAAGGAATAGAATCAACATCAAGAAAATATCCTTCATAAACAACACACCTTTGATGAACCGCAAGCCAAGTTCCCAGCGTGTCCTCGAAGCCTTCGTTGCAGGCCCGGTCGACTTACATCAGACAGTTAGGGGTATTGAGACCTCGCTAATGTTAATAAAACCTGCCTAAAAATTGATCGGGGGTGGAAAAGAAAAGGAAGAAGAAGAGGGACATAAAAAATTAAATAAAAATATCATGACAACAAACGGAAGGCCCCAGTTTCGTCAGGCATAACCGAAATGGTTTGTATTTCCATATGCCTGCCATGCAGTGCCTGCCTAAGCAATCATTCCGTGCAAAATACCCATCTGCGGCCTCGGGCATCAAAACGAAAAGCCCCTGGCAACATGAGACGTTACCTCGTCGACAACGACATAGAGAAGCAGAGAGTAAAACCGTGCCCTGAACTCGGTCAGGCCTGTTATTCACTTTAGCGCAAGTCCATGGGTTGCTGATTGTCCAGGTGATCACCCCCTGATGCGGCATACATTTTCATAATACCTTCGCACATCTTTTCTACCACATGTTGTTCGAGCTATGTACTCTTATATATCATACTGTAGAAGACAGGTTTGACGGTTTACTAGGTAACAAAACATGAACGAACGTTTTGGAGATCAACCAATTTACGACGTAGATGTCAGGCTTCCTCATCAGAAATCGGGAAGTAAGACACATCACTGCATAAAGCTTGTTATCAGTCACCTGTGAAAGGACACGATAGGTTTAATGTATGAAATATCATAATGTTCTCGAACTAGTTACTGCTTCTTACACACCACAAGCCAGTTCGCAATCTTGATTCACCTAAGTAGGCATCAACTGCCGCTTCAATTGCCACATATGGCAGTTTGTTTCATTTTAACTGCAACGCCAAAGGAAACCCGGCTGTTTACTCCCAATTCATCCATTAGAAGCACCCAGAGTCGTTATCTCTTATGCCATTAGTCGTAAACGATGTCGTTCCTCTTGAACTAGAGGATCAAAAGGATGAGGAGTGCGTCATCCAGGAAAGGTTTGTGTACAGGGAGGGATCGGAGGAGGTTAGGAGATGATTTAATGTTTGTTGATCGTGTTCGTCTCAGTTTCTCCCGGCTTAGCCAATGAGAGCGGGGTTCTCATCAGCCCTGGTCGCGAGGTGGCGCTCCTCCTCTTCGAGGGGCTCCTGCTTGACGATGTCGCCTTGAGGGGCAACAGGGAAATCGCGAGGAGCGGCAGGGAAGTCGCTCTCGAGGGGCTGGGTGGTAGGAATCTGGGAGTGAGTCTGGGGCTGCTTGGAGACGGCCTCGGGAGAAGAGCTGCGGCCACGGAGCAACTCCTGAGCCTTCTGAGTGTAGTCACCCATGTACTGCTTGGTGACCTCAGTGGCCTGGGACGTGTGCTTGCTAGCGACAGTGCGCAGCTGCTCGGTCTGGTTGCTGACAATGTTGGAAGCTTGTCTCAGGTGGTGGTCAATGAGTTCCTGGTTGGAGGTGTAGATGAGGGGCGCAAAGAAGACAACAGTGGCGGCAATCAAAGACAGACCCCAGTATGGGACGATCTTGACAAGGTGGTAGGACAAGAAAGCGGCAACAGCGACCTGATTGGAGATATAAATTTAGCACGTGTCTCGCCTGTGTGCTGGGGTGGACAGATTACTTACGGCGGCAGATGCCCAGACGTTCTCGGCAAAGAAGATGCGCTGGGCCTCGATAACAAAGAAGTTGATGAGCTCGTTGACATCACCAACCAGGGCGTCGAGGGTGTCGCGGGGAATGGTGTAGTACTTGCGAGGTCGCAGCTGGGTGGCCAGACCATTGCTCAGGATGGTCTTGCCGGCGATCTCGGCGAGGACAGTAACACCGAGGGCCATCCAGGTGAGCTTGAAGCTGTATCGCAGGACATCGAGGTATCTAACCGCGAAGATGAACGAGACGACCGAGGCGTAAGCGATGCCCGAGGCACGGGGGTTGTTCCATGACAGCAACTCGGAGAAGAAGCTGTGGTAGTGTGTCAAAGGCTGGCCGGTTGCGGCGGGGTTGGAAGGGGTTTGTCTCGAGGCAGCGAGTGTTGAGAACTCGTCAGTGGTCTTTGCAGACTGGTCCTTGACATTCTGAGCGACGGGGCCTAGACGAGGGAGGAGGATCAGATTAGATGAGCCCGAGTGCGGAATAGATGTGGTTTTGGGGGAGGGGGGGGGGGGGGGGAGAGAGAAACAAAAGAGACTTTAAAAAATAGAAAAAAGAGAAAAGAAAAACAAAAGAGTGAAAGAAGCGCCGTTCGTTGTATGCTTACCGTTAGCGAGCTGAGTGTAGGCAGCCTGGGCATCTATGGTGAGTTTACTGTCAGCACGGGCATGTTTTTGTCGTCGGAGTGGTCGGGAATGCATTTCTGGAACTTACTGCCTTTCAGGGAGTCGACAGAGCTGCCGTTGGCAGCAGGAGCAGTGTCGGCCATTTGGAAATGCGGTTGGTATCTGCTCGGGCGAGTGCTTATGTTTGTGTTTAGATGATGGCGATGGCGCGGGTGCTGGTAGCGATGCGGAAGTGGGGGGAGGTGTGTAGAAGGTGGTTGTTGACCTGGTGTTAAGGAACAAGAATGAATTGTTCGGTTGACTGTTGCAACTTTGCAGGTTTGGTTTTGGTTTTGGTTTTGGGTTGGGTTGGATCGGATTGGTGATTTTGAGCGGAAAGGAGACTTTACTTGAGATGGACTGGGAGGTGAAAGTCGAATGACGCTGTGCCCTGTCACCAGAGCGGAATTGGGCTAGCTTGGGTCGGGAAGCTTCTGTGACGACACAGTAACAACATTTATTCAGTCGATTGACCAGCGCTGCGGAAGCCCGAAAGAAAAATAACAAATAATAATAATAATAATAATAAATAAAACCGCGCGCGCACTGAACCTCCGACAAGCACCCCTCCCCCAGAAGTGGCTACTGTGCTACTTGTACTGCACTGTACAGCACTGTATATTCCGTCGAACTGGGCGCCTTTTGCTGTCTGTACAAGCATGCTTGTTTCATCTCTGGCCAATGCCTGTCGCCTCTCCCATTGCTACTCTACAGTACGTCTCAAGTGTTGCCTGCGCTTTCGCTTTCCGTTTCTCTCCCTCTCTGTCTCTCTCCCTCTCCCTCTCCCTCTCCCTGTCCCTGTCCCTCTCCCTCTCGTTCCGACAAGTAGTATACTATCCTACTGTATTTCATCCTTTCTGCAGTAGAGTATCATGTAGAGTGTGCATGGTCAAACCCGTTTTCGGACCACCCATCACTGGTTCTCTGCAAACCCAGTCCATCGCTTCTCTCCCGGCTATTCCAATTTCTTATTGCGAGACGGCTAGTTCGATACCAAGTACATGACGTGCCACAACCTTCAGCTACTAGTAGCCACCACTGCTATGTAAGGTGGCCTCTTCAAGGTTGGTCAACAGGGAGCTCAACCTTGTCCCAGCCCACAGGCCGTTGTTAGCATCTTAGCCCGTGCGTGCTCTAACAGTCCCTAGCAGGCCTAGGTACATACCGTACCGAGTAGATAGGCAAGATAGGCAATGCACAAGTTTGCCCAATTTCGATCCCTCGTGCAAATTCCCAAGTAACCCCCGGCTGCGACCAACTACTAACCGCCATCTTTCAAACGATAGCACCGGCCTCCGTGTCTCTAAGCATCCCTGGCCGGTATGACATCTCACCGTCAAGTGTTTGCAATATATGTTATCTACCGTATCTCTCCTGTCCCGACACGCGACCCCATCAGTCATCGTGAGCTTGCTGCGTGATACCCCCACTCTTAGCGCGCATCTCCTGCCAGAGCTCGCAAGCTGCCAACATGACGCTAAGTCCCCGAGCAGCCGGTTCCTGTTTCCTGTCCTGCGCGCTGCAACAGACTCCAAGGAACAGCCATACGTTCACGGCGGAAAGGAGAAAGAAAAGAATCAATATATGCCGGGATCTTTAGACGGAGCTCATTCCTGCCAATCTGCACATCTCTCCCAGTTGTGGCCCTAGAAGAGGCGTCGCCGCGTCCAAGTTTTTTTTCTTTCTCTCGGTCTTCAGCCTGCCCACCCGCGTGTCGTCACCGTCATGCATGTGATTCTCCGCTAGAAACCCGGAGCACACGACCACCTCATCTGTCGTCTCTCTGATTGGCCGCACAGATTATAGTCGTCTTGATTGTCCGCCCAGAATCGCCTAAGCTAGTTCAATGGAGAAACAACGAAATCCAGACCTCGCCTTGCGTGACAAGGCCTCCTCCCTGTATGACGCAATACGCCTGAATCCGCACCTGAACCTGAACCTGAACCAGAACCTGGACCAGGACCAACAACCACGACAAGACATTTCCATGGCCCCGTCTAGACCAAGTCAGTATACTATACAACGCTCGCGCTAATATCTTCATCATTGTTATCCCGCCCCTCCAATCCCTAAGCAGTACATGGACACGCGAGGTGGCTCCCGTGCTGATGACTATTAATAAAGATCCAACAGCGGGGGCCAGTGTCGACTCGTCTCGCCCCATCGAGATCGTCCGTAAGGTGATGTGCGCAATGTCCTGCAACACAAAATAACCCGAACAGTAACGAGTATATCACACATACCGAAGATTTATCATGGGTTATCACGTACCCTAACTTCACCGTCTAGGAGTTCAATCATACCTATTTCGGACTTACTTATCATTATAGTGGCTATTATTTTGTCAGCGCTTCTCAAACGAACCACCCCACTTCGTGAACAACTGTTGACGGTCAATAAATAAATATCCACGTATTTCTACCAAGCGCGGTTCACCATGTTACGTACACCTCTATAGTAGGTAGGTATTTACAACGCGGAAAGAGAGGCGTTAATGAGTCTTCTCGCCTGAGCAATACCATCAAGCCCGTCACGCTCTCTCTGCGGAAGGCGTCTGCATAACCCGTGAGTGGGCAGTCTACCAAGTCCTCACTCACGCAACGGGGGCGTGGTGATCACATCATACTTGAGAGCATCTTCTTGAACCATGTAGTCTCGGAAATATTCCTTCGGATTGATGTCTCGTGATTCTTATTATAGTACATATTGCCGCCTTGAACACGGCATTCAGCCGTTTCTCAAACAGCTCGCGGGTCTCATATACACATTGATGAAGCGACAGAGCAAGGAAAGATAATTCAGAACCAACTTGGTATAGAGGAAAGAAAGCCACCACTCCGTAACAGCCATCCGTTTCGTCATGTTGCATTAAGAGCAAATTGTACCAATGTGTGGAAAAGGCCACCACCTCCAACGCTTACAAACTCCTCGGGTGACATGGTCACCGCAACCTGACCTAGATTTCAACACAGGTAGTGACGACTACTCAGAGTCGTCCATGGCAAAGTCATCACTCTCGTCTTGCCCACCCTCGGACTCGCCGTCAAGTTGTATCATGTCGTCCTCATCCTCGTCCTCATCATCGTCGATGATGTATACAGGCTTCTTCTTGGCGGCAGCAGCACGTCCCGGTCTGGTGCTACGAGCAGCAGGTCGAGGTTCTGGGGAGTCGGGCTCAGCCATCATCTCATCTTCGTCGTCATCCAGATCGAATACGTCCTTCTTGGGCTTAGCCTTCTCTGCGGTTTTCTTCTTGTATAGCTTCGCAGCAGGAGAGAGTTGAACAGCAGGCTTTGCGACGGCGGCTGCCTTCTTTTTGACAACTGGCACGTCCTCCTTGGGCTTGCTGTTCTTGGTACCAGCAGCACGACCGCGAGCCTTTTTCACGGCAGGTTTGGGCTCTTCCGAGGGAGAGGCAGATGACTTCGCCTTTGTCGCCGTAGTCTTGACAGCAGGCTTGGATACTGGCAAGTCATCATCGCTGAGGAAGGAGTCAATCTCATTGCGGGTGAACGGCGACTTGTGTGGGCTCGGCTTGGCGAGCATCTCGTAGTTGGTGTCGTCATGAGAATCCATGTCAAATGTCTTGTTAGGCTTTGATTTGACCTTCAGTGCTGTCGAGTTACCCTGGCTGCTGTCAGGCCGCGACATGGCAAACAGACTAACTCGGCCTGTCTTGTTCTCACCCGAGTCACCAGATGCACCAGGAATCCCTTTGACGAGAGCCCCTACGTCGCCGAGCATCTTGTCGTCGTCGTCGGAGCTCTGGAAGTCGTCGTCATCAATAATCCAAGCTTTGGGCTTGGCCGCTGCAGCACGCTTCCCTCGGGCAGCAGCGGGCACAACGACCTCATCGTCAGACTCCTCAGCAGCCACTGCGGGCTCCAGGGCAGCACTGGCAGCCTTCTTTGATGGTTTGCTCTTCAGTGCGGCAAAGTCATCATCCGAGAAAGCATCCGAATCTTCCTCAGTACCGTCCAAACTCTTTCGTCTTGAGAATTTCTCCGTGAAAGCTTGGTGGGTTTTCTGCGGTACAACCGTCGCCTTAGTTACCGTAGGTTTGGTGGCAGCTTTAGCAGCAGGCTTTGCCGCCGGCCGTGACTTGGCAGCAGGGGCATAGTCATCGTCACCCTTTGGCTTACGGCCTCGACCGGCGCCAATCTTTTTGGATACGCGGCGACCCATGCGACGGATGGAAGTCGTGATCTCGGCATCAAGACGCAACTGGCTCTCCCACTCAAGCTCAAACTCATCGAGGTCAGCACACCAGAGATCCTTTTCGCTCTTGGCTTCAAGCTCGTCGTGTTCAAACTTCTTCTTGTTCATTTGATCCATTAGTCTATCCAGGCGTTCTTGGGTGAACGACCAAATCGGCATCTACTCTTGTCAGTCGACGATATGGTAAATAATGGGACTAACTTACCGAGAGAAGGTAGTCATAATCACGTGCGCCTGCATCGCTTTCAGTCTCAATCTCCTCTTCGCCTTCAGCATCTACTTCATCCTCGTCCGCCTTGGTCTTCTTTGTATCGGAATTCTTCGGGAAAGCGTCATATTTGCAAGCACGCAACTCGTCAACGACAACTTGCTTCTTTTTGCGATTGACTACAAGCTTGTTGTCCATAATCTCCTTGATGAAACGAGCCTGATTCGACAGCTTCTTCAAGTCGCCGTTCAAGACACCGAGCCAATGAGCCTATACTTTGTTGGACCGTAATCTTTGAATAGGGTGGGGTCGGGGAAAAGCTTACCTTGCGTTCCTTGTACAACTTAAGACGGAAGACGTAGTACTCTTCCATGATCTCGTCGATCGTTTCGTACTTCCGAATCATGCCACGAGTGTCAAAGGCGACCAGGTTCGATGTCGGTACCTGCTTTTGCAGCTTAAACTTTTCGAGCAACAGTTCTTGCGCGTTTGGACCCTGCAAGGCTGCAGCTGTTTTGTCGTCGACCTGGATCTCGAAGTGTACATTTTTGTGATCGTTGAACTCCTTGTAATCCTTGATCCATGATGGGGTTTTTTCGGCCTTGAGTACGTCTTCAAGTTTGGCCTTGAAGTCATCAGTCCACATTCGGATCGGCAGCTCAGTGACTAGAACTTCGTTCTTCTTCTTCTCGTCTACAGAGGCGATGCCGTCAAACTGATAGCGGTATGGGCCTGCTGCTGATGGTGTCCCCTTCCAGCCTCGGAACCAGGGCGTCATGGGCTCGAACGGCTGCTCATCATTGTCATCTAGCCGACCCATGCGGCGTCTGAGATTCTTGACGATGTCCATTGGGTGGTGATTGGGGATGCTGGTGCTCCAACCAGTACCAATACCCTCACCACCATTGACAAGTAACATGGGGATGACAGGTGCATAAACTTTCGGCTCGATCCTCTTGCCGTCTTCGACGTTGTTCTCTAGATTAGGCTCGTCGAGGGGGGAAAAGATCTTTCGAGCAAAGGGAGATAGTCTCGTGTGGATGTAACGTGCGCTGGCGGCATCAGATCCACCTGCAAGCCGAGAACCGAAATTGCCACTAGGCTCAAGAATATTGACATTGTTGGATCCAACAAAGTTTTGAGCCAAAGCAACGATTGTCTGTTGTAAAGAGACTTCGCCGTGGTGATAAGCAGTTTGCTCGGAGACGTAACCAGCTAATTCAACAACCTTCTTGTCCTTGATCAGGTTTCGCTTCAAACAAGCAAAGAGAACCTTGCGCTGGCCGGGCTTGAGGCCGTCAATCATTGAAGGGATAGATCTCATGTTATCTGCCATACTGAACAGAATCAGCTCTCGGTTGACAAAATCGTCGTATGTGATGGCCTTGGACGAGTGGTCGAGGAAAGTGCCTGGTACAAAGTTGCCCAGCCACTCTTTTCGAGCGTCGGCCTTCTTCTTCGAGAAAGCCAGTTCGAACAACTCTGCTTCTTCGGCTTTCATGACATCAAACTCCTTCAGGTGATCGTCAAGATTTGTGAAGTAAACCTGGGCATCTTCGTTGGAACTTGTACCCAAACCCTTGTAGTATTTGTACTGCCATTTCTTGAGTTCAGCTTGATGCTGCCCCTTCCAGTTCTCGTACTGAGGTTGTGTAAAGAAAGAAATCAGTTTCTGGGGTTTCTTAGGGTTGGGGCCTTGCCAAATCTTTACGATAGGGGTGATAAACTCCCTGAAAAAATCAGGAATCTGAAGCAGGGAAGGGAATTGCACTTGTAAGAAGTTTATCAAGAGGCCCTTAATATGACTACCATCGTGGTCCTGATCAGCCATGATCATTAGATGACCATATCGAAGACTCTTGGTGTCTGTGTAGTGCGTCTTGTGCTTCAAGCCCAGGAATTGCTTGATGTTCTGAATCTCTTGGTTCTTCGTGATCTGATCGATTGAAGCATCACGAACGTTCAGCATCTTACCCCTGAGAGGAAAGACACCAATACGATCCGGATCAAGGATGGCACGGCCGGCGACAGCCAAACTCTTGGCAGAGTCACCTTCTGTCAAGATCAAAGTACACTCGTGGCCATACTTGGTTCCCGCCAAGTTGGCGTCAACAAGCTTTGCGTTATTGATTCTTGAACGCTTGTTTCCATCACTCTTTGCCATCATCTTGTCTGCTTTTCTCTCAGCGAAGTCGATGATGTTTGTGATTGCGTCCGTCTTGGCAATGTCTTTCATGAATTTCTCCGTCAACAGACATTTGCTACCGAATTGACTAGATTTGGTGGTCAATTGTTCCTTGGTCTGGGATGTGAAAGCTGGATTGGTGACCAGGCAGTTGACGAAGATGAAGATGTGATTCTTGACATGGTTGGCCTTCAGGGCATGGCCCTTCTTCTTCTTGTTCAAGTGGGCGAGAAGAGAGTTGCAGATCATGTCGGCAATGTAGTTGACATGAGTGCCGCCCTGCGTCGTTGCGATTGAATTAACAAATGATACTTGCTGAAAGGAGCCGTTTGAGACGGAGAATGCGATTTCCCATCTGGGATGACCCTTTGAGTCCTCGAGGATGACGCTGGCCTTTGGCTCCACGCCCTCTTCCGAACCGCGCTCTTCTGCAATGGACTTGGCGTACATCTCGCAGTACTTCTTGAAGTCCAACTTCAGGTGAGTGTCGTTCAGGAAGACCTTGACGCCACGGACTGTACCGGCCATATCGTAAACTCGACGATTGATGAGAGCCTCAAGATCGTCGTCAATGCCATCTGGCATGCCGAAGCGGTCGAAATCGGGCTTGAAGGTGACGCGGACAAAATCGGCGGACTTGTTGGAAGTGACCTTGGCTTTATCCATCTTGCCCATGTTGTCATGCCATGTTTGCTTGTATCTCTTGCCGTTCTTGGAGTCTTGACACTCCAGTGTGAACTCGGTACTGAAGACGTTGCAAAGCTTTGCACCGTAACCGTTCCGGCCACCCACCGTCTTCTTCTCGTCATCATCGAAATTAGAACCAGCGAGCAGATGTCCGAAAACCAGTTCCGGGATAAGGACGCCTTCCTTCTCGTGCATCTCCACCGGAATTCCTTTACCGTCGTTCTCGACGGTGATCTCGCCGGCCTCGCGATTGACCTTGACCTTCATCTGCTTCATGTTGGGGTCACGTTGTTTGTTGTCGGCCGCATTGACGAGAATTTCGTCGAAAATCTTGTAGAGACCGGGCACGAAGTTGACCTTGCGGAAAACCATGCGGTCCTGCTCCTTGTCAAAGACCCACATCTGCTGCTCTGTCCGTTCTACCGAGCCGATATATGTGTCAGGCCTCTTGATGATATGTTCGAGCTGGGTCAGCTTCTGGTAGGTCTCTGTGGCTGACTTCTTCTTGGCGGGTTTGGAGTCGGAAGGACCATCGAGCATCATGCTGTCATTTTCGATTTCTTCGAGAGGCTTGCCGGCGGCCTTCTTAGGGGCGGGTGGCTTGGTCTTCTTTTTCGGGGGAGTCTGGGAGAAATCTGAGTTGTCGGCATGCTCGTCGCCCTCATCGTCGCTAGCGGGCTTTGCGCGCTTCTTGGGCACTGCTTTGGTGGACTTCAAGGTGGTCTGGACCATCTTCTTGGGGGCAGGCTTTACTGCAGGTTTCTTGGTGGCAGGCTTCGCTTTCGGCTTTGGTTTCTGCGCGATGATCATATCAGTTCTGTTTTCCCATGGAGGAGATCATGGTAAGCGAGTGAAAGTTGGCCGTGAGCAGCCCAAGGCTGAGATGTTTGGGGAAAGCAACAGTTCCACATACGAGCTCGGGGGTGAAGCCATCAGAGTCGTTCTCGACGTCGTCAAAGACCGAATCGTCCATAATGTCGGAGTCCATTGCAGGGGTTGGCGCAGTTGCGCAGAGGCTGCCTGGTGACGCTGCAGGACACGAGGCTTGGTGGCTGAAGTTATTGCCGAGGTGAAGATTGAGCCTGACCCGCGTCTGTAACCAAGCAGACAACGGCTATTCATCAACGGTGGGGGCCTAGAAGAATACAAACCAAAAATGGTGAAAGACTACTCTCAAGAAAGGGAGGGGGAGAGAGAGATGGGGGTGGAAAAAGAGTGATGCTCCTAACGGTGGGCGCAAAGCGAATGTGCCAGATCAGATGGGGCGGGTTGTTGTGGTCGGCTTTCGAGTATCCAATGGGTTTGAGATGTCGTTGACCTTGACGACGCGAGGGACCAAAGTAAACAATGGACGCGTCTGATTGGGCCCCCTGAATCTCCAGATTATGCGGCTGTACTCGGTACGTCCATGGCAAAAAGGTGCACGCCACGGGTGCTGCAGTGCAAGTTTTGTCTGTGGCTGCTGCTGCTGCTGCTCTGCTCCTCGCTAACTCCGTAAGGTTAGTGTTCCGCGGGGCAATTGTGGCGCGTAGAGTACTATAGACGATAGAATAGGTACATACCTGCATACTGCCCCTTGAGCTGCCGGGTTCCCTGCGCTCACTGGCTGCTGTTCTGGTAACGAGTGCACCGAGCGCCAAAGCAGAGCTGTGCATCGGCATGGTTGTTTACGCTTCCAAAGACTCACCTGATAACTTCCCGACAGTTCCAGCCATAGTGATAAACGATTCGTTCTGTCGAGTGTCTGCACGAAACATGGCAGCGACTGATCCCAACGTCCCATGATGTTGAGGCCATCCAGAGATCACCAGTCTACGAGCAAGATATGGGCTCGAATGACCATGATATCTGGGGGAGAATTCTAGCCTGGCTGTCATCAGCGGAAAGACCGCAAGGTCAAGGTCGACGGCAGGCCAAACCCTAGCTCAGAAGCTTAGCGATCCTTATAGCCCGCGCCTTCTCGTCCTACACCACCACATGGCCATCTGTGGTCAATGCAAAAAAACTTATTGGTCTTATTTCTCCGTTCTCGTGCGTGTGCTACCCATCCACTCATGCTCCCGGACTCTGCAGAGGATAAGGAAATTTCCCGAAGTCGACTGTTCACACCCGGCCTCGTCAGGCGTTGCACCACACGCCAAGACTCAACACTCTATCCCTTCCTGTCATCCTATGCTGTGCCACAGCAAGCCTACTGTACAATCACCTGAAACTTGACCACTAATGTACTTGGCCAAGTCCCCATGAGCCTCAGGCTAAACCTAACATGGGAATTCGACTGGCAAGGCTACGGGGAGGAGCCGCCAGGTTCCATGATCCTCAATTGTGACTTTCCTGCTTTCCATGCAATGGAAGGCCGGGAAATTGTTCCCTTCTCCGTTCGGCCTGCATCCCTAGGAACTGGTGGGGTTCTGCGTTTCCACAGGCTTCCAGCTCTTCGTCAGGTTTGGTACAAACAATTACACGGAGAATAAGCTTGATCTCCCAAGTCACTCACGGCCTGATCAGCATACTCCCATGGCTCATCTTGTCCTTGCTTGGTTTTGTCCAATGTCAGGGCACCACACTTGCCATGTTCGTTTGCAGGCATATTTTACCTGCGCTATGATTTGCTCTGTCATTACGAGAGCTCTGTCCTCCTACGGACTCTTGCATTTCTAGTGCGGCTGGAACAGCCTGTGGTTGACAAGAAGCTTCAGGAGGCCAAGGACTCGAGGCCACTGGCGATTTCCCCCTCTCCGTCGGTTGGAACATGTGTGCCGTTAAGAGTGCGCCGTCCTCGGCCTTTCCCGGGCGCTTGATGCCAGGCTCGGGCCATTCCGAATAAAATAGGCTTAAAGAAATTCACGAGGCTGCTAGGCACGACCAGTATTCGGTACCTTTGCAAGCCTTCTCGGTATCTATTGTTACCCGTCAAGACTATCGAATGAGACTTTGTTCTTGCCGAACTCGGTATCTGAAGCCATGCCGACACACTTCTGCAACAGGTCATATGGTATTGATCCAGAAAGACCAGTTGTACATATGCTCGCTGAGTGTCAAACGGCCACATCACTCCATATTGTATTTGTTGAACACGGGTACACCTCCGCTTCCTGTGTTCCATCCGGACATTTTCTGTGCTTGTACGAAGTCAAGCTCGTGGAGAAAACATGAACTACGAATGCAACAGCTACAGTTTACGCACTAGCTCCAGCTAAATACTGAGAGCGGGCACCTTGACTCTATTCACTGCTCAGTAGGGTATCATGGGCAGCTTTCAGAGTAACAACGAGGGTGCCATCCCCAGTGCTCGGTTATGCACATCAACTCTCCGCTGGTGCGGTCGCCTTCTCGGCAGTCAGATCAAAATAGCTGCCCTTTGGTTCTCTTTGGCACTGCGCACTGAGTCAAAGAAACTTCGTTGCGAGAAAATGATCTGTTGCTTGTCCCCTCCCCAAGATGGGAGTCATGGATACATATGTGTCGAGTCGAGCAATCTGGAACCAGGATCTCATCAACTCAGGACAGCGATTTCTTTGTTCTACCTTCCCTCAAAACCCGCCTAGCCTGGTAACTGGTCCGGCAACATATGCAGCCATCCGACAAGTTGCTTTCTGTCAAAACCTCGCTATGCATGTTCAAATAAGCTTGGTCCCTGTTTGGGCTCTTGGCTGCCCAACATTTGATGTGTCAAACTCATTTGCCGTCTCTGGCGATAGATCTGCTGCGTCATGCAGTCGCCTGTGTTCGCCCCTTTCGGGCCAGTACCTAGACTGGTGGAATGTACTGAAACTTGCTTAACCTCGAAGTTGTTCTGTAGTTTAAAGCTTGGTCTCATACGCATATATGAGTCTCAATGTATGTGCTAACTGCTGTGAATGGACTTGATGGATGGTAGCATTTGGCATCTGACGGTCATTGGTTTCCGAAACGTCAAGTTTGTTCTGGGGGACATTGCATTGGCTAGGGTCACCCTTGAGCTTAATAATTAGCTCGGCTACTCTGTCGTTGTATGGGATAGGTAATTCATGAACGTGCCGGCATTGCGTTGCCTTGCTCCCTCCAGTCAACTGTCACTTGGTGGCTTTGAACTCGATCTTCCAAAGAGCGGTGGGCTTACACAAACGGACTGCTCTACTCTCACAGGTCGATTCCAAGAAGCATTCGACAAAGAAGCCGCACTGAATAAAGCTCATGACAAGGCTATATCGGTCACCGCCAAGCACTTCGCATCCAGCTGCATGACTGATATCTGCAAGAAAGAAGCAATCTCGGGGCCCATGTGCAAGTGCTAGCTCTTCAAGTACGAGGGCGGTTTAGATATCACGCTTGTTTGTTTTATTCCAAAAAAAAAAAAAAAAACCAACTTGGTGCTTCTTCCAGATCTTCGGACTCTGCCACTGCAAGAGCTGTCTGACTTATTGCACTTCCTCCTGGAGGACTCTCCGCAACCCACCTTGAGAGATTTCACACTTGCAGCGGCTTTACATATCTCTCAAGACACCTCTCCCGACGACCGTTCACCGCCATGATTTCTGTGGCATCGCTTCTTAATCCGGCGCCTTCGGGGCCTTCAGTGCATGGATTTCCACCAAGCCCAGCACCTTCGGCATCGCCAACATCTTCTTTGGCTGATGAGTCTTCGTTCTACGACCGTTCCATGATTCCAAAGAATAAAATGCCCAAGGATGCTGCCATCTTCACTAAAGGAAAAGCTAAAGGAGTTGTCAACTTCCATCCATTCGAAATACTTGATGAGTTTTCCATAGGGGAGCTTCGGAAGTACCAAGTCTTTCCTGTCGGGAAGATACAGGAATATTGCCGCCATATTCCATACAATAGTGGCAAGAAGAATTTTTTTGAAAAAACTGGCCGGGAAAGCTTTGAAGGTAAATAAGATTGTCTCGGAGTTCTAGGTTTGATTACTCAGCGACTAATTCAACCACAGTCTTCCAATACGTCTTCAAAGTTCCCGGCGACGACATTGAGTATGCTGTCATGTGGGACTACAATGTTGGTCTTGTCCGCATGACTCCTTTCTTTAAATGCTGCAAGTATTCCAAGGTCAGTCCAGTAAAGTCTAGAGATTGGTAGTTGTTGAGACTGACACAGGGAGACAACACCGGCAAAAATGTTAAATCTCAACCCCGGCCTCAAAGAGATAACCCACAGCATTACTGGAGGCTCCATCATGGCACAAGGTAAGCTGCAATCTACGCGAGACCCCAGTCTTACAATGACAGTTGCTGACGTTGTTCGAGGTTATTGGATGCCATATGAATGTGCAAAGGCCGTTTGCGCCACATTTTGTCACCATATTGCTGGAGCCCTGATTCCTATCTTCGGTCCAGACTTCCCCTCACAATGTATATCACTTCAAGACCCTAAATATCGGCAAATGTCAATCAGTCCGTCTATCATTATCCAGTCAACGAGGGAAGCAGAACATTTTCGCAGATTTTACACGAACATGGTCACCTCCACCAGTAGCGCCAGCCCTCAACATGACCGCAAGTTTTTCAAAGACCTCTTCGTCGACAGTAGACACAATCATCGGTATCGGATGCGCAGGCCTTTCATTAGTTGCAATAACCCCTGCGGCACTGACACCGATGGCGAGAGGTCCCCAGCCGCCGACTGCAGCATATCGGATCGACTTCATTACGCCTCAATACCTTCCATCGTGCCTAATCGAATCACTAACGGCTGGACGCCGGCCAACATGTCAGCCCAGCACTACGACGCTTCTGCACCTAATACATGGTTGAGCGCCGTTCCTCAATTCGTCGGTAACCAGTCGTACCATATGGATCATGGCCACCAAGCTCATTCCCGTGCTCAGTCTTATGGTAACCCACCACCGCAAAATTACAATCCTCATCACCATCATGATCACCATGGTCACCGGTCCCATCATCCGAATGCATACACTCCAACGAGCCATCGCCATTCGCGGCAACCCAAGCGACCTGCCGATCATATCGAAACAGATTACGGTCGCGACGGCGGCGGCAGCAGTCGGTACGCAACTGGACCAAGCACTGCTGCTACGAGTCCTTTCGGGAAGAAAACTCAAGAGTCAAGCTCTGGGCCAGAACAGAATGCTGCGTTCTTACTAATGAACCTGAGTGTGCGAGATACAAAGTCAGGGAGTACTCGCCAAGCTGGCGGCATCGCATCTGAGACGACGTCACCGGTCGATGCGACATTTCCAAGGGTCAAGCGGTCAAGGGCTAACTCGATGTAGTATTTTGGGCGCTGAACTTCGATTGGGGGCATGGGGAGGTCCCATCGCGGGCGCATTGCGGGTGGATTGACTCTGGTTTTGCATCTTGGCCGTATTGAGTCCGAGTTACGATTTGTGCCATCATTGCATAGTGGTTCGTTCGTCGACAATGGGAGGTCAAGTGAACACATGCCTAGCTGGATTGTAGCATTACTGTTTCTTGTATCTTAAGTAGGACTCCTGTCTACCAATAAGATCAAAATACACTCACACTCTTCACGTTCGTTTGACATTCCTTCGTCGCGTGTGGCGTATACTCGAACTTTTTTTGTGGTTTTACTCTGCCAGAGACTGACCTATTCTAGCTGCCCCTTTCTACAGCCTTCTTCGACTTGTACTCCTGAACCCACGCCTCGGCTTTCGCTTTCGGCAGCACAAATATTTTCACCACTTCGTCAACTACCTCGACCTTGTCCGATGACAGGACCTTGAGCAAAGGAGCCTTCTTACCGACCTTGATCAGACCTCCGCTCAAGGTGTCCATATAGCATTCCACACCAGCCAAGGTGTACTGGCCCTTTTGGTCCCAAGGTAGCGGAAATACATAAGAAAGATGATCGGCTAGTGTCTCCTGCTCGTTGAATGCCTTGATGAAGTCCGTCTCTAAATCTGCCGGATACAGCAGCACCGTCGGGAAAGCCAAGGAGCTCGTCGGGTCATCCTCATCGGGAACCAAGCGCATCTTCGCATCTTCCATTTCCGGCGGTTGTGCTGTAGTTCGCGTCTTGATGCCGCGTGCCTTGACCGCTGCCCGAAGGAGCATTTCACGCCTCTTCTCTTTGGCCAGACGGTCCGCCTCCCTCTTCTTTCGCGTTGTGACCTCCTCGGTTTTTTTTACAATCTCCCTTGCGACCGCCTGCAGGGATTTGTTTGAACCGTCTAGTTCCAAGCCTCTCGCGCAAGCATCGTCCGCCTCGACGATCTTGTCCACTGCCAGAAGCGCCTTTGCCGACCGGTACAGCGCCTTCACGTTCCTCGGGTTGATCTTCAGCGCCGCCGCGCCATCAAGCCAACAGCTGCGATAGTTCTTGACCTCGAGATGGCAGGCTGCCCGGTTGACATACAGACTCTCAAGCACCGCTCTCTGCCTCTCGACCTCCTCCTCAGGGTCCTGTTCGACTTTCGTCACGTCGATCTTCCGGCCCTGAAGATCATAGCCCCGGCGCTTCCGCTCCTCCGCAGCGATCACCAGAATGCCCTTGCCGTAGAACTCCTTGGCATCGTTCCACTTCTTCTGCTGGAAGCAATGGTTGCCCTGCTCCTTGAACTCGGACGCGACCTCGAGCGGCGTGCCCTCGTACGCCAGTGCTCTGAGCGCCTCCGTGTCGTCGTTCTCCTCAAGCTCCGTCATAAACAGGGGAGACTTTTTGAGCTCTGCGGCGATCTCGTCGATGCTCTTGTTCTCAGTCCATGCTCGCGCGGGGCTGAGGGCTGGGCCCGCAGGCCCCGGGCCAGCTTCTGCGAGACCTCTGAGCTTGGTGAGGATGGGGTTTTCTGGGAGACTATCTACCACATTCTTGTTGGGTAGAATGTTCTTGCTCTCTTGAGGCTGTGGTGGCGGCGATGTGGACGAAGAGTCTTGTGAGACCTTTAGCTTCTCAGCCACGTCGTCGGTGATTTCTTCCAAATGGACCATCTCGGCGAAATGTGCTCGGCCTGTTGGGAGCGAGGATCAGTAATATGGTATCCCACGTAGCTCGTCAGTTTTTGCACTTCACAATCAGTAATGCAAAAGTATGAACCTTGTTGCGGTTGCTTATTTGGTGGGCTTGCAGTTTGAAGGTGCTTGCATGAGTGGCCCACCTTTTCATAAATTTTGCACCATGCGGGGCAAAGACGCCTATAGAATGTGAATGACAAGGCAAATGTGTAGGTAGGTAAAGAGGCATCTATTAACGCTTTCGGCCAAGACGTGTTTTGGGAGCAAAACTCTCTTCAGGGCTTATAATACATCCTCATCGAGTAATAATTGTCCTCGATTGATCCCGTGCGTGGAGGCTTCACATATCCAGTCGATATACTACATTACGCACCTATCCTGCCTGCCATGAGACGCCAAGGAAATGTCGGCGTGATTTTGTATTGAATTTACAAGAATTCCGGCAAGCCGTAAAATGAAATAGATATCGTAGCTACCAGAAAAAGAAAGAAAAAAGCTTTTTTTAATAAAAGAAAAAGGGTTGAAATATAAGCAGGGTTCACTTTGGGATTTTTGAATACATAATCTATGGACATGCTCGTCGGTGCTAATGGAATTACTTGATCTTATTGTTGTTATCAAGACAATCATAAATCCCAATAGGTTTCCAATTCGGTACATATGGTCTTATGGCGAAACACTATAATTTATATGCTTTCCAGTTGACGTGACAGCTCATTGCTACTAATCCTTACATCCAGGTTCGTAGCCAACATTGACGCAGCAATTGGGTCACTCTCAAGAAGGCCGACACGCAACTGCTCTACTTTTTCAAGCCATTCCACCATTTCCTTGCGCGCTTCAGAACCCTGCTCGAGAGCATGGGGCAAAATCCATTCTCCAGCAGGCAGAGGTATGAAGCCAAATGCGTAGAGCATAGTGATTCCGAGGCCCCAGATGTCCCCCTTTGCATTCTTCTTCCGGCTTAGAAATTCGGGAGGCGCATAGTTGGGAGTCCCTGAGGGATTGAAGTAATCCTCTGGCATATCGATAAGCGCTGCACCGAGATCTATCAGTACGCAACGTTGATGGTCGCTTGACCACATGATATTATCCGGCTTGACATCATCATGGATGATGGATTGTGAATGTAAGTATGTTAGAGCTCCGGCGATCTGCTTCCATATAGTCGTGCACTCTAAAAACGATAAGGTAGAGGTCATATCAGTGTTAACGAATTTGTCGAGACTCTGTCCAGATTCGAGCCGAAGGATGATGGTGAGTCGTTGCGAGTCAAAATCAAGGATCTTGGCAATGCTGTCCTGGAACACGGCGGTTAGTCACAGGTAAGTAAAAGAGGCGGCAATATTGGATGCAACATACATGTGTATTCGCAGCCTTTAAGGCATCGACCTCATTCTGGAAACGACTTGGGGTTCGTGGGTCATCTTGATGTCGACATCGTTTCAACACGACCTTGCGCCCTTGCCATTGGCAAATTTCAAGTATAGAGTGATATGTTTCGTCGAGCAGATTTGACTTCACTTGATCCGAGGTTGTCATCTTCTTTAAGCACTGAATATGTCTACCAAACACTGCTACTTTTCAAAACTGACTGGGAGTTGCTGAGTGGTTCAAGAGAAGCCGGGAAAAGCGCTTTCGCGAATACTTATGGAATTGTCCTCTAAGCAGATCTGGCCGAGTAGTATGACATACAGTTCTAGCAGGAATTTACAAATAGTTCAGGCGTGATTATAACACTGTTGTTGGCACGACTTTACCTGCCTAGTCTGGATTGGGCCCACCAGAATTGACTCATACCGAGAGGGACAATAACTTACTGTTCACAAACAACGCAACGTATATATCCCATGATTCTGGCTTATGGACTCTCGATATACTCTATAGTAGACAATTCAATCTTGTCTATAGCATTTGATCCATAGAAAATAAATAGAAGCAGGTCTACCCAAACTCCTATTACCAGAGCCATATGGCGATGCTGATAAGCGTCCTTGAGCGGGGTAAGTACAAATACATATCATAGCACATAGGAAAATTACTAAATACATCCATCTCAATAATTGATAAAGTAAAGCCAAAATAAACACTATAGCATTTGGTATGAGACGCGGAAGGCGAAGCAGTCAAGAGTACGACTATTTGCGGGTATGAACATGGTCGTAAACGAGTGATTCATCAATTGAAGTTTTCCCTCTCCGCTCTCCGGCCTCGGGTTCCTGCCAATTGTGGGGCCCTACAACGGTACGCTCAACTTGGTCCTCCAGTCTGCTAGGATTAATTACACCTGAAAGGTATAGTGAGTCAGGAGCGCCTATATACAAATACTCAGAGGTGACAGGTCTGTTATTGTGTGTTCTCTCAATCATTGAAAAAAACACCCTACTTTTGAACGACTTAGTAAACATGGCCCCTTTCAACCTCGAGACCTGCGCCAGGCCCAACATCTTGCAGCTTGAGCCGTACCGGTGCGCCAGAGAGTACGTCGCCCCGGTTGCAAAAATTCCAGGTTGACACTAACAAAAAAAAACCCCCAGCGACTACAAAGATGATGGCACGAACATTCTCCTAGACGCCAACGAGAATGCCTACGGGCCATCTTTGCCCGCATCGGCCGCACAGGCAATCTCATCTACCTCTGGGGGCCCCCAGATAGATCTCCTGGGTTTGCACCGGTACCCGGACCCCCACCAGCACGACTTGAAGCAGCTGTTCTGCAACCTCCGCAACACTCACCACCACACGCCCAAGTCCATCGGCCCTGAGCACATGTTCGTCGGCGTCGGCAGCGATGAGGCCATCGACGCCCTCCTGAGATGTTTTTGCGCGCCGGGCCGGGACCGCATCCTCGTGTGCCCGCCCACGTACGGTATGTATTCCGTCTCGGCGCACGTGAACGACGTTGGGCTCGTAAAGGTGCCCCTGCTCCCGGCGCCAGGGTTTCAGCTGGACGTAGAGGCGATCTCCCAAGCTTTGAGCACCGAGAAGGACATCAAGCTGGCGTACTTCTGTTCGCCAGGCAACCCGACAGGCTCGGTGCTGGCAAAGGAAGACATCAAGAGGATCCTGGAGCACACCAGCTGGAACGGCATTGTGGTCGTCGACGAGGCCTACATCGATTTCTCGCCCGATGGTGCGTCGCTCGCCGAGTGGGTAGCTGAATGGCCCAACCTTGTCGTCATGCAGACGCTATCCAAGGCCTTTGGCATGGCCGGCATCAGATTAGGTGCCGCCTTTACGAGCCCGCCAATCGCCAGGCTGCTGAACAGTTTAAAGGCTCCGTATAATATCTCCAGCCCTACGAGCGTGCTGGCTACGTATGCTGTGTCGGAGCAGGGTTTGGCTGCCATGCAGAATAACCGCGACAAGATCGTCAAGCAGCGCAACAGACTCATCGAAGAGCTACCAAAGATCAAGGGGGTCGGACGGTTGAGAGGCGGCACAGAGAGCAACTTCTTGCTTTACGAGGTGCTCAACCCCAAGGGTGAGCCGGACAATACTGTGGCCCTGGCCGTGTACGAGAGCCTTGCCGAGCAAAAAGGCGTTGTTGTACGGTTCCGAGGCAAGGAGCACGGCTGCCTAGGCTGTCTCAGAATTACTGTCGGGACAGAGGAGGAAGTTACTAGATTTCTAGCGGCACTTGAGAAGACGCTTGCTGAAGTCTACGGCGAACAAAAGATTCACGGAGCCGACGCAGTTGTGCCGGCTGATGAGGCCAAGCGCGAAAGCGAAGCAAGCGGCGTGGTCGCATAAATAAAAGCGGGAACAGAAGTTAGTAGGTGTATATAGATGTCGCAGAAAAAGGTTGAGCAGCCTCTAGAATTCCTACAAAACTCATTTTCTAGATCCCAACGCCTCATTTACACTAGAAATTACGGTTTACTCGACGATTTATTTGTGTCGTATGGACATCTTAGTGTAAAAAAGAAACAAGTTGCAGGCCAAGGATAACAGAATCTAGGTGGTGTCTCTGAACAGCTGAGTTTATTTCTTTTTCCAGCTCCCCCTACGCAATAATATACTTCAGAACGCCGTGTCCATGGTTTATACAATCCCTCTTTTACCTCATGTTTACCCTCGGCGCTATCAGCCCTAGATGATGTCTAACAAAAGGATGACGATGGACAGGCTGAGAGCCAAAGACGACAAAACGAACCTTCCAGCGCCGTTTGTTCGTTTGACAGTTGGCGCAGTTGACGGGCTTGAGACTGTCGTTGCGTCGCCCTTGACGTGCTGGATTTCTCCTGCCTTGAACGGTGGCGTCGCTTCCTGGACCAAGAGGCCTTGAATAGTCTCAAGTGCACATAGTTGCTGTCCGAGACCAGAGTTGCCGTCGTAGCCTCCAACGTACCACTTGAAACCACAGGTTGTTCCGTCATCGCCACCAGAGCAGGCTGATCCAGCTGCCTTTGCGTTTATGTGTAGCTTAGCCTGAATAGCAGGAAGTGTTGACGGAACCATCTGCGTTGTTGCCCATAAAAACCTTGACATATATGCCTTGAAGCTTAGCATATCTGTTTTGCAGATGTCGTACTCTTCACAGGCATGCTCGTACATTATGTCGGTTGCGTTGTCGTACGGGTTGAAATAAGCTTCGGTCCCATTAAGAAGCCGGTTGACTCGGTCGCCCCATGTCTGACTGCCATCTGTGTAGTTATAGAGAACTGCGGCCCCGTACAAGTAGATACCTTGCGAGTAGGAAAAGGAAACATTGTTGGTTTTTTCACAGTTGTCCGAGATATCGGCGCCGTCCAACACATCGAGAGCCCCATTGCCATAATAGTCTTTGACGAACCCGACAGTCTCCGACCAATCCCAAACCTTTTGTGCCCACTCCAAGTACGTATCATTTCCCGTGGCACGGGCGAGTCTGGCAGACAGTTGAAAGAGACCACCGTTGCTGACCGAGTTCTTGTAGTGCATGCCGTTGGCGTTGCTAGCAAATATCTGCCAGAAGAGTCCGCCGCCACAGTATTGGGTATCCCATCGCACGATCATAGTATTCCAGGCGTTGACTGCGATGTCCAACCATGAGGGAAGACTATCGTCCGGCTGAGGGAAGTTGCGCTCAGCGGCTTCGAGAATCGTGAAAGACCAGAATGCTTGATCGTCGTTGCCTTCATCACCTTCATGTTTGGGCACCATCAGGTCGTAGTTTGGGCCCACCTGAGAAGTTATTGCTTGTGTAATTACATCGTTATAGGTGGCGTCCCCAGTATAATGATAATAATCTAGCATAGCTCCCCAAGCCGCACCTGACTCCCACCAGTAAACCGGCGCAGGCCATATTGCAAGTGTCTGGGAGCTGTTAGTGTGAGCGCATCCATATGAGAAACCCAAATTTGCCATACGTCTTCGGTATTCGTAATGTTGCCGGTGTAAAGTGTCATTGTTCCATGGGCAATAGTACTCGCTACATTTCGGATCGACGCTGTAAATCATCAGTGAGGCACCCATCAACGGGATCGTACAACAAACTTGAATCAGTAATGTCAAGATCCTTGGGAGCGGCAAATGCCCCTGCCAGTGTGGCGGCGGTATGAACTGATTTGACGAACATATTGTGCTTTGTGTTAAAGATCGAGCCCGTGTCGTATGGCAGTCGGGCCAGTCCTGTTAAACGAGAAAAGTGTGGTTAAGTTGGTACAAGAACGTGATTTAATACCAGTCAAGGTATCCAGAAAGTGATGGTGTCTAAAAAGATCGTAATGACTGAAACCAATACACTGGAAGGTATGCAAGAATGAATGTTCGTATTCGGTGTGATAGGACCAAAATGAATAATCGATTATGGTGAAACGATTGCCCTCGTCAACGAGTGACTTGTCTATAGTGAAACGAAAGAATGGAACGAACGAAAGTGAAAGTTCGTCAGAGGCTAGGTAAAAGAGTTAAAACAAACATTGCTGTGACATGTTGGAGGTCCAACGAAATCCTTTTTATTCGGCACAAAGGACGGCTCTGCTGGTCACAACCACACCAATCAAGAGATTAGCATGTGTTTGCAGGTATACCGGTACCGAATGAGGAAACTTAGACCCACGCATGTGTGTGGTCATCAGATAATTCGGTGTTTCGTTTTACAGAAAGCCTAGTCCGGGGATGGGAGATGGGGTGCATTGTGCTGCAGGTGTGGTTGGCCGAGGACGCATCGGATGCTTTCCATATAATGACAGGGGCAAGCGTGGCTGCGCTTGTAGTGGAATAGCATAGCTAACTATAGGTTAATATGGTAGATAGATCTAGACTCGGCAGATTGATCTTCGTTGCCGCTGTGCAGCTTCGGCCTTCAGGGGTTCACGGGTGCCACATCAACTCGGTTGACGCGCAAAATAACGCGCAGCACTTGATTTGCCCTTGTTGACTACTTCACTAACCTATCGCACTGTCTCCGCAACCACGAAATAGCGAACATGACATGGAATTGGGAAAGCTGCTTAGGTTAGGGGCCCTGCGTTATGTGGGATAGCTTCTGGGGATTGGAAGACAGCCCACTGACTGCGCTAAGCAGAAGAGCGGCAAGCGTCTGATTGGATGACATTGATCCCCCGGCGTCCAGGTTTACATATGAAACACAGAGCATAGGGCATAGCCAGGCTTTAAATTTAGCCAGGGGCAATTGACAGGCGGAGCTTTCTCGATCCAACTTTGTCTTCCGCATATGAGAAACAGCCGCGCGACAGGCAGTAAGTATGCACTTGGTATGGACGGTTGTTACCCGCGACGGGGCAAGTGATGGTTCTTTTCCAACATGTTCTATGCGTAGAAACAGATATAACTTATCACCCCTCTGGAAAACACCTACCTACTGCGGAGGGGGGGTGTATTTCCGGCCTGCTACTATAGGCAGTAAGCACTTTTTCTCACTGTTGTACTCTGCGTCACGAATATGCCGCCAGAGGTTGGTCCTGTTAGGACCACCATCTGCGCGATGGACACCGCTGTCAAGCCGCATCTATTCCTGGATTTGGTTAAAGAAAATTAGTATTAACATAAAAATCACGGTATGGGAAGCGGCTCGAGAGATGATGCCTGGAAAGACCATGGCCAAACCAGACACCATGCGACTAAACTTAACGGCGTGTTTAGAGCATGATGCCTATGATGATTACTGCTGTCGTGCAAACGGGTATCATGAATTCAAATTACGAAACTCTATCGACCAAGGACACGCAACCACGCATCCTTCCGTTACGAACGGTTTTAGAGCAATAGCGTTCCAGCAACAGTAAAGACCATCATCAAGACTGCCCCCATCTTTTGATCTGCTGTAGTCATAGCTGCGTTCCTACTTGCGTTGTCTGTCGCGGTTGCGCTTGTGTCAAACGTTGTAGAACTTGGAACGTCCATCGCTGTAACCTGAGCAGTCTTAGCTGCAGCCTCTGCAGCTGCTATGCTCGAGGCAGAAGCGAGAGCCTCGAATCCAGCTGTTATCGTGACATTTAGATACATTGATTTTAGCCCAGACGCAGACTCTGTTCCGGAAGTACTGCCCGCGATGCTGAATGTGCAGGATGCAGTGCCCGAGGTCATTGCGCAAGCCTCGCTAATTGTCCTAAGAGTCAAGTCAAATCAATAAGTGTTCTTAAACATTTGTTCGCACAGCGGTAACTTACATATCAGTGCTGTTGACATTGACCTCAAAAGTCGAGGGCCCCTCTGTCAAGATCACACCTTGAGAAGCTATCAGTGTGATATCACATCAAGTATTGATTTGCCAACTTACCTTCTCCAAGCTCGCAATCAAACTCATACTCCGAGCTGCATTGCACGAGATATGTTGTAGCGGCGGGTGCAGCTGTGATGACTGATGCCACAAGGCCCGTTTGAACGAATCCTGGAAAGAAAAGACTCGTGACTGACGCCGATGCTGCCGTTGTTGTCATTGTCCTGGATGCAGCCACTGCGAAAAGTGATGCCAGAGCAGAGACTATATGCCTTGATGCCATAGTTGCTATTTAGCAGTTGCACAATCAAACTTGTTTATAGGCCAGGCTCTGGGACCTATCGCCTCAAGTGTCGGTGGTTTCTGAAGTCCCTGCCACTATGCTGCAATTGAACGAGTCCACCAAAAGGGGAAAGTAGGTCAGGGAGATTGAAATGCCATGGATTGAGAACATCTCAACCTTTTGATTGAATCACAAGTTTGGGTGCAAGCATCCTTTTTTCTTTCCTGTTTCGAATCGAATTGGCGAACCACAACCACCGCCCTATCGCCAACCCCAGACCCGCTATAGTTTAATTGAGCTACGAACGAAGATCAATGCAGACAGGGGCACAGCAAGCAGCTAGAGTAGCACCTTAACACATCAGTAGAAATCCACTTGAGGATCTACTTCGACATTTAAACGGTGTCCTTGACCGGCTCTCTGACTTCTGATACGCTTTTCTACCAACAATGCCTCGGACCTCCATTGCTGAAGTCTCATGGACGCATCGTTCGGATGCGTCACTGCCGCAAGATACCCGGAACAAAGTCTCAAGGTTGTGATTTTGCCCCATTCGCGGGCCCAGTCCACGAAATCAACAACAAGCTCTGCATCTGATTCTTTTCGCAAAGCTGGAAACCAATCTCCACATCCAGTAAGATCGAGGTATTCGAGTCGATAGAGCGCCTTGCTGAGTCGCTTCAGGACTGATATTGCTTCTGACCAGTCGTCGTCTAAAGCATGGCTGTAGATATTGGTGCCGCCATAATTGACGGATTGCCCAGTACCTGACGAGACCATCTTGGTGTAAGTCGCGTTTGGCGTTGTGCAGGGTGTTGGCCATCCGGACAGATTGAGGTGAGTCAGCCCTGATAGCTTGTTTGAAAGTGATAGAAGGTGTTTCCAGGAAGGGCCATCGCCCAGATCGTGATCGATGGCAAACGACAGATGTGTCAAGTTGGGAAGAAGAGCTGTGGGTGCAAGCCGTGGCTCAGGTGCATCCCATGAATCTTGTACTTCGACTTGTATAGGCATAACGGCGGGAAATAAGAGGTCGGAAAGAGATTTTAAGCTTATAGATCTCCCAACTGAACCTGTAAGGTCTAAGTGACGAATGCCATCGTTCAACAATGCTGGGTCGGGGGGTTCCACCTCATACTCGGCCAGTTCTGCTTCTGACGGACCAAGCAAGATGAGTCGCAGGTCTGCGGCAGATATTCCCGACTCGTGATAATTAGACACGTAGTAGACAAGTGCAGTCCTGAGTCTATTTGGCAGGTTGTAGAGATAAAATCTGTTCCAGTCTCGTTGTATGTTCCAATCGGCCACGAGGCGATGCAAGGTGATGTCAACAAGACTGCCATGCGTGGGAAGAAATGAGCCAGGCAACGGCCAAAGCTTGATCTGCGTCACATGTTCGTGAACAGAACTCGTTGGTGCATGTCGAGACTGTGAGAGCGACAGCCATGAACGTGGCGGCGGCGGCCCTGGAGGTACCCGTCTGCCATTGATATCCCTTCGCTGGAGCCTCCTAGGCCTAGGTGCCGGCGTTTCTGGGAGTTGCAGGATATGGCTTATTGCTGGTGGCAAGCTCGGTGTTGGGGTTGCGAGGGCAGGGTTTCGCGATGAACTCGAATTCAATCCAGTCCTGCGCATGTCAGCGAGGATGTCGTTAACGGTACGCTCATTTTGGCCTATCGAGATTGGTTAGTACACAGAGCAGACGGGTGCGCATAAATCCAGCGGCGGTCGTAGAAAAGGAAGGTCCATGGGAACGCAGCAGATGCATACGTACTCGTGGTCGTCTGTGAAGACGTGATACGAAGAGTCGGCGGAGCTATCGACGGCGGTTTTGTGTATTTGGTCTGGTGTCTTTTCTTCGGCATAACAATCTTTCCAAGGGGGACTCAAGCAGGTAAGCGAACTGTTCGCAGATTAAAAGAAGAAGAAGAAGAAGGCAGAACAGAAATGTCAGAACTCATGGGGAGGTTACATTTAGTCTATACACCTTGTGTACGAAAGCCGCAGCTATACTGTAATGTGCGATGACACGAGCTTCGAGTCATCATCGCGAAGCAGCCCCACCATTTCATTTCGCCTTTGCGCTAGTTGATGCATTGCCTACGGATACGCTGTACCTAGACTAACCTGAGACTAATGTTTAGTTCAGCACATTGTCCCTGCCTGTATATACAATTAGCAACACTGGCTAAGTAAAGGAACTCTGAGTAGGTTAAAAAAAAAATTTAAAAAAAAATTTCTCACTCATTACATAGGTTCATACTGATAATCCAGGGTCCCACTGGATTTTTAAGTGCGTCAACTCTCGTGTCAGCCGTTTGCCTGCCTCCATACAACTAGTTAACCTAGATGACTCACCTATTGCTATTCTCTTCCCACACTCTGGATTGTAACACGTCCAGGATGTAGAATCATCATACTGCGCTTATGGGTTTTGCTCACTTCAAGACAACTGCAAACTGCACTAGAACCGCGGAGCCTCATTGTCATTCCTAAGGTCGACGAATCTATGCTCGCTTGTTTTCAGGTTGTATGCACAATTCAACCGTGGATCAGCTTCAGTTCCGATATCACCCTTCTAAAAGTTCATATTGCCTCTTGTCACACCATGAAATCCAGCAGCGTCGTCAAACCCAGTGGAGGAAGTTGCTCTTAGAGGACAATGCCTCGCTATCTACCTGCGCTTACTCGGAAAAGACAGTATATATGCAGACTTTGGTACGATAGAAACCATCCTCATCTCAAAACTCGTGTGTTGCAATCAGTGTTCTGTGTGTAACACCCCCATTCCGCCCTAATACATGTTCTGTGCTAAATTCCGCAGAGTCTTCAGTCCCAACCGCAGTCAGATTTGTCAAACATGGCATCCCTTGGGTACAATCATTTCAATTCACCATGCTTCTCACACTTGCACGCTGGCTATCCGCCTGTGTAGCAACCTATCTCAGCTTCTCGTCGCGAGCCCACTGGTCGTCTGTGTGTCCGTGTAGTGTCTGGAGGTAAGTATTGAACTTACAGACACTTTGTAGCGCCTGTTCGAGGTGACCCCATGTGAGAGTCTCCCCTTTGAAGATGGCCAGTTGCCTCGCTGTCGTAAACGCGTTTCGAATCTGCCGCCCATTCATGTCGTAACCTCTCACCAGCTCATCAAAGTGCCCCAGTAGGTCGTCTAGGTCGACATCCTCCTCGTCTGTCCGGAGCATATCAAAAAAGTTTTGCCAAATTTTCCGTCGCGAAGCAGATGTCAGTGGATCATAGTGTAGTGCAACCTGTATACGAGATGTGAAGGCAGCATCAAAGGTGCCCACCCTGTTGCTCGTGAGGATGAGGATACCGTTATAGTATTCTAACGTCCGAAGGAACACTGTGCCTGTTAGTCGCAGGGATCGTCAATTGTTCCTGAAATATGCTCTACCTGAAACGAGACTATTTCTCTCCAAGTCTGCCAATGAACGTTCTTCGAGGAAGACATCTGCTTCGTCCAGAAGGAGAACTATTTCAATTAGTCCTGGTAAATGAAGTCGCATATGTAGACTAGGGTTCAGCCTACCACAATTCCATCTTTTCCCTAGCATTAGGACCGTTTCCAGGTATTCTTCAACTACCTCCGGCTTTGTTCCTATATCGCCACATGTGACACTATACAACGGCATTTGTGCAATCTCAGCGACGCTATTCCATATTAGTTAGTTTATAATCGCACAAAAGAAAATCTATTAAAATATCACCTTTCTATATTTGTGTTAGTCTTAGTTCTCTCAATGGCAAATCCATCAACGTACCTGCTGTCAAAGTCTTGCCGGTGCCTGGAGGACCATGGAGCAGCATGATCAAACCGTTTCCCTTGCCGGCAATGATATCATCTCTCATCATGTCTAGTAGCTTTCGCTTGTTTGACTCCCGCGGCGACGCACGAACCATTACAAGTGATTTGACTAAATCTTTCGTCTTTGCGGGCAGGACCAGTCGCTCAAAGGCGTCCGTGTTCCATTTGACCGGGCGGATGTTGTCGACTAGAAGTAAGCCTGCCATGATTGTTTAGTGATAATTAAAAACATCGCATCATTTAATGTGAGCTCGTGGGACGTACTCCACTCTTTTTTGTTAAAGGAGAAGGCATGAATTTCTGGCGGAAGAACAAGCGAGCAGTTGCTTTCAAGTGTCTCCAGGGTATGTGGAATCGTCTCTGGCCACCTATCTAACGGGACTTTTGCCACATCTTGAAAGACAAAATTCTCTGCAGTTGGATGCATTTGACCTGAGCTACAGAATCAGACAGATGCCTTGAATACTGAGTATAGGCCAGAAGCGCGAGCAGGGTGCTCCAGGACGTGCTTACGGTAAGTTCGATAGTCAACCATCCACCGCGACTCGTTCGTCTATATATTGGTTACAATCTCGTTTGCAGGACCCGGTCGTTGCTTACTCACATAAAACTGATCGCCTTTGCTGTCCCATCCTGCATACGCTACGAAACTTTGGTATCTTAGACTCCAGAACTTGGCGCCGCGCGACTCAAGATGTCGTAGTTCTTCTGCGATCGCGAATCTAGCAGGAAACACTTCCAGGTCGCGAATTTGGACAACTGCCTGTAGTGGTTTTGTTATATCTAACGTTATGTGCTTCCGACTAAGAGCGCCTCCGTTGAAAGCCCAGTGCCAACACTCCAACATGAAGCCTGTGCCACCGATCCTTGGCCACGCCCGTAAGACTTGAGCTTTCAATATCCCACCGGGCTTAGACACGACCACATCGTTCGGGCAGAAAAGCATCGTGATATTGTGCGAATGAATAATCCCTTGTGCAATGGATGAATCAAGCTCACGGAATCTATCTCCTTGCGTAGTTTCAATATAGTTCATGAGTGCCAATAACTGGATTTTCGCTTGACCCTCAACTAAATTAAGCATATTGGCCAGCTTGTGGCGATGATGATAGAAAAATACCGGCGTGTATTCGTTTGGCTCGTCTTCCCTTTCGCCCTCACTGTGGTTGCTGTGGCCATATGATGAAGAGTTTCTGGGATAGTAGGCTGCAGAATCTGATGTGCACTGGCTAATGCTGTCCATCATGTCCTGAAGAGCGCTCGAAACCATGCCAATACTCTCATCGTATCTGACGCCGGTATCTGAGACTGCTTTGCTCTGGGAGTGATCCCATCTCCCTGCATCACTGCATCGATAATATCTGAAGACAATGAATGAAGTGTTGCCTGACTGTTTGACGAATGCAGCAAGGTTAGCGATCCTAATACTGGAGGTGAGATGTACTTCAGGACAATGATGGAATTCGGATTCGATTCCAGTTTGCGATTCCGCCGCCCAGCTTGGTGCAGTTGAGAACAACTTTCCTTCTTGTGCATGGAAACTAGAGGAGCAAATAACTTGGTGCACAACTTGTGAGTGAGCTTCCCACCATGAAGGCCACTGTGTTAGAGGAGGTATACTTGTTTTGGACAAGGCCTCTTGAGTATCGAAGTCTCTTCGTGTCTTTTTCGAGTCCACCTCGACTGAGTTAGATGGCTCACTCGGCAAAGTCTGAATTTTTGTAAGCTTGAATTCTGGTAACATGCAAGGTAGCCTAGCCCGGAATATACTGCCTCTACACTCATCTCAGCGGCAATAAAGCTAGCGGTAGACGCACATTTAAAGGAAGGAGTGGCTGTGAAAGCAGCTGAGTAGGCAAATAAGTAGACGGTTCAGGGGTTCGTTCATATCTTGGCCGCTTCATTACTTGTTCCGTTGGCAACTCTAGTCTGCCAGATTGCTGAATAAGCTCCACAAATTCCGGCTCTGTGGAAGCTGTTGGCTCCCCGGCGCCCAGCTGTCTTTTCTTCATCTCATGTGGTGCACTCGGCCAAGCAGTTCCCTCCTTCGGTTGTTGTTGTTGTTGTTGTTTATCTAGATCTTGTTTCTGTCTAGCCATCGTAAGGCGTTTCTTGTTCTGCTATTCCCAAAGCATCAATCGCATCTGTAGCTCAGCTCGCCTTATATCGCTGAGTGATTTAGCCTGCGCTTGGAAACTTCGGTAGCTCAATTTCGTCTCATCAGAGGTCGAGACACCCTTTGCTTTTGAACCCAAGCTAGCAAGAGCTGCAGACTCCTGCGCAGATACCTCTCCTGAGAAGTCCTGGAATATCGTCGAGTGAGTCTGTGTACTTCTTGCAGTAAAGATGCCAAATGATCCTGACATTTCAACTGCACAATGTGATCATATGGCAAGATATGATTGCTGAAGGAGTTTCACAAAAAAGGGCAGGAAACAGAAGAAAAGCTGCGGTCGAGAAAAGCGGCTGAGATCCCTCGTCCTGCATTTGGACCCTAGTGCGGAGCCATGGTTGCAGCCTTATACCTGTTGGCTCACCAGAACTCAACCAAATGGAGGACTGGGACGGTTCTGTGGGGGGAGGGGGTTGTCCTCATGTTTGAACAGATATAACCTAGCGATTCTATATCGCCCGATTGGACAGTTACGCGCATCTTGCCTTGGCAGAGGTTTTTTCAGGGGTGTTAGATGGCGCGGCTCTCTTACCGGAGTGATTGGCTCAATTTTATCACACGATATGCACGGGTGTCGCCGGCAGTGCACTTTAAAATCAGCCTCAAAACACCACCACCAAGGCAAATGGGGCCTTCGAGAGCTATGTGAACATGTGTGACACTACTTTCCAAATGTTCAACCTTGGTGTCTCTTGCATTTCTTTTCTTCTTTCTGACGAGGGTCACCCCCTTTCTGGTGATGGATGCTGATGTGGAGATGGTCTTACTCCCCGGCATGTCAGCTGGAAATGTTGACGAAACCGATTCCATAGAGAGTTGGTTTGAAACTTCTTCAAGGTAGGTAGGCTGATTAAACCTATATTAAAACTATCATATATCATCTATGCTCATTATAACATCTCCCCACCTATAGTAGCCCATCCGAGTATTCCAAACAGGCATACGAGTCAGCCAAAATATATTTCCTCGAGCACTTGGGAGCCGATGGAACGGCGCGAGTGTTGATAGAGCAGAATCATTCAATTCTTGATGTCCTAAGGGTTGTCAACGACGCCCGGAAACGCTATCATGTCAAACGGAACTCAAAAGCGTCTAAGTGGCTTGCCCGTGTTTCTGAAAAAGTAGCACATTATGGCACGGTGCTCGACGTGTTCGTCCAGCACCATCCCGAATACGTCTCCTTGGTATGGGGGACCTTCAAACTCTTGTTCAGCGTAAGTGTTTAGGTCTCTAACCAAAAGAGCATCGCCTCCGCTAATTGTGGAGAGGACATAGGCAGTCTGTAACCACGAAACACAGGTGAAGGAATTAGCCAAGACATGCACACAAATTGCCAACATCCTTGATCGAGCTGAGATCACCTTGAGGCTTTACTCCTCAGAAAGACTTATGGGGGCCGTTTCAGAGCTCTACGTCAATATACTGGAGTTTCTGAAGCACGCTGTGAAATGGTACGCAAAGGGTCGGCTTGGGCGAGCCTGGACCGCGATCGCTAGACCCTGGGAGCTTGGCTTTCGCGATTATGTCCTTGAGATCAAGGCCGTCTCTAAGAGAATCGAAGGCGTCGCCGAGGTCGCATCGCAAGCAGAACTCCGCGCCACACGCCTGGAGACGAAACAGGTTCGGGAGGAACTTGCTTTGACCAAGCTTCAGCTAGAACGATTGTTGCCCATGATGGAACGTAAGTCAATCATGCCTTATGTTTTTCCTTCAATATCTGATGAAGCTCAGAAATATACTCTCTGCAGAACCAGCTGCAGGTTGACTACTCATCGTCAATGGGTGCAATACAAAGGGTGGAGCATAATCAGATATTATCCCTGCCCATTATGGCGCATCTGCCCACCCCAGGCCAAGCCATGAACTATTGCCGCTCGATTCGGAACAGGAGAAGACAGCGATACCATCTTGCGGCACCCACTGTACGCCAATTCGAGGACTGGTCCAGAGGAGCCGCATCTTCCTTCATCTTCACCTCTGCCGCCAATGGCCAAATCTCCCGGGATTTCCTGGTGGACTCCGTTGAGATGATCAAAAGCTCGCAGCGCTCAGTAGTCTGGGTAATGAGATACGAAAACTATTGGGAGAAACCACTTACCTCCATCGACCTGCTTAAAGTCCTCGTGCTGCAGTGCCTACAAATTAACCCTAGAGTCTTGCGGACAAGCCCTTTTCCGCCGACGGTGGCGTCGTTCCTCGATGCCGTTGACGAGCACGACTGGCTGTCGATCCTGAACCGAACGGTCATGGGATTACCAATGCTTTACGTCGTGTTAGACGCGGATGTAGTCAATGCCGCCGTGAATCGCGACAAAATTGCAGCCACCAGGTTGCTAGAGAGTTTCACACGTATTGCGTCTTCCACATCTGTCAAAGTCGTCGTGGAGAGAACTGCGGTAGACAGAAACTACATTCGCAGGGCATGGAATGATCGTACGTGGTCGGATGCCCGCATCGACGGTGGCGATGGGAAGAGAGGACCGAGCACCAATTTCTTTGTGCAAAGACGAACACAAAGGCGCAGGAGGCGATGATCATACCATATTTTCTATTGTTTAAAAACTAAATTATAGTCTGAAGTTAAAACAGTGAGCTGTGAAAAGGAGTTATATGCAGTTGAAGCAGGTATATATCATCATGTCTTGTAAAGGAGCATACCACAAGGTCAAGCCCGAAAGATGCTAATTTCATACACCAGAGAGTTGAATTGCTCATTTTTATCGAAGGTTACATGCTCGTGGTTGATACGTACGGTTGCAATAGGGGACACGGGACTTTTATGAGTTTACAGTGAACATCGAGTAATATATACACCCCACCGAAAAGGTGTTTGTCGAGGGTGTTTTAGGCTGTCCCAAAAAGAAACGAGAGAGAGCAAAGGACCCGACAGCCCGAACCATGATACACGCAGTCTGAATCGAATCATGAACGACTAGTAACTCGAGCAGCATTCCACAAAGCTTGAAACGGTCCACTCCGCTGAAGCAGATCAGTTGGTCGTCCCTGCTCGATTACCGCGCCATTATCCATTACAATCACACGATCGAAATCAATGATCGTGTCGAGCCTATGAGCAACGGCCACCACCGTATGTGTCTCGAATTCTTTACGGAATAAATTGCGTATGCTTGCCTCCGTTTCGTGATCGACGCTATACCATGTACTGTCAGCTATATACGTCTCATGGGGCAATTTCAGTGATTGGCTGCAACTGACCTGCTCGTCGCTTCATCAAGAAGCACCACGCAACCACGATTTCTTCTAAGAATTGCTTTGCCAAGGAAGAAAAGTTGCCTTTGTCCTTGGCTCAACATATCCTCGTCCATATCGGCATCGAGGCCTCCATTCGACTCAACAGAACCCAATAAGTCCAATTTCAACAGAACCGCAAGGATCTCTTCGGTGCTGAATGTATCGTGGGGATCAATGTTCTGGCGAATAGTACCGGGCAGGAAGAACTGATCCTGCGATATGATATTGAGACGAGAACGGACCTCTTCTCGCGGCAGTGCTGTGATGTCCAAACCGTCAATCAAGATGGATCCGGCCGACATATTAAGCATTCTGGCCAGCGTGAGCAGAAGTGAGGATTTCCCACTATTCGTAAGATCAGATAAGGGAACTCAAACAACAGCTATTATGACTTACCTGCCAGTCCTTCCAACTATACCGACATTCTCACCCGCCTTGATTGAAATGGATACATCATCCAGAGCCTTGGTTTTATTCTCAGCGTATGAGGCGGAGATAGAATTAATTTCGATGCTACCATGGGCTGGCCATTCTTGAGGTACAACGCTGATTTCCCCAGGAAGATTCTCGTCAGGTGTACTTTCGCTGAACTGTTTGATCCTTGCAACCGCACCGATAGATGTTTCAAGTGACGTCCACCATAGGATCAGCATCCTGACAGTTTCTGCGAACGTAATGAGCTGAACCAAGGACACGCCTGTGAGCCCGACCGAGACAGAATCCCGTAACTTGACAGCGAGGCCGACGACAAGCAAAGCTAGCGTTGCGACTATAAAGTCTAGCACGAGTGTGAGCCAGCGTTGTACCATGAGGAGCAGATAAAAGGGCTTTTGTGCCCGGTCGACGAGTTCGTGGTTTCGATCAATTGCTCTATTTGTCCAGTTCATAGCTCGAACAGTCAAAAGTCCGGCGAGGGTCTCGAGGAACTGAGTGCTGTATGATATGTCAAATTAACTGGCTATATGGAAACTGCCTGCGACGAAACTCACTACACTGGGGCTTTTTCTTCCAAATCCAAGAATCTCAATTGCCGGGATGTTCTCAGGTACGCTTTTTGGAGAAAAACGAAAGTCGCAAGCAGAAATGGATAAGCGATGGCCAGGTACCAAGTGGACGAAGCAATTAGCACTGCTTGACCAATGCAAGTGAGGAGATCTGTTGGTTAGCATTGTTTAATCGAAGGGTATCTCGAAGTCATCACATACTTTGGATGGTGACGAGCATCCCCAATGGTAAGCTCCTGTCAACCTCACCAAGGTCCTGGGAGAATCTGACTTTATGAGTATCTGGGGCACAGAAAGCTGCTCGAGCCATACCTTGTTGTGAGGGAACCGGTATCAACCGAGACAAACAATGATAATGGCGCACTGTATCACGATTAGCAACGTAGTTGAGGATCACCAGCTCCAGACCTACCGAATGACGACTCTGAGTAGCCTTTCGTGCAACTCCAGACCTGATTTCGTAACAATTTTGACCATCACCAGCCTAAAAAAGTGTTAGACCACCAGCACCACTCATACTCGTGAACTTACCAAGTCAAGAGGAAGAACGCAGCAACAGCCGCCATCTGAAGTGCAGCATAGACTCCTAAATAGAGGCCAATACTTTGGTTACCGCCGGCCGTACTAGCATCAGACCACCACTTCAGCCATACCGCTATCATAGTTGTTAGTGTTGTCACGAGCATATGGGTGCATCAATGTTGCAACATACTCGGAAACGTCTGGAGGAACGCATTCGAGAACTCTACAACAAGCAGAATCGCCGTCAAGCCCAACCCTAAGGAGGAGAAATAAAACTGATAAACGGTATTGTCGCCTAATTGTCTCCGCTTGTCGATGGGCTCGGACTTTTTCGCAAGTTGCAATGCTCCAGTTAATAAGGCATTCTTCTCGTCATCAGACGCTGCGATCTCTTCCACCTCAGTCATGCGAAATTTGTTACCCTCGAAGATGCTCTTGACGTATCCATCACGTATGGTAAGCTCAGTAGGAGACCCCAATTCCGCAACACCTCCATCTTTTCCTAGTACCAAGATCTGGTCGGCCATATGAAGTGGGACAGCTGAAAACGGTTAGATTTGAGATCAAGTAGTCAGTGTCCATCTAACCTGAGTGAGTCGCTAAGATAATGGTCGTTCCCCATTCTCGCAGGATACCGCATTTATGGCTGAAAAGGCGATCACAGACTGTATTCGCGGTATGGTTGTCTAGTCCACTCAGCACGTCATCGAAGATCGCAATCTCAGGTCTTGAGTATATCGCTCGAGCAAGAGCCTAGATAATTAGTGACCGTCAGAGTATGTGGAAGGACTATTTCAGCTTACCACTCTCTGTTTCTGGCCGCCACTCAGCGATAGGCCTTTACTCCCAACGAGCGTCTCATCGCCATCTGGAAACCGAGAAAAGTCTTTCAAAAGATCGCAAGCATAGGAAACCTTATGATACAATTTTGAATCGTAATAGCCATATCCGACGATATTTTCGCGAACAGTCCCATTCTAAGCTCTGTAAGTAGCCGACCAGAGATGTCCTAATGGAGCCAGAATTTGACTCACATATATCCAAGGACTTTGGTCGCACCACGATGTACGAGCCTGTGCCAGCATGACATCTCCACTCATACCCGTACATTCGCCAAGAAGCCCTTTTAGCAATGTGGTCTTCCCAGACGCGACTGCGCCAACCAGAACCATGAACTGGCTTTTCATTACCACGAAATTGACGTGTTTCACAAAGACGGGGCCCTCGTCCGACCAAGTAAAAGACGCGTCACGAAGCCTTATGTGAACACATTCGTGAGGTTCGGATGTGTTAGGCTTGTGTGGCGGTGGAGTCATCATCTCAATTTCGTCATCCATAATACCAAGGGCGTGGTCGTTTTGGCCGCGGCTTAATCGTATACCTGGTTTGGAAATGGTCGTTTGGGAGCCATTGGAGAGCTTTGAGCGTCTATCTTTCCGGCCTGGCGTGCAAAGATACCGTTGTATACGCTCAAAGCATGCCAACGATGATTGTAGGTTAATGATCGTCTCAAAGGTTCCAAAGAGTGGTGCTGCAAGAAGTATTATAAGGGATAAAGATGAGAAAAGTGTAGTAGCCTCAAAGGTTTCTCCCGTCCTTGCTGATACGATTGCGAATACGGCGAAGGCAGCAACAGGAGAAACTAACACTGGTACCTGAGCTAAAGCCGCCGTACAAACCATGATCAGTCTGAATGGTTTTGCTGCTTTCATTTCATCAACTCGCATTCGAGATATCGATAAAGCAAGCTCTTGAGCAAGACCGGACATCTTGACACTCTTCATATGTCCCAGCATCTTTGAGGTTACACCTGTAGATATTAGTATCCTTGTTGTAATGTGATTGACTCTATTGCATACCGATTCTTTTCTGCACCTTCTCAAACCATGCACCCTGAGAAGCTCGGGCTTTCGGCGACACATATATTGTGAGTACTAGGGAAAGAAGGCACACTGCTACGGGTGCAGCAGCTGCAGGGCCAATGAACACGCTTAAAAGCCAGGTGGCGACAGCAACTTGGACAACATCGGCCCACAAGTCGTGGAGTTGTCGGATAGCTCGAACGATCGTGTCAACCTATGCTTCTTAGCAAGCACAATCAAGTATGTTTCTTGGTATGCTTACATCTGTGCTCATCAAAGTCACTGAGGCCGAGTTGTCAGACGCTGCTATGGAAATCTCAGTGGTGTGTTTGAAAATTACTGCGATCAATAATCCTCGGAGCATAGTTGCCATCCGGAACGCTTTGTGAAAGTAGAAGGCAGACGAAATTGCCATGCCGATGTATACTAATCCATATGCTGCAATAAGGCCATAGCCGATGTTGAGTGATTCGTCGGCTTCTTGAAGATATAGCAGGAAACGATTGAGAAGTAATGGCTGGCAGATTGTGAAAACGACCAAGATTGACCGAGCCGGAATCGCGGACAAGATCGGCCATACCAGCGTTCTCGTACAGACTATGATGAGTTTGTACTTGCTATTGTGAGTATCTGTAAGACGATGAGTTGAAGCTTGGCTACTGGAATATCCAATTGTTCAAATACGACGGACCTTGATCCCAAGAACTCCAGAACCTCTCACAGAGCACAGCTGCTAACATGTCTTCTTGCAACTCAAAGAGATCACTCGGTCTCAGTAGTTGCCGGAAACCACTAGCAAGCAAAGAATTGACCCACCAAAATACACCTCGATTGAATATACCACTAGTTTCCTCGGGACTGTGTCTATTCTGATTGTCCACCAACCACTCACGCTTCTCTTTGGCTTCCAGAACGAGTATGAGCCCTTTTAAGACAAATTCCATCGTGAAGACTATCCGAATAGCTGCTGGCATGGTAATTAGCCATGTTGTACGTAATGTAGCAACATCTAGTATCAGCGATATAAACATGTAAGTCGTGATAGTTGTAGATGGCTTCATAGACTTTGAGTGTTCGTTGTAGGAAAGCGCCAAGCCTACTATGCCCGCTGCGAATGACAAGCAATACGACGTTATGGCGGCTGTCTTGATGGCACCAGAGCTTGGTGTTGTAGCCCATATAATAAGCAATGCGAGGTGGCATGCCGACCACAAAGATAAGGTGGCCTAAGTGATCAGTATGATTCTTGGAAAGTCTTCGGGAGTCTGAACTCACAAGCTTTGCATATTTGACGGAGTTACCTCGAATGACTTTCGGAAGCTTGTACAGATACCGAATTCTAAGAGGAGCAGCAATTAACAGAATGATAACAGGAATAATAGTGAAAATGTATTGCTCAAACACGAAGGTGAAATCGAAGTTTTGTCGGCACCCCTGTACGGCAGGACCAAACCGATCATCTCCGTTCGGAGAGCATACTGAAGCCAACGAAACATTCATTTTAAATGAATTTCAATGAACATGACAACCAACTAGTAAAAGGGTTCTAAGAACAAGGGCCCAAGGGAATTTATAACGATCCAGGAAGCAAATCATCCAAAGTATCCGTACCTGCATCTGGTAACCCTAGCAATTTTTACGCCATGCCCAAAATGGTAACCAAGCACTTTGACCGTGATTCGCCGATTCGAATGCAGGGCCCACTAGATTTGAGACGGCGAAATTTGGAGATTCTTGAACAGTGATAACATTGAGTATAACAGTCTGATTGGTATGTATTTCTATGCGGCAAGATACGAGTAGCTGAGATTCGTGCCTCGAAGCAGCGCGCACTTGTGGCGGGGATGATCATAGGATCCATCTTACTTGTATGGAGCTATCCTTTTTGCTAGTAATGATATGTAGGATTCATTAGCGGTCGTTGGCACAACTGTGTACACTATTGCCATTGCTACCTCAAGACTGTGACCGGAATAATCTTTGAGCACGTCATGGCTGTCTTGCGCAATATTTGCAGCACTCTTCCGAACACGTTTCATTTTCGCAATGAAATATTGGTGCTGTATTGCAGTATGAAAGGCAACCTTATATTATCCATAGCGTGAACAGGCTAACCTAGTGAAATTGATCTTCCCCGCGGACAACTTGGAAACGAACCGTGTTAACTTCTTGAACGTGACATTCAACGGCGCCACCATTACAATATCACCGCGCACATCATCCCCCATCGAAACATAGCTGAAAGTCTGCTGAGCTGCCTTGTTCTTGCCCTTATACTCACTTTAATCTTACATTCAGTGTGCTAGGCTTCGTACTCACTGTCAAGTACTTAGGAACTCATCGCTGGGACAGTGATCTTCTCAATAAACCACTAAAACTACAATCAGTATAGGTATCTTGGTATAACTCATTACACCAGCCAGTATCGACCAGAAAAGAACCTACAGTTTTACCTCCATCGGACGTAGTTGGCTCTGTGTACACTCCACCGGATTCTGCATAGATCGTCGATCCGTAGTCTTTATCTGCAGCCTTCAGTACGATAGTGGTGTTGACATAGTACTGCGGCTCAACGGTCCCACTGCCCTCAGCGCCGTTGTAGTCCTGAATCTCGATAGCTGTATTCCATAATGTCGACTTCTGCTTGGAGACCTTGGTGTAAGTTGACAAGAGCTCGCCTGTGGCGGCATCGTTCATGGTTTGCGTCCACGAATATGTCGAAATATCTGTAAGTGTGTAGTTGAACACAATTCCGTTCTCATAGTTGGCGTCGGCTGTTGTCTCTTCTCCAACGAACTGCGTCGTTGTTCCGGAGGAATCGAGACCGTAGACCTCGCTTGAGACACACCACGTTGAGTCGGCATCTGTTCCGCTGCACTCGCTCAATCCAGTCGGATATGACCCAACGATGGACTGGATGAGATCATAACCGTCGCCATTGACGCCTACACCAATCCATGCAAACATATAGCCCTTCTGATCAGAGGGCATCTTTCCGGGGTACATTGTCGATGTGGTCGAGATAATCTCGGAACTGGTTTCCTGGAAGCCGATAATGGGACCCCAAGTCACGTCTCGTCTGCCCAGCCTGGCATGAGCTGCAGCTGTCGAAGCCGCCACGAGGGCGAGGGAGATGCAGATGTGCATTCTAAGTTAGGTGGTTGAGGGAACAAACGTGGAACGTCAAGAGAAAGGAATGAAGAGCTTCTTCTTACCTGAAGAAGAAGGATATAGAAAATAATAAAATGACAAGTCTCTCATCGTGAACTTCAACGTGGAACACATGGCTATTTTTGAAGTGCTTCATTGATTGAGGAATTGCAGACCGGGTAGAAGTGCTAGATGAGCCAGGATCGTAAGCTAGTAATGTCGGTGGATACTCCGTATTTTATATGAAACTGAAACTCCACAGAAACAAGAATATCTTTTCTGTATGAAGCGATCGAAACCAGCTCAATTGATTAGATTATTTTACAGAGCCGGAACGGGTTTAGTAATGCATATTTACGGATCAGCGAAATTGGTTTACTTTTGAAGAGCCCGAAAAATGAGGCGGTATGAGGCGCCATATGGTCAGACCGATCAGGAGTAAACACGTCTTCATTAGACTAACCGCAAAGCAATGCGATAGAACAAAGATTAGTATTCTTAATAGCTGCGCGACTGAGGTCCTTCATCACGAGTGCCGCACCTTGAGCTTCTGTAAACCAGTAACGTGTACAGTATTAAATGGCTTCAAAATATTAAACATGTCTCGACAGGCTTTGTTACATGAGGTATGGATACGAGGGTAACAGTCTCGGAATCTCGCCCGTTAAAAAACGAGACGCCAGACCAGCCCGTGCTACACCGAGCCTCTACACGTCGCCCTCATCATTGCTGCGCGGGACATGCGGATGTCGTTAAGCCGAAGACGTCACTCCGGCATACAAAATAGCAAGCCTACCCAAGCTGATCCTGAAGTCTAAGTATATTTTGTGCTATTAGGTCAAAGTGAAAATAACTCAATAGAAAAGGTAAAGCGTATGGTCTTCACAATGATGTTAGCACGCGAAGACCTGCTTTACTGTGCCGTTTCTGAAGTTGTCTCTCTGTTAGAATTGTTAGTAGCTATTGCGATGTGCATCTGAGGGTGGTTTGAGGAACCGGTCGAGGATCCAACACGAGAATCACTTACGATGTCCACAATACTGGCATATGTTCCACAACCTAACACGACGAGGCCAACCACAAAAGCTAGGGCGCACAGCAGCGAATGGACAAGATTTTTCCTGTCATACCACCGCCCCTGCTTGATCATCTTATACCACATCAGTGCAGGCAGGTAGAAGGAAAAGCCTGACACAAAGAGTGATGAGCATAACGATAAGAGGTCACTGAAGATGGGGATAGCCTCAGCGGTTATGAATGCTAGGATCGTAATGATGGTAATGATGGCTAACCAAGTTATCCATCCTTTCGGTGTGTTGACGAATCTTGTAATCGAGTGTCGGAAAATACGCCCATGAATATAACGCCCAGCCACTGTTATGTTGATGGATCCCGAAATGAAGATCACCGGGAGAGCAACTCCAAAGGCAACCCTCGAGGTCATATCGCCAGCAGAGAGTAGTGCAGGTGACTGAACATCAACACCAACGAAGGCATAGACAATCGCACCTGTCAATGTATAAATGATGATTTCGATGATGCCAAGTGCCCAGATAGACTTGACGTAGTCCGCTGGCTTCTTAAGTTCGTCCATGAAAGTAAATTGGCACATAGCAAAGCTATATGCGAAAACGATATTCGTGATGGCTACGAAGCCCTCGATGAATGTTGTCCCGGGTTTCGGCCAGGCGGACCAGGTGCTCTCGTTGATCATCTCCTGGTGGGACCGAATGCCAGTCGCAACCATGGTGATGCCAATAGCACCCAAAATCGAGGCGAAGTCGATATAGCCGAGTATGGCCTGCTCAGTGAAGGATGGTGGAATGGCAAGTAGTAACAGGATGATAGCAGATACCACACCAAACGCCACGGAACAGACACCACTCTCAGTGATATGCGAGAATGCGATAGTACCGGTCAAGCAATGCGACCCAACAAGTAGAATTAGTTCTACAACAAACATCGCACTGCCAAGTTCGAATCCAAATCTGCCATATCGACCGAACAAGAGTCCCATTGCAGCACCATAGTGATCCACGGTTGGAAACTTCAATTTGACTAAGCCGATAATGTGGCTTGTGTAGATGGCCAGGAGGCCCATTCCAACACATGCAACCACACCAGCCACCATGCCGAGCGTTGCAAACGCAGCTGGGAGACTCAAACTTCCCAAGGCGATGGCATTGACGATTAATACGACCGTAAGTCGTTTCCAGCCCAGTCGGCGGAAAAAGGCTTCACCTGCTTCAGTCTTTTGTCGTTCTGAATCTGAGTAGTCTGGTACATCGGAGATCTTCTCCTTGCTGGCGCTGCCCCGTGCTGCGTTTGCTCCCTGTAAAATGCCACGATGCCCGCTCACTGGCTCCGTAGCATCATCATCGCTACTGTTAAGCTCTTTCTTAGGCAACCCTGAGGGGTACGTAGTTGTGCTGGCCATCACGGTGGTCAAGCCCGTGTTATGGCAAGGAGGAATGCTCCACAAAACCAGAATCGGTCCCAAGGTCAGAATCAAGTGATAACAAGTTTATACCCTTTCCGGTCAGAGGTTATCAAACAGTAAAGCGATCTCGAAATCAATAATGCATATAGAACTAAAAGGAGTGATTAGCGACATAGTTTGTTATGCCATTAACCATTCTTTGTCAAGCTAAGAAAAATCTGGCGAGTGGGTCTCGGGCCGAAGCTCTCCAGCGGGTCAATATCGTATACAAATGCTGCGGAATCGGTCTTCAACTATAATCGTAAGATCGATGAGTCAACTGCTGTCAAACATCAGTGATGATGTTCTGCGCATTGCCGCTGGCGCCCGAAGCCCTACGTGATTGCGAACCGTTTCAGCTTTCAAGGACACGAGACGACCTGGTGAAGGGCGTCAGTCTCGTTGTATGCCCAATCCTTTTCAGCGTAACTTGTTAGTTGTATATACCAAAGCGGTACACTTGAATAAGGAGAACTTCAGAACTTCATCATTGCTCCGGAGGTTTGCATCGGTGACTCTTGTAATAGCTGCTAGGCGAACTATTGGTCCGTGCCCGTGATGGGAAAGTTTGTTTCTAGAAAGGATCGCCTGAAGTCGGATTTTCATCTTCGAGACTTCGGAAATTCTATAAGACATGGAAGTTCAACCAACCTGACATGAATGAACTGCATTCATTGCCCATACGTAAATGCTTACAATTACCAAGTATAGGAACGGCATCCAGAAAACCCACGGATTCACATACAGAATGTCGCAACTGATTTGTTGGTGCCAACGACACAAGACAAATTCCTCCCACATGAGCCTGAAGCTTGTACATAGTAGCAACGGGACCGTGCCTTACTTTAGCCAAACTCACCTGTCATGTTGGATTCGCTGGCGGTAATACAAAGTACAATTGCTGATTCCTGTAGGACTGAACTTAGTTCTCTAGTCGCAGCCAAACATCGTTGACAATTCCATCCTTTCCCGTGGTAGCACAAAAGAAAGCGGTCTCGAGGCTAACAGGTATTATTGAAACAATCGTGATCGCAAATACCGCCATGACTTTGGCCAATGTGCTGTGTAATGGCACGGCCTAGACGCTTCCAATTCTTGTAGGGCTCTCATTACGGAAGCTAATGCGTGCTCACAGGGTGGAGGCTGGACACTTAACAAAATTTTATCATGATCAATGGGCTCGTTGAACACATTAAAAAGTCGTTCACAGTTTGACGTGAAATGTTTCTGGGCGCCGCAACCCACTAACCTGGCGGCAACAGATCAGATGTTGGCATGTTTCAAGACAAAGAAAACCGATCTGCCGCCCGAAGTTTGTCTTGTTTGGTTGGCTCAGCGTGGCTGGCAAGGATAACGGGTCACAAAACCTGGTTCTTGCTCCACTGAGACCCTATGACGCACAAAGTCAAGGGTGCCTCAGGACCCTGCAGATACCAATCATACCCTGACCCACTCGACTTTCTCTTTCGAGCACAACCTTCGTCATTACTTCAGCGCCAGAGAGACCTTTTCGATGTACAGACCGACGCTTCGAGATGCGCCAAGAGGGCGGTCTAATCAACAATGAGAATTAAGCAACGGTGTGTTGGCTTAACAGGCCAGGATAGCCTTGGAATGCGTCCCAGCCGGTTTTTCTTCGACTCTTGTAGTCTGGGGGTGAATAATGCCGTTGCATCATGCCGTTCAGCCCTGTAACCTGTAAATCGCTTTGCTTTATATCTACCAATCTCTGTTGCATCATCTGTCATGGTTTTTTGTCTACCATCCGTATCACGTAGCACTATCAAGACACTCGCCCGCTTAAAAGATCTCAAAGAACCGCATCAGCTTAGCCATTCATTCCTCGTCCACATTGCATTCTGGTAGGAGGTATCAACACACCATCGACAAGATGAATCGGTTTTCGGTATTGATACCACTCATACTCTCCATTGCAGGCTTCGTGCTTGCAATGGTATCACTCTTCGCCGGCTCTAAGCCTGGGCAGTTAGAAGACTTCCACATTATCGCTGTAGGTTCAACGTTGGTCCCTTGACTAGGTCTGATTGGCCTAACAATAAGTAGATTAACATGTCCAATTTCGGTCATGACCTCGTGCCAACGCCAACTACTGGTGGCTCGGAGCCAACAACAACAGACAGCAGTTGGGAAGGCTTCTTTACCAGCGTTGTAGCCACCATCGCTTCAGAAATTAGTGACGAACTAAGTGACATTGAGGACGACATCGCCGACAAATTGTCCGCCGAGCTCGGGATCTCACAGTGGTATTCACTTCACATTATGACTGCTTGCGAAGGAAACTTTGCTCCAAATGCAACAAACCCGGGTGCATGGTACAACACAACGAACTGTACATCACAACAAGCAGGCTTTCAGTTCAATTTGTCCCAGGTGCTCGACCACGAGATCTCCTTGGGGCCCCTTGACTTGAACACTGCAGACCTTCCCATACCCGATGAGGTTTCCGATGCGATCAAGTACATCAATGGTTTTCTTTTGGCCATCTTTGTCCTGTTCTGCATTGGTGCAGGCTTCGCCGGTCTTTCGTTCCTCGGCAGTGTTGCAGCTCTCACCACGGGTACATTGGGCAAGACACGAGCAGGTAACGTGAAGACGGGCTCGTCAAGAGGAATGGCCCTCATCAACGCGATATTTTCTGGCTTGGCTTCTGCGGCACTTTTGGTCGGTGCTGCGATCACAACCGGTGTAGCCAAGAAGGGCCAGGCCGAGATTAATGACAAAGGCAGCGAAGTCGGGATCTCCGCTAACTCCGGAACCAAGTTCATCATCATTACTTGGGTTTCATTTGCGACCATGTTCGTCGCGCTTCTCTACTGGATCGTTGCCGGTATCAAGGGACGCAAGTCCCCAGCACCTGAGGGCCGTCGACGAGGTCCTGGAAGGTTCCACCTCAGACATGAGAAGAAAGTCCGCTCGAGCTACGAGTCCTCCTCGGTCTAAGCTACCAACTACGATCACTACACACCACCAAATGCAGCTCTGGTGAGAGCTTTTTTGGAATAATTGTGCATTTCTATGTTTAATGTACGGATACCTATAGCGTTTGCTTTTTCAACTCAATACCAGAATGCCACCCACGTCTTTTTCGAACATGGCCGGCCCATCATTAGATATTAGCTCAGACTTCTAAGAATTTGAAGCTACTTGCATTATTGCATCCTAATCTTGAGCGTTGAGCGTTGAGTGACTGAAAACTAGCTAATCACTCAGGGCAACCACAACTCACGATAGCGCCTCACTAACTCCTGGATGCTCCACTCATCAAGCGCGACTACCTAGCGCTCGGCAGAGATAGAACCAGTACTACCCCTAATAAATTCCCCTGGGCTGCGGCACGATCAGTTCAAACGTCATGAAAAGAACTCCTCCTCACCCCAAAATTTTTATTGCCCATGCATTCTTTTGCGTCTGTATCGTTTAACTTGGAATTATCTGTGTCTGCCTGAGATGCCTCGCCTTGGTGACGACGATGGAGACGAGTATCGCGAACAAGCCGAGGAGCTGTTGGAGGAGGGCGAGAAGCATGCCAAAAGGCTCTTCGCTGGCTTCGTGGACTTTGCGTTCTCAGGCAACATTCTTGAAATTGCTTTCGGTTTGATGTGAGTATACCACTCATTGGCTTCTTTGGTTTTCACGTCAACAATGTGCCAATCGACTTATCTTCAAACATCACAACTGCGAAGGGGGAGGCGTTGTACATTGAGCATAGCTAGCAGGAGGTTCGATGATGATGCTGACTAGACCTTGGCGACTTGCAGTCTCGCATCAGCATTCACGGCGCTGACCACTTCGTTTGTGACTGACATCATCCTGCCGCCTCTGTCGGTGATATTACCGCTGAACCGGAACCTGGACGAGAAGTTTGCCGTACTTCAAAAGGGCCCTAACTTTGGTGAACTGGACGGTTACACGACACTTGCGATAGCTCAGGAAGATGGCGCAGTCGTTCTGGCTTACGGGTGAGCTTCACAAGGCCCCTTACTTTTTGTGTGGGAACAAGATAACTAAGTTCCTGGTCTTGCAGTCTATTTCTCAACAAGTGCTTTAACTTCCTAGGCATGGGGCTTTCCCTGTATGGGCTCGCAGTCATCTACGAGTACCTATCCCACGATGCGATCATTAAGCATACCGTTAAGTGCCGGTGAGTGATCCATCTCGGGCGTCTTCTGTCGTTTCTTGTGAATGTTTGCCGATCGACAGCAATGCAGCCATTTGCGACTGCCTTGTAGTACTTTCAGAGCATGTCGAGCCGTTTTCAGCAAAGTGGTGACTGACTGCAAGAACCACAGGTACTGTAGGAAACAAATCAATATTAAGGTGCGTCAAGTAGCCCGCTCAAGTAGCCTGCTGGCGAGACTAACACGACTTACCGTAGTCCCAACGATGTGTGAACTGCACGAGCTGGCTAGATGGTCGCGAGGAAACGAATCGGCTGCAGCGGGAGAATGTGGCGCGCCAGTAGGAAGAAGCACAAAGCACTCTTCAGCCTAGATCGTGAGCGTGGCATGGATTCAAGTGGCCAAGTTTGGACAACCACCTGAGAATGACCTGAGATGACACAAAAGTCGAACCACAGTAGTTTGATTATTGAAATTATGTTCAAATAATATTTGCTCCCGGCGTCTGTCAATCACCGGCGTACGGCTGGACGTCATCTCTTGCACTGCTAAGCATATCAACGCTGGCTGATGGGCAAAAGAAGAGATAAGAAACGCACGAGAATGGATAATGGATCGGCTCCAAGCGGGCGATGTAATGGTTCAAACTCCAGTACCCTAAATTAGTAGGTTGACCTTCCGTCACGCTGGGATGCATACATGGCATACATTTTCTTGCGAAACCCACAGTGCACATGCATGCGAATGATTCCGTAGAGTTGATACCATGATCAGATTTTGTACCATTTTGTAATCCTTGGCCATCCAACTGGCATCCCAGACCAGACCAGACCAAACGCCTCATCTCATATCTTATCCCTCCCGCAAGGTCCCTATCGCCCCGAACCAAGAACACTAACAAGTACAAGGCCCTTTAGCTAGCAAGCACGTTGAGTACACCGCCATCGACGGCGATAATCTGTCCGTTGACGTACATGTTCTTTGCCAAGTACAGAACAGTCATACCCATCTCCTCTTCGCGGCCGGCTCTCTGGAGCGGTACATGGCCCTTCTCTTGAATTTTCTCTTTGGGGACACGACTCTTCTGTCTGTTATCGCTCTCCTTAGCCGTCATCTCCGAGGGGAAATATCCGGGGGCGATGGAGTTGACCCTGATTCCAACCTTCTGGAACTCGGACGACATCAGCTTGGTCAGATGCACCGTACCGCCCTTGGCAGTGTTGTAGGCGAAGTGGCCCTGAGCATGGCGCATCATGCCTGACATGGATGAGGTGGTGATGACGGATGCCCCGAAGCGCTCCATGGGGCCCTTGGGCTCGATGGCAGCCTGGAGCAGAGGGAGGAAGGCAACGGTGGTGAAATACACGCTCGTGACGTCAACAAGCTGAGTCTGCTGCCAGTCCTCCACGCTCTCGTTGTTCCAGAGCTTGGCCTTCAGGTCGTCGGCGTCCTCTTCCTCGGGCGGTGCCTTGGGGCCAGACACGCCGGCGTTGCACATGAGAAGGTTGATGTACTTCTCCTTCTTGTTCAGGTCGACCACGAGTTTCTCCAAGTCCTCCTTCTTGGTCACGTCACAGGGCCCTATGGGGATGATCTGGCCACCGGACTTGCTGAAGTTGGGGTTGTGCTCTTTGGCTGCCGTCTCCAGCTTCTCCATGCTTCGGCCGGTAATGTAGACCTTGGCTCCGTTTGCTGCAAGGGCCTGACTGGCCATCAAACCAATTCCACTCCCGCCTCCTGTCACAACTGCGATGAAGTCCTTCATGTTGAAGAGGCTGGCCACCTCGAAGTGATATGTCTCAGCCATGGTTGCGAATCTTGTGTAGGTCTTTTCTTCTTGAAATTTGAGTTGCGAACACGAGGTAAGTTGCCAGGAGAATAGTACGAAATTGTGTGAATAAAGATCAGGGTTTGCTTGTGTGGTTGTGTATTTATATGAGGTTTGGGAGCTGACGAGATTGAATGTCATAGATGATGTACCCGCAGCAAACCTTATGCAGGTGTGATGGGCAGTGACGTAAGGTATAATGGTAGGACCAATTTGTGGACCACCACCGGAGATCGTCGCATGGAACAAATGCTCCAGAACAACCCACTAAATCACAGTTAGGGTAGATTTGTATGCTTTACGCAACATAGTTTTCGCTGTGTCGCACGGAAAGACGCGGATTTTCTTCTTTTTGCTTTTCTCTAGGAACTAAAGATTGGTCGTCATCGTTGATAAGATATGTACAGGTCCCAAGTCTCTCTCTAGACTAGTTTACAGCTTGGCAAGCGACTGAGATCCCTTCTTCAGTGCTGCCGAGGCATCGTTCACAAATTCATCGACAATTTCCTTGGCAGTCTTCTGCTCGTTTACTAAAGCGGCGCACTTGCCCATGAGGAAGGGTCGGAATTGGTCCAAGAGGTCATCGACGTCGTCCTCTTCGTTTTGGGGCAGCTTATCAGCACCTGGGATTTTATCGGCATTTCCGCTCATGACCTTTTCCAAATCGGCCTCGTATGGTAGAACACCCTTGGACGTGAGCTCCTTGAGCTCGTCTCGCCTGTCGTTCTCCCAGCTCTCGATGTATGGGTTGGTCCGTACGCGCAACGGCCGGCCGGTGAAGATAAGCGTACGGATGGTGTCATCAAAGCTGGCGGTCCTGACGGACTCCTTGTGTGCTTCGGGTGCACCAGCTTCCTCGGCAAGAATGAATCGGGTACCCACCCAGACAGCTTCAGCGCCCATCATGAGAGCAGCGGCCAGCATGCTGCCGTCGTGAATACCACCGGCAGCAACGACGGTGACGGGCTTGCCGGTCAACGGGCTCTTGGAGTTCTTGCATGCCTTGACACAGGCAGGAATCAGAACAGTGGTGGGAACATCTCCCGTGTGTCCACCACCCTCACCACCTTGCGCACAAATGATGTCCACACCGATGTCGAGGCACTTCTGTACATGCTTTGGGTGTCCGACCATGTTCATATAGTAAATGCCATGCTTGTGTAGCTTTTCCACGACCTCCTTCGGCGGTACTCCAACAGCGGAAACGAATAGCTTTGCGCCCGACTCGATGATAACGTCGATTAATTGGTTCAGCTTGCCCTTGGTATAATCGTAGCTGCGGACCGACAGAGGTTAGCGTGTGGTTCAAGTCGCAAATCGGGGAATCTCTTCCAAATGAATCTGGCCTTGCGCATACTTTGTCTTTCTGGCATTGCCTCCGACTTGTGGGAGGAGCAAATCGATGCCAAAAGGCGCGTTCTTGTCCTTCATGTCTTGCTTCATCTCGTCAATCTGCTCCCTCAACATGTCTGGTGAGTAGCTCATGCCACCAATAACACCAAGGCCTCCAGCATTCGACACGGCAGCGGCTAGCTTTGGACCAGCGGCGACGTTCATACCAGCCAGCAAGATCGGGTGGTTGATGCCGAACAGGTCGGTAAGCGGGGTCCGGATTTTCTCTGTGAAGGGTTGAGGGTCAGTATGTCTATCATGGGGGTGATGGAGATGGAGGTGGACCGCATCGGGTGGTCGCGACTTACGTGGAGATGCCATCTTGTTTTCTTGTTTGCGTTGTTCGAACTGGCGGGAAGGTATTCAGAATGGGGTAAAGCGAAGGGAGCGCAATCAGTGACCGAGTGCCGCTGGGAGGTTTGGAGAAGTAGGAACGGGTTAACAACAACGCACGCTGACGGGATGCTTTCGATCTATATACGGAGTAGATGACAGGGAGGTATGTATGCAGACTGTTCCCCAGCTTCCATGAATCTGAATCCGGGGAAGACGCTCGCCGGCCGAGGATCTCGAGTGAAGCATACGATTGGGCATGTGGCATGTCTCTATTACATGCTAGTCTACTCTAGGTTAAGCCATGGCAATCCACTCTCAAATTTGCCGAGGCACTTTCCCAGTGCGGCTTCTCATTGCGGAGATCATTCTGTTGGATGGATGTGATCATTCGATCCCACTTTGAAGACTTAAGTTACGCGAGGCTGCAGTAACTCGAGAGGTTCGTGATTCCCTATCAAGACCAGCAGACAACATTTTTTTCACGTGGCGGTTGCAAAAACCGTTTGTTTGTGTTCTGTTATCCATGTATCTACACATCTTTCTATCATTATTATTATTAGGCGGCGCCAACCATGAGCATTATTGTGTATCGACTGGAAGCTTTGGCACTGGCGCCCACGCCCCCACAAGGCCATGAGCGGCCCGCCGCATCCAGCGGGTCTGACTCTGACGGCTGATTCCAGGCTAACGTACATTGGGGCCCCCCTGGAGGTCTAAATTTTGCGCTGAAAGTTCCAGAGGTGGGACAGGGCTCACATCCATCACGGCGTCAAAGACGGATAAGGGCTCTCTCTCTCTCTCGTGTGGCCTTCGATGCTCTCAATCAGATGACGCAATTGACTCAATGAGTCTCCCTGCAACAACTCGAGCTTGGGGCTCTGCTTGTCGTCGAGTCTTTACCTCCTCATTCTCGCCCTCTGTCCCAAACAGCAGGTGCACCACTCATAGAATCAGCTTGGCACAAAAGAACAGGATGGATGTGCAGCAAAGGACCGCTTGCGGCTGTTCTGCAGCTCGCGATCGCAAGCAGCTTGCCTACATTGCCCTCGGGAGCAATATGGGTGACCGAGTCGCAGAGATTGAAAAGGCCTGTAAGGAGATGAATGCTCGAGGAATCAAGGTCAAGAGGACGAGCAACCTTTGGGAGACTGAGCCCATGTATGTGCTAGATCAAGATAGATTTGTCAATGGAGCATGCGAGGTGCGTCGAGTCGTTCGTTTCTTCACGAGGTGATGGCGTGCACTGTACTAAAGGGGCAATAGGTTGAAACGGTACTTGAACCCTTGGCTCTATTGGACCAATTACAGGACATCGAAAATTCAATGGGGCGCAAGAAGCTTATCGACAAGGGACCACGGAATATTGATCTTGATGTTCTACTGTACGGGGACCGGGAGATCGACCACGAGAGACTGAAGGTCCCGCACATTGGCATTCCCGAGAGGGACTTCGTCCTCCGGCCGCTTGCTGAGCTGATCCCCACCAAAGCCATATACCCAGCGAAGCCCTGGAAGCTTGTTCAAGATTTTCTCCTTGAGCTGCCTCCGTCGTCTGAGCCCTTGTCCACGCTCACTCCGATATCCTCGACTGTCGCACCGTTGAATGCGTTGAAGGCTACGAGGAAAACTCATGTCATGGCTATCTTGAATGTCACGCCTGACTCCTTCTCAGACGGCGGCATCAACACACCTTACTCGCTGAGAGACACGGTGGTCAAATTCATCAAAGGAGGCGCCACTATGATCGACATCGGCGGACAGTCGAGTGCCCCTGGTACAGTCGATGTCAGCGCCGAGGAGGAAATCCGCCGCGTGGTCCCAGCCATCGAGATCATCCGCAGCCTTCCGGAGTCAAAGGACGTTGCCATCAGCGTCGATACCTATAGGGCATCGGTGGCGGAGGCTGCCGTCAAGGCTGGCGCAGATATCATCAATGACATCTCAGCCGGCCAGTTGGATGAGGACATGCTTGCGACCATGGCCCGACTCGAGAAGACGGTATGCCTCATGCACATGCGCGGAAACCCGAGTACTATGAGCAAGCTGAACGATTATCCCGATGGTCTGATACCGACCATTGCCAAGGAACTCCTCGAGAGAGTAGCGGAAGCAGAAGCTGCCGGTATTCGAAAGTGGCGCATCATCCTCGACCCGGGCCTGGGCTTTTCCAAGGTCGGAGAACAAAACCTTCACGTCCTACGACACTTTGACGAGCTACGGAACTGGCCTGGCCTGGAGGGCTTCCCCTGGTTACTAGGCTCGAGTCGCAAGAGCTTCATTGGCAAGGTCACCGGAGTTCCGAGGCCAATGGACCGGATCTTTGGGACTGCCACCACTGTCGTGGCGGCTGTGCAGAGTGGTGCCGATATCGTGAGAGTCCACGATGTCGTGGAGATGGGCCAGGTGGTCAAGATGGCTGACGCCATTTGGAGGTATTGATGCTTGAGTAGTGAAAATTTTTAGAAGATCTTTGTATATATGAAAACTTCAACATTAGGCCATTTCAGCCGTAGGAAGCTGCTTACAACCACGGCACCTCTATTTGCAACGCTACTGTATATGCAGGAATATAGGAGAACTTGAATACAAAAGCTCATGAACGAGTTATCTAGTCAGCGGTGAACAGATACGTTTATACTCCCCTACCAGCTATTCCATCCATGACCCCGCCCAGATACCTAGAGGTCGTTATAATGGCCTACGTTCTCCTTTTCCTTTTTTCTTTCTTTTTTTTTCTATCTTTTTCTTTTGTAGAGCATCACAACGCACTTCTTAATCGAAGTAGCAAATACGATTGACATATATGCATCTGCTTACGCTGCGACTGTTGAATACGACTGGAGGATAGCACAGCAGCTCACGCTTTCAATGGCAGAAGTGTGCACATGCGCTCAGACCGTATAGTCCTTGTGTGATGTTTAGGGGCCTTATTGGCGCCAGAATCAACCAAGAGCTGGTCGTCACAACGGTTTGTCCTCACATAAATGAAGGTGTTTGAGCAAATTGATTACAGCGTAGATTATCATTGCAAATCGCATTGAGCTTGAGTATCTACACACATGATGTGATATCATTCCGTTTCGTTGCATACCCTGGCCGCCAAACTCCTGAAGAAAAAAAGAAGAAAAAAGGTGTATCCACAAAATGTTTTGCTTGACCCAAGACTCGGTCCTGCCTACCAGTCCTGATCTTTACCCCGTCAGATAAGGACCTCTTGTTGTTACCGATCTGGGCTTTGCCTCTAGATTAGAGGAAGTAGTCTGCAACCGGCTTCTTCGCTGGCATGCCTCTAGAATCCTGCGGTGCTGCCTGGAAGACTCGATATCTCCTCGCTGGACCACTCTTGACGATGGTCTCGCCCTCTGCCAATGGTCCTCTAAACTCATTGGTCCGGCCTATATCGCCATTGTTGCGCGACAATATGCTCTCGCCACCTCCATCTTCGGATAGTTCCAATACTGCGGCTACATTTCCACATCTGTAGCAGTAGTTTGGTGCGGACCAGACGGTCACAATACTTGCGTCAAACATTTCCTTAAAGCCTTCCATGACAAGCTGATGAGCGCGTGCGATGAGCGATAGGTCGTTCCTGTGGTTAAAGACCTTGACAATGTCGGCTCCGAACAGGAAACCGGCGCCTCGGGGAGAAAGGCCCCAGCCATCGATCTCATCAGGATCGGACCAGAGTAGGTCGCACATGGCGCCTTCGTGGGGAACTTCCTGCTTTCTGTCGAGCAGCCTGATCTTATCGACCGTGTCTATCAAGGGCGACAGTCCGCCGTGGACGCACAGGACTGCGCCGGTCGGGTTTCCAGTGCTTCCACCGCTTGACCCTGATGCGCCAGAGCCTGGAGGACCTGTCCTTGCCGGGATGCCATTTGGGCTCTTCTGTTCGGCATGTTGTCTACCGAAGCGGCTCATGACATCGCCCTCTGCGTTACAAACCTCGATCTCTATTTCCTCTTCCTCATATATCTCGCTGGATGTTCTCTCATTTGGCGGGGAGAGTGTGTTGGATGCGCCGAGGACGATGGCACCGAGGGCGAGGTAGTCAAAAACGTCGCAACAGTAGCGCCAGACGTTTGCGCTGCCGTACTTTCGTAAGCATTCATCGTAGAAGCCGTAGACGGTTGTGATCTGTCGGGATTCGTGGTTGCCGCGAATGAGGGTCATCCGGTCTGGGTATCGGACCTTGAGACACAGAAGGAGCAGAAAAGACTCGAGGGAATAGAAGCCTCGGTCGACGAAATCACCTGGATTGGAGTTGATGTTAGGAATGGGGTGCGTTCAGGGGGTCAGCTCAGAATGCGCCGTGCTAAGACATACCCATGAAAAGGTAGTTTGTGTCGGGGGGGTCGCCTCCCACGCGAAACAGCTCCATCAGATCGTGGAACTGGCCGTGAATGTCACCGCATATCTACAGAAGGTGTGAGCGAGGCAGGGTCTGCAGTGGGAGACAGGTCGCGCTCGTACGTACCGTTACGGGGGCAGCAACTGTGACGACATTGCCTTCTTCGATTAAGAGCTCTCGAGCTTTGTGGCAGAGTTCTCGGACCTGAGCCTCTGGGATTGGGCGGCATGCTCGAAGCTGAGCAATGGCACTTTTTGTTTGTTTGGCAAAGTCAGAGAGGGTGGCCTGGAAAGCCAGTGCAGTGAAGTTTGACTCACTTATCGAGGTCACTCATGTTTGCGACAAGACAAAGACAAAAGGCAAGGCAAGACAAGACGAAGGGCTCGGTTGGGGGCAGATGTGGCCAAGGGGCCGACACCTAGAGTGTCGGAATGCCTCTTGATTGAGCTTCAGTGAGCTTCAGTGAGCTTTCAGCTAAAAGATAAGCTTCAGAGGGTCAAGATCATGTCGTGGGTCCTATGGCGTGTTTGTGGTGATGTTGGACCCTGGAGCGAACTTTAATCTGGCGATCGCCACAGAAGGTTGGGTTTCAGGATGGTCGCTTGTGCCACTTCGTGTGCGCGTGTTCGGGTGCTGTGCGTGTGCTCGTGCTCGTCGCGTGAATTGAGGTCCGTCGCGGGTCAAAATTGTCGACGTTAGATGGGTAGGATGTGGCTGAAAATGCGGGAGAAAAAATGACGACAATGACCATGAACTCTAGCAAACATGTCAAAAAACCGCCGGTCCACGGCCCTCGAAAATTGAGTTTGGGGTGGTTCAAGGCTATTACGACAGGGGAGCTTTCCACCTTTCCACGCACGTTACTGAGCTGAAGTGGCTGAGGTCCACTGAAATCCAATGGGCGCCTTGGGGCCCCACAGCAGGAGCCTTTGGAGCCTGCAAGGACGTCAGTCTTGCAGTCTTGCAGTCTTCCAGTTTCCCAGTCGAAGATACTCCATACCCAAGGCCTACGGTTAGTCTGGGCCGGCTCCAATTGGTCAATCTAACCTTGGACTGTTTGTTCATTGTTGAAATGAGAAGCTGCGGATTGGTAGCTTTTTACTCCCTGCATGCATCAAAATTCAAGACTCACTCAGGCATCGTACCACCACAACAACAGAACGCACCCGACGGCAACATCCAAAGGCCGCACAACCCCCCACCTCCGCCATTTGCTGCCTCGTCACAGTAGTCTAGGCTTTGTTTCTCGTCATGGTTTGGTCGTAGGGGAATAATAACAGGTAACTCCCCCCACAGCATCATCTCGTCTCGCTTCCTCTCGTCTTCTAAATGCCTCGGGTTCACGGAATAAATCAATCAATTGACATCGGTTCAAGGCGCACCAATTCCCCTACGGAAACCACTTCACAATGCCCCCATCACACCTTCATCCTCGGTCGCGCATGACCTCGTCCCTATTCGCCGTCACCGTCGCTACCAGCTTCTTCGTCGTCGGCCTCCCTCACATGTTGCCCTGCCCGGCACCCAGAGTCAAACTCGCAGACTCAGAAACTACACCCGACGGCACAAGGCGCCGGAGGAGGAGGAAATCCGAGTCCGCCGAGGTACAAGATGGTATTGCACAGTTTCAGAGTAGCAGCGAAGACTTCGAGAGGCTAAACAACAAAGCCTCCACCAAGAGAGAATGTCCCGTGCCAAAGCCAGGAGGCGTCCTCGGGGGCTCATGGGCTTCACAGAGTCCAAGACGGACAGCGAGCAATCACGACATGACAGGTGATACCAATGCCGACATCGAATCTGGGCCTTGAACATTGAGAGCAGAGCAAATGTATCACAGCTTGTACCATTCGTGGCTGAAAGGCCTTGGGATATATACTAGAAATCAGCTTCCCAGCACCACGGCGTAGACGAGGCTAGCAATTCAAAAGATAATAGCAACAGCTTATGAACGTCACCCGACGGCATCCAGGCAATCCGGAAGTGGCGCTTACCGGGGACACTTGGCAGATGCAGACCACCTCACTCGAGAGTTCCGCTCTGGGTGACGTGGAGGACTGTACAATACGTGGTGGCTGAGGCACATGGCAAGTAATCGGACAGAACCACACATTCAATCATGGAGGCAACTGAGCTCCAGGATGTAGAGTGCATGCATTCTCATCAAGGCCACATCTAGGAGGTTTGAGGAATCTGAAGATCGCCTGTTGTTTTGGTCGATCGCTGAGCTCGCATGTTTGAGCTGGAACCAGATCATGCCCGCTGCATTGTGACAACTGAATTTCCGGGGACCGAGGCGAGCCGATTCAACCTGTGTGAAACAATGCGACGAATTTGACAGCAGCACAAGACCAGTACCGCGTGTCTTTCTGGATCGGGCAGGGCGTTACATGGTGCGAATATCAATACCTTGGGAAACTCGATCGGCTAAGGAGAGTTTCCGCGTTGGATGGTTACCAGACTGTTGAAGTGTTTGGTTCTGCCCTCCTCCTTTCACTTTGGGAGGCCAAAGCGTAGAATCTCAAGTCCATACCCAGCCATCGTTTGGCTTAACGGCAGACTACTAGAGACATACAACTACGTGTTCTCTCCAATCGAGGTTATACTCAAGTCGATGCCACTACAATAATATGTAGCTGTCACACGGCTACCAATGTCAGAAGCGAAGCGCTGATGGCCGCCTGTTTGGACCCTCCAAATCCTTTAGACCACAGGATTCTCAGTGAGATGGCGCGATGAGAACCTATCATAATGCAATCATGTTACCACGGAAGTAATATGCCATTTTCCTTGATAACGCATGATATGTTCAAACATGAGACAATTCCTGGGCAGCGATCAGTCCGGATGCTAAAAGGGTTGGGGAGTTACGTGATGAAGGATACGGGAAAACGGCACGGTAATACTCAAAAGAGATCCGAGAAACCTTAAGCGCATGAGGTTGGGAAACTTTGAGGCTCAAAATTAATACTAAGAAACAATACTGCATTTAGCCTGACCCCTGAAAGTGTGCCAGATTCCCTGCGATCTTGTGAGATCGACGGTGAACCGCCTATTCTGATTGGGGGCGCCTTGACTCCGGCACTTTGAGATGGCAGTGCGCTTTGGCACTAAACCTCTCTCCACACCCCAGGGTTCTGGCTCATATGGCAGACAGAGTATCCGCACCTGAATTGCCTCTCCACACGTGGTCTTCATCTGACAGTGCCAAGGCGTTTCTAAACCTGACAGTCGTTCCTGTGTCCCAAGCATCTTTGACCTCCGTCCCAACTTGGTTCAAGGATCTGATCTAGTTCTTCGTCTTTGCCTTCGCGACGATGATGCGAGGGCAAGAACGGCTGTCAACCGTCCATACCTCTACTGTCTGTTCTGGGGAAACAACACGAAACAGCCTAAAATCCTCGTTGCTGATCAAGCAGAATTGGACTTCGGGATACTGCTCTTCCCTACAAACTATCAAGGCAAATCCCCGCCCGGATACGTGTTGTCGTGACAGCCGGATGGCAACCTGACCTAAGAGTACATTTGGCAGAACTGTCTTTGAAGCCGCATCAAAGCCGACATTGTGATAGGGCCTGGTTCAGCGCCTATCCAAAATTTGTATCGTGGGTTGTAACAATAACACCGGAAAAGAAAAGTCTCTCCCTCAGATCGGATGTCAATTAAACATGCTCGGGTATATATGCGAGTACTATGCAACTTAGTACAGTGGCCAATCATCTCAAGCCTGTTCCGCTGTTGCATGCAATATGAATCTCAATTGTTCTGCAAAGCGATTTTTCTCAGCCGTTAACATGTATGACTGGCCAGAAATCGAAGGCTCAGGGTATCCACCGAACAAGCTCATATGCATAGAAGCTTGATCTCCTCCAGACCCTTGTCCAGCTTCATCATTCACCTGATCGTGCCGCCCATCCAGTGACGATGGGATTCTGACACCTTCGGAAGTCACCCTCAAAAATCATCCGAAGCCTTGAATAGGTCTTGGCATGTTTCTGCTGCTCATGCAGCGGCAAATAGTCGCTCGTGGCTGCTCATGTCAACTGATATATAAGACGAGCTCAGTTCGTGGAGGGTACCATTCTTAGTTCTCTATCCCAACATAGTCTAAAAGGTCTTTCAGGTACTAAACCAACTCTTTCATTCATTTCTTCAGAGGTAAGTCAATGAAGTAAAGCTCACAGCAGACACTTGCTGACATTCTTCACCAGCTGTGCTCGTTGTTCGCTTCACTCTTTACATACTATCGTTTGAACATTTGAGGTTAGCATATGATGCATCAGATGAACCAAGCAATGGCTAACGGTTAATCCACTAGCTGTGCTCTATTACCACTAATCTTTTAATACCACCAAATACCTCTCTTTTTCAAGCCAACATGAAGTTCGCTGCTGTCATCGTCTCCGCTCTTGCGGCTGTCGCCTATGCCGCCCCTGCTAAGAAGGAGGAAACACGTGCTGTTGTTGACGCATCGTTGTTCAACAACTTTGCTTTCAACAGCCAGGATCTCCAATATCTGAGCGTCATCAACTCCCTCGACTTCCAAGTCCTGCAGCAGCTTGCCTCCGTCAACAACCTCAACCTCAACGGCTTCTCCAGTCTCTTCTCGAACCAGGCCTTCGACGTCAACGGCCTGCTTCAGCTGCAGCAGATCCAGAACCTGATCCAGCTCCAGCAGCTCGGCGTCCTGGGCGGGTTTGACCTCAGCACCCTGGCCCTCAGCCAGGTCAACTTGGGCCTGATCAACAACATCGGCGGCGTTGATTTGACCAAGTTCGTTAATGCTGCTCTTCTTCCCCAGATCCAAACCATTATCCAACAAAGTAGTGAGTTTCATTGATCATTGGATGGCTTTTTTTTTTTGGGATCATATGCTAATTAAACACGTAGCTGTCACCATTGGCAAGGAATAAATAGAGAAGACCTTCATTACAGAAACTGAGGGGAGGTCGGATAGTGGATATAGTGGCTGGGTAGAATGATGTCGGAAAGCAGTGAATACTAGTTGTATTACCATAACGTCTTGTACATGTTGAAACATCCTTCCGTCTGGCGCTAGCAACGTCGCGGATTGGGATCTAGGAAGTGGATATGGGTGTAAACGGACTTGTAGCAGCACGGAATATGCATAAAACATCCAATAGCTTTTTTTTTTCGACGGCCAGCATGCAAAATTTATAAGCGTCATGAGACAATTTTATTTGCTTTTATCATATGTGCCTTAGTGTCCATCATGCACGAGCTTTATGTCATTTTTAGTGGGCAGCCCATGTCAAATTGTGAACCTTGCAGGCGCAACAGAGGTCCTGATATAATATGAAGATATCTTCCGAGTTTCCCGAGCAGCCCTCAGGGGCCGTGACAGGGTTGAACCTCGCTGGCTGCAAGTAACCCATTGAACCTAACAGCAAAATCGGCATCCCATCGAGCAGCTGTCAGCCGGCGCGTGCTCCCAGGGGCAATAAGGTGTGGCTAGCGATTCTGACATACGTGTAGAGAAGAGACCAAGGTGGGCTAGTTTTCTACAAATGAAAAAAGAGGCCAGATCATGCTTTAAGAGGATGCCATTCCCATCCTTTCTATTGCGACATTTCGGTTTCCAGGTGTTGCTTCGTAGATTTCTGTTACTCGTAGACTTATCATTAGTTGGTTGCAAAGGTATTTCTTTACGTCCAAATCACATTTGCAGCCTGTGGATGGTAGATTATCATGATGGCATGATTGGCACAAGGTGCAGCAAAACATGGCATATCTCACATATTTCCCCGACGGTGGACCAAGCATCTCACACATCGCAATCTAGGTTCATTCACCATTGTGCACTAGGGACCTTATTTACCATTCCTCTAGTATATCGTGACCTGATCAGCATTCGGGAGGTTTCGGAATACATGTTTGCCAAGAGTCCATGGTAAGTAGTGACAACATATATGCATACTTGGCTTCACATGTATAGCACAACTCAATATTGGGGTTTCTCACACTGATTATCATCTCAAATCTCAGCATCTTTGCTTCACTCAGAGCAGCTGGGACGTATAAATCACAGCCACGTTCTTCTCACAAGTCTTGGTCATAGTCTGTTCATTGCTTGACCTCTAAAACCTTGTATATATGCATACCCTGTGCTGCAGATCTACTGTCAACTCTGCACATAGGTAAACATCATTTGTGTGTCACTACGAAGTTACTCAATACCAAACCACTCGTCTTCGTTGTACTCTGGCCCATGTATGTAACGTTTGTTGTGGTGGAGATGCTCGGAGGGGGTTAAATCACTCAATAACTCTGGCTACACAAGGTGGCTCGAAACCAAGTACACAGGTTATAGACCTTTGCTGTTCTCCCTCTATACTCATACGTTTTATCGATCCTACCTTATACCACCACTCGTGTTCTTGTAATTTAGTAAGAGGATGGTGCTAGAGACCGTCTGTGACATTCAAAACAGCGGGCCTACCGTCTGAAGAACGATAGTAATCTCAGGGTAATTATATATTCGTTGCCACACCGTCTCATAATCTTCGAAATATGCATGGTTGAGAGAAACCCAAAGATCAAGGGTGTGTAAAACAGGTATCACAACCAGTATATCATCCAAATCAATTCAGACCAGTTGGCAATGCGCAGAGTTGCGATTAGATGGTCTATTGGTCATGTAAAATGCCCTGCATAGATAGACTATTCTCAAGCATGTCACGCTCTCAATGGCGTTGCCAATCGACCTTGCGATTCATTGGCATCGAATAGACTCTTCCATATATGACCAATCAGTTCGAATTTGTGAACAAGAAGGGCCAAGACGAGTACCTGGCTCAAATGGTAGTTTGCAAACCAAGGCACAAGTAAATGCCAAAGTAAACTATCACATTCATAGGTTGACAGTACTCAAAGCACGTAGTCCCTCAAACCAAGAACCCAATCCCGCCTTTCCGATACAAGAGTTGATCGAGGTTACACACAAATTAATTTATAGCACCATATGTCTATGGGCCATGACAATGCAATACGAACCTCTGCCTCGAACGCTACAGTTCGTTCTCAATATCACCGGAAGCAGCAAAACCTAGAGCGGTCCTCGTTGACGTGTGTAAGCATTAAGTAGTAATGGAGCACAATATTTTTCTTTTTTATAACAAGCTCCCCTCATATATCTGCCATTTATCTTCACTATTCGATAGGCAGTTCTGACATTCTTTTGACACCATCCACTGGACGAACCAAATCCAAGGCTTTCAACGACTAATGGCGGATGCATAAAGCTATATACAACACAAAATAGACGTATTATTAGTCAGTGACACTGGACTTGTGTCACGTCGCTCGTGTAGTGCTTAATACTTCCAGCCTGATCGCACGGAACGGATATCTCGAGGTGCTGAACAAGATGAAAAGCAAGGCCCAGGGGGACATTATCCAAATTAAGAATGAGCTCGACGATATGAGAAGGGCGAACAAGAGAGGGAACAAATTTACATCGTCTTGAGAACTTTGGAAGGTGTGGGAACGGCACCAAGTCTCCAACACAAGGTGCTAAGCTGAGCTCTGTGCAGTTTCACCTGCAGACGGGCGAGGAGTCCGCGACTGGAACCAGCTCCATTACACAAAGTACAAGCCAAGGTACATAAAATAATATGGTAAAACGTTGTTAGCGATTATGGGGTCTCTGACGACGGATCAAGGCTGTTCTAGAAAGAGTCATTTCATTCCCAAAAAAAAAGAAGAAAAAAAAAACCCCCTCTCGCGTCAAAGGAACGGGGACATGGTAGTACAAAGGACGCAACTCCAAATCAAGATTGCACCTATCACGGTTCCTCGAAGTCAATTCTTGCTAACATTCTTGCAACATCTGTCGATAACGCATATAATTCAACACACCACAAACCCACGAGCGCTGTCTTTACCACGCATGATGTAGTAGTTCTGTAGAGTCTCGAGTCGAGCAGCATGTAGTCTCTGTTAAACAATGACACCAGGCTCGCATCATGAGGCTTCCCACTATGCATTGTTGCGTTGCAGCATGTTACGGGTTTCCGGTCGTTGCACGTACGTCGGGCGTGCTGTGCAACTGCTGTAAGTCATCGCCTTCCGTCCGACTCACGAGGCAATTGGTGGAACCTATGTCACCCATATGAAGTTCTGATAGCCAACCAGAGACCTATCTTTGCAGAAACACCCCACCGGTAGACGACCGTTTATATGGCATGATATGATCCCATCAACATTCGGACAGAATTTATGGAAACGAACCCCATTCCCCCCAAACTTGGCGTCCGCTCCACACGGCATTGCGAACCCATTCATCGAGGTCGCATCCCCATGCGTGTTGTATGGCTCGGCTCAGCCAACCGAGCCGCGCGCGCATATCGCATCTCACGGTCTAGATTCCTCCGAAGGGCGGTAGCAATTGCAAAGGTTGCAATCATGTATATGCAGGCACCGGCTGTAGCGTGAGAGACAATGTAACAGATATCCACTCGATCAAGACAGTAATTCGCCAGAGAGTCTTTCACATGCTGGGATAATAGATTTGAGAATAAATTGGTTGCATAGGCGAGAAGCTGTTGACGACTCCCAATTGCTATTTTGACTCATTAACGGTGCACCCACTATTGTAATAGAGTTCGGAAAATATTGAGCTCAATATGCATTGCAGCAATTGCGCAGTGGCTCCGAACCCATTTGAAAAGGCCAAAACTGTAACAGTTGGAATATGGGGTTACGGTGTTTGTTAGAACGTAGTTACAGCAACGGTTTGGACACTTATGTGGTGGCGCCGTGGTTGTTATTTGGACATGCTGACAACGATGCTTTAGAGGACTAAACTAATGTAAGTAGCATGAACCAGGGCACAGGACAAAACAAATGAATTCGTCAATGACCCGCAATTGAACATACAGTCATGCAAGAAAATAAATTCCTCATTGCAGTCAGGAATAATGTCGCGGCGTTGGGTGTGCACCTATCGTGCAGATTTCTCCGGTGTCCCACGCGGAGCCATGGCATTGACAATTGTTTAGTCCCACCGTCTTGTATGGGGCGTCAGCATGCGAAAAACCTCAAGGTCTGTAATTATCTCATTCCTCACCGGTCTTCACCGATTCTCCTCACTTTTTCCTCTTTCCAAATTTTTTTTTTTTTTTCCCTGCGGCCCTTTTGCATCGTGAAGTAAAGCCGGATGTCGCCGAGGTGTGGGGTGGCCTGGGGACCCAATGGGATGAGCCGACATTGGGCCGATTTCATTGTCCGGGAAGCATACGCCTTGGGGGCCGAGCTAATTAATCCTACAATACTTAAAGCAACCTCGCGAGACCTTCCATACCGAGTAGCAACTGCATTCTGTTTCCCCTGATGCCCGTTTTCGCCCATGTTCCGCGGCATCAATTGTGAGCTATCAGTCGACGGATCTCAGATGGAACCATCATCCAAATAATTGATGTCGTCATTTGGGTCAGCCACGTCACTCTGAATAGACTGCTCGTCCAAGTCATCATTGTCCCTACGATTGCCGTCCTCATCATGTCGGCCGATCAGAATATCTTCACTCCCTTGCCATTGTGAAGGGTTGGGGGGTAGTTGGGCCGAGTCTTCATTGTCCCATCCGTATTCTTCGTCCTCACTATCTGCAATCTCGAACTCCGTCTCACCCAGCTTTCTCTTTGGGTGTGGTGTGGATGATAAGATGACTGACGCTTGCGTGACATCGTGTATAACTGAGACTATGCCGTCCTAAATGAAATTAGAAAATATGATTTAAGTAAGCATACGCGGGCAACCTACCTCGTAAATTTCAAATGCGAAGGTTGGCCCGATGCCTTCAAAATGAGCCTTCCCGTTTAGTTTCTGTATACCTGCGAAACGAATGCCAGATACATGGTCATCTTGAAACGACCAATCTCTGAATAGGGCCAGACGGGTTGCGATACCTTGGTCCCAAGAACTAGTATTGATAGCTGGG